ATAAATAGAGTGATTTTATCCAAATCTTGGTTTTTCAACAGTTTGCCCTCTGGGCATCCGTACCTATTCCTCAACCTCAAGCCTTTTTCTGAGATGCCGGGCCTAGAGGAAATTATCGGCAGATACCGTGGTAAGCGAGAGCATGGCGAGCCAAGCACCATCAGTGTCATTCAATTCGCCTTTGTGTGGATAGCTTTGTTCAGCAGGCGGTTCCCACGCGTGAGAACGAAAAAATCAAAGGCGTTATCTTCAGCATATATGAAGAGGAACTTTATGGTGAGCCTCATGTAAAACACAGTATGTTCGGAGAGTGAACTTCCACAAAGCCTGCTCAGATTGCTCATTCATAGTAGCCTAGATACACCATTAAGGATATATGCATCAATTGGACAGCCATTGGCCAGGAATCAATACGTACTCATGCCCAATCTCACTTGGGCCAACCGAGCGCAATGCTGTGTAACCCCAAACCCCATCCAACCTCAGCAGCCGTAACCCCGGAGCTACGTTCTCGTTCTTCAACATCCATCCAGGCTCCTTCGCCAGGCTTTACGAGAAATCATCATCCTCACAGTTCTTTATTCCCGTTCATACTATTCATCCTGGCAGATCTTACTTGAGAGATATGACTCAAAGATGTCCCACGGTACCGAGAGCAATAGGACCCGAGATTCGCTTCCAGATGAGGTTCAGGATAAGAGCAGACACACGGGAAATCAGGTCACTGAGCGACCAAGTCCTTTCGGCAGCACGGCCGATGAGACCACAAGGCTGAGAGAGAGTAGGTAATGCAAATTCAGACCATCAGAAAGCTTTTCACTGATTGGACGCAGCACTGCTACAGAACCTCAGCTTCCCTGCCATGAACAATGGATACTTGAGTGTCAGACCCCCTCATCCAGGCACATGTGATTGGTTCTTTGAGACGGACCAGTTTCGACATTGGCGAGACCACTCCCAAACCGCCGAGGGCAACTTAGAGCTTCGGGTCCAAGGCGGGCCAGGGACAGGCAAATCGACATTGATGAAGCATATTTTGAACTATTGTCATAAAGAAATGCACGACCACGTGATCCTGTCCCATTTCTTTCATGATCGCGGAAAAACTTCGGAGAACAGCCTGTTGAACATGATGCGATCGCTCGTCCATCAGTCGCTCCATCAAGAGATCGAACTATCTGAACAGTGCATTAAGTTTGTCCAAATGGGAAGATTGGTGGAAAATAAAGAAGACTGGCAATGGCAGCTTGGCGAATTGGAAGAACTTTTGCTGCTGGCATTGCAATCACCTTTGCCAAAACCGGTGATCGTCATCATCGACGCTATTGACGAGTGCGAAGTCCATGAAACTCGAAGGATGATCAGACTCCTCAACAACCTATTGTATCTTAAGTTTGACAGAGATATTACTATCAAGCTCTGCTACACCGGTCGCTCTCCAAACGACAAAATACCCTTGGGCTGGGCGGATCGCTCTCTCGACGTCAAACTGCCCATGCGCGAGGGGGTTGGTATTAACCTTGACGACTTGAACAGCAGAGATATCATGCTGTATATTGAGGAGAGACTGACTCATTCCATTGAATATGCTGGGAAAGAACTGCTGAAAAAGTCATCAGGATGTTTCCTTTGGGTTGTCATCGTCGTTGCTCTACTGAACAAAAGGCATTTCGCGGGCGACGATGATGCAACAACACTGAAGATACTGGATGGAATCCCCCAGGATTTATCAGAGGTTTTCAACATGCTCCTGCTTCAAAACGATCAAGAAATCGGAGACAGGGCTTTTCTTGTGCAGCTGGTGCTTCTTAGCAGGCGGTCGCTCAAGCCTGAAGAGCTATGTGCTGTCATTGGGAAAGTACCAGCTAATAACGAGTCTATAGAGCGGCACATTTCCAATCTCTCTCATGGTCTTGTGGAAGTACGACAAGAAGGAACCGCTATCGTTCAATTCATACACCATACCGTTCAAGATTTCATGCGTCTGAAGGATACGTGGCAGGCTTTAGACCCAGGGTCTGATGACAATCCAACTCGGGCGGGTCATGTTCGTTTGTGGGAACGTTGCCGAGAATGCATGCAGTCGTTCATGGAATCGCCGATACAGAAGCATGATATGCAAGCTCCGGGTGACAGACACCCCTTCTTCAGCTATGCAATAGAGAATATACTCTATCATGCCGAAATGGAATTTTCAGAAGTGAAGGAAGGACGCGCAGTCCCCAAGGAGCCGATCGTAAGGTGGTTGCAAAATTACAACCACTGGTTCAATTGGCTGAAGCGATGGCGCAGAATCGAAAGTGAAGTCGGGCTCCTCTACGTACTAGCTACGGACGGCTTCCCAAATCTGGCTGAATTCGTGCTTATGCAAGGCGCCGATGTCAACGCAAAAGGCGGTCTTTATGGCAATGCCCTTCAAGCCGCCGTCAGCCGGGGCAACGAAGAAGTTGTGAAACGACTTCTCAAGTACGGCGCCGATGTCAATGCCCAGGGTGGTTCATATGGCAGTGCACTCCAAGCTGCTTTGTACAGAGGCAAGGAAGAGATAACAAAGTTACTCTTCGAAGGGGGCACCTCAGTTGATGGTCAAGGCCGCAGGTATATCAACAGTATACAAGCCGCTGCCGCCGTATCTGAAGCCAGTGAAGACATGATCGATCTGCTCCTCCATCGAGGTGCCGATATCAACGCTGGAGATGGCTCTCACGGCAACGCAGTTCAGGTTGCCATATTCGAAGGTAACCTGAGTACCCTAAAGATTCTTCTTCAGCGCGGTGCCAATATTCATGCTTGGGGCGGGTTCCATGGCAACGCTCTCCAAGCCGCTGCGTATACTGGCAATGAGGAGGCAATCACCCTTCTTCTTGATTGCGGGGCTGACGTCAATGCTGAAGGTGGACACTATGGCAGTGCCCTTCAAGCTGCTGCTGCTCAAAAATTTCACAAAGTCGTCAAGCTCCTCATCTCAAATGGCGCCGACATTTATGCTACTGGCGGCGAGTACGGAAGCGCCCTCTGTGCAGCCGCACACGAGGGCAGTCTAGTGATCGTCGAGAGTCTTCTTGATGAAGGGGCCGACCCAGATATTCAAGTTGACTACTATGGCAATGCGCTTCAAGCTGCGGCTTATCAAGGCCATTTTGAGGTTGTCCAGTCGCTACTTTGGAGTGATGCCAATATTGATGCTCAAGGGGGCAGGTATGGCAATGCACTTTGTGCAGCTTTAGCTGCAGCCAATGATGGAATCATCGAATATCTTCTACGGCACCGTGCAAGAACAGATCTACGCGATTCCTCTAACCGAACCGCACTCCATTATGCCGTTGAATCAGGGTCTCATTCATTGGTGCAACTCATCCTTGAAAAGGGGGCATCACCAGATAATTTGGATGATGCCAAAAAGAGCCCCTTGGATATTGCTGTGCAGTCAGGAGATGCACACTTGATACATCAGCTAATTTCGCGCACCAGAAAGATGCCGCTCATGTCAGCCAGAGATTGGCGAAAGTGTCTCAATCTGAAGGCAAATTCTGATATATCATTCTGTATATCCTATCCAAGTTCCATCGAGGAGCACGACTCGAGACTACTTGAGATCCTTACTAATGAGTGCTTCCCTATCACTTATCAGAAGTCAATTCCATGGAAGAAGGAAAGCTTGATTGGCTCTATGGATAAAGCATACATCTAGTACGTGGAAACAGTACCACTGAGTTTATAACGGCTCTAATGTAACATATAGCATAATTCCAACCGGCGACTTCTTGGAACACATCTCCCTATCAAAATTTCATTGCCGATGGTGGAAGAAAACACCGATAAATCGTGAGCGGCAAGGCGACGTTTTTCAAACCTCATGGGCATGGTCAGACCACTCGAATACAGTCCCGGATGACGCAACCTGTCGTCGCCTCAAAGAGGATGAACGTAAGCCGGCCTTTGAAGACTTGATAAAATTTGCGTCATCTAATCTGGACATCAGATTTCATTGAGATCGGCTTCAAGGCCGCTTGCTTAAAAATTGCCGAAGAGAGCTGGTCAGCGCTGCAGGGTGATGCACAAGGCGCTGGAGTTGAGCCCTTATCCAATGAAGGCTTTCTTTGCATCATGGTGCCTGTTGCAGCATCTTCCGAACGTCAGGATGTTCCATCCCAAGCAGATTTGCGACCGGTCTACCTATTGAGCACTCTTGATACAAGCCCCATTGCCCTTCCCTACAACGGCTCCGAGCTGTTCCGGTCTCTAGTCTCGAAACTCAAATGCGTTGTAGAAGAAAACTGGGCCGTTGCCAATCGTCAGTTGTCTCAATATGTAAGTACTCAAGCTACAGATCACAAAATTGATAATAATATGTGTTGCAGCGTTCCCAAGTTCTTGAAAGCAGCGGCCAGGACCCTAGATTGCTTGCTCAGCTGCTCTACGATGCTCAAGTTTTGGAACGCATAGCAGATAATCACAAATCTTTGGTGCAGGATGTCGCGATACTGGCAACATCATTATCATCTCTACAGAATGATCAATGGAGATTGAAAATAGATCAATCTCAGTTCACTGATTTTACTGACCTTACTGGCCTTCAGGGTCAAATTCGCGAACTCGAAGAGAAGTCACAAAGCATCATCCAATTGACAAGATTTACCTTTTTACCACCGCAATGCACTTATTATGTCTAATACTGCACAGGAGTTCAATCTGACATCGATTGTCGAAGCCCAACGGTCAACATCTACAAACAAAAGCATGAAGCGGCTTTCATGGATCACTGTAAGCATACTGAACCCCGCCCGTGCAACATTGGTGCTAATGTCCCCAGTTTGTGTTCCTACCGCTAGTGTTTATCGCTGTAGGTTGCCCAGTATCACGATCTCTTGTTCTGAAGCTGATTGCTGCAGAGCCTCTTTGGCATGAATGTCGATGTCTTGGCCGACAATCCGAGCTGGTGGCTTTACTTGCCCTTGTCCGGTGTGTGCATGTTGACAACCTTGGCGGTTTGGCTGTGCTTCAAACGATTCAATACGGTAAGCCACTTCCGATACACTAAATGTTGTTTATACTGACATATATCAGCTTGAGGATCGACTCGAGAGCCATTTCCGGTGGCTGGTAGGTGGTGAGAAGCAAGCAGACGAGGAGCAAGGCTTGGCAAGGTCGGTAAAGATACGAGAACGGACTGCGCAGTATTCGATAAACGGGAAGAAAAGATCGTAAATAAAAATACGTGCGGCCGGGTGTGTATGAGGGACGATTCATGCGGGCAACTATTCTGGGCGAAAAGGCACATCCATCTAGGTAGCATTCAAGGGCTCTCATTGCAGACTTGGACGACTTTCAACACACGGATTCCCAAAACCTGGCTCAGTGCTGACACTTTTTCAAACTTTTGCTCATTTCCTTCTTTTTTCTTCCTTGTTATTTTTAATAAAAAAAAAAAAAAAGAACCAATCACGTAATTAATATCAGGCTCGCAATTTTCTAGTAATTGCCGGTTTGACTGCTTCTTCACTGGGCGTCCTTCCAAATGCTTCGAGCAGCGTCTCTTACGAAAACCAGCTTCTCCCACATGCGTTCCTCTGTCCCCACGTTTCTGCCATAGTGAGCACTCGCGAAGCCGCATTGTGGGCTGATGGCCAGGCTGTCCTCGATGACTTCCTCGACTGATCTCTCTTGGGCAGCAGCGATCACGCTCGCAGCCTCACGCACTCGCTTTTGAATGTCCGCGATATCCTCCATGTCTGGCGTCTTGGTCGAGATCAATCCCAGCGTCACGCCTTTCCCTCTTGGCAGAAATCTCAGAGGTTCAAAAGATCCAGATCGGGCGTCGTCGAATTCGAGGTAAAATGTATCAAAATTGAGCCCACCAAGAAGCTTTTCGGCAATCTTTTCATATGATCCCTCCAAGAATCCCGTATTCACGCCGGGCATATTGCCGCGACACAGGTGAATACCCACAAAGAGATCTGATGGTCGGTCTCTAACAATTTCATTGAGCACCCATACGTAGGTGTCGAGCAGCTCGTCGGGATTGACATTTTCTTGACGAATGCCATCCTTGAAGCTGTCCAGGATAAAATAGGTTAATTGAGGATCATCGATCTGAATATTTCGCAGCCCGGCATCATAAAGAACCTTGATCTCGGCCCGGTATGCAGCTGCAACATCGGCAAAAAAGTCCCGGTCATTCGCATACACATTGGTCGAGTAAGCGGTACCATTGCTGAGCCAGATGTGGTTGAACGTCGGCGAGGGAAGAGCAATCTTGCAATTCTTCCACTCTTGCTCGGGAAGCTCAGCCTTGATCATGTTCCAGGCGTCAAGATATGCCGGACGCGTCCACTCGACCTTGCCCGTGGCAACGGACGCTTCCGTCTGCTTGACGCCGACTCGCAACAAGCCATCAATGACGGGGAGGTTTGGGCGAAAGTCCTCCGGAACTTGAATGGTGCGACTTTCAATGCCTTGCAACTGCTCATAAAAGCCTTTATAAAAGGCTGTGCGCTCATACTCTCCACTGGTGATGGGACGGATTGACAGGTCGAGCTGCTTCTTGACAATGGTTGCAATGGCTTCCTTGATTGTCGTTTGCAATGCAGCTTGATCCTCGGCCCCATATGCTTCCAAGAGATTCTGAGGTCTGATCAGTGATCCGACCTGGTCGGCGCGGAATAGTGGTGCCATGATTGTCGCAAGCAGGAGAGGCAGAACGGAATTGAACGCTCGGCCGGACGGCGGGTTCGCTGATCAGAAACAACGAAATGCAGGTGACGTTATAGTATTTCGGAAAAGGTTCCTTGTGTGCGCTCCAAGTCTACCTCAGTCCTGATGCCGGCGGGGTCACGGACTATTCGCACTTTCATGGAAGATTGGCGCTCGGCTCGGCGCATCGGCGCAGCTCGGCCATTTGAGAAATTCCGGGATCAGCAAGCTCCGGCCGTTCGGTCCTTGGCATGCTGCGGATTCCCTTTTTCATGGGCGAGAACCGGGGCCAGGCAAGGTGATTTCAAGTTTGATCATAAATATGTAGATCATTGTGAAATCAAACCCCCTCGTAAGGAGCAGAGTGACATGATCGATACCTACCAATGTAGACTTGATGGCTTGTCTCTCACGACAGCAAAGATGATGACTTATTTTGCATCAGGGCATTCGCTTGACTGTCCCCACGTGTGGCTTTCCAAGCAGATTTATATTTCAATGGACATTGGTTTGATTTAAGACTAATATACAAAAACAATGTTCGATTTGACGTGCTTGAAGTGGTGAGATATTGGTTGCATGTTTAGTGCATGTTGCCGGTCCCTTTCGCTGATGGTTTGGCGCATTCGGTGGGGGAGGTCCAGTATCTGCTCGTACCTGCATTAGTTAGCAGTAGCCTCTAGGTGGCCGCTAGCACATTCCATTCGCGTTGGAGAACCTGTCGCAGTTTGCCCATTCCATCGAGCCATCAAAACTGCTCTCACCAAATCCATGTCTGGGCAACAGCAACTCATCAATGTTCATGGTCTCGACTTTCACCTCAGGATAGGTCGACATGATGATTGTCATTTGAAGAAACTGATACGGCTCGATGGGTCCCCAGTCCGTCTGTACGAAGACCAACTTGAAAGTGTTTGCCGCTCTCTTGTTGAATTTTTGCATTTACGATGGATGCATAGAAGTGTGTAGGGACATACACAGGGAGAGAGCCCTGTATTGATGAAATGCCAGCTGACCCATGATTGAATCTATTGACACGAGGCAAGCACGAGAAACCCCCATCTCAGTCTTGAAGTTGGCAACGACATTCACGTGCTCGTTCTTTCTTGAACAGACAGATTCCCCTGGAGCTGCTTTGGCATGGCTGTTTACCAAGAATTCTCCCAACGGGACCACTTGGCTCCCTGTCTACACTGGCCATGATACCATTGTTTTTCCGACTTGGGCAGTCATCTTTTGTTGTATTCCCAGACTGCCAACATCGCATAAAGGCGACTATATGCTAAATCGCCGTTTCATTTGACAGAAAAGTATTCGATACAACCACAATGAGCTCCAATACGTCCAATCAACTGAATCAGCAGGCAAAGGAACAACAGTTCTCCATGCGACTAGATGACTTGATACAGCACATGGAAGGCTTCAAGCGGCAGCGCGAAGAGTGTCGTAAATGCTATGATACGCTTCTTCGAGACTATCCCGACAGAATCAAGGACGTCAATCAACATTACATGAACTTCGAAAAGACTATCAGAGAGGGTCTCATGGCAACCGTTATGAAGTCATGGGGGATCTCGTTCGAAACACTGCAGAACTTCCTTTTATCAGAACGCGGAGACTTTCCCTTTGCCGCGGGATTCTGGAAATATCTTGATCAAGTGGCCATATTCGAGGTCGTCTCGTTTCAAGATTTCAAAAATCTGCTTTTCAAGGCCCGGCAAAGCAGGCACGCAAGAAACACGACCACAATTGGAGATGCCTATGTGGGTCTTCCTGGCACAAGGGACTTCCTCATATACGATGTCGTTGAAGCAAGCTCCAAACTACCCCTCAGACTACTCCGCAAACTTTTCCCTCGGCTTGATTCCAATTTCCAGGCCAATATCCGAAAAAGAATTCGAGCGGATGGGAACTTTGCACTGGAAGCGGAACTACTCGTGACACAAGACGCATACCAGGGTATCAAAGAAGCTTTTGAGGAAATGATGTCTGGCCTCGACACTGGATCGTACTGTAATGGAGAGAGCACGTGCAATACATACAAAGACATGGCTCAATTATCCCCCATGGGAAAGAAAAGAAGGATAGAATGATTTCGGTCCGAGTTACTGCAAGTTACATTGGACGAGATGTTGACTGCGCTGAGATGAAGCGGTACAATTGTAGTAAACTTGGTGGCAGAAGCAGAGACAGTCACTCTGTTTTCATCTCCATTGGAATATGGCTTCAATGGGTTGATTATTATTGAGTGAATAGGTATATTATCAGTAAGCAAGCCATAGATGTGGTATACTTGCCCCCGTACCATAAATGGCAGCCAAATCACTTTGCTAGACCTAGCAAGCATATCATGACATTCTTCCTCATAATGCTTCGCCAATACACTTTTTCAAATCCCCGTCAACCCTACCAAAATATTCTGACACCATCACAACGAGTCAGTCACGCCAACGGGTGTCACGACGTAGGAAAATCAAATGCACGACTCACCAATGACTTGTTGCTGTAGCTTGGAGGGGATATCCTTCAACGTGGGCACAATGTTGTGAAGAAACTTTTCCTTTCCGTCGGGCTCCTTGCAAATAATGTGCCAAAGCTCTCGCGCCTGGACAAAGTCCTTGTCGGTCACGCTAGTGGCGAACGCAGTGACGTTTCCGGACCACGTCTCGTGCGTCGGCATGCGGACCCGCTTGGAGTACTCCAGGGGCTTGAGCTCGGAAAAGACATAGTCGGGGTCTCCTCCATAGTTGCCATTCATGGTACCGGGGCCGTCTCGCACGTATGGCGCGTACACGTGACTGTGTGGTCGGTTGGGAGGGAGCTGGAAGTAATTGGGGCCGACTCTGTATCTGTGGGCATCCGGATAGCTAAACATTCTGGCCTGGAGGACTGCGTGAGGGTATTCGTGGTTGGTACTGTTGAACATTCACTAGTAATAAAGTGTCACACGTACCTGGATCAGCGGAAGGGCCAATGCCCGGCACCATGTTTGATGGTGAGAAGCATGCTTGCTCAATATCTTGGAAGTAATTGTCGGGCTACAGACCAGTCAGTCACCTGCTTCCGCTGTGGTCAATCCAAGACATACATTCTTGTCCAAGGTCAATCTGCCAATGCGGCGAAGGGGGTACTTTTCATGTGGCCAGGTATATGTATTGTCAAAGATGTCGATGGGTGCCGCTTTTGCCTCTTCAGGAGTCATGACCTGGACGTACACGAGCCACTTGGGATAATCTCCCTTTTCAATGGCATCAAACAAGTCTTTGACGTGGTAATCTGGCTGGGAGCCGGCCAGACGTGTGGCAGTGTCCTGGTCCATGGTCTTGATGCCTCCCTCGGGCTTGAAGTGCCACTTGACGTAGACGTAGCTGCCATCCTAAGTAATATTAGCAGTGCACAAGATCATACACTCATCAGTTTCATCTCACAGATTTGTTCAGTGTATATGTGTGAACACTGAAACCATTAATGTGCCTCAATGATTCTGGAATGCCACGCTGCCCAAAGAGATGCATCAATGCATGGATTCCTTCGGGATTATTGACATGATAGTCCCAAAACATGGTATTGTCGGGAATATTGGTCCTTGGGTGCCGCTTGTGGCTACGATTCATGGAGGGGAACTTGATGGGGTCGCGAATGAAGAAGACGGGCAAATCATTAAAGACAAAGTCCTGGATGCCGTCCTCGGTGTAGAGCTTGGTCGACCAGCCCCGGACATCGCGGACCGTGTCGGCAGAGCCCTTTTCGCCGCCGACGGTCGAGATGCGCATGAGCATTCTCGTCTTTTTCCCAATGCCATTGAGGAACTTGGCGTCGGTCAGATCCGACACATCATCGAGAACCTCGAACTCGCCAAAGGCGCCTGCGGCCTTGGCGTGGACGCTCCTGATTGTGGGGGCTCAATGTCAATGAAAGCGTGTCTTGGTTGAATAAGGGAGGTCATCAAAGACATACCGCTCGGGAATACGCTCGCGTGCGAAATGTGCAAGCACCTCGACCAGTTGAACATCCGCTAGTACAACCAGACCACCATTAGTATCGCCATAGCGAACCTGGCGAACGGAGCCGGGATTATCACTGGGCTGCCCTGGACTTATAGTCAGCTCCCAATGTACTTGCTTGCAAGACTACACGAATCGTACCGTTGGCTAGAGTATACAGAGGCTTATCTGAAGTTGACTGAGCCATGGTCTTTGTTTGTCTTGTCAATTGATCCTAATCATCTCACAAGACAAGACAAAACGAGACGAGTAGAATTATCTCTTATACTGTGCTTGAAGCAAGCTTACCGTCCATTCCGTGATACTCTGAATTAGGATAGACCATGTACTCCCAATGAGGAAATACCATTTGCCCCAATTAGAATGCGTGCAAAGTTGTGATTGACCCTGGTACAGATACTTGCCGAATGACGGCCGAGCTAGACCCGGCTGGGGACAGAACATGGAGAGAAGGCGCTAGATAAAGGCAATCCTGGCCATTGATCAATCGCATCGCGTATATCTCGTACTAGCGTAAACTATAGCATCATTATACGTATGATGGGCTGATCACTGGGGAGTTGCAGCGCAGCTAATCATGAATGACGGGGAGCTCTTTCGACCAACCAAGAATAATCTCATTCTAATTCATATTCATCAACAGGATGGGGAACACTGTAGTCTTGCCTATTGTGCAATGGGCAGTTTCTTGAGGTTTGTAGCAACATGGGCTCTGATCCAATCATGGGAATTTAAGCTTGCGAGGTGCAGCTCAAACGGCCACACTTTTGCTCGTTGAGCTAAAGTTTTGCGTGTAGATGAGCTGCGACAATATCAGAGTTGCTGCATGATGAAAGCTCGATAGCTCATAGACAAGGTCGGGGTCTACAGATACGATGGGCAATTGACTTTTGGTCAAGCAATGAAATCGAGGATCCATCCCATAATGCCTCGCAAGACAGCTTGGGCTTCTCCAGCCGAGAAGCTATGATGCTGCTTTTACATGCAGTCAATCAAATCCCCCCAAACTGACCGTTGTCTGGGTTTCGGCTTTCATAACAACACCTTTGAACCAACGAATAATACGCCCAAGGCCAAGAAAATAGACAGTCTCCATGCCACTTTCCATGTTTTGCACTCCAACCCTCCTTTATCCATGTGACTCGGCCTCTCAGACCACATCGAATACTGTACGGGGTGAACTTCCCGCGATTTCGTTGCGGAAGGCGATCATTGCGACGAGTATATCTAGTAATGCATTGTTTCTTGTCATTGAAAATCACCTAGTATGACCAAAGAAACTGGATGCTTTTTCTATGAGAAGGACACAATGAAATGATCAGAATATCATTAGTTAAGCTCCCGAGAGCCGGCATATTAGTTGATCTAGCGCGAAGCTACATGGTGACGAAAGAAGCATGCAAAACGTCTATAGCGAGAAGTATAATAAAAAAAAAGAGGGCTGTGTGGGGAACAGAAACGGTGGGCACTGGCATTGTCGGGTAGAGCGAATCACTCATAGTTAAGGTCAGAGCTTCTCAATATCTTTTCTCCTCCAAGGTACACTCTTCTGAATAACTTCACAGACAAAGAGTAATGATTATTGCAACCTAGAGAGACCTCTATATCGAGCTCGAGAATACACCATTACGATGCCTCACGTTGAGATAAAGACGTCCAATAGACCTGATGAGTGGAAGATTGAGCAAGGCATGGCCGGCGCCGTGCTGCCGGTTCTTGACATGACCGAGCCCCAGATCAAGCGTGTGCCTCCTCAGCAATTTCCTAGCAAGCTCACCAAGAATGATGCGGCTGTCAAGGCGGTTGGCGATCCCAAGAAACTGTTTGCTCGTGAACGCAAAGGTTGGCGCGGGTATGTCCTTGTTCTGGCACTTCTACCGCGGGTGTAAATGCTCACCATCTCCCTTGGACAGTTACGTAGAGTGGGAAAACTATCCCGAGAAGAAAGAGGCCGCGCACAAGATTCTCAAAGCAGAGACTTTCCCACCCAACCCAGAGTTCCAACTCGGTCCCATCCCGGGTACAAACCCCGTGCTGCCCGGAACCCGTTGGAAGATGTGGCACCATGCCCTTGGCGGGGAGTTGTCCCAGATCCCCGAAGACTCCTGGGAGACTGTCCTCAAGGAGAAGCACCCCGACATGCTCCATCTTCTGCAGTTCCCTTATAATGGCGAACCGCCCAAGAGGCTCGTTACCGACAAGGCCGTCACTCCTAATGATCTTCACTTTGTGCGAAATCACGGCGGCATTCCCCTCATTGACAAGCAAGACTACAGCTTCAAGATTGACGGCCTGGTCAATAGCCCTCGCACCTTTACTCTCGACGACATCATGGACGAGTCAAAGTTCCCGCGCATCGAAAAGACGGTCACGATGCAGTGCTCCGGGACCCGACGCGTGGAGCAAATCTCCAAATACGCCGGCCAAGGCGACGAGGTGCCGCAAGCGCCCTGGGCAGAGGGCGCCATTGGCACGGCGCGCTACGTCGGCATCAGCCTGAAAAAGGTCATCAAGGCGTGCGGCGGGCTCAAGGACGGGGGCAAGCACCTCGAGTTCTACGGCTGCGACACGTACGTCAAGGACGACAAGCTCATGAACTACCTGGTCAGCGTGCCGTGGTCAAAGGTCAAGGCCAACGAGGTGCTGCTGGCGTGGGAGATGAACGGCCAGCCCCTGCCGCACATTCACGGGTTCCCCCTGCGCGTCGTGGTCCTGGGCTACATTGGCGCGCGCAGCGTCAAGTGGCTGTACCGCATCAAGGCCATCGAGGAGCCCAGCCGCGCCCCCGTCCAGAGCCAAGAGTACCTCTACTTTCCGCAGCAGGTCGGCAAGCACAACCTCAAGTGGACCGACGGCATCCAGATCCAGGAGATGCCCGTCAGCTCGGCCATCATGTCGCCCTGGACCAAGCAGGTCGTCATCCACAATGGCAAGATCAAGTGCAAGGGCTGGGCCTACTCGGGCGGCGGCCGCTGGCCCGAGCGCGTCGAGGTCTCGGGCGACGGCGGCTTCGACTGGTACACGGTGCCCCTCGAGAATCTCTCGGCAAAGGGCAAGTGGACGTGGCGGACCTGGGAGATTGATCTGCCCTGCGATGTCGAGGGGTGGGTCGAGATTGTCTGTCGCTGCTGGGATAATTCCTTGAATACGCAGCCTCCCAACGTTCGGACCGCCTGGAACTGGGGACTTCACGTCACGAGTTCGTGCCATCGCATCTCCGTGTACAGCGTCAACAAGTCAAAGCCACTGACCAGGAAGCGACTCGAGGAGTTTGAAAAGGCGGGTATTCCATTCGGTCCAATCACGGTACCCATTCCGTTCCCTTCACAGACTTGGGATGACTATGAAGACTTTTGGAGGAAGAATGACCCTCGAGATGTGGACGAGTAAAGAAAAGTAGACAGACAGATTGTATCTCATGATTGTCCTTTTAAAGATGCGGGGATCCCCCATGACTGATTAGTCTTTGATGTTCTTATAAGCAACATGTCCAGATTGGTACTACTGCTACATATGATCCTTACGATTAATTCCAACATGTATCAAAATGGCTCCTTGATACCAGGCTATGCTGCCAATTACTAGTCTATGTAATGTGAGTACCTATTTCCTATTCGCCCAAACGCCAGATCCTGAACTCCCTGCTATTAAGTGGGTATATAATTGCTGAAATATTGTCTAATAAATGTATCCAAATCTCGAGGGCCGACGGGTTTCACCAAGAACTCGTCTGCACCAGCATTCTGGGAGGCTATCTTGTCATTTACCGAGTCTTGACCCGTCACCATGAAAATGGAGGATTTCTTCATTTCGTGTGTAGTTTCGTAAGAACGGATTGCCGTGGTAGCTTGTATACCATCACAGTGTGGCATTTGGAGGTCCATGAGAACCAGAGTAAATGGTACCTTGGCCTCGGCGGCTTCCCTATATTTCTGACAGGCCCGATTTCCATCCTCGGCTGTGATGTATGGGATTTTTCGTTTGTGGCAATACATTTGAAGGACTCGGAGATTGATGAGATTGTCGTCGACGAGAAGTGCTTTGAGTGGAAGGGTATCAACTGTATTGCTTCCCACCGTGCCCTCCAAGCCTAGTTGTTTCAGTTTCAAGATTTCGGGCACTTCCGGTTCCTGGATTTCATCCGACTTGGGTTGGCTGATAGTTTCTGTGGACTCTACGAGATGCTCAGCCTCGGGTTTGGATGAATCTCTGTACAGTCGATCGGCTTGCTGCAAAATTCGATCAAGTTGTTGAGTGTGGAGCGGACCTGATATTGCAATAATGCCGGGGTGACCGCCTAATTTGTCAACACAGTCATTGGGCCGCATGCTGAGGATAGCGGCTCGAGGATTCTCGTTGAAGAGTTGCGCAATTGTCTGTTTCGACCTTGTATTGGTGACAATCAGTGGAGCGTCTGCCATGCTGCCAAGCTGGAACCCATTTCTGGTCAAATACTCGACTACATGGTCAACGAAATGATTTGCAGCCTTTCCGGCGCGCAAGACAGCGAATCGCCGAGGAATATGGTCCAAGGATAGCGCCGGTGACTTGGAATTTTTATGCAGACATGCAATGTCTGGGTTTTTGAACTCGATGTGGAAATGAGACCCGAATTTGGGTGCAGACGAAACCAATTTGACGTTGCCATTGAGAAGGTGAGCCATGTTTTTGGCCAATGTCAACCCTAGTCCAACTCCTGGTTTGTGGCTATCCACCTTTTCATACGGCTCGAATATGCGGGCGTGGTCTTTGAAGTCTATTCCGACTCCATTGTCCACGATATCGACAAGTAGCCAGGAGAAATCAGTCGTGACCCGGAAGGACGCTGATACGACACCAGAATCATTGCCTTGAACTGACTGGATTGCGTTCAAGATAACAGCTTGTACGCAGTCTTTCAACATCTGCACGTCTGTAGTGATGATACAGTGATCCTCGGGCACCTCGAAGCGAAAATCGATTGAGACACCTCTTAGCTGTTCGCGAGGGAGAAGTGCCAGTATTTCGGGGAGAACATCGTTTTCTATTTGTCGTATATCGTATGGTCCGGGTTGGCACTGTCGAAGCGCGTCGGTCCAAGTGTTGTGCTTCAAAATGTTGTTGACAGTGGTCATCAGCTCTTTGCCAGAATTTCGGATAGTCGTAAGACATGCTGATGGTGAAGTAGTGGTAGTCTTTCCATCATCCTTGTAACCATTCTCGAGGAAGCGCGCAGCAGCTAGCTCTTCAGTAAGGAGCTCAACGGAACCAAGGATTCCATGTATAGGTGTCCGCAGCTGGTGAGTCATGCCACGCAAGAATGTCTCTCTGGCTTCGAGAGCTTGTTGGAGTAACTGACGTTGGAGGGTGTCTGCTATGATTGATGCTGCTTTGGTCACATACCACGCATCAAAATCGTCGAAAACGAAATGGATATCGGTCGACGCCACCACCAGATATTTGTTGGAGCTACCACAGCGTGCGACAATAGCACGTACGGTCTGTCCTGACCGAAGCTCGGCATGATTAGAAGTGTTGATTGTTTGTTCAATGAAGTTTGTATCCTCCCAAAGGCCTTCGTAGACATCGGAAAAGGATAGTGGTGATCGGCCGTCAATGGCTAGTGTTCCGTCGTCTGATGCTTGCAGGGTGACCTGGGCACTCGGATATGCCTGTTTCACTAGCTTTAAGGCATTCTTTTCATAGTCCAGCTCTACTTCTTTCTCCAAGGTCGAGATCAACTCGGCCATTGTTTCTCGATCCTTTTGTCGTCGTGCCCGAGTATGGCTGGCAATAGCCGTGCTAATCAGCTCGGCGAAACGTACAATCAAGTCCCTCTGCGCTTGAGATAGAGGGGGCTGCGGGAAGTCAGAAGCGACACAGAGGGAGCCGAGCGAGACCTCCTCCCCGTCATCTGCAAGGAGTCGCAGTTGCGTCCCAGCGTAACTCTTGAGACCACCGATCTCCACGTGCGGTGACTCCTTGAAGCGCCAGTCCTTGGACATGTCGTTGATCATGAAGACGGAGCTGGGAGCCTGATTGATGGTGTGTGCGCAAGTGGCTTCCCTCCGCGGCAGACGAGCGATTGGTAGATGTGCTGTGGCCAGTCTGGTGTAGGTAGACTCGCTCAACATGCCGGCAATGGCATATTCCCAGCCAATAGCCTGTTGCAAACCATTGACGAGGGCATCAATCTTGGATAACAAGATCTCATCCTGCTCTATGAGTCGAGTGTGATACCAGAGTAGAGTGAGTCTAAGACGCTCATTATGGGCCAAGGAGGGATACAAGTATTTGTTGTCGAAATGAGCGGGCGCCTCTGGCTGAATAGCCTCACCTGTCTCCGAGGGACCAGCATAGACCCGACCATGGAGATGCTCGTCAAAAGAGGAAAGTGGTGTCTGTGAGTTTTCAACGTCAAAGACGGGCCCTCTCTCGACTGGCCTGGCGGGCAGTGTGGCCTTGGTGATCCTGTTGGGCTTTTCGGCTTTGCTGCGCGGAAAATAAGCCATCCTAACCGCCATGATGCTGAGCAAGCTGTTGCCTTTCGGCAGTGTCAGCTTCTACTGATGGTTGCTGGGATCAGTGCGTGAGCCATTGGTCATCAACATTCAAGCTTCTTCAAAACAATGGTAAGTTGTTTGCTTGTTTCCCCCGTATGGTGCCGAGGGCCTCTCTGTGTGTGCGACGACGGGATGGGCAAAACTATTTTTCGTGGAATTTGCTCTGACGCACGCACCGAGATACCGAGGGGACTGCAATGAAGCAAGTCTAGACGGCCACGGGCTGCGCACTGATGAGACCACTTTTGGGGCCCTTGGGTGGTCTTGAGTGGTCTAGACTCGGGCGCATAATAAGCCACGCGACGAACTTGAGCCCTTTTTAGCGATTGGCCAAAGGCGATTGGCCGCCCTGGAGCTAGGCTGGATGACCTTTTAGGCTCAGCTCTGCTACAATCTACCCGCACAGGGCAGTGATCAGCACGAAAAACCGCCCAACGACTCTATAGTTGATAAATCAACAGGGCCTGTAAGTCCGTATAATCAATGGCAACCATGTGCCTGTATGCCCAATGCTCCTGGGAAGCAAACCAATTCGAGCGACATGTCGTAAGATCCAAACCTGCCCTCCTCGTGTCTAAAGTGAGGTAATTAATAGTGACTTTCCAGGTACGCAAGTAGTGGCAGGCAGGTACCCGTCTTGCGCCAATAGACCCGAACGCTTAGCATCGAAAAACTTCAAATACTCTTATTAATAACGGCCAATTCGGCACGGAATAAGCTCCGAGACCGAAGAGAATAAAATGGAAAAAAATCCACCTGGCCACTTTGACCTCTCTATATTCGGCAGTTTGATCATCCGGGACGGCAAACAGCTCAGTCAACCCAGCTTGTCGGTGCCCAAGTGCTTGGGTGATGCTTGTCGTCATTCATTAGTGTGCCGCGTCTGGGTCGGTAATTGTGCTCAAATTCAGTCGAGTCTCAACGGTCGCGTCCGGCGATTTCCGCGCCTCTTCTTAGCTCCAAGACCCTGAACCGATTGTGTACCCAAGAGTTGAATTTTTGGGGGCATTCATCTCAACCAGCTTCGGTAACCTCGAGACGAAATTGACGACACAATACTCATTGACGGCACAGTAGACAAATTGCATATTGTTCAAAAAAGATTATGCTGTGCATGCAGTCTTGGTTCTTACTAATTCGTATTTCTTGCAACCTGACGCTGGATGAGAATGCCATGTGGCCTGCACTGACGCTCGCAACAACTGCCCGACTAACACAATGAATCGGCCACCCTATTGTGTAAACAGCCAAGCCTAGACTAGACTGGTCACAGGATCTCTGCAAACCGTGAAATGGGGAAAGCGCTCCAGCTCCTGCAGGAGGTACAGTCTTCATTGCTTGCTGCAGATCGTGAATTTGGTGGACAATCGGCCGATACAGCCCTTGAGGCCTGGTGTGCAGTCTAAAACCTTCTAGCGCCTATAAGTCGCAGTACAGAAGACGCTTGCGCCTAAGATAGATGCTCGCAGGGGCAGTGAAGACGGGCTGAGCCATACGCAAATAGGCTAGGTCTAACTTGATGGACGATCCCTTCCGCTGCTGTATACTGCTCGCTGCTCGCTGTGTGCACTCACGTCCCCGAATCTACCAAGACACTCCAGGCCATGCTTGCTCTATGAACAGACGACTCCTTAATGCCTCGACAGCTTTGAATGTACATCTTGGACTGCCTGGACAACATCATCGGGCATACTCAAGTGCGGGCAATGACCAGCCTTCAGCGTGGCGACCGCCGGGCCCGGGGCTAGGAGAGCGGCCATTTGCTGTTGCAGAGGCAGAGGCACCGCATTGTCATCGGTACAAAAGATGTAGCCACATGGCAATCCACTTGTCCACGGCTCATAATTGCTCGGGGACATATAGAGGGCAGCGGATTGATGTGTCATTTCCTTTGCCCATTTCGCCTGGGCCTCGGCATCCAGGTCGTTGAAAGCCACTTCTGGGAGCAGCTCTGGTTTGCCAAATACTCGATCGCCCTAAGCATGGAATTCAGCATCTTCTCCAATGTCTATTACCAAGATAGACAAGCGGATGGCCCAATAATGGTACTTACTTGGACATCCATCCAGTGTAATGGCTTGCCGCCCATGAGTTCCATCAGAGCCTTTCCTTTGGGGACCACGAAAGCCGTCATGTAGATGATGCCATCCACGTCAAAACCCTCCGCCGCATTGCTAGCGATTAGGCCGCCAGACGAGTGGCCCAGGAGAACTGCTCTCTTGCCGTCTCGAGTCAGCTGATTAAGTACAGACTGCACGGCGGCGACGTCTTCTGCGAGCCCTGCCAGAGGCAAATCATGACCGCCCACGGAAGGAAGGATGATTTGCTCTGTGGGATAGCCAGCTTCACGAAGCTTTTGGCATAAATTCTCAAAAACGCTGGGTTTTTGCCATGCGCCTGGCACAACAACCATGGTTGGATTTGTCATGTTGCCGAAATGTTAAGAGATATATGTCCCTACTTGCTAAATGTGCCAGCAGGTTGTCTTGACTTTTTCCCAAGATATAAATGTATGGAAATACATGGCACGATCTACGGTAACCCCTCACCAATCTCACGGCCGAGATTTTTCTGCAACGACGGTGTTGCTGTGCCGCGGCACTATTCTGATCGCCGTCACGGCCAGTAACAGATCGCAAATATCTCCATATGGGACCCATCTGTCAGACGCGCGGCCGTTGAACTGCGGAGTTTATCCCGATCTGCCCAAGACTCGCACCACAGCGAGGGGACGAGAACCGGCAATTGGCCCACCTTCTTAGTAACGTTCCGATAGCACGGCATGAGGGGCGATATAAAACGCTTGGTATAATTCTGACCAGTATTGATTGGGATTGGTGTAATCGCATGAGGTGTATTGCCACGGAGTTGTCTCAAATGCCTTGGAAAGGTGGATTGGGTCAAAGTTGAAGACTATTTGTGTCTATGGATGCTTGAAGAAATAGAATGGGATTTGGAAGTGGTTTGCGCCTTGTCAATTCCCATCCCCGATCCGGTAACCTTTCAGTGAATTCGGGAACACATTCCCAAGAGTTGGTTGTGGCATGTCTTGAAGTCAGATTCAATCTCAATGCCGAAGTAAGCTGTCGGGCCTCTGCCAAGAAAAGTTTCATCATGACTAAATCCCAGAGCGGATGAATTGTCGCACATCCAATGCCGAACAGGAACTCCCCCCACGGGGTTCTTACTCTATTAGCATATCAAGCTGTTCCAGTCATATCGCAATCAGGGTTTTGCCCCTGGGCGGATGATATTTAGCCACCACGTGGCTGTCTGTCAGATCTGAAGCCAAATCCGCCATCATCTATCTCGACATCTATATTACAAGGCCCAATATGACTAGTGCACCTTGTCGTTCAGATCTTGGAATTCGTGACAGATGATAATCCTTGATTGGGCCTTCTCGGAGCCCTCTGAGAAAGGAGAAGGGGGCATTCACTAAATCAACCACGATGCATTCAAGAACAGATGAGGGGTGCATGATAGGCGACTTTGAGGATTGCCAGAGTTTGCCGTCTTCCGGCAATTTGGCTTTGTTTTCGCCGAGATGGCTTTGATTTGATACATGGGGTTCAGAACAAGGCCAAATTGAATACCACGAAACGATGCGATCGTGTAGACAGAAGTGCAAAGGGTAAAAGCTCCGGGTCCATCGCCTTACCTGAGGTGAAACTGGTTTCTCGCTTCTTTCCTTTTGCCTTGTAAACTGTTTATCCATCGGTGTCAGAATACTCTCGCAAATTGCCATCCGTCACGCGGATTCATATCCGAGATCCTCAGAGGGAATCCGGATCTACATAAAAGAATGTCCAACGACAATCGAGGTCCAGAGTTATTGGCACTGATATGGTCCTTCACGGCCATCTCTATCGCTACTGTGATTTTGAAATTATTCACTCGCCGGAGGTTTCTCCAAGGGCTGGGCTGGGATGATTTCTTCATCTTTATTTCGCTCGTGAGTAGCCGGCTGCTAACCCCCTTTTCATACGCCCCATTGACCAAATCAAACAGATACTTGTGGTCACCTGCACCGCCATCTTCACTTACGATGTCCGCTTGGGTATGGGCAGACATTCTGCCGAATTGGGCATGCAAAGAACAGGAGAGGTGGTGAGAATCAATTTGATTGGTAACAATTTCGCTTCACTACTACGTATCAGGTCACTTGGGGGCATTGCTGACGCCTTGCTCAGCCAATCCGTTCGGCATAATGGCCTACAGCCTTCCGAATATATCAGTTGCGATCCTACTGGAACGCCTTCTGGCACCCAACAAATTGCGAACTCGTCTTTTGTATCTACTTGCGAGTGCCCAAGTCGTCATCGCTGGTATTTCCTGCATCCTCTTGTTCGTCCAGTGTATCCCAACGGAACATTTATGGAATCCTATGGTTCCAGCCAAATGCTTTCCGGTCGGAACGGTCTCTAGATACTCATACTTTGTCGGTTGTATGTTGTTGACAGAACTGCTTGGCCCTGAACTCGTGATCAATCACTCACCTATGATGCTAGCTTTCACGGCCTTTACTGACGCCGTCCTGGGGATTGTACCCATCGCCGCATTCTGGAGGCTGAAGCTTCCTACAAGATCGAAAGTCGGCCTCTGCGTTCTCATGGGCTGCACACTTTTTGCAGCTGTCTGCTCCATCATCAAGACTACCAAGCTGTCCACGCTGAGTGATTACTCCGACTTCACCTACAACTCGACTAGCCTCATCATCTGGGCAGTGTAAGCTTGTGACCCCAACTTGGGCGCCAATCTCAGTGCTCCCTTCCAGTTTAATCGCTAACAGAGAATCAACCACAATAGGGTCGAGGCCAATGTGATCATTATAGCCGCTTGCTTGCCGACCCTCCGGCCATTTTTCCACAATGCGTTCAACAAGGAGAAAGACACTACCAAGGAAGGCAGTGGATTCATTCGTTCCATCTTCCATGGCTCTGCTGGTGGCGCAGGGTCTAGAAGATCGGCCGCAACACCACAGCGCGCTTCTCTACCCCCAGCTCCTGTACAGCCGGCCGCACAAGCAGTCCCAGCAACTACCCAACCCACACGACAAGGTTCGGTTGATTCGCAGCTCGAGATCTGGAGGACAACCGATATCCAGCAGGACAACACACCTGCACATCATGAGACACATGGCGATGCAGTTTGAAACGGCGACGCTAGTCGTACATGTCGTTGTCATGACTTATACTGAAAGTATAAAAATTACCATCCTGGATGACAATGATAATTGAGACGTGCGCTAATCCTATACGCCCGTAATGGAAACTTGCACTGACATTGGCGTAAAGATTCTAGATCATGGAAAGACGAATCCAAATGATCCATTCTCAGTCGTGTTTTATGCCGCTGATCATTTATACGGCCGGATGAGCATGCGCCTGGCGTGCTCTTTGGCGCGCTTGCTCACCCGTGCCGCCTCGAAATGTCTCACCAAACGCCCACCTGGCAGTTCAACATAAGGCTCGAGACTTTGTCTAGTTCCCGCTTTTGACTTTGGAGGTTATTTCCATGTGCCATGTTGGCAATGGGCGGGGGGGCATGCGCGGCAATCATGCTTCATCATTGGCACGGGGTCTCAGCCGTCTTGGTCATGGCCACAACCTTGATATCAGTCGCTTCCATCCCAGCGATCGGTAGTTGTCAGTGTATCTTTAATCTTTCTCATAACATGAGGTGCTTGGCTGAGATCTTCCCCCAAAGCAACCTGCAGCTAGATCTAAGACAGCACGTTGATACGGGACCGGGCCTAGCGCAAGAAGAGCAAGCATGAATTCATCTAGACTAGATGATTCAACGTCACAGGATAGCACTACTAGCGTTGTTCACATTATCCACGGTCATTGGTTCGAGGCAGTGACAAGTCAACTATTTGTCCAATGATCAACAGCCCCCAACAGCCCTCGCAAAGACCTCGCCGAATCTAGCACGGACACGAAGCATTCCGTGCGTCTAAAACTAGCGCCTCTTCTTAAACAAAGGGTGCATCTATTTGGTATTGCATAGGGCTGTGCCGTCGGCACCACGAATATGAGGTATCAAGTTCTTTGTCACCTCGTAGAATTAATCGCACAATCAATCGGTCAGTCACAGATGAACCACTTGTTCCGCTTCACCAAGAGTAGATAGGTACAACGAGTCATGGTCGAGTTATTCGCCTCCAGCCAGATAGAAGGATATTTGTAAATTTTACGACGTCTGGCCTGCCCTAGCAGAAATGTTCTTGCTTTTCTATGCCATGAAGAAGCTGTGCCGCCCCCAAGAGACCCCTCACCACCCAACGTCCAGCCACCCCTGGAGCCGGCAGGTAGCTGAGCAAGGGGTCCAACGTTCAGTCGGTGGCTGCCCCTCAACGGTATAGACTATTCACCTCTTGGGGAATTATGTAAGAAGCTGCTGCTACCAGGCCACAATAGAACCTAGAAGTGACCAAGAAGCTAAGCAGAAATGTGGCTTTGGTTGGCCGCCCAGTAGCATGACGCTCTCTTCTCGTCGCCCTATACCCCGCAGGTCTCCCAACACTCAAGACGGCATATCGAGAAGAGTGTATCTTGCATGACTAGCTGAGATCTCGTGCAACAAGTTTCGATAGTTTACAGAAGTGAGAACCGTAAGTCTGACTAGTACAGCGGCGTATTTGCCATGCCTGGTTGAGGTTGGAGATTGCAAGCCGTTGCCTACTTCTGAGATGGTGCGGTCGACCGAACCTAACGGATAGCTCTGGTTGTTCACCTTGCAACCTGATATCTAGGACCCTGAATATAATCATGAAAGATAAGCTGACATGGTTCGCGTGAGACAAATGGGCCTAGAGGAAATCGCAGTCATGGCGACTCCGATAGAGCTTCTCATGCGAGGCTCTCATGACTGGATTAGAGCAGTGGCCAGACTCTTGAAGTTACCAAAGGGGTCCTGTATCCTTTGACTATATAATTCAATGGATCTCGAACATAGACTTTCCTTTCATAGCCATCTTGAACATCAACCCTCATCACTATTTGCCAAAGACTTCTGCATCGAAACTACCTACACTTCATCACCATCAAGATGCCATTGATTCGTTACGATGTGGGGACATTTTTCCAAATACCCAGTGTCGCGGCAGTATTATACTTTGCTGTGGCAGGATTGGCCCTCTATGCCATTGGCAAGGGGATCTATAATAAATTCTTCCACCCCCTGGCAAAGTTCCCTGGGCCGTTCCTGGGTGGCTTCACAGAGTGGTACCTGGTTTACGTCATATGTTCGGTCCCAACGTTTGGTCTCGAGCTTCACAAGAAATATGGTAACACCTTTGGATTCGCCCTTCTTTGCATGGACCTTATCCGCTAACAGAAACGACTGCAGGTCCAATCGTAAGGCTGGCGCCAAACATGCTATCATTCAGCGACGCCACAATGCTGCCTCAGGTATATCACTCTGGCGCCGACAAGCCCACGTTTTACGGGTCGTGGATGTTTGGCCAAACGGCCTCCATGTTTCAGTCTCTCCCACACCGCGATCACTACGCCAAAAAGCGGCTTGTCGCGGGATGTGTAAGTTGTCTTACCTTCCAAGTGGTACAATGGAAGCAGGCTAAACTCATCCCTCTAGTGTTCCATGAGCTCCATGAAAATGTACCACGAACACAAGATTACCGAGCGCGTAGATGAATTGTGTCATGTCATTCGACAGCGTGCTTCGGTCCCTGGGCGCCCATTGGATTTCTCCGAATATCTCCGGTAAGTCACCTCAACTCTTCAACACCAGACCGGCATTTTGCTAACGTTCTTCAAGTTACTTTCTCAGTGACACCTGGAGTCATCTCGTCTACGGTAGACCCAAGGGTTTCGTAGCCCAAGGCGGCGATGTACAGGGCCTCTTGTCGTCGCTGCAGGGCATCTACGGCATGTCTGCCAGTGCCGCAGTGTCTCCATGGTTGATGCCTTTGCTCCGCAACCCCTTCCTGCGGAAATACTTTTGGTCCTGGACTCGGACATTCAAGAACATGGACAACTTGTTCTCGGTAAGCACCTTACAGCTGGTACTCTGTCGTAAGCGCAAGTTACTGATGTGGCACAGAACTTTGACCGCATGATTGATCTCCGCAGAACAGATGAAAAGCTCAAGGGCGAGCGCCTTTTCTTTGACGGGTAGGACTTTGGCCACTTCCCTAATTTCACAAGGTGCAATGCTAACATGGAAACCCAGTGTCGATCCTGCCAACAACCCGCCCAATGAGTACCAGTACACGCGCGAGGATTTGAAGGCCGAGGTCATTACCTTTACCGCCGCAACCCTCGACGGCGTCTCGGCCTTTGTCTCGCCGTTTGTCGACAACCTCATCACGCACCCCGAGGCCTATGCGCGCGTCGTGGCCGAGATCCAAGCCGCCGACGCGGCGGGTCTGCTGTCGCACCCCGTCGTCTCGTACGAAGAGACGGTCAACCACTTGCCCTTTTTCATGGCCTGCATCAAGGAGACGCTTCGCCGCGACGCGCCCGCGCAGACCATTCTGCCGCGCATCGTGAGCGAGCCTGGTTACGAGCTTCCCGACGGCCAAGGCGGCAGCGTCTACGTGCCTGGGGGGACGCAAATGGGCGCCTCACCGTATATTGTGCACCGCGACGAGTCCGTCTTTGGTGCCGACGCCGACGTCTGGCGGCCGGAGCGCTGGATCCAAGCCGAGTCGGGTCTGGAACCGCGCGAGCACGAGCGCTACGTCCGCCGCATGGAGAAATACGGCATGTGGTGGGGGTACGGTGCCAGGGAATGTGCTGGCAAGTATTATGCTTACATGGAGATGCAAAAGCTGGTTGTAGAAATGCTGAGGAGGTTCGATGTCGAGTCTGCTGTTCCAGAAAAGAGGTTCACACATGCCAGGTGGGCAGTGGGCATGTTTTGGAACCAGATGCTCACCTTTCGCGAGCGGCAATGATGTTCAAACTGTTTTCAAGGTTGAGAAATTGTTTATTTTGTTACATGACGGAGCGTTGTATAATTGCTGGGAGTTTTCTCCTTGATTTAGACTAGACAGTTGGTATACTGAACTCAAATAAACTTTCGTATATACTATTCCTCTATCTCAGCGGCCCAACGATTCTGAGAGACATTATTATTAACCTTAGACATACTGGATAAAAAAAAAGTCCACGCAGAAAATATCATACTATCTTCATTCTGCAATAATCGTATTATTATCATCATTTCGTTCCCTCAAAATATTCCCTTTTCAACTAAAAAAAAAAGGATATCCTTTTTTTGAAGAATTTATTATAAACAGAAAGACAAGAATTAATGTTTAGAAACTTATGCAGACTTTTACTTGATTGGTGTATATTCAATAAAGCATTTGCAGCACTTCTCGAGTATGTCATCATAGCATCGCGGGATGTCTTTGTGCGAAAACATCATGTATCTTTTGCAATCTGCAAATGCACTACATATGAATTTGAGAGGTTTCCTTTTCCAACTGCCTTTATATGGGTTCAGTAAGATAGCTCTACTTGCCCTTGAATCGCAATACAACTCATTCATGACAACCATTCGAGTCTTTCCCCTTGAAGTCTTTTAGTGTATTCTGGTAATTGATGCGGTATTGTTCCACTGTCCCGAATTTGTATCAATTGCAGCACTGTCCTCTGTATAGATTATATGAGGAAGCCGTCCTGACGGACCCGTCAATTCCTAGTTGCAATTAGGCCTTTCCAGACTCTATACGTCAGATGTCGCCACTCTGTTCTGGACAACGAAAATCCGTAGCCTCGGGTAAACGCGGGTGGGTCAAGCTGCACGTCAAGGTCGGGTCTTTTTTTTCGCCCTTGCACACAGCAAGAAAAACCCGCTTCTTTTCTGCCCTACCGGCGGCTCCCCAGATTTTGATCTTCTCCTAGCAATGCAAGCTTATCGTGAGATCAGTCCTCTGTACCCACCCGGATGGTTCAACCGAAGGCGATTCTCTCGGCGCTTCTAGTGGGTGACCCCGTCGAGTAGAGATTCTAGAATATGGTTCCACGTCTGCTATAAACATGTATGGCTGCTTAGGACGTGCTCCTATAATGGTCGTAACCTTGGCTGAAATGTTCATATATGAATGCCTTGTAGTAGTCAATCAGCTCCCCAAAAAGTCCATCCAGTATGGAAATTGGGGCAAAAGCTCTGATACAGTACAGGATTAGGAGCATGTCAAAAGCCCAGGTTCGGATCAACTATTGATTCAAGTGAAGTTCTAATCAAAGTATCGAATGGAGGGATTGGGACTTGATTGCATTCGACAACTGCAAAGCTCCATAGCAAAAGTTCCCTTCGTATTCATATTCTACTTATAGGTGGCTTGACGATGGAAGCAGTTCGTGTTACTACAACCTGGGGTCAGTAATATGCGAAGAATCACTGGGCAATTTGAGAAGCTAGATTGTTCACCAATCCAAATTACATGTTCAAAATGGTTCGCGGTTATTGAGTTTGGCGATAAGGAATAAAGCAGGCCATTGTTGATGGAATAAAAAGCTAGTGTTGCTCTGTGCATGCTACCAGCCAGACGTATCTGATTGAGCATAGCGGCGGGTAAATAGAAGCATTCGAGATTGAGGAAGGCCACGTTTGTTGCAAATGCCGAGTCCAGCTCGAGCTGTTTCTTGACAAGTCTGGTTGAGCATCGTGGTGACCGGGTCCAGGAGTCTGGCTTGAGCGCTGGCTCCACGCCCCATTGTGATTAGTTCGTGAGAATATCTTCTTCGACGGACTCTGCGACCGCGGCGGCACAGGACGGGATTACTACTTTAGTCCCTTGGCAAGGATAGTTTTGGGCATACATAGTAGGGGTGCCCGGGGCTGGGCAGGGTGATGATTAAATTAATAATGCATATATACCTCCGCGTGCCCTGGTAACCCCTAGTCATATCACCCCAGATGTGAATATGACTAGGGACAAAGTATCGTGAGATCTCCTCTTCTCCCTGATGGGCGGTGTAGGCTAATGCGCAGCTAGCCTTGGACCATGGCGGCGCTGAATAGTTTGCTTCTGGAGGTAGATCCAATTTGCCATGTCGCTTGAGCAGCCTATTACGAGGGAATATCAAACTTTTTCCATGGTACCGTATCGTGAAGTGAGATTCTGGTAAAAGACGAGGTTGCTTGTCAGCCCAATATTATGTTACATACAAGGTTGCATGTGCCGCGTTTTTTTTTCTCCTGCACATGACCAGAAATAATTTCCGGGGCGCGTGGTGTTGAATGGTTCTTTTTGTGTAAGGCTCTTCACCGAACAAGCCTAAGCGGCAATCAACGAAATGCCAATGTTACAAGATTAATGGTTGTACGTATTGTAGAAGCGAAAGCCGGAATAGTCTTGTCTTTCGGGAAGCTCGGCGCTGCCCCGACTGAACCCACGACTCAGCAGGAGTAGAGATTGCGATAATGACAGGTTCGACTGAGTCGTCTGCGCTGTTTCTTTTTTTTTTTTTTTTTTTTTTTTTGCCGACTCTTGAAGCAACACTCCGAACTTGGTTAGACGGATGGGCTGTGATGTGTGCGTATGTTGCTTTCATGCATCCAGCCCGAGTCAGGGTCAGATGCGAGGTGTCAAAATGTGAATAGGGAAATCCGAGCGAGTGGCGGGTTGTGCCTTGGATCTCGACCTACATCTTTGCTTCGCCGTGCAGGCAGATCGGTTCGGGAATATGACTCCATGGAAGCAAGATCTTCAAGATTTACAGGATTCGCTCACCGGGTTGCCGGGAGCAAACGCGAATGTTTCTTGATGGCAAAAATGCTGCAGTCTTTCTTATCAATTGTGGATTGAGTCTTGTTTCATAGGCAGGTGTCTTTTGGTGCATCTGAGCTGGAATCTGCAGGTTGTACAGCCGTTTCTGCGTTGGGATACTGACTTGCAGGAAGGATGTAGCCAAGGGCAGCGCGACTGCATTAGTGTGGGTGCGTGTGTGGTCGAACAAACCTTGGAACTGTCGACTGTGCAGTGGGCACATTTGTTGCATCGGGCAGCCCCATAGGTAGCCGTAGGGCCCCTAGCGGGCTGGCGGGCTGGCGGGCACTGTGGGCTCGAATACTGGGGACACCTTGGGGCCCGGGGTTGGCGCTGGGGGTGGGTATCTACATTAGCTGTAGTGCACTAAGGTCACCCATTGCGACGACCGAAACCACGTAGGTTAGCACGTAAGGTAACTCCAAGCAACCAAGGCTTGAAATTCCAGCAATTTCAAGAACCATGATCTCAACCTCCCTTGTTCGCCTGCTTGCCAGAAAACTGGAATATTCTGCTGCTTCCCCTGTCGGCTTGCCACCAGATCCACCATCAGACAGATCGCATCACTCTGACACAACCAATGCCCCGGCTCACCGCTCTCTCTCGCTCTTTCTGTCTGTCTCTCTTGGCCGGACACAGGCATAATCAGCACCTCAAGGACGTTTACTGACCCCGAACCATCCAAAAGTCCCGTGTCACAGACAAGTAATGAATGGAGATGGTCAAGAGTAAGCTTCTTGGCTGTAACAAGCCCGCCAAATTCCACATATACGCTTAGCCAACACTGTATACACCGAGAGCGCAGAAGCACACCTGAGCTGTCAGGTCAGACCTTGGATAGGTATCAAATCTTTCGAAGCAATGTAACCAGTGGCACGTCGCCCCTGACTGGACTGGCTGGATGGAGCCGCAATGCAGCCACTTCAGGATCGCTTCAAGCATGTACTCTGTATGTGGTTGGAAGACGGATAACAAACACCAGCGACATGACCTCGTGGTAAGTGGCCAATAGCCGACTGGACGGGAAGGTGGCAGGTTTTTCTTTTATTTTTTCCTGTCAGTCTCCCAATTGGCAATTTGAAACTTTCTGGTATCCGACTTAGATTAGAACTTCATTTATTCTCGAAGCTCTCTGGGGTGGGCTACAATCCTTTTGGGGGGTGGACCCCCACTCTCGCGTAATGTCAATGGAAGCCAGCTTGGAATCTTCTTTCCTCTCCCAATGCTCATAACAGTAGTGCGTCCACGGACACGCCATGGGCGAGGGCTCGACATAAGGCAGCAAAAGCTGCCCCCCTCTGAGCCCCCCACCCCACCAAAGCCAAGTGCTGGACCCTAGCTCCTTGTCTTCCGGCACCGGGTTCGAGCCGGGAGCGCTATGGGAGCGCTATCCTCTGCGCTATAATGTTTTGACTCTGCGCGGACAATGAATGATTGGCATCTCATTACTTTGCCCATTTTCACGGTGCTTAAGCACTCAACCACCTTTGTTTTCATGCCGTGAGGAACCCTTGTAAATGGGCCGGCCGCGCTCGTGCTGCCCTAGCTCCTCTTGGCAGTTTCCACAGCCTGCAGATCGTCCTGGACTGACCTGGACTGCCATAGAAGCTCTGCGAGTCTGGGGGGCCTCTCATCAGCGCAGTTCCATGCTACGGAGGTACGGGTACAACCTTGGAATGGGGTGAGCCAAGGGTCGTCCTGACAGGGGTAGCTTTCAACAGATTCCCATAGCTCTCCGCCGTCTCCGCCACTCGCAAAGACCGGTTCTACTCATTGTCGATACGAGGACACAACCATCTTTTCCGTAACACGTCTCATACAACCGACATACAGTATCATCTACGGATATGCCTGCCATGGAGCTATGTCTAGATGCTGCAAGACCCGTGTCAGCGTCTGGCGACGGGCTGCAAGACGGCCGCCTCACCAACGCATGGCAATCGCCGAAGACGGCACCAGTATCCTGAGGCGTGCAAAAAAGTATTTCGTATCTTACTCTAGATGCCACCACAAGGTCATGTACAAGTAGAAAAGGAGCTCAAGAAGCTGGTCTGGGTAGGAAAGTTCCTGACCTCTTTCTCTTCTGATCTGACATTGCTCATCTATTGGTAATTTCCTGTTCCATCGTCAGGCTTCGCTCTTTCCAAGAGAACAGTAACAGCACCAGATCCTTCAAGGTCCCCAACACAAGCATACTTGCGCACATCATCTGAGGTTTTCTTTTATTAGAGAGGCCCGACTTTTAGTACTTTGCTTCACACTCCCTGGTCAAGTCCCCTCCTCCTATAACCGACCTACGAACACACAACCATCCAGCCGCTACTCACTCTCCTGTCCCCCACAAAACGGACAGACGACCTTGCCGCGACCATTTGGCGCGAATCATTACGGATACTTTTCCTTCTTCGAGCAACTGTTTAGGCACTGTGACGGACAACACCCGTACACGCCATAATCAAACTCGTTGCCCTGTGACACCTTGCAGCTCTAGGATTTCACCGCTCGCTCACCCCGGTGTGGGTAATACCTATATATTCTTAACAGGCCCCCTTGAAGCCATCTGACGTGCTCTCGTCTTCTCCTTTCTTCATCGTTCGACCCTCATTTGCACTTGCAGTACATTCGGATAGACCAAGGCATAAAGGTGTGTACTTTGCTTTAAGCGATACCTGAAATTCCTTCTACCATCTGGAATTGTCTCCCGGATCTCGCTACAATTACACCTGCTTAATCGCAAAACCGAGTTATACTGACAAACCTTCATCAGTTACACAGAATACCCCAATTCTCCAATCAGACTCATTCGCCAATCGAGCCACTGGCGTTCTGAGCCCTGCAACATACTATACTCGACCACCCTATAATTATCAATTATTATTTTTCGAAACTCCCACATCAAGATGTCTTCCAGAACCGCATTCCGTCTCACCAGGGCCGCCAGGCCTCTATTCTCCGTCCCTCGCACATCTGCTCCTCGGGCCATCCCCGCCGCAACTCGTGCTTTTCAAAAGTCGGCCATTCGCATGAAGAGCGATGTCGTGCAAGAGACCGAGATTCCCGTCAGCGTCTACTCTACTGATGCCAAGGGCACTGGACAGAGCTCCAGTGACCACTTCTCAATTCCCGTCTCGAGAGAGAACGCCAAGCCCACACCCGTGCCTACGGAAGGCGAGAACGTCACGCCCTTGACACAGCAAGTCTATGATACACTCCCCCCTACAATGCAAAAGATGTCCATCATGGACAAGGTGGTCATTGTTACAGGTGGTGCTCGTGGTCTTGGTAACTACATGGCTCGCGCCTGTGCCGAGGCTGGTGCCAAAGCCCTGGTTATCTTTGATGCAAACCAAGAGTTGGGTGATGAATCCGCTGCCGAGTTGCACCAGAAGACTGGTCTCCCCGTGACCTTCTTCAAGGTGGATGTTCGTGACGGAGCCGCCATCAATGCTGCTGTTGACTCGGTGGTTTCGCTGTACGGAGCCCCTGATGTTCTTATCAACTCTGCTGGTATCGCCGACTCCAACATCAAGGCGGAAACTTATGATCCCGCCATGTTCCGACGCTTGATTGATATCAACCTGACTGGATCCTTCCTCATGTCGCAGGCTGTCGGTCGTGCCATGATGGCCGCCGGCAAGCCGGGATCAATTGTCCTGGTTGCATCCATGTCCGGTAGCATTGTCAACTACCCGCAGGAGCAGTCTTGCTACAACGCATCCAAGGCAGGCGTCATTCAGTTTGGCAAGTCTCTGGCTGCCGAATGGGCCAAGTACAACATTCGTGTCAACTGCATCTCCCCGGGCTACATGGATACTGCTCTTAACCGCGTTCCTGCTCTTGATGCTCAAAAGAAGATCTGGAAGAGCCTTACTCCCCAGGATCGTCTCGGCAACGTCGACGACCTCAACGGACTTGCTGTTTTCCTGGCATCCGATGCATCTTCCTTCATGACTGGAAGCAATGTCATCATTGACGGAGGCTACACCCTGTACTAAGTGGAGAAGTCGTGGCCGCGGACAGCACTACATACCCGATGTTATGATTTTTGCATATTTTCTTTTTGTACTGAGGCCGTTGTTAAACGGGCTGTGGGTTTTGGATTTGTCTTTCTGGGTACAGTACTCGGGATTGGGACGGGACCATTGACACCGGCATTGTCTTTTCTCTCTGCTTTTGGTCGTCTACAGAAAAGTTTGGGATCTTTATGCGGAGCGTTTTCTTACGTGTTGTTGATATAGCTGTTGCAATAGCATGGAGGGAGTGATGGGCATGTTGTGATACCATCATAGAGTAGAGCTTAGAGGGCAGAAAGCCAGAGAGCTATAGAAGCGGAGAAGAGATCAATCAAGATGAAAAGAAGAGTTTTGATCATGCTATTATATCATATCATATCAGGGCCATATCATGTATCAAATGTGGATTCGTTCATGTCTTGCTTGACGAATCTGGTAAAACATTATTCCATCTATCATGATGACTTGATAGACTTACGCTAATGACAGAGGTTAGCTGGCTATCTCTGCCATACTATCATGGATTGGGGGAAGAAATATTCATGACATAACAATTATGTCCAATCAGAGTTGCTATATAGAAGCGGATAATTCATGATATACTCAGATTCGGTTTGGTAGAGTTGGAAAGGGACGGCTAAGCACATGCTGTTGAAGTCGAACGAGGGCATCGTGGGCGAATGGAGGGAAGGCAAGAGGCTCGTCCTCCCTTTAGAAGCCTGGATATGTAAGAATGACTTATCGTTGGCGTTGGCCGCGTTGATGGCCGGTATTCAATTGCTGGGTCTGTATATCTTGGGTTTAAAATTAACATGTGGTATGTGCTGGCCATGACTCATGGGTTACGTGATTGTGAGACATATTCCGGTGGTGGGCGTAGAAGGTTACGGTCAGTAGCTTGTATCAGACCCATTGCTGAGACCTCGTTACCAAAATTGCGAGGATCCAGGGTGCTTCCCTATCATTTCATCACTCCGACAAGAGGACATTGAGGTGATTCGAGGCCTCCCTCGTCACTGCTGTGTTTTATACAGGCCTTTGGAGACTTTAGGCCATCAAACGTCTTTGACACCTGGCACTGACGGTATTCGCTGTCTATCAGCAGTCATGCTGCAGCAAAGAGGGGAAGCGCCTAGGTATCGTCTGACGACCAGGTCACACGGAATTGTTAAAGGCATGGAGTGACCTTGCCCTTGGGAGAGAGTATTCCTAGATGTATCGGCTTGAGGCATTGAAGGATGCTTTGTACAATGCACTTCATATAGAGCTGGCGAGTGTGCAGCTATAGCACCGCGGTAAGCACTGGGAAAACCTTCATGGCTAAGATGACCTATCAATATGTTAGACAGATCGTCTTCAACTCTTTAGATCACCATTGCAAGATGAACTTACACGAGTTTTGAGCTCATCACCAAGGCATTCTTGTGATTCTGGGCGGCTCAGGCGTGAATTTGGGTTGAACAAGATAACGTAACCGCAATTATTTTTGGCTGTTTACAGACAGGTATGTGTTGCTCAAGGTTCATGGTCAGCGAACAATAACAAGTTCTTGAGCTGCGTGTTGACTCGGCTACATTGCATAATGGCAAGTGCTGGGCTCAAATGGGTTCCGCTTCCGTGGTTGCCGACAATGTTTCGATGGCATTGCAGCCTTCTGATGCTTGAAATCTGGCTTAACGAGATGTTGAGTCAGAGACTGCGGGATTTCGATACTTTCGAGTCTCTCAGTCGTTGTTCATTGGGGAGCAAAGGTACGATCCAACGTCTTATCCGCTTTTCCGAAAAAGCTATACAGGAAAGAGTTGCCAGGCATGAGCAACCGACCTGACGTGATCGTGAAAAGAAATTCAAGGCTTCGCCAAGAGCCCACTCATGGTCGCCAAGAATATACAGCCAAGTATTTGAGGTTTGATTTTGTAAAAGACATGACTACACGGGTTATGGCGATAGCGTAATGTCCCTTTGACAGGCCTTTGCAAAAGTCTAGGTTCGCATTCTTGGCCATGCATCAAACTTGCCATCACTTATATCCAGGTCCCGTGACGCATGACCTGATATGTCGATGGTTTGTCGTTATCGGCAAGAATGTTCGAGATTGCTTGTCGTTGCCGCTTATGCAACATTGATGCACGTAAAGCTTGTGTATTCAGGGACCCGGCATGACAAGATCCTCCAGCATGGACAATATGTTGGCCAAACAAGCCGGCGACTGATGGATAAGCGGGCCTCGCCGACCCTGACAATTTTGATTCGGTTTGTGCCATGGCACCATCGGAATTCTGCCATTGGTGCAACAAATATCTCTGCAGCAAATTGCGTCCGCGGGCGGTTTTCGTTGCTGCCGCATAGACGGTAGAGCCGTGGTGAATAGCCCAAAGGTAGATGCGCCTGTATTCTGGAAGAGGCAAACCAGAGGCCGCTTGGCACCTTGGCATCTTGGCGGATGACGAGTCTTTTAAGAGCGGACATGGAGAGGTCACATGCCGTCTTCAATGGCACAAAAGACGACGCCCATGAAAACGCCGCATCGGTTGCCAGATTGAACAGCTATTTTCAGGCACGTAATGCAACATGAAGAGAGCAACTCCCCCACAACGTTCATACTTGGGAGGTGAGGCGCGAGCGGTAACTGAAGCCGGATATCCATTGTGGGTGTTGTTGCCGTGGAGTGTTCACGAGGCGATGGTCCCCCGACTAAGTGGTGGGCGGTATCCGGAGGCTCCAGCAGAATGGTTCCCAATGGTGTGTTGCTCAAGTTGGTGCAGCTTCTGTTTACATCGATTGTTCTACCTGAACTATTCCGATGCCTCTGCAGAAGTTCTATTTGCAGGACTAGAGGTCGGCGAGATGCTGCATGGTGGAGAGGTGCCTGATAAGACGCGTTCGTGATGCTCTGATTGGACAATGTTGCCAAATCATGACCCCAAAGATACAATTGCCCATCTGCGTTTCTCCAATCGTTGAGAGTCATCCGCTCGCCGCAACGATGCAATTCCACGACGCAATGTCACCCCAGTACATCTGGAAGTGAGCCAAGCGGTTGCAAAAGGTCGCCTCTCGTCTGATTGTGAACTCGCTGTCGGGAACGAGTATCGGCCGAGGAGGACAATGATTGCACACACACACACACACACACACGATGGGATAGCAAGTCATGGCTGCATTACCTATCCGTACGTACATTTGGTTGCATTCTGTTGAACTGGCACGCGCCCAGAGATCCAATGAGCTTGAGCTAGATGCAGTTGTTGCGGCTGCCTAAATAGGAAGGAAGTCGAGCTTGTGCTCACGGGCCGTTCGTCGACTAGAGGCACCTGGGGCCGCGCCAAGCTGGCAGAGCATTTGCTGCTATAAAAACCACCATCGCTCGCTCCTTGGCATTTCTGGGCATTGTCACCATATGATATGCGTTCCCCTTTGGAACTGCGCATCTGAGCATGTTTGTCAGCAGCCATTGGCATTTCCAGGACCATGGCATGTCGTTTTTTTGCTTTGCCTTGTCGCCCAGGCTTGTGCTCAGAAAGCCTCAGACCGCGTCTACTGTATGGTCTGTGTGGGTGACACCACATTAGCCGTGCTGTGGTCTAGAATTGGGGGCCTGGCGCTGCAGAGATCTATCTATCTTATCCGTCACGTTGGGCACAACACATCTCTACCGGTTCGATAACCCGGAAAAATTGCATTGGAGGGCACCAAGCTTGGTCTGTTTCTTGGACAACTCTTGCCCGGGGTCCAAGTCAGTTCAACCGAGTAGCAGGTAGGTATCAAACAGCTCCCTCAATCAAGAGTGCCCGAACGCTGACCATTGTTTTTGCCCCTTCCTATAGCTGTTTAGATGGATGGACCCATGGATTCCATCATTCGAATGGACGACGTGGGGCCCGGGAACTCAGCCGAGGGTAATCTCCCGGAAAGATGGTCATGTTGCTTCATGCGGCAAGCCCATGTTCAAAGAGCCCCACCGCTCTCTACTCTACTTACCTTTGAGGCGTTGGTTATAGCATCTCCGTCCTATGGACCGACGAAGCTGCATTCCCACCACCCATCATACCATATGCCAAGGTCCTCAAGGTTCCCAAAAATAACATGCATCGTACCTTCGCCCATCCTTGGAGCGCCATGCAGCAAAGCAGCAACCACCAGCACTCGGTTTGCCGCCGCGCTCGCGTTGGGATGAGCGACGATTTGACCTAACAAATCCGGACAGGTACCCCAGATATTATCGGCCAATGACACTCCAATACCAACCACTGAATCTCCTTTAGATCCGGGCCATTTTCTTTTGCATTGGTATAGGCGCTACACATAGCCCAGAGCCGCAAAACGGCTACCGGCAAAATGACCTTGGGCGTCAACTTGGAGAATAGTTTGCCATCTAGTTAAGCTCCTTCCCAAAGCTTGCTTCTGGTGACATTGCGAGCTCAATATTGGTGTTTTTGGTCACGGTTCTGGGTCCATCTCTTGCGGAAAATGTCAACACCAAGCGCTGTCTGCTTCCACGTTGTTCGTAGGGCTTGGCGACGACCGGGTCCTGTTCCTGAAGAGGAAGGAGTCTTTACCATGTGGCTCGTCCAACTTGTCTGCCATCATGTTCAGACGAGAGGTTCTTTTGGATAAATATCGATTGCTTCGCGCCCTCGGATATCCAAGTTCACCATCCAAGCATCGCTCGACCAGCTTCGACATCATTCACCTGGCATCAACACTCCTCACGGTTCTCTCGCTCTACATCTTTGACAATGAAGGCTGCTACCATTCTTTCTCTGCTGCCTTTGGCTCTCGCAGCCCCTGCTTCCAAGCGTGCTGGTGGCCCTGCCCCCATCTTGAAGCCCCGTGATGCAGGCGACAACCTCATTGAGGGCCAGTACATTGTCAAGCTCAAGGATGGCATGACGATTTCTTCGGTCGACGACACCCTGAGCCTCTTCGAGGGTGAGGCTGAGCACGAGTGGAAGGTCGGCAACTTCAAGGGTTTCGCCGCCAAGCTGGACGAGGCTGCTCTGGACAAGCTCGCCAACCACCCTGATGTGAGTGTTTTGAAAACAATGAGACGAAATACCTTCGCTAATTAGTTGAAAAGGTCGAGTACATTGAGCAGGATGCTGTTGTCTCCATCAACGCCTACGTCACCCAGTCCAGCCCTCCGTGGGGTCTTGGCCGTATCTCCCACACCAGCTTGACCACCAGCAGCTACGTCTACGATGACAGCGCTGGTGAGGGTGTCTGCGCCTACGTCATTGACACTGGTATCCTGACCACCCACAACGTATGTGCCTTTCTGAAGCATAATGTTTGCGCGAATGGAACTTTGTCTGACAGTAATATATAGCAATTCGCCGGCCGTGCCACCTTCCTTGCCAACTACGCTGGTGATGGATCCAACACCGACGGAAACGGACAGTAAGTGTTCTGCTGGCTTTAAAGAAAAGAAGCTATTGCTAATCTCATCTCAAGCGGTACGCACGTCGCTGGAACCATCGGAGGTACCACCTACGGTGTTGCCAAGAAGGTCAGCCTGTACGCTGTCAAGGTTCTCAACGCCTCCGGCTCCGGAACCAACTCGGGTGTCATCTCTGGCATGAACTACGTCACTACCGACTCCCAGAGCCGCAGCTGCCCCAACGGTGCTGTCGCCAACATGTCCCTCGGTGGCTCCAAGTCCACCGCTGTCAACACTGCCGCCGCCAACATGGTCAGCGCCGGTGTCTTCTTGGCCGTCGCCGCCGGAAACGACGGTGCCAACGCCGCCAGCTACTCGCCTGCCTCCGAGTCCACCGCCTGCACAGTCGGTGCCACCACCTCGGCTGATGCTCTTGCCTCGTACTCCAACTTCGGTGCCCTCGTCGACATCCTCGCCCCCGGTTCCAACGTTCTGTCCTCGTGGATCGGCTCCAACTCTGCCTCCAACACCATCTCTGGTACTTCCATGGCCACTCCCCACATCACTGGTCTGGGTGCCTACTACTTGGCCCTCGAGGGCGCCAAGACCCCCGCTGCTCTCTGCGCCTACGTAAGTACTGACAAGCTTTGAGAAAACATGGAATGTGCTGATATCTAACTTTTGTTGTTTCCCTTATAGATCCAGAGCACTTCCACCAAGAGCAAGATCAGCGGTGTTCCCTCCAGCACCAAGAACTACCTTGCCTTCAACAGCAACCCCAGCGTAAGTATTCTCAAACATCGTATCACATCAAGGTAATTGCATGAACAAGTGGCTGACTCTCCCCTTTCCAGGCTTAAATTTCTTGTCAAGAGATCGCAAACTCAGAAGCTCGGGAAATTGGACTTGTCAAAAAGGAAACTCCTTTTCAATGCCCGTGCAATGATGGAGATGCTTGGACGAACCTCTTTTTTTGTTAATTTCTAATCATTAGTGCTACTCTTGTCGCCTCTGGGCGTGCTTGTTTAGCTTAATGTAACAATGACCCATAGCATGAATGCAAGTGTTTGAAAGCAACCTCTTGGAACCCTAGGTTCACACTGGCTGTCGTGACCTCGAAGCTCAACCCGGCCCACGATCCACCTTGACCCGAGCCTCAGCACATAACCCTACCTCTGGGCATAACCCTGCGAGATGATTCATTCCTGGATGTTTGAGTCCCTGGGACATCGAGTCGAATCAATGGACTAGAGTGGTGGTCTATAGAATACTCATGCTTTGAGAATATTATTGCCTATTACTCTGGATTATCTATCTCGTTTGTATAAAATTGATATCTTGTTCAAGGATAGATTGGTGTTCACCAAGAAAACAATTGGCGACCGACTAGCGCACATACCATCCCCACACTACCTCCCTTTAGCTCTCCACAGCGCCATTGATGTTTCCCAGCTGTTGTACCGTAGAGGCACGTACTCCCCTTCTTCCCAGTATATCGACCAGCCCCGTCAACCATCCATGCACACCACGGTCAAAGGCAAGCACAAAGCCGCCCAACCTGCTGTGGTTGATCCGCTCAAGGTCTCTCGTATCCCAGTCCAGCGATCCAAGACTGGGTGTCAGCAATGTCGCCGCCGCAAACGCAAGTGCGATGAGCGTCGTCCGTCGTGCACGGGATGCGTCGAGAGGGGTCTGCCATGCCAGTGGATTCGCGAGCCACCCTCCCGTCCCCGGATACCTCCTCGCCACTCCCCGTACAACAGAGACTTTGCCGTGCCCCATGAGATGCGTTCGCTCATGACCGTCTTCACCATTCCCACCAGTTCCGTCAAGGAGAGGCTGTTGGCACACTTTCAGGCCTACAGTCCCCTGTGGCTAACTATTGGCGGCGATGTGCGCAGATCCACCCTTCTCAGCCTGGTTATGCCTGCCGTTGAGCGAAGCCCGCTGGTATTCGATTGTGTTATGGCGCTGTCCGCGGGAGACCTAAGCAAGTACGAGTCGACAAGCTCTGATTTGATCAACCTCGCAAACAGTTTCTACGGCCAAGCCTTGGCAGGAGTTCGCTCAGCCTTGGATCGCGAGTTTCTTTCGTCTAATTCTGCTAAGTCATTGGACTATACTGGTAAGTGTCCCCACCACTATCGTCCGCGTGTGCGTGGCTCTCATCCGTTGGTTCGCAGAAGATGATACTCTGTTGGCCGTTTTACTTCTCTGTGTGCATGAGGTAAGTCGAGTTTCTCAAGAGTGTGCTCGAGTTTCCTTGCTTACATGGAAACATTTGCTAGGCGGTTAACTTCACGGCCACGTACAGGATCCTGCCACATATCAACGCAGCTGCTGCGATATGTCATAATCGCTCCCGGTCTACAGCAGCCAACTCTCGCCTCAGGGGTCTGCTATTCGAGTTTTTCTGCTATTTCTTTGCATTGATAGCCTTCTCTCATGGTCATGCTCTACAGCTGCACTTGGGCCCTAGCATTTTTGCTTCTCCTTTTCTAGAAGCCAATGACGATCAAGGTATTCTACTGGGAGGGCGGTGTCTTATGGTCCTTTCATGCATTCTCAAGGTTGCCACGCTTACCAGTGCGCGGAATGGTAACGCCACGGTCGCAGAGAACTCCCATGCGCCGGCGCTCAGGGCGATTGAGATGCAGCTAAGTGACTGGTCGGGTGTTCCATTGCCGGACGACGACAGGACTACGCTTCTGCCTGATGATGCTATAGCAGAAATATATCGACTTGCGTGCTTGATTCATGTCAAAAGGCTACTAGGTCGAGACTCAAATGGTTTCTCGGATATACAGCGATTATTGTCTCAATTCATCTCGCTTCTAAACAGGCTTCCAACAACATCTCCGGCCAATGGTATCCTATGTTGGCCGCTGGTCGTGGCAGGGATGTCCTCGGTTGATGCAACGCACCGAAGGCTGATTGTCGGTAGGCTTCGCACCGTACATGAGACCTGGAGATCGAAAATCTTGACCGGGAGTGCCGCTCTACTTGAAAGCATCTGGAAAGAAGACAAATATTCGAGGCATTCACAAGAATCGCGGGATATCCATCCGACCCATGTCAAGGGTACAGTGGATTTCCATTCTGGTCATACTAGGGCAAGCTATCCAATAGTATTGCTATGAATACCATTTTAATCAGCATTCACACAATCAGCTATCGTCTATGTTATCAAATCTGCAGTATGAACGCTACCTATACCAAGCCGTATCAATAGTCAGCCGCTCTATGATCTATTGCACGTGGTATCTAATCTATATCATATAGACCGACCCTAGAAGATTCTGGTCTCTCTACTGTGTCTCCTGCTTCGCCTCTTGTTCGGCTTTATACTTGCGTTCTATCTTCCGGAGTATCCTGGCGGGATTTCCAGCTGCACAATGATATTCAGGTACGCTCTGGCCGGATATTCTTTTGTCAGTATCCGCGTGGCTTCCAAGGGTCTTTGCCGGGAAAAGGATTTCTTACCCTGGTGACAACGCTTCCCGCGCCAATGGTACAGCCGTTGCCAATAGTAACACCAGGCAAAATGATGACATTTCCTGCTATCCAGCAGTCCTCACCGATTGTAATAGTTCCGCCCAACTCTGGACCATTGGTACCGTTGCGCAGATCCGGGTCCAGAGGGTGCGTGCCGCTGAACAAGGAGACATTGGGTCCGATCAGGGTCCGTGAGCCAATGCTCACCTGGCAGGTGTCGAGGATGGTGCAGTTGAAGTTGATAAAGACGTTACTTCCCACTGTGATGTTGGTGCCGTAGTCAATGTTGATTGGCCTCTCAATCCACTACAACGACATGTGTTAGCAATTGCCCATTAGGGTAGATAAATGAGTTTGAAGCAGCTCTACCAAGTAATTTGTCTGAGCCTGCTCTCTTGGAGTACCAATTTGGGCAATGCTTGCTCATGAGACAACCCAGAGAAGGAGAAAAATGACATCGGAAGTTGCTTACCGGATATTCGTGCAAGACGGCATCTTCTTCGTCCTCGGAAGGCGCCGGTGGCGGAAGTTCCTTTTGACAAGCAATGATCCTGTAAAGTAAACAAAATCAACACGTTATTTTGCGGCTCTGTACAAGATGAGAGCTTACTCTTTCCAGTACTGCGCTATCTCGCGGCGGGTCAAGTCTCCGGCCCTGTTGAAGCGGCCTACCGCCTGGCCACAACGTCTTCGAGCCGCGACCAGCTGGGGAGTGAAAGCATAGTAGAGTTCACCCCGCTGCATACGAGCGAGGTTGTCTGCCTCGTCCACTTTAGGTACCATGGCGAAGAGATTTAATGATGACACTGTCTTGAGGGGTTCAATTTCTCAGCCTGGTTCGATGCGAGGGACGATCACTGACAAAATTTATACTGGAGTATGCCGAGCATGCTGCAGGGGGGGCCTGTCTCGCATTCTGTTCATTATAGTAGACAGCACTAACCGCTTTCAGTTTCCATTAAGCGCCGCTAACCTGATCCGGCGTCGTGCCTGGGAACTGGGAGGCTAACTACCTTGTGTACTTTTAGTTTTGCTCCACCGCCGCTGAATTTTGCCTGGACACTGTACAATATATGAGCATTCTGGGAGTCGGTGTGCGTATCTTGGCTATGCATCATAGTCCAGCATGGTAAAAGCATGACGGATCGCATTTGGACCATCACGGCTTACCGATTCTAGCCATTCCCAGTCTCCACGCCGACCGCTTGTTGTGACCAACTTAAGGAATCGCTTCCGAGTTAACCATGTAGAAATTGTGTGACGCGAGTAGCCCAGTGTGACGTTCTAGTTACTAATGAGCACTATTCCTTGATTAGCCATTAATACGTGGAAAGTGAAAAGCACTTCTCTTCGACTGGCAGCATCAATCCAATCCCTTTGCACACTGACGATAGTGAAATGGCAGGTATCATTCCCAGCAACGCACCTGAGCTTGAGCGTGGGACTCACTTGGGCGTGTCCCCAAGCGAAACCATTGAGCTCGATCCCTCATCAAGTATCCAACCGTCTGACGGAAAGGAGACGTGGAAACATCCTAGGAGCAACGTCTTGAAGACCATAGCGTGTTTTTGGTCTTTCGCCATTGCAGGACTCAACGATGGGGCTTACGGCGTACGTACAACTCGGACAATTATATCAGTCCTGAGCACGATTGGGTAGTATACTAATGTCATGTGTAGGCCTTGTTACAATACGTAGGTACATTATCAGCAACCTGGGAATATGGACTTGGGTCATGCGAACTGGAAGCGCTGTTCGTTTACTAACCTTTTAGTAGATTGAAGCCTATTATGGCTTGACTTATACAGTCGTGTCTATAATATTCTTGGTGCCGTTCATCGGATATACAGTGGCTGCTGGGTAAGCTAAAGGCATTCCGTGAAAACTTTATTGATTCAAATCGATATAGACTGACCATCAAATGTGTACTAGACTGAATCAAAAGATTCACACAAGCTTCGGTCAGCGCGGAGTCGCCATTGGTTGCTCAAGCTGTCACCTGATTGCGTTTGTAATAATGGCTTTGCACCCTCCATACCCAGTCCTGGTCATTGCATTCTTGTTTGCAGGGCTTGGAAATGGCATTGCCGAAGGAGGTTGGAATTCTTACATTGGCAGACTCGAGCGTGCCAACGAATTATTGGGTCTACTACACGGCGCATATGCTTTTGGGGCAGTCATTAGCCCGTTGGTCGCCACTGCAATTGTCACGCAGGCAGGGGCAAGTTGGTATGTTTTCTACTATATCTTGGTACGTATAATCTGCGTTTGTTCCCCAAAGTGATTCTCGAAAGGAAAAGAAAAGGCGAGAGGCTGATCAGGATAAGATTGGGCTCACTGTACTTGAATGCATCATTGTAATTTCGGGTTTCTGGGGCGTAACGGCAGCGCAATATAAAAAGTCAATGACGCGGGCCAATGATTCTGCTGCGTCAGAGGATAGTAGACTGCTTGATGCTCTCATCAAAAGACCACTTGCACGTATTACATGGCTCTGTTCTGCTTTCCTGCTCGGCTACGTGGGTATCGAAGTCGCACTCGGCGGCTGGATCATTGTATTCATGGTACAGGTGCGCCAGGGTGAAGCGTTTGCCAGCGGCATGGTGGGGACTGGATTCTGGCTGGGTATCGCCGTGGGAAGAGTTGTTCTCGGCTTTGTCACGCCCAAGATTGGAGAGAGGTTGGCCATTTCGGCAAGTTTTCCCAGTACTTGGTCAATTACTCTCGTGCTGACGGGTAGTACTACAGATTTATCTCGGTCTGGTCATTGCCTTGGAGCTGATATTTTGGCTTGTACCACAATTCGTTGTGTCGGCAGTGTCAGTCTCACTCCAGGGATTTTTTCTAGGGCCACTGTTCCCAGCTGCCATTGTCGTGCTCTCAAAATTACTACCGCCCCATTTGCATGTTGGCGTCATTGGCTTTGCAGCGGCCATTGGCGGCAGCGGAGGTGCCGTCTTGCCATTCGCCATTGGCGCCATTGCGCAGGCCAAGGGCGTACAGGTTCTTCAGCCAGTGATTCTGGCCCTCGCTTGTGTCATAACCATTCTCTGGTTCTGCTTGCCAAGGACCAACAAGAAGATTGAGTGATTTGGAGTTGAGTGCCAAGGTACATTATCTAGATTAGGTGCCAATTATATCAACTCTTGATTGGATTCTGTTCTGTTTATAATTCCTTTTTATGTCAAATCTTGATATTTATACTTCACTTGTCACCGTGTAGAGATCGCAGAACTTGCACTTATATAGTCGCATACTAATGCCGATGTAGGTACCTTGTGTAGGTAGTACCTTTGGTTAATGGAAAGAATTGAATTTTCAAGAACTTTCAGGGGGTGAGTATTTTGTATCTGTGAGTACATCTACCTGAATAGGTGCAGACCACATGTGCAGGTAGCAAAGGCAACTACACTCGCGAACCCTCCTGAAACCAGCAAGGTCGTGACTTCCACCATTCAATATGTATCTACCAGGCAGCAGCAGCAGCAGCAGCAGCAATAACAGCAGAAAACCCCATTCCCAGTTTTGTTCGTCAGAATTGATTTCCTCATTGCCCCATGCGAACAAGTCATCTTCGCCAAACGCTGACTATGCCATGCATGTGAGCCAGCATCGTTGAAGCATTGAGCCTCATGAGCCCTTTTGAGGCTTGGCTGTACCAGCGCGCCTAGGCTTCTGTCACTTTCTGCCGTTTCTGCTGATCTACTCTCACTGTTACGAACTCCCACGTTCGGAGCCACGCTCCAAACTCTGGTGTCAACATGTCATCATATCCTATTTCAGAAAATTCATGGGCTACCAAGAGTCAATTGCTGGCATCAAATATAACTCAAGACCATGTCGACGCCCTTCGAGCATCCCCTCTGCCAGATACGCAGGTCGAACCGGAATGTTTGGAGCCTCCCTCTGGCCAGGGTGATAATTTCGACATGATGATGGCTGCAAACGAGCTGCAGCATGAGCCACGCGATGAGACACTTGGCCAGCTCATTTCCCGCCCTATCGAGTCCATTGAGGATATTTCAGATGGCTTCTCATTTGCAACTTTCTCTTCCAAGCCTGCTCTTCCAAAAACTTACACCGACAGACATCCTGCAGCCCAGAATCCTCCAGTTCATACCGAACCCCAACACAGAATTACCAATGCTGAGCCTCTCATAGCTCCATCTACCATGGCTTCTGCGCCCAGGTCTCAGATGACTCACATGAGTCCCATATCATACGAGGCCCCTCGTGTCAGAAGAAGCCCCATCGCCAGACCAACGAAAGATCTCTCAAAAAACTCTGAGGCATCTACCACGAAGGCTAGCGGGAGCATTGAAACATCTTTGACATCAGGAATACCACAAAACTCCAGTAACAACAACGATCCCCAGGTCCGTCAAGTTCCTCACAGCTCTGAAGGCTCCGATACCACTTCACGACCGTCGACAAGCCGTGCTCGAGTTGAAAGTTTGAGGCTGGAGTTGGAGCAAGGCTCCCAGATTAGAGGCAACGCTCAAATTTCCTCCAAGGATGGCGGCGAGATTGCCTACGATCAACAGCACAAGCACAATGATGGCCACAACAACTCCGAGCATGAGCAAATAGACGAACCCGATTTCCACCACCATTCTTTACAGACTGCAACTCACCACCACCACCGAGACAAATATTCTCGACGAGGTGTATCACAGGAGCAGGTCTCTCAAAGAATGGAACAGGCTACACGGGATGAAGCTTGCCGGTCTCGAGACTCCAATGCATCATTTCCCATTACCATTCCCCACCATGGACAAAACGCTGAAGTGCACGCTGATACTCCAAGATCCCATAAACGTACATCATCAATTGCCACTCATCGAACAGAGCAGTCCAACAATGGCCCCGAGGTCATAGATTTGCCGTGGCAGTCACATGCATCACAGCCGTATCGTCATCGCCGAAGAGTTCGGGCGGGCCAAGAACACGGAACAGCAAACAGGCCACTTGACAAGTCGCGCCCCAATGAACCATCTCTGCGTCCCAACTCCCAAAACTCAAATATTTCCAAGACAAGAGTGCCAGCGAAACACCACGGACGACATGCTTCGCCAGCCGAGTCCTCACGGCATCGTGATTCCACTGCTCCAACGCACTTGCGCAAGGCTGCCTCCAGAAATCATAGAACCCTGGTCAACTCTTGGAATCGATACTTTAGCACTCACTATGAACAACAAGATGCACTTGAAAAAGAGATTTCCGACCTCAAAGCCGATCTCGAAGAGTGTAGTGATGTGATTGCCCAGTTGGAAGAGGATGCCCTTGATCAAGCAAAAGCATATCACCATCAAATCAACATGCAGAGCAACACCATCAACAAGCTGAGAGCAGAAGGCTCAGACCTAAGAACCCACCTGGCTCAATCGAAGACTGCCTTTAGCGAAAAGGAGGAAAGGTATGAGACGCTAGTCGAGAAGTGTCGCCAGTACAAGGATTGTTTCAACAAAGCTATTGCTGAGCATCAACAACTCTACACCAAGACCAAGCAAAACTTCAAGAATATCGTGGCACAGATCAAGGAGGAATTTGAGGCGGAGCAAAAAGACAAAGACAAGATCATTCGCGAGATTCTGGATCAAACTGAGTCGATACGCACCAGCTTCCGAAAGAGAGCTAATTTGACTGACCGCGAAGCAAAACATCAGTTCTTGACGAGTACGTTTCCATCCCTTCTCGATACATCACTCAAGAAGTAGTATACTAACAGTGCGTATAGTGGCCAATACAATAAAGGCGCTAAAGGTTGAGTTGGCGGAGCGTCAGCGCGAGTTGACACAAGAAAGGCAAAACTCGGAGATGGCCCGAGACGAGCTTGAACAAGCTCGAGATAAAAATGCGCAGGCTCTGGAGGATTTGTCTGCCCAAAACACCAAGATTCTTGAAACAATGGAGTCGCACTACCATAATAGCCAAGAATCTACAGCCGTGACCGAGGGGATAGGTGAAAGATTGGACTCATTGTGCCAGTCAATGAATGATCTCCAACAGCTTATGCCCAATCCCGCAGTCCTCACAGATGATATCTCATCTCTTGGCCAGGATATTACCACTCTAATCACCACGAAGTTTGGTGATCTCGGCTCCAGAATATCAGATATTGATTGTGGCCAGAAAAACCACAGTCCGAAGATTGATCGAATCGTCAATGTGTGTCGTGCCATTGATGAACGTATGCAGAACGAGGATGGTGTTGCGTACTGGCAGAGTAAGTGCCAAGAAGCTGATCAAAACCTTCGTATGCTGGAAGAGCACACCCGAAGGGTACAGGGTGAAGTCGACGTTGCTTCGAGGCACAACCAAGATCTGTCTGCCACAAACGATAACCTCATCGCCGAAGTTACCTCTCTTCAAAATCGGATTGGCTCCCTTCAGGAGAGCCTGCAGGCTGCAGGAAAGAACGCGGCAGTGAATGACGGCAAAATCAAGCAGTTGCTGAGTGTCAAGGATGCCGAGATCACGGAGTTGCAGTCAAAGCTTGAGCATTGCAAGATTGATCAAGAGAAATTACAGCAAGATCTTCGGGCTCGCGACGACGATAAACTGACTCTTATGACAACTCATCAGGATGAGGTTGATGGGTTACAGAGGAAGTGTGCCACTACCGAGAATCAACTCGAGGCAACTGAAAATGCTCGGGGCGAGCTTGCAAAGGAGTTGCAGGTAGCCAAGAACAAGATTGAGGACCTATCCAAAAACGATGGAGCTGAACAGGTGATCACCTTCTTGAAGGAGGAAATCAGAGTACTTTCTGAAGTGGTCAAAGAACAAAAACGCATTGACACGAAGCTTGAAAATACAGCAGCATATTGCCACGCAGGTGATGTGAGACTCGCTGCTTTGGCCAAACAGTATGATGTCTTGACGAAGAAGTATTCTGAAGCCAGCAAGGAAAATGACGATCTAGCTGAGATGAAGTCCCAATACATTGAGTTGTATCAGAAGGTGTCCAGACTTTCAATCTCAGGTGCAGATACCCAAGAAACAGCCCTCACTCCAGCAATGGACACGGAAGAGATGTCTAGGATGAGACGGGTAACAGTGAAGTCACCCGTGGAAGAACCGGTCCCAGCGGCCCCAAGTATCGAGGAAGAGCGAGACAGGCGTCGCTCGAGTGTCCCTAGAAAGTCCAACTTGAGAGCCACAGCTCACAGCAATTTGGCGGGACTTCAAACGGCTGTGGAAACCAAGACATCCTCCTCCCAGGAGAATGCTATCGAAGAGCAAGCCTTTGTGGATTCAGAACCGGTTGACCTCGGCAAAAGAGGCGTATTTTCCAATCGCAGCTCCTTTAATCGACCGGTTCGAGGTGGAAATCCAGGAGATTCTGCAGTGACCACCAATAACAGCGACAAGAAACGACGGAAGCTATCCGAGGTTTTGAGTCAGCAAGCATCTGCACAAAGTATTGCCGACTACCCTCAAGATGAGCGCGATTCTTTGTTTGTGCCCAAGCGCAATACACGGTCTAAGTCCGGGAAATCTGTGTCTAATCACATGGCGAGTGATGGCGACTTGAATGACGAAGATGGGGCAAATGTGAGAGAATATGATGCACCGAGATCATCGGTCAGCTATGGCCAAAGCAAACGCCTACATCGAAATTCGTTTCTGGTCACCTATGGGAACCAAAATCAAGATTTGCCCGTTCAGACTGCTTCAGCGAGCAGTCAACCAATTAGCGCTACAACTATTGCACCGGCCGGCTCGAAGCGAAAGCGCTCAGCGTCAATTGGATCTTGATTGCCATGCCAGTTGTCTGAATGAGGTGGGAAGGATCAATGCCAAGTTTGCAAACCGCGTGGAGCATTATTTGCTAGTCACTCGCTGGAAAGTTTTGACAAGTACCAAAAGAAATCTAATAAAAAGAGGGACAAGGGGAAAGGGAGAAAGCAAAGCAAAACTATGAACCACAACTGCCATACTGCTGAAAGGCCATTTTTGTCGAATGTTCAAGATCTCACTTTGGTAGAGTAGAAATATATCGTAATGAGGTCTTATTTCCGTTCTTGAACGCCAATCGATGCATCTCCAATAGTTTACATCATCTCATCTTAATGTACATGTAAAGAGTCGTGACAGATCCGCAACTATTATGTGCGTGTGAAGTCGTAGCGCAATTTTGGGAGAATTCGGTGTAAAGGTCTGAATAGATCGATTCTGGCCAGCCCAGCCCGAAGCCGCAGGCATAGCACTTGCGGTAATATCTCCCCCAGAGTTGTCAAATTCGACCAGAGTCCCGACGAAACTCCTTTGGCACAGCAGACCAGGTCAAACTATAGCCAATTTATTTGCCTTTCCGCTTCTGCTCGAGGAAGAGGACCTTTTTCCGTACTATATTCAGAAAGTATGGTTAGCCAATGAAGCTGTTCAATTTATTGCCATTGACTGCTTCTTTCCCAGAGCTACGCGGGATCATGGGCGCAATGTTAACCAAAGGTAGATTGATAGCTCTTGCGCTTGGGTTTCATGCAGACATTGGGAACGTGGCCGATGGCAAGAGCACCGCCAATGGCGCTGGAAATCGATATCCAAAAACGGCGTGCCGTTGGATGAAGAGAGACGTACTGATCGGGTCATATTTGAGCATACTCATGGGATGCGACGTTCGGGGGCGCGTAAAAGTGTAGAAGAAGCCCGTCATGGCCATGGAGAGGAGGCGCACATTGATGATGCGGGACTTGACTGTTTCGGGGTTATTCCATGTCAGCAAGAAGGCTTCTCTCTATATAAATCTATATGCATTCGGCTGCCAGGGCTCGGGGGAAAGGGTGCGCTCGTGGACGGGACGAGCTTCGGGGCTGTTATTTGATCGTCTTTGGGAAGTGCTTGGTGTGTTTTTGGCAGGCAGAAGACGTACCCTTCTTGGCCATATTGGGCTATATCTGGACGACGACCTTCGCAGTGCTTTGAGCAAGAGGATCGGAAGCCGGGGTGGGTTCAGGGCGCGGGATTGTAGAATGACGTTGGCGCTCGAGGCTGCGTGCCCTTTCCTGTCTGGCTCGTGAGGTTTGATGCGATGGCAGCAGCCTCGCGATGGGGTAGACTTTTTGGTGGAGCTACTCCAGATTCGGTGGGTTACAAGGATAAGTCTGCTTTGGTGAATAATCTTTCAGTGGGGCACTTGGCTAGAATACACAGTTGAGCGTGGACTTGTCTGGCGATACATGATAAATTCTCTATATACAAGCTTGATCAATTACTGTCTTGTGTAATAATAACTCAATGTCCAAGACTGTCTTCATTGAAATCTTGCAAAGATCACTATTAACGTCTAAAATCAATGTTGTTGGAATCATGCAAGCCAGTTCCCGATAGATGCATGTCATCTAACCTAAGGTTAGAGCACACCCGAAAATCCGGTAGCGCCTTGGCACTCTGGAACTAGCCGACAGCGCACTTCACACCAATAACGGGGACCCATCAACCCATGGATGCTCTAATGAATTGGCGGTTCGGTTACGCTGGGTGAGTTGAAACAAATTGTGGCTCCACCAGTCAATCCCCCCATCCATCCCTGAGAATGGAGCTTGAGCGTTGTGTCGCATCCGCATTCTTGAAACAATATCTGGCCATATGTTCGTGTAACAAAATTCCCTTCTTTGCTTGAATGCTTCAACAGCAGGCTGTTGTATAATTTTGTATCTTCAGAGTTTGGCTTCTTTCTTGTTAATTTCTGGCTGCAGACACGACGCGACGTGACGAACTCTATCGGCGCTCTTGATAAGCTCTATATCTGCTGCTGTATGGTATATGAGCTTTGCATAGTACCCGTGCATGATTCGTCTCTAGTATTGTCACGCCAAACAGACAAGCAGACAGCAATGGCTCCCAAAAAGGCCAGCAAAAAGGCCGAGGCCAAATCGATACCAGTCATGATTGACCCAAACTCACCATACACTCCGGAAAGTTTCCAAGATGAACTTTCCAAGCTCGCCCAACAGGCCAAGAAGGAAACGCCGCTGAACTGGGCCATGCGAGAGGGCGCCATCTGGTTCAAAGCGGCAGCGTTACTCGCCTTGGTGGCTGTATATGCCAACGTCTCTGAGCTGGCCATGTCACCCGTCTATGGCGGCATTCCATCGTCGATTTACCACTCCAAGGTCGTTATGGGCGGTGCCTTTGTGGGATGGGCCGGCAATCTAGCCCTGAGGCGTCATCTACGCATGAAGACGAAGTACTTTCTGCCTCTCATCGCCGCATACATTCCTCTGGCCCAGTTCTACCTCTTCAAGCTCAGTGGGACTTTCACGGCTACTTGGGGCCCCTTGGTCACGGAAATGCTTACTCTCTTCCCGCTCATGACCTTCTCGCTCGCCTGCGTGGCCGATACGCTGGAGCAGGCCGACCTCGACTGGCTGCCCAAGTGGGCCGGCGACGCAGCCCCTGGATTTTTATCCTACGGCATTTACAAGTTCTGCGAGATGTTCTCGGCAGAGCACTTGCCTCATGGACTAGGCAAGTCTGTCTTTCAGACCCGAATGGGTTGGGAGGTCGCCCTGGCTGGTACCTACACCATCATGGCACCATCCAAGCTCCTCCTCTATGCCATCCCGGCTTTGCTGCACGCCGCAGTCCTCAACACCCACATCATGACGCCTATTGCCACCAACTCTGTCAATGCTACGCTGAATGCTGGCGGATGGTCGCTGCTCGAGCGTGGAGAGTCGCTCACGGGCTACATTTCCGTTTTGGAGAGTGACCGTGACGGATACCGTGTGATGAGGTGCGACCACAGTCTCCTTGGTGGCGAGTGGCACAAGCTCGCTCGACCCATCGTAGGAGAGCCTGTCTATGCCGTGTTTGCCATGCTGGAGGCTGTTCGGCTTGTGGAGGTGGATGACAAGGTCCCGGATAATGAGGCCAAGGCCCTCAATATGTAAGTTCCCACATATGATGGAATCACGCACTGATGCACGCGTATATTGACAATTTTCAGTGGTTTGGGAATAGGCACGACTCCCTCGGCGCTGATTGCCCACGGCATCGACACTACCATTGTGGAGATTGATCCCTTGGTCTACGACTACGCCGTCAAGTATTTCGGTCTGCCTGTAAACCACACGGCCCAGATTGAGGATGCTGTGAGCTACACGGCGCGAACCGCAGAGCATTCCCCCGAGAGCTTTGATTACATCATCCACGATGTGTTTACTGGCGGCGCCGAGCCCATTCCCTTGTTTACCTTGGAGTTCCTGCAGTCATTGCACACTCTGTTGAAGCCAAACGGCGTAGTTGCTATTGTAAGTTCTCTGGTATTCCATGTCAAAGATTGCTTGTCCTGACTGGGTCACAGAACTATGCCGGTGACTTTACCCTCCCGCCTTTGAGCACTGTTATCCGCACCATCAGAGAGGTTTTCCCCTCTTGCCGGATCTTCCGGGAATCCCCCATGCCGTCAGAGGACAAGGTGGCGGCCGACGGTCGTGACTTTGATAATGTCGTGGTCTTTTGCCGAAAGACGACCGACCGCATTACCTTCCGTCCCGTTGTGGAGAGAGATCTTCTGCAGAGCCGTGCCCGGGCGCATTACCTGATGCCCAAGAACGAGGTGCCCGAGTCGGCCTTCATGACGGGCGACGACGTCAAGCTCGTGCGCCAGAACGACACGGAGACCTTGGCCAAGTATCATGACCAGACGGCCCTCGGGCACTGGGCGGTAATGCGAGAAGTGATCCCCAAGAACATCTGGGAGAACTGGTGATTACGTAGCATCTAGAACTGTAAAAAGTTTTAACAAAATGTGGTGCCGATAATTGTACATGGATGTACATAAGAAAATTGATTTCTACAAATTTCTCGCAACCTCATCTGACCCAAGGATGCTGCTCTGTTTCAAGACAAGACCGGTATCACGAATATGAGACTGTGAGGGGCCGGAAATAGCATTCACTTGGCCGCTGAGTAACATCGCACCAAACGAAAGAAGGGTCTCACCACTTCAGATCCTTGAGCACAAAGCCGCGCATGTTCAAGACTAAGTCTTTGTGCTTGTTCATCTCTTTGTCAGTCTCATGCACTCTGGAATCACCCGAGACAATGCTATTGCTTGTGCCAGATTCAAAGGGCATAAGACTTGACTTTGTGAAGGCACGATTGTTTATGAATGCTTCATTTCTATGTCTTCTTGGATGAGAGAAAGAAGAAGTAAGTAGTACGGTATCGGACCCAGGGTGATATAAATCCCTGTTGTCTCTTCATGTGTATATTTTAGTAATCATTCAAGAGATTTACAACTCGTTAAAACATTCACGAACCAGGAAATTACGATTTTTTAGCAGAAATGGCTCCTCGATACAGCAAGGCTTTTTTCCCAGCAGAGGGTGCTTCCTCTTCATCATTCGATCAGGACTTTCATGATCAAATCGAGTTTGAGTCTGAACCGGAGGGTAGTGAGTCTGCGGGATCTGAACAAAGTGGTTCAAGCAATCAGGACGGTTCTAGCAGTCAAGATGATGCCAGCAGTCAAGATGGCTCCAACAGTCAAGATGGTTCCAACAGTGCTGCAAGTACTTCTGACGAGGAGCGCAGCGACTCCGACTTTCTAGACGAAATGATAGCGGCGTTCGAATTTAACGCCTTGGCCCTTTCCGCCTTTGAACTGTACTGTGAGCAGTTTAAAAACACAACCTTGTCCCTCATCCTGCCGTCCGAACAGACCCGATGTGCCTCGCTTCTCATTGAACTAATCGACGCCATGTACGACGAGCTCGAGGGCAAAGGAGAGAGGGACGCAGTATCCCAGGCACTAAGGGCGTTTCGCGATTACGAAACATCCATGGTACGTCGCGCACGCTTTGCCAATCCAGTGAGAGTCGGCCAGGCCGTGTTCGGTGATGACGGTGGGGACGTGGCCGCGGCCGGCACCTCTCGGCGCTCTCGGCGTGTCGCTGGCCAAAACCCCCTGGTCCACATGGATAGGGTGGTTCGATCCCGGCCCGACGAGTTCATTCTTAATGCCGTGGTGGTTGCATGGGATGCCCACTCTCGTCGTCGACGTGGTGAGTAGTAGGGACTCGTCTGCATTGACGAGTCGAGAGTCTTCTCCATCTTGAAACTGGTCAAGGTATGAACTGTTGGATTGTCAAATGGTGGCTTCCGCCCGAAAGGTAGAATTCATTTCCTCTTTCTTCACAAGCCTACTCTGGGCAGTTGAAGGGTATTCCGAACTGAGTGTAGGCCCGGCTTGAACGAATATAGAATGTGGAAATAAAGCTCATACATGACAAATATTGACTAAAGACAAATGAACCTTGCATAGATTTTCATAGATGTTATCGTAGATGATAAAGAAGCTTGTCGAGGCAGTGGTAATATGATTCAGCGTATATGCGTATATGGTCAAGAGAAAGGTGACTTGCATTGCAATAATCCTAATTATGTGCTTCCAATTTTTCAGTACAATGCCATTCAGTTTCCGCCAAACGTAGAATCATTGTTCTCGTGGGCTGTGGCGAAATGGAGGTGACCCGAACTGCCTCAATAGTAACAGGCAACCTGCTCAGAACGACTCGACACTCCGATACGAGCTGCACGGCCACGCCATGGTCTCGACGTAATGCCAGAGTCTCGGAGGCTGACATGAGACTCATGTTACGAAGTATATCTTTCTTTATTCATTCACGTTTCTCCATTTTTTCCTCGTTCCTTTTTCCCTGTGGTGGTCCGGGTCAAGTGGAGGCCTCGTGATGATACTTAATTGTAGTTGAGGCAGGACTCGTTTATTATTGCTCCCAAAACCAATACAAACAAGAGTATATACCGAGAGGCTCCTCCAGCTGAATGAACTAGACATGGAACTTCAAAGGGAAGTGTAACTTGAGGAAGTTTCAAAGTGGGTAGACTAGGTAGAATTGAAGAGTCAATGAGAGTCGAATGCGAAGAGCACGTCTGATCAATCTCATGTCAAAAGTCATGATCTGATCCTTTACACGATAGTTGCCTGTCAAGCAAACTTATACGAAACTCAAGATGCCAAGAGCTATAAATTAGGGCACCCGGTAAATGCCAAAGTCCACTGCTTATAACGATCGGACCCATTCTCACACGTAGGAGGAGGTTTGTCTCTTCTTGTACAGCCACTGAATGGGAAAATACAATACATGATTATTGTGAAAACAAGCTTTAAGCTTTACTCACTGCACCAAGTATTTCACTGTAAGTTAAATCATTCACTGGAGGTCAATTTCGAACGCAGCGAGTTGAGATCTCATTTGAATTTTCAGGCTATAAAAAAGCAAGTCTAGGCTACATAACAACAAAAAAAGCTTAAAGAACAAAACAGGTACCAAAAAGGAAACAGTGACAGAAGAGTGAAAGGAGCGTCCGTGGTTTGTAGCATGTACCAACCATATCAGTTTGCCGGCAATGTTGCTAGTGTGGCAAATGACTTAGATCTTGACATCCTGGTTCTTTCTCCAGTCCTTGATGGTCGAGTAGGGGGAGCTCTGGCGAGGCAAGACGCTGCCACGACGAGTCATCGGGGTCGAGAGCTGCTTGGAGGCCAAGTCAAAGCAGCCAGTGGCGTTGTTACCAGCAGAGCAGAAGTCGTAGAGCGTCTTGGAGTCCATGTCGCAAAACTTCTGCTCGCCGGTGTGGGCAAAGTCGGGTCCCAAGGAGCTGTCCGAGTCGCAGAGCTTCTGGGCCGAGTGAGTCTGGGAGTCGCTCACGACGAGCTGGCTGGCCATCCAGCCGGCACGAGTCGGGGTCTGTCTCTTGGTCTTGCGAGTGAAGTAGTTGATACTGTTGGGGTCCGACTCGGTGCGCAAGCCAAACTTGATGTCGTCGCAGAACTGCTCAGGATCCGTGTTGCTCTCGTCAAACGAGACGTTGGCATAGCTGGGCCAGCGCACCTGGAATCCAGTGTTTGGTTGGTCACCGTTGGCATCGATCCAGAAGCAGTCGGGCTGATACTCGGAGTCGCTCTGGGGATACATGCCGGACGCGTACCAGGTTCCACCACAGACGCGTCCAAAGTCTCCGCTCACGGCGTACGAGGTGCCACCACGATCGTCGCTCATTTGCACGGTGGCCCAGGCAACGCAGATGGCATCATCGTTGGCGGAGAAGAGTGAGTATGTGTTCTGGTTGTCATGCGAGATGGTTACCGATCCCAGATTGCCGGCATCGACGGTGCCGGGATCAGCGGTCATACCGACGAACACGCCGTTGTCGTTCCAGACACGACTTTGTTCACAAGTAAGCATTATGTCGGTGGAAACTCAGATAGTAAAGGCTCTATGCTTACACGTCGGGGAGATCACCACCAGTGTTGGTTGGCGGAGCTCCATCGGCTCCCTCTAGGGCAACTGCCACTTTGACGACGGAGCCAGAGTTTTCCTCATCTCCTCCAAAGTTGTCGATGCCGAATTGGACGATTCCAAGGATTCCGGAGATGACTCCGATAGCTTCAATTGCAGCAACACCAGCCATTGTGATAACTGGAGGGGGTTCAAAGAGTAAAGAGTAAAGTTTTTCTAAGTGTCAAGTATTTTACAAAGTTTTGAATCGAAGTGTTGATGAAGAGCTGTCAGTGTTTGTTGGAGAGATGTGATGATGAGTATGAGACTTTTTTCCTGGAAGTTGAGTCGGAATCGTGACTGACTTTATAGACACCTTGACTGTTCAAAGTCTCTGAGCAGTTTGAACTATTTTGAGCTCATCATGAAGACAGAGAGCTTGTATGCCGCATTAGAATCCACATGCCGATCATGAAGCCCAAGAAGCCCACAAGGCTGCATGAACCATGATGCACTTTTCCTGGACTCTCAGTCTCTTCAGAAAGGATTCTTCCTAGATGGGTAATTTGCGTTAGCAACAGGTGAGAAGCATCTGATCTCACGGTGAAGTCAATATTCTTGGCGAAGTGAGAGTCTTATCATGATGGCTGTATGATGACTTTGTTCATCACGAGCTTCCTCAAATTTGGCCATGAATCCTACTCGGTTCCCTTTTCGAGCGGACCGAAACTGTTAAAGAGTATTCTCCATCTCCATTTCGGTCGATTTTAATGGAGATCTCTGGATCTGGTGAGTAGTAAAGGATGCCATATCTGACAGGATCATTGCTCAGTACAGTTTTATTAATACACTTCTTTGGGAGAAGGATTTTGACGCCCTGGACCATAGTGCTGGGACTGTATCCATTCTTGTTGTATCCTCTTTTTTTCTTATACCATTCTTCCGGGGGAAGTTTCTGGCGAGATGAAAAATCATTGGAGAGTCACTGAATATAGCGGGTCGATTCTCAAAGGTCATTAACTGCGAAGATTCCATATAGCACAACCTTTTCTTCTACCAAATATCAGAGTTCAGGTACAGTTTGAAGTCTTTCTCTGTTGAGAAGATAATAAATTTCTATCATTAACAATTTCTAAACAAGAGCTAAAATTGGTACTGATTGGTTAAAGTCAAAATCTGTAGCGATCACAGGGCAAGGATCTATGTAGGCATATGCAAGGGATTATCCAGGCAAATGCAAGGGATTGTCAGGCACAGGCAAGGAGTCTTTGAGGTATAGGCCAGGCGACGAATCAGGACAATGATGACTGCCGATCGCTGTCAAAAAAGCCGCCTCGTCACGAAGGCAGTGATGCAGATTGGATGAATCCTTAAATCGATTGTGCAAGTCTGCTGAACATCGTCTTATACAAAGCAAGGGAATGGCACAGCTCAAGCTCCATATTTACTGCTCATACTGAGCAACAATACTGCCGATCACTTCCAGGCACCAAGGCCTTGGGAAATCAGCTCATGAGATGTGCAAGACTAGAGACTTTGCCATAGTTTACCATCCTAGTTGTCTGGAATATACAATGAAGCTTGATTTGTGAGATAAATCAGAAAATATCGCCTCTCAGGCCTATTTCAAATGAAAAACTGACTTATGATCACTGCTCTATACTTGTCCGCAAATCTATATGTCATTTCGTGATTATAGAGTAAAAAGTCACTTTTGTCTCATGCGAATTCATCAAACTGGGCGGCCTCTCTTGAGTTTGCAAGGTTCTAATCGCCGAAGCGCTGAGACGGTGAAGTCGGACGTATCGGCTTCCCCGGATGTCATCGTGGCATTGGCAGTACCTATAACCATCCTCGTCATATGGGATTCGTCACTGTAGCTGTGTTTGCTCAAGGCTGTGTTGGGAGTTGCCGTGCGTCAACTCAGGGGCCGTTTTCAGCTTGGCAAGCTTGACCATATGTCATTGTAGTTAATGATTCGACCAGAAGGCCCAATTGAAGTGCCTATGCGGCGTGGGACTTAACGCATACTGATTTGCGGCATGATTGCCTACAAACATGGCAGATAATTACGTCGATCTAGGACTCTCAGCCTTGGCAAGCTTGGCGTTGGTCCGCCGGTCAGCATCCAAGTTTCAAAAATATTATTAGAAAAGAAAACACAACAGCTTACCGAATCCTTCAAACATTCAATTACCGAATGCCTATTACAGCCCTCAGATTTGACACATGGGTCTTGGAAACACCCACGTCATAGTCTCCACCGCTCAGGACGGGCATTTTATAAGCATTGCAAACGCAGTTTTTTCATCTTGAGAGTGCCACATTCCCATACCTTCGCAAGAAATATCCAGCATCCTCATTTCCAATATCTCATCGTCACCATGACAGGCACAAAATCTGCTGCAGTCCTTTTCCTAGCGGCATCCCAGCAATTGGGCTTTGCTCTGGCGCAGGACCTTTCATCAACCATTGTTGGCTGCGAAGATGTGGCCTGCCCAAAGACCAGTGGCTCCGACGACACCTGCACGGTATCTGACGAAACATTTCTTGGTGTCGGACTTACTCGCATCCCCGATGTGCCTGATAGCTTTGCAGGCCTAACGATTGTAAAGGGCGTCAATGTCTCGACTGCAGGTCCGGCCGCAGATTCCAATGGCAATGATCGTCAGTACAAGTCGGTCTACTATCTGGGGGCACCTGACAGCCAGACCATCGACAATCTGGACGGCTGTGCCATTGTATTCCATGACACACTCAATGGAATCAAGTTCAACGGCGTGAACTCGGCATCAGACCAGGGAACCTGCCAGGATGTCATTTCACAGAGCTGCATTGATGCCTTGACCCAGCAGGTTTCTACCCTGTGGGCAAACGAGACGTCAGGCGATCGATGTGCTGCTGTCAGCGATGCTCTTGCATCAGCCAGCTTGACCGAATGCGTCGATATGGTAGGCACCGGCAAGGGACTTGGCAATTTCACGGCGCAAACGCTTTCGGATCTATCCCCAATCTCGGGAGATCAGAATGCCTCGTCCAATTGCTGGCCCATTACTCCGAAATCAGACAGTCTTGCGAAACTCGGTGAAGAAACGGATTCGGTATGTTGTTGACAGACTTCTTCTTTGACCTAACACATTTTACGCAAAGTAGCTGACTCTCTTTCCCCCCTGCAGGACGGCTACGACTTTGCAAGCTTCCAGGACCAGGTTTATAAACTCACCCCTGTACTCACTCTGCTCTCTACTTCAACAAATGACAGCTCTTCCCAGTTGAGTTGTGTCAAGCTTATCACGACGAAGGAGCTAAGCCCAGACGGCGAGAGCGCGGCCTCGTCAAGAACCTACAGCATCCTGGGTGTCGGTATTGCAATTGCGGCATCCATGTTGGTCCTGTAATTCTTGACTGGCAGGCAGTTCCGACATGAGTTTTACTACAAGAAGGGAAGATAACTTCCAGGACGGACTGGAGGGGGAGCTACGTGCATAGTGCAGATCTCTCCACGCAAGCATTCGTTATGGGGTCCTCAAGGTGTTACTTTTTGCAATATACCACAGTCTTTGCCCAGTTGAAATTTGGCGTCTTACCTGGGTTTGTGGGGTGAATTCTGAAGTAACAGTTTATTATGAATTATGAGTTACAACACACTATTTGAATAACTAGTGCCTGTGTGTCAATTTTCTGTAAGGTATCGGTCAGTTGATTGATATAATCACTCAAACTGGGTACGTATAGACTCTATGTGATGTAGTCCATTTAAAGCAGAAGATCCACATTGTGTGGAGGATACTCGCTAGGTTAGTACGGTTCTCGGGGCACTTAGTGAAGGGCCATCCATGCCCTGGTCGTCTAATTCTTCTGTACCTTTCATACTTTCATGCCAATAACGTGGTCGAAAGATGGTATCAAGCATACCTAGTAAGCAACGTTCTGCAAGGGATAGGAACAACTCATTTAAAGCGCAAGTATAATTCATCAAATGTCCTGTTGCGATGTCTTGCCAATGTGTAAGTAGAAGACCGGAATGGACTATTCGTCTATGTAGTATAAAACCAAACCTCTATGGATGTTGGAGGCAGAAAGGAAGGTTGCAATCAACATGCCGTCCCAATAGCTGTAACTGTAGCACCAACTGATCCTCACGTGTCTGATTAGTCGTGTCTTGGTAATTATAAGTACCACGTGAGTAATTGACAGAAAAAGATTTCCTTTTTTCAGAAGAAGGCAGTTGAATATGCACACAACAAAGAAGAAATGCGGCCTCTGTAGTACTACTATTCGGCATGCGCCCCACTTCTCGTCCGGCTCTCAGCTGGCGGGGCCTGTCGCCTCCAGGGCTGCCTGCCTAATATCACCATGGCCGACGACGCTGCTTAGAAAGGCAACGACGCGATCAATCCTGAACAAATCACACAACTCCGGACCATGGCTGACGACGACTTTGGTGCCGATGCCGACTTTTTGGATGCTCTCGCATCATCTTCAAGTGGAATCATCTCCGGACAAGGCAACCAGCAGCAGGCGGCAAGTCGCATCCAGCAGCCGCGCCCGCAAAAGATACAACAACCAACACCCCAGAGGTTGGACAAAGCACCACCCACGGCCAATTCTGGACCAAAGATCGTGCAGCCGACACCTCAAGCCTTACCTCAGCGCTCCTCAGGTTCATCCATCTTGGTGTCGCCCCGGCAAAAAGGCAACCCCGTTCTGGCAGCTCTTCGTTCTGTACCATGGGAGTACAGTGACATTCCCGCCGATTATGGGCTCGGCTTGACCACGTGCGCGCTCTTTCTAAGCCTCAAGTACCATAGATTACACCCAGAGTACATCTACACACGTATTCGGAATCTCCAGGGCAGGTACAGCCTAAGAATCGTCCTGACCATGGTGGATATTCCGAATCACGAAGACCCGCTCCGCGAGTTATCCAAGACGTCACTCGTCAACAATGTCACGGTCATCCTTTGTTGGTCGGCTGCCGAGGCAGCGCGCTATCTAGAGCTCTATAAATCCTACGAGCATGCCAATTTTTCGGGAATCAAGGGACAGCAAGCCACGAGCTATACCGAGAAGCTGGTCGAGTTTGTCACCGTACCCAGAGGCATCAACAAAGCAGACGCCGTGTCGCTCGTGAGCGCATTCGGTAGCATCCGCGCTGCCGTTAACGCCGAACCCGAGCAGGTCTCCATCATCGGCGGCTGGGGAGAGAAAAAGGTGCAAAGATGGTGTAGCGTCGTGGAAGAACCATTCAGAATCCAGCACCATGCGAAAAGGCGTGCAATCGCCAGCGAAAGCAGCAACGCCACTGATCAAGCCTTGCCTCTCAGCAGAGTACCGTTGAGGGACATGCCCAGCCTTTCCACCGCCGCATCTCGAGGCAGCTCAACGCCGCAGCCTCAACAGGTGCGAAAAGAAAATTCGCAGGCCAAATCGGGTCAATTTCAGATACGTGATCCAGCCAATGATGACGAAGACGGAGACGAGGATGCTATGATTGCCGCAGCTATAGAGGAGTCCAAGAAGACTGCCGCGCTTGAAGGGGCGTCGAGTGCTCGGCAGAACGAAGATCAGCTGAGTGAGGGGATAGCAGCTGCACTAGCCAGGCTCAGAGATAAGGACTAAAGGTCCTGGCCTCGGAGAATTTCACACCGCTAAGTCAGGCGAGTAGTGTACGATTGAGCTTTGTCTTTGCATGCATGAGGCCGAGTGCGACTATAGGCCGGCCGACCAAGTTTTGTGCGCCGGCAATGACCCATGAAATCTGACGACACCAGAAAGATGGATGATTACACGCAGTCGACTATTCTTTTTTTTTTCTCTTAGACCTGCCCGGGGCACGTGCATTACAGAATGTCTACTCGCTTCGCGGCTGCGTCTCGAAGAGTGTGTGCGTTATGCGGTCCAATACAGTACTGCAGTTGCATCTGCTGGTGCTGCTGGACTCCCACACTTGGCTTGCCTCCCCAACCTTGACCCTGCTTGCGTTCCGATTAATTAAAAGAACACCTTGTCTTGGCGGCGGCAGGTCAGGCGATTGGTTTGTGCAACATATACTCTAGCCACGCGACATGCAGGAACTCACACACTAAGCATGCGACGGAAAGTTGCATTTACAGTATTGTCGTTGCTCGAGATGGAATATCTAATCTAAACATGCCGCGGTATTGGGGAAACTCTCCTAAACTCGTATTCCTACTTGAGTATATACGTTGTCTACTGTGTGTGTAATAAGCAACAAGTCGACTGGCGAGCGGCAAGGCTAGTCCTGGAGGAGCAGCACCACGCAGGCATGACGTCCGTCCACACAGCCGCAGCATGTTGCATCCTGTCTGCCAGTACAAGGTATAATTGTGGCCTGCGCTGCAAGTCGACTTGTTATGAGGGGCAGTGCAGCAATCAGGTCCTAGCGAATGGCAAATTGATGTGCACATTCCAGGCTGCATAGGCAATCTTAAAATCACAAAGCATCCGTGTGTGTGATGCCAAGGCAGAGGGGGAGGAGTAGAGAGGTACAGAATATGAGTTCCTTGATTCGCTACCTACTCTCTGCCCACCCCCAACTTGACCACCGTCACTTGAGAGGAATTTCGAATGACCAAGAAATCAACAAAGATAAACCTATAGACGACTATTGCGTTACTCAACTGCTATCACAACTCACCTACAGTCTTGGGGTCTCGTGATGGCACATATTTTTTTTCTCTCATCTGATGCTTATCCTTGACACGAAGATTCCCATTTCCCCCGCAAACTGGCGCTGCGCTAGAGATGCTTGAGCCGCCGCTAATTGAAGCCCCCCGCAGATACTTTGCAGGGGGGCCAGGGGTGTCACCTCAAGCTTATCGACGCCTATCCAGGCTATTTTTTTGTATGATGACTCGAGACCTTGGACATGATCGGGGGGAGCGGGGGCCAAATCATGGCCAAATTTAGTCGTTGAACCTGCCGGTAGGCCAATACTGTTGGTTCAGAGACATGGTGTCTAGGGGATTGCCGAGATCCATGGATCGAGGTGATATCAGCACATTATCATTATTATTCGCGGTTAGCAGATGCAAACAGAGGGTTCTCCCATCCATTCCTGTCCTGTCCTGTCCTGCCTTACCCTCGTGCCATGGTCATCCGGGCGATTCGCTCTTCAAGGATTGATTCATCATGGCCGGAGCCGTGTAGTTGGCGTTGGCTATCCAAACAATTGGTTCAGATGACGGAACCGCAAGATGAAATCGCGAAATGATCTCTTCTGCCCTATTCCCTTTGTGGGCTTGTTTGAGAGAGAGGAAGACACTTCCGGAAGGTCGGTTCTTGCCGGGCCACTGTGGCTCAAAGCTTCCGAATCCATGGTTGTTCCCTTTGTAAACGCGTAACCCTGTTATGATCACATTGCCAAGTCTGGCATGAATAACATGGACTGCTATGAACTATTCTAATATTGCCCGGAGCAGGTTTAGAAAAAGAAACAGAAGACATGTTCTTTCAACGTCTGGCGGCTATTTTCGAAGCCGGCTTTATGCTTCCGTTTTAGTGCCAACTCCCGTCTTTTTTTTTCTCTTTTACCTTTTTTATCTTCTCCCCTTCAGTTCTTTCGCAGCCTGGTATTATTATTGTCTCCGTCAGGCCCAGACAAGATTTTGTGTACATGGCCAAATGCATGTATATTGGCGCACAAAAAGTCCCAGACTCATGTGGCACATGGTGTACATGCATTTCTCTCGCCTTGCTGGGCCTACATGTGTAGTCCCCCTCCATTCCCATCTCGTGTCTACGTCTTCTGGTCAACCATCGGATGTCGAGTTACATTCCGAAGCTGCAATGGACAGCCCTTGCTTGGTCATCTACCTACACCTTTTCCTGACTTTTCCTCCCTCCAGATGGGAACTTTGCACAACCAGCTTGCCTTTTTTATCGTACTTTGCTCTTCCCTCTACGGTAAAGCTTGAGCCTAAGACCCATATGATCACTTAGACAGGGTGACTAGGCAAGGCAGGCCCAATGGCCGGCCGCCTCCTGTCCATGACTCCTGGCTAGTCCCTTCGATGTTCTCCTTCACCGTGCTGATCTGCACCAGGTCATACTATCCAATTCTACTAATCCACATACACTACGTACCTGCAAGTTTGTGGATAGTACATAGGCTCCGGGTCGTGACTTAATTGTACCAACGGCCATAACGCAACGCAATATGTTGGATCCGTCCAGACTCCACCAACATGTCCCACCTCGCGCTTGCATACAAGATCTGCATGTTCTTTCCCAAGGCTTTGTAAGTCTGGTTAGGTTCTTGAGTAGGTACATATAGATATATATATATCAATCTCTTCCTCCCTCCCACCCGATCCGACATTCCAGACCCGCTGTTCCACCGTTCTTTGCATTCCCTAGTTCGCCGCCCCTCCCTGGGACGTTGTGAGCATTGTTTTTGTGTATATCACTTAATATTTCTTCTCTGCTTTTTGCACTTCTTGGTTTTGGAGCCATGGTCGCCTCGGCCTGGCGCATTGCTCTTCTCGGGGCAGTGGCCCCTGCCCTTGCCGCCCCGACTGCTCGTGCCGTTACCTACACGTCTCAGCCTGACAGGACTGCCGCTGTGCAGGAGGCCTTTGATCGAGCTTGGAACGGGTACTATACCTATGCCTTTCCCCATGATAGCTTGACTCCTCTGTCCTTGTCCTTTGAAGATGACTTGTAAGTTGAAACTCTATTTCATACACCATTGGTCAATGCTGATGTCTGTGACTGTAGCGGCGGTTGGGGCGCCAGTGCTGTCGACGCCTTGTCTACTGCCACAATCATGGGAGACAAGAAGGTCGTGAATCAGATTTTGGACTACATTCCAAAGATTGACTTCACCAAGGCAAACTACACCAGCTCCATTTCGCTCTTTGAGACTACTATTCGTTACCTCGGAGGGCTTGTCTCTGGTATGATTCTTGTATAAAGCATCTCCCAAATCCAAAGTGCTGACAATTGGTCAAGCATACGATCTCTTGTCGGGTCCAGCCAATGACCTGGTAGAAAATCAGGATTCCGTCGCTTCTATTCTGGACCAGGCAGTGACTCTTGCAGATCTGCTCTCTGTATCCTTCGACACTGCCACCGGCATCCCCCACAACAATCTAGATTGGGCACCAGTACGCCCTCAATCTGATACTACTAATGGTCTTGCCACCATTGGCACTCTGGTGCTCGAGTGGACTCGACTGAGCGACCTTACTGGAAACAGGACATATGCTGAGCTGTCTCAAAAGGCAGAGTCGTACTTACTCAACCCCCAGCCCAAGGACATTGCGGAGCCATTCCCGGGACTATTGGGTAATGCCATTGATATCGCTACCGGAAAGTTTGTCAACTCCAACGGCGGCTGGGGAGGAGGTACAGACAGTTTCTATGAATACCTCATCAAGATGTACTTGTACGATACAAGCCGTTTCGGCAGCTACAAGGATCGTTGGGTTGCTGCAATTGACTCGAGCATCAAGTATATTGCATCGCACCCAACGAGCCGCCCCGACTTGACATTCCTGGCTGGTTGGCAGAACTCTACGACCCTGTCGTACTCTTCTCAGCATCGTAAGTCGTTGATCCACTCACTCATCATTTACAACTTTGGTTTCTAACATGTCTAGTCGCTTGCTTCGATGGAGGCAACTTCATCCTCGGCGGTCTCACTTTGGGCAACCAAGATTACGTGGATTTTGGTATTGAATTGGTCGATGGCTGTCATGATACCTATATTCAGACAGCCACTGGTATCGGACCAGAGATCTTCGCCTGGCAAGACAACGCCGTTTCAGCCAACGCAAGCAACAACCAAGGTCCACCAGCGGCGCAGGCAGATTTCTATGCCCAGGCTGGGTTCTGGATCCCCGACGGAGACGCGCAGTACATTCTCCGTCCTGAGGTGATCGAAAGTTACTACTATGCCTGGCGGGCTACCGGCGACTCAAAGTACCAAGACTGGGGCTGGGATGCTTTCCTTGCCATCAACAGCACGTGTTCAGTGGGCGACGTGGGTTTTGCAGGTATTTCCGACGTCAATGTCGCCGGTGGCGGAACAAAGTACGACGAACAAGAGTCTTTCTTCTTTGCCGAAGTGATGAAATACGCATACCTGATCCAGGCTCCAGAGGCCGTGTGGCAGGTCTCGGCAGACCAGCAGAACACGTATGTTTTCAACACGGAAGCTCACCCGGTCAAGATTGCCGGTAGTGCGGCTTAATGGAGGCAGGGTGTTTTCCAACTAGGTGAGCCGGCGAACACGCTCGCATGCGATTCGCGATACATGGTGGATCTGGAGGGGTTACCGCATAGGATTCGGCGTTTACAATAGGGACATTGCACTACAGTATTATTGCTAGTAATGGTATTTGATTATTATTGTTTAAAGTTATTTGTTGCTGACTCAGTGGCTGCATCAAGACTCTGCGTTCCGAACTGTAAGTAAGCTTAATCATGATTGTGGAAATGCTGATGTGTGTAGGTATTTTGCAGGATTCAGCAAATTTCCAATGAGGGTCTCCACCACCTAGCATTTGATGTCTCTCTGTAGGGCTGATCTGATGCACTCAATGTCTGGAGATCTACAAACTCCCCGCCCCAGTCAGCGCCCATCGCAGCGCCATCACTCGGCCCCGGGCCCCGGCATTCTTAGTTGTCCGAGGTTTGGATATACAAAGACTCAATTGCGTCACCACTCGACACATGTCTCTCAGGAACCATTTTCGCAAAGGCGCACCGACATATAAAGACAAAAAACACAATTGATACAAAATGGACGTCCTCATTCAAAGGATACATGCAAGGATATATTATTTTATCCTTTTTTCATTTACAATAATTATTCTTCCTCTTTTTCTGTATAGCTAAATCCTGGCAGTGCAGACCTACCTCACCCAAGGTCGCGCGTTCTGGGCATTTTCTAGGTTCACTGACAGCGCCCAGGGACGCAAAGTCGCACCTAGTATACCCACGTGCTGTGGATTGCTCACCTCAGCAACGGGACAAACCCATATTCGACATCAGCTTTCCATCATCTTTCTACCATTTTCAAAGAGATCGTACCTTCTCAGCAGGGGCGGCACGCGGCATAGAAAGAAGAAACCATGGCACTCCTCCAACATCTACTCCACGTGACAAACTTCCGCAGCCCGCTGATGCGGACGCTCGTCCCCAGTGTGGGCGCTGCTTTTGCCATTCAGGCCGCGTTTGCCATACCGTCTGTATACTACCAGACGGAGCGCTTCTATGACGCCTCGGGCGCGCTCACCTTTCTCTCCGTCACCCTGCTCAGCCTGTACCTCCCGCATCTGCGCACGCGCGCCGCCGCCGCCGTCCGCGGCACCGACGTCAAGCTGCCTAGCCTCTTGTCAGCGTTTGTGGGAGGAGGCAGCGCCGGAGCCTTTAATTGGCGCCAAATTGCTCTGAGTGCTGCCGTGGCCTTTTGGAGTATTCGTTGTAAGTTAAAGTTGGGACTGGGCGTTTCATCCTCCTCCTTTCTTTCTAGCAACCAAGAAACAAAAGCCTGTTTTGGCAGTTGAGAGAGAGAATGCCCATGAGGAAACACACATGTGGATATGAAATTAATCCCACTCTGAAACGAGTGCTGACTTTTTGTTGGAAACATTAAATAGTGGGGTCCTACCTCTTTCAGCGCGTGCTCAAGGAGGGCAAAGACTCACGATTCGACGATATCCGGGGCTCGGCGGCCAAGTTCTCGGCGGCATGGACGGGCCAGGCCGTCTGGGTCTCGCTGTGTCTGCTGCCCGTGATTGCCGTCAACGCTATCCCGCCGGCCGCTTTTGCTGCCGTGGGCTCGGCCATTGGCCCTTTCCGGCCCGCAGATGTGCTTGGTTTGGCCTTGTATCTTGGCGGCTTTGCCTTTGAGATTACGGCGGATCGTCAAAAGAGCCAGTGGATGCACGAGAAGCGTACCAAGCAGCATGATGAGGCCTTTTTGACACGTGGGCTTTGGAGCAAGAGGTGAGTTTTGTGTCATGATATACTGATGCCAAGCATTTTTCGACACTAATCTAGAGACAGTCAATACCCAAACTATTTCGGAGAGACGACCCTCTGGACCGGCATTGCCACGGCTGCCGCTGGTATTCTCATCACCTCTCCCGTACAGGTCGGCCTAGGCTTGAGCGGTGGTATTGGTGGACAGCTTGTTGCGCTGGGTCTTTCGTATGTTAGCCCTGCCTTTGTCACGCTACTCCTGACCAAGGTGTCTGGTATCCCCATGAGCGAGAAGAAGTATGACCAGAGGTACGGTGACCGCAAGGACTATCAGGAGTGGAAGAAGAACACGCCCAAGTATATCCCCAAGTTGTGGTAATAAGGCGACGCATTCAGGAACATTATACACATCATAGATCTGTACGACAGCGACATAATTGTTTGAGTCAAATGTACAATTTCAGTTCACTACATTCCATGATGCACTCGTAAAACTCCAAGCCTTGGCAACCTAATCCCGAATGATATAACCAGCGCCTTGCCAATGTCGCAATGTTTCCGAATTATCATAATCAACGTGAGGAATATTTACTTGTGGAATGCCTTGACCTTTTCAACTTCGTCGTAGCTGCCTAGGTAGATTCCAGACTTGTCGTGAATGTGCTCGGGCACGACTGTCAACATGCGGTTCATGTTGCTGTCAATTGCTTGACCACCGGCTGCACCAAAAAAATGTCAGATAACTTGTAATTCACAGAGACTTTTCGATTGGATAGTTGAACTTACCATTTTCAAACACCATTGCCATGGGAGCACACTCGTACAGGATTCGCAGCTTGCCCTTGGGCGCCTTCTTGTCGGCTGGGTAGGCAAAGATACCACCGTACAGCAGGGTTCGGTAGGCATCAGCCACCATGGAACCGATATACCTGGCACTGTAGGGCTTACCGTCGCCCTGGGGGAACTTGAGCGAGTTAAAGTAGGCCTTGGTGTTTTCTTGCCAGTAGGCCGAGTTACCCTCATTACACGAGTAGATGGCGCGGCTCTTGGGAATCTTCATGTTGGGGTGGGTGAGGATAAACTCGCCAAACGAGGCGTCAAGGGTGAAGCCGTTGACGGAGCCGCCCTTCATGGTAATGACGAGTTGGGCCGAGGCGCCGTACATGGTGAAACCAGCGGCCAGCAGCTCGGTTCCGGGCTTGAGGATATCCTCCTTGGTGCCCTGGGAGCCCTCGGCCAGCTTATGGATACCAAAAATGGTGCCGACCGACACACCGGCGTCCAGGTTGGAGCTGCCGTCAATGGGGTCGCAGGCCACGGCGTAGCGCGCATTGGTCTTGTCCTTGAAGAAGATGATGTCCTCCTCCTCTTCCGACACCACCAGGGCGCACCTGTCCGACGATCGCATCGCCTCGATGAAAATGTCATTGCCAATCACGTCTAGCTTCTTCTGATCGTCGCCCGTGGCATTGGACTGGCCGGCCAGACCCGTCAGGTTTACTAATGTAGCTCGGCGGATATAGTACGCAATCGCCTTGAAGGAGAACTGGAGGGCGTGGCATAGCAGTCTGCAAACAAAGGGCATTTGTCAGTAAATTTCTTGATTACGAACCAGTCCCGGCATGTTCGGGAGGGGAGTGTCCTTACGTAAAGTCTCCCGTTGCTTCCGGGACCTTGTGTTGCTCTTCCGTGAGGAAACGTGTGAGAGTAACAATGTTGGTGTTGATGGTCGCCGTCTCGGCGGGAGGCACATCACCGTTGGAGGCCATTGTGAAGGTTGTTTTGGTATGCTTTTGAAAGAAACGGAAAAAGACGTTGTGAGGTTAGTCGTCGTGGGGTTGTGGTGCAATGGCAATGTTCGCGGAGAGTTTCACCAGTAAGTTGAGCTTGGTAAGGTTTGTCGTCAGACAGATGGAAGAATAGACAACAGACTTATACGTCAGGAGGAGGAAGAAGATGAATCTGGAACAGGAACAAGGACTTTGACCAGAAGATCGTCAAAGTGTGACCAAATAACTACGTACATAAGTACATATAACTAAAGTAATCGATCGAGGGGAAGCTTGGACTTATGAAGTCAACCACGGAGTCCAACCCGCTTCTTCTACTCCACACCCCTCCTTCCTGGTGTCCCTTGACATTCTGGGGGTTCCCACGATGCATTTGCCTATGTTCGGCAGGGTACTGTTGGGGACGAGGTACGCGCCGCGCTGCGTTTCGGCAAAGGGGCACACGATAACTGAGCAATTGGCTTTGTCTAGAACCATACAGGCTTGCTCTTTTCCCCTTTTGCCGGCCGAATGGGCATGGGCTGCGGATGGTTTCACGAGCTTGCAAAGAGGATTTTCCGGGTGGCATCGTGAAGGGTGCAAATGACTTGTACCGAGGCGGGTGTTCTCGGCCATTTCGGGTTATCAACGTCATTTGGGGCCAGACACTTTTAGTTAGGAGAGAGTCAGGTCTATCAATGGGGTTTTGCTGCATCACTGGGGGCTTCAGTTGGTTGTCCAGACGCGACTCGCTGCAGGGAATGGATGTCTTGGACTTTGTGTCCCTTGAAGTAATTTCTCCGGTTGATCTTCACTGTCCAAGTAGTATATTCTGTTGGCGCATTTCGACCTTGAATCGCATTCGTCTTTCTGGGCAATGCGACTTTGGGAGCTGCGAGACTTGGACCCCGCCAAAGCCGGCAACACCACCCCGCCGAAGCTTGTCCCGCGGAAGTGGGGTTTGAGCTCCTAGCTTGCGCTGCAGCCGGGCATTTGCAAGTCCAGTGGATTATTGGGTATTAGTGGCCCCAGACAATGCGTGCCAGGTGACCTCAAGGTGATGGAATCAACTGAAAACGGCCAAGGACGGAGAAGCTTTGATCCCACCTCCGGGGCGTGACCAGCCTAAGTAAAAACGCCCGGACGCTGGATCTTTCTTATTCCGGACGCACCCACAGCGTGTCGTCCCCCACCCAACGCGGTTCAACTCCATAAAATAATTCTTTCGGAATTTTTCTGCCACGATTTTGCCAACAGCTTCACAACACAACACGGCAGCTCAGGACGCGAGAAAATTTTCGAGCCTTTCCGAGCTGCCTGCCATGCCTCTGGTGAGTACTGCGCATTTCTTCCACAGATTCCCTCCCTCTACCCATTGATGACAAGTTGTAAACCGCAAACTAGAGTCTTTGACCTCTTGGAATGAAACTGTTTTTACACGTCAGTCTGAGACAACACCTCTCTACAGCCTTATTCTGTCCTCTCGTTTGGTCGAGGCGCGCACTAACGCTGTTTTAGAAGTCAGAGTTGCCATGAGCAAAGACGCACGCTTGCGAACGAAGTCCCTGTGACTATTCGCATGCAAATCTCTACAACCAAAACCCAGCCTGTACACTTTCGGTATGTCGGCCTCGCAATCCTCCTCGTACCCCTCCTTTCCATGATGATCATTTTCTGTGCTTCGGCACAGCTGGAAATTACCGTCTGAAATATTTTGACGAAAAAAACCTGGCTGTTTTCTGATACCACAAACCAACACAATCTTGCTTGCCCACACCTTCGCGACAAGACATGCTAACATGGCATGGTAGTTTACAGGCAGGCATTGTCCTATGAGTATGTTTCCGCTCTACTTACTACATCTACCTCGACGCCTCTTTACATGATGAAACGGCACTGGGCTCCGAATCACAATTCGCATGAGTAGATACGCCATTTTGTGGCAGGCCTAGAAAACCTCGCCCACTGATTCAAAGAACACATTTCCACCGTCATTGCCTCTTCCCGAGCAAGACAGTAGTCTAATATACATCGACTACAGACTGGACGATCAATTTGGTCACAAAAAGATTTAGCACAGCTCTATTGTACTGGGTAAGTTGGCACAGTCTCGCATTGCTGCCCTCACTCCTTTCGCCTGATGACATCTTGATGACGAGTCTTATTCGGGTTTCCGATGCAGACAACCTTTTTATTTTTACCATTCATGCTTTACTGAATGCGAAACCATACCCACTTGGTCATTATATACATCGTTCCAAGGACCAAGCTAATATGGACTTCTTCAGTTTGCTAGATACCGAATCACGTACAAAATGTTTCGTAGCTGGTCAAGAAAGGGCCACGTCGGTATTGCATAGCTTTGAAGGCTCCTCTCGTGATGTAGCTGCGTCACAGGCACATGGCGAAGTCGCTCGAGTGTAATATGCATGCTATACACTGTCAGGCAACATCGGCTTAGGTGTGCACTTGCCAATGGTAGGTCAACTTTTTCTTTTCACAGCACTATTCAAATGATGATTCGACTTAACCAAATTGACAAGCATATGTCAGAGCTTAACCGCGCAGAAGAGAACTGTCACGTCTGACTGCTCTCCCAACCATTCTATCTATTCTCAAATTGTGGAACTCATTGACTGACTCCAACTCAAGTAGTAGTAAAATGGCGATTGGCCAACAGCCTTACACCCTCGGTATCACTTATATTACAGGTAAGGCACTACTCCTTCTCCACCTCTTCCCTCTTCACTACAATGATGATCATATTATCACGACGGTCAACATAGCTCTATGGGCCTTGATGATACCGCCTTTGACAAGGCATACTATATGAAACTGAAAAAAAAAAATCACCCATCTTATTCTTGCACATCTGTCAACCGTCGTAAGACATTGTGCTAATCAGCAATGCAGGTCCAAGCTTTCTCTACATGCTATTTTGCCAGACTACTTGTGTCTGGTTCTCTGCACCTACTTGTGACTGACGACTGATGAAGAACGCACTCTGTCGCGTGATATCGTTTTACGGTCTGACATTTGCTACTGGTATCATCACATTGCATGTCTATCCACCAAGCGCCTAAGACGACTCTGTTCACATGGAAATGCCTTTGAATCGCGGGCCTGTATGTAAGGTAAGTCATAGTGCGGTAGACGAACATCCTTCTAGTCCATGGGATAATAAACAATATACTGTTTGATCATCTGAATTGAGAAAATTTATGGATTGCAAAACCATTTTCACCTATTCTGTGATGTGATCTGTGTACGTAGAAGAACCACTTTCCCAAAGTACTTTTAAACGCCGTGTGCAACATGCATGGGTATTTCTAAAACAAAGCAGCCAGGACTCCCTACCAAAACACTGTCGAGAAGACACATAACCAGCCCAAGACACCCATCGCCACTGGTGGCTCAATCGATTGAACATGCATTGCAGCGCTGCTGGGTGTCGATGTGGCCGTGAACACGCCAGTCAGCGGCTCCGTGACAGTAGTCGTGGCGACCACTGTCGTGGCGCTCGGCACGCTGGTCCCGCTCTTGGTGACGAGGGCGCCGTTTACAATGGCCACGTTCTTTCCTTGACCGTCTGGATCTAGTAGCTGCTTCTGCTGCTCCTCGCTGCAGCTGCCAGCCATGTTGCGTATCCAGCACGTGCCAGAGGGACTGGCGGGCAAGGCAAAGGTCTTGGTCGCGTTGGCGGCGCCGGTCGTGTTATACACCGAGAGGTCGATTGGCTGACCGTTTGAAACCGAGGTCCCTAGGATAATGCGAGCAAAGACTTGAAAGGCCGTCTCGGGCTGGTAGGCCGGCACCGAGTGTCCGGCCTGGTAGATGCGCGAGAACGAGAGGTTGCCCAGCTGCCGGACCACGCCGCCAATGTAACTGTCATTGACAATAATGGGGGCGTAGCCGGCGCCGGCAAAGGACGTGTACTGCATCGACTCGGTATCCGGAGAGGCGGGAGAAACGGCGGCGGCGCTGGCTAGCGCGAGTGAGATGGCTTCGCCGCCCAGCCAGTTGCAGATGTAGTCCCGGTCACCGTAGATGAGGCCGACGCGAATACCGTCACTCAGGAGCGAGGCTAACTTGGGAACGAGGGACTCGCGCTCGTAGTCACCCGTCGAAGCGAATGCCGAGGCGACAGTGGAGCTGATCTCGGTGTAGTTTGTAGTCGCGCCAATGGCCTGCTGAAACTCGGCGCTGTTGAGGTAGGCCAGGTAACGCGAGGGCGGGAAAGAGTCCGGCAGCAAGGCGGCAATGTCGTAGACGCTGCGGCTGGCGTCGGTGTAGGGAAGCATGACGTTGTTGGAGCAAAAGTCGTAGGCTTGCGAGCAGAGCTCATTCACGGCCGTGACGGCGCCCGTGTTGTCCGGGTCATTGGTCTGTACGGCGGCACGGCAGCTCGTGATCAGCTCCTGACAACCTCCCTTGACGTAGAAACTCGCATTAGCAGCCTGCGCTCGTACCGAGTTGATGGCCACCAATCCATAGGAATTCTTTGTTGCCATGGCAGGATAATAGGGTGCCTGGATGAGATCGTCGATGCATCCATTCACTATACCGAGAGACTTTAGTCTGATATCGACCGTTGTGTTCTTGGATATGGCACCGCTGGCTCTTGCCGCGTTCATCTCTTGCCATTTGGATGCAAAGACTGGCCCATACTTCCCACCATAACTCTCGGCGAATAGATTCACCCCTAGCGAGTCACCGTCGGGCGGATTGAATTCTGGAAATACTCCCAGAAAGCCCTGCAGCAGGTGATAGACGGCCATGGCAGCAGTCTCAGTCGTGTTTGCCGTAGCCGAGGCATTGCCGGAGCTGAATGTGCCATTGAGAAATAGACTCTCGGGAAGCGAATCCGGGCGGCTCGCAGGTGGCACCGAGACTTGGTTTGTGAGCAGGTCGAGGGATCCGCGAGTCGCATTGTCATAGGAGAAGCCGACTTGGCTTGGCTGATCGACAAAGAGCATATTAGAGGCGCGATCCCAGCCCCATTCGCGCGCAACAGTGGTGTACCGATCGGGGCCCTGTCCAGCGTCGACAACCTCGCACGGCCCGTTCTCGTTGAAGAGGCCGAGCATCGACGAGGCACCCGGTCCGCCATTGAGCCAGACCGTCAGAGCCGCCGTGGGCTCGCGCGAACCTATGAACCAGAAAAACAGGTTCGTCGTCGTTGTGGTGGAGGAGGAGTTGTCGCTGCTCTCGCCGTAGGCCGCCAATGGTACTTGGACCCACCCGGTATACTGCTGCTGCGTGTCAAAGGCCGTAGCGCACGCGCCGGACGAGGGGATCTTGTAGCTGATGGTAATGTTTGGGTCAATGGGCGAGGGGATGGTCGTGAGGCTCGGCTCTGGGTCGGGGAACTGCGCCAGGCTCAGACCGACGAGGAGGGCGGCGAGCACTTGGCCGGGGAGATTCATTGTGGCAACTTGGCAGGTATCATGGTGGTTGCGCCCGAAAGAAGCTGGCTTCTGTTATTGAAACTTCAGAATCTCATTGATGAGTGCTAGTCAAGGCGCCCGAGAGATTGATTGCCAAGGATGCGCGTCTGTGAGAAAATGCAGTGAAATAGATTCAGAGACAAGATTTGATCATCCAGAAAAAAAAAAAAAAAAAAAGGAATTTACAAAAAATATTGGTTGCAAAGTCCATGGTGGTGGTTGCATGAGAAAACCAGAGTGCCAATGACGACGAGGAATTCCGCCCGGCATGGTTACAGCACAGGAAATGCAGGTGCAGAATATTGGCAGGGATGCCGTGTTACATGCCAAGAAATGACGCACATGTTGTACGTAGCAAGCGAGTATCACTTGACATGGCTTCTGTACTGACCTTTTACGAATACTCATTCCTCGACGACTTGTGTGTATAATCATTGATGATGTAGGTTTGACCGTCACATACAATTTCTGCGCCTGTCTTGGCTCCATGGCTCCCCCCGAAAAGAACATGGATTGCAATCTATCAAACAGTAAGCTTTCCTCGCCAACATGAAAATGACGCAAAAAGAAGGGATGTTTCCATGTAGAATAGACACTGTATCATCAACCAAGGACTTGAGTCTTGTGACAAAAATCACAAGACATCACTCGGGGGTGTGTAGCGCATAATCGAGGACGTCAAATGATTACAAGGAGGCATCTTGATTAGTTTGACAGCACAGATTCACTCATTTATCATCTGCCCAATTGAGAAAAAGACAAAAAAAGACTTTGAAGAAAGTTGAAATCATTAAAATTAATTAGCAGTAAGAGAAGCAAGATATATATACCATAATTATCCTATGTTGGTGAACAGTGAGTGTCAATGCTCCCCCATGACAACGCTAAACCACCAAAATAATGGATGAACTGCACCTCGAACTACAAACCTTGATGGAAGTACCATTACTCACCGAGGACTCTATAGATCATATTCTCAAAACACATGCCAGAGTATATAATACTTATTGGGTTATACTAAAACATTAGATGAACCCCCTCATCAGCGGTCTAAGCTGCGAACCTCATACTGTATAAAAAGGTATAATGACTACTGCAAGACACCGTGAGTTCTAACATGGTATAGTCCCTCAACCATCATTCCGCCTCATTCCACATTTCAGGCAGGACATTTATGGTTTAACCTTTTCTAACACTTGGCCGCATACAATGTAGTCTCTTTCCCCTGCCCCCTGGAGCCAATTTCAGGTTGCATGCAGGGTTCGAAGCGCTAAAGCGGTCCGGTGCGTGCGGCTGAGGAAGCAGCAATAAAGAAGATCCATATGCGGATCCCCTGTTTGTGCCTGTAGTCTGCCTTGTCTGCAACGGTCACCAGGGCATATATGGCGTCTGCTATTCCCGAGACGTTGAAAACAAGCTCGTCGCTTGTCTCGTGATATACTCTTGGTGGCAATCATGTCCAGTAACTATGATGATGGCGGCAAATCGGCCACCGATATCATCACTTATATTGGCGTGCCCCTAGCCGTTCTTGGCGTTCTGCCCATTCTCTACAATACAGTCGCGACTCTGGCCGCCCTGTCCAAGATCAAGCGCATGCTGAGAAAAGCAAGACTGCCCGCCTTGACACGAAGTGATATAGTCAACAAGGTGATCGAGGTGGAACTACCGCGCTATGCCGTTACCCCGTGGGATCGCTTCAGCGAGAGTTCCGAGTACTGGGAACTCTCGAGGCAGCCGAGCCAGATCCCGGGCGGCAGCTGGACGACGTTCAATTGGAAGACCAACACCATTGGCCTCAAGACGCAGCGTGTCGAATACGCGGATCAGCTGCGCCAGCCCCAGGTCGAGGTTGCATTCGACGAGCTGGTTTCTTACCTGTTGGACCTCGGGGCTATTCCCGACGCTCATGGTTGGAAGCTCCTGCGCACGACGGGACTGTGGACGCCGATGGGTTGTGCCCTGATGAAGTCACTGGATGGCCACAAAGCTCTGACCATTGCGCCACTGGATGATTCAGACGGTCACTTGTCGCTGGCAGTGGAATGGTCTTCATCATGGACCACTCGAGATTCCGGTTCGTTGCCTCCGTACTGGGTACAACTGCCACCGTTTCAGCAACCCAAGAAGCCAGTTAGTGTGAATCCCGGAGACTCTTCAAGCCAGAACGATGCAGTGGGGGAATCCGGCGAAGCGGGCGAGTCATCACCAGCCAAGAAAGTTACCTCAAAAGAGTCCCTGGACTCGATTCAGAAACAATCACAATCAAACTCCAAGACACCAATAAGCTGCCATATATCCATTGACGGGCTAAACGCTGCCCTCAGCCAAGACCTAGAGATCCTCGCATCGGACTCTACACCCGAGAGTCTCTACATTGAGCATCTGCGCATTCGCGCCGGCAAGCCAGACGGCATGTGGTTCGCCAGCGCCGCGACGGCGTACGGGACGACGGGCCAAACCATGCTCTGGAACTACAAGATCCCCGATGAAACCCTGAGCTTTGCCGTGCGGGACACGGTGCCGTGTGGCGTGCTGGTGCTGCTGGACGTGGTCGACGAGGCCGACACGCCGCAGTGGGCCACAAGGTTCAACACGGGCATGGAGTACCACGAGGCCGTCACGCGGCGCCACCAAGAGCAGAGGCTGGCCATGGCGGAAGAGAACCGCATGTCTCACGAGCAGCGCCAGATCGCTATTAGTAACCGGATGCAGAGAGAGATGCAGCAGCGTATGAACGACAGTAAGTTTGGAGCCACACTCTTCCTAGATCTATTTCAATATTCTTCAATGCGCGGGGCAAGTGATCTGACGAGAAAAATCAAAACCAGTGCGCGATAAAATGCGCCTCGACGCCCAGCGCCGGGATCAACGCGAGCTCGAGGCCCTGCAAAGCCCCAAATGGGACAACAAGCTCGTCGCCGAGCACAATCTCAAGTGGCTCAAGGCCCGAGGGCATATAGATAGTGATGTCGACCTCAAGGATGCTGTGGGGATGTTTTTGCACCGCATGGTCCTCGATGGACAGTTCGCCTCGTCCCTGTGCCGTGTCCTTGCTCTGTGGAAGGCGTGGGCAGACAACGGAGGCATGAGGGTGTCGGACCTGTCTGCGTTGCGAGAGTCTCAGGACATGTTTGCCAGGGCCAGTCTTCTCATAGCCATGATCAAGGATACAACCACGGCTGTCGATGGCACCGTGGCCATGGACTTGCAAGAATGCATGAGGATGTGGAAGACGGTCAGACTGGGCTAAAGTCTTGGTTCGTATTTATGATGTATCTGAGACTACGATTTGCAAAAACTCGCTTATGTATAAAATATGTTCAGGTTTGATCATCTTGATGTATAACTGAAGTTTGGATCGTAAATGCGTCACGTGGATTGCTATGCAGCATGGCAAGGCAAGTATATAACATCCTTGAAGCATCGGCATCTCGTATCAGAAGCACAGATTGCATGTAAACCGCCATGTCACTCAATAGAAAGCTCATTCAAAGGATACTCGATGCAAAAACCCAATAATCCAAAAATGGTTCATCATTTCTTCTTAGTGGCAAACCCCCCTGCCGATATCCACTGCCGGTGACCGGCAATCTGGGGTAAACCACCAAGTGAGGAGGTTGGCGTGCCTCGCTAGTCATAGCTCTTATACCTTCCCCATCTGTATAATGGAGACACCATTTGTCCAGCGACTGTGTGCAAGTCCTGTCCAGCATCTCGACTCGAGTTCCGCGTCCCACATCTCGTAACCGCGCTTGGCTCGGCATTCTTGGGCCCATTGATCGTCGTGTGTGCTGGTAGAAAGTGCATATATTTCACCTCTTGATCATTTCAATACTTGGCTCTGATTCCAACCTGGCTGTTATATCATATCAAGTTACCGCTAGTACACGGAATACCAATACACACTGGACTCTTTATAATTATTTTATCGAAATCACAGGCAGAATGCGATTCGCCAATATCTTTACATCTCTCCTATCGGTGGCCATGCCCACCGTCACCGCGGCTACCCCGGCGGCGCCAGGCTTGACCTACCTTTACACGGCCAACGTGACGCTGGGCACCAAGTTCAGCATGGGCGTCGGTCCATATGGAGAACGAGTAGCGATCCCCATCATTGGTGGCACGTTCAGCGGGCCCAACTTGAACGGTATGTTCAACTCACAATTCCCATGTATCACGGAAAGGGAAAGGACCAAGCAAAATGGTGTTTTCGTCTTTGCTGACTCACAAATACAAACAAAAGGCACTATTTTGAATCTCGGGGCCGATTGGGGATGGACGGACACGCACAATAATCAGGTTACATTTCATCCGGACACGCGGTATCAACTCCGTACTTCGGACGGAGCCAATATCTTCATACAGACCGAAGGCCCCAAGCAGGTATGTGCATTTCAGGGAATTGACAAGAAAGGGGGAAAAAGACGATGAGCCTCTGACCAAGAAAACAGGCCGACGGAACCATTCATCTCAGAGAAAAGTTCGAAACGGGCAGCCCAGACTATTATTGGCTGAACAATATTGTAGCTATTGGCATCCTGACGTCGGGAGACGGTTACGTTGTGATTGACACGTGGCAGGTGAGTTGAGAATGTGGCGTCTGTGAACATTTTCGAGAGTGTGATGAATCGCGCCTCATGACATGAACGCTCTGATTTCTTCTTCTTTTTCAAAAGATGGCTAGCTGACGAGTCAAATTGTAGATTACGTCGCCAGCTGCATGATGATGCCGTGCTGGACATGATGGAACAACGGGGACACGTGGAATCAAAGCGTAAATCAATTCAAAATCCTCGGCATCAAACTCGTGTATTCTTTTCTTTGCGGATGCATTGGCCCAGTCGTGCAGAATCATAGACTGCCAATCTTTATTTTTCCAAAGAACGCGCCGACAAGACCGACATCACGATTGCAAGAGCATTAGCTCAGTGTCATGTTATTTTAAATTAGGTCGTGACAAGAATCTTCCATGAGGTTGGGCTATGGTCCCAGACTTTTGAATTTTTTTGTATTATCATGGACAACTCATAAGTTCAAAGCAAGTGCAAAGTCCAAGCGGCTCAGCGTACACATGAATCATGCCAGTCACCTCTCACCCTAGCCACGATGTATGTACATATATTCTCAGCTTGGCTTCGCGCCAACGATCTCGTCTAATACCATTTTTGGTTAAGCAGTGAGTTCTTCTATCTGCCACTAGAGAAAGCGCTTTTGACCTCGCTTCGTGGCCACTCGAACAAAACATCACCACCGTACACTGTAGATGTAATGGTGGAGATTCTGACCTCGACGTCGCCGTAAAATTGTTCGCACTCCTTGAGTACCTTGTTCACTAGTGCTCTGCTGCTTGTCACGCTCGGGTTCTCGTCCGAGTCGCCAAAGTGCTTGTCGACTCTCTTCCTCAGAGCTTCCACTCCCTTCTTGACCTCGCGGCCGTCGTAATTTGACAGGATTTTGTTGAAGGTTGCCTTGGAATTCGATGGCTGCGATGCAATGGTCGTGGGTGACTTGCCCGAGGTCAGCTGGCCCTCAATATTCTCGACATACTCCAAGAGTTTGCCCAGAGGCCGGCGCATGACCGCGTTTAGGTAGAGATTCATGTGCTCGTTCATCTCCTTATCGGCCTCCTCTTTCCAGTCTTCGAGAACCTCCAGCCCACGTGTGTCGAGCTCCTCTAGGAAATGATTCATGTTTTCGATGAGCAAGATGTGGTAGTTCAATGCTTCCTTATCTTCGGGATCCGCACCAGCATTGGTCAGGGTCGCCGGGTTTTCTCGAGCAATCACCTTGAGAGATTCGAACATGGTTTTGATGATACGATTATACTCGCGGTCAATGGATTTGCGCGCCGAGCTGGTTGTTTCGGCCACCGCCATCATATTCTCGACTGCAACAGAGAATTGTGGGAAGATTCGAATAAATGATATAACGCCTTTGCGCTTCTTGATTTTGACCTTGGTCTCTTCGATGGCGCGGATTTGCTCATCCACAAATCTCGTGAACCGTGATTCCAGGTTGTTGTGCAGTTTTTGCAATACATTGTTGAGGAAATCTTGATTGGACTGGGTCATGTCCGAGTGCTTGCGCTCGAGCACGGCCAGTACTCCAACTCCTTGACTGAGGCTTGGTCAGTTTATGCCCATCACAGCATATAAGCGAGTATATGTATAACTTACAGTGGATCTTGTGATAGCACCCAGTCAACGGTTTGCTGCAATTCAGTTTCTATGAAACCGAATATCACCTCCATCGCACGCGTCACTCTTTTGGCGAGATCCCTATCAGGTTCCATGAGTCTGTGTCTCCTCAAATCGCCGTAACGTCGATCACGAGGTTTTGCCGAGGCGACTGCGTCAGGGAAGTCCAAAGTTTCCAGTGTCGTGGCATGGAAAAAGTCAATGATAAAGTTTTGCTCCATTTCCACAAGTGGCAGTAGATCGTCGGCAATGCCTGCGAATATCTCATATGGCAGGACGCGCTCGGCCTTCTCGACGGCACCCTTGCTGCCGTCTCCTAGGGGCGACCGTAGAGACCTGGCAAGTGTCTGGCTTCGTTTCACAGTGAGTTTCCTTGCAGTGGCCATTGTGCTCTCCTGCTGCTTCTCTGCTTGTGCCGTAAAGAGGAGTTCAGCTTCCTCGCCGGTTGGCTTGCTAGCATTGCGCTTCCACGCGGTCAGTACTTCCTTGAATTCCGACTTGTAAATTGGAAAGTTCTTGTCCTGATAAATCTGGAGAAACGTGTTCCACCCAGTCAGATCCAGGTCACGCGCGTACACCATAAGCGGGTTGTAGCGCCACAAAAGATCACGACCAACATCGTGGTGCTTTGGGTCGACCTTTTTGGACAGCGCCCCATCCAGGCTCTTCTTGACCTCGCGCGCAGCCAAGTCAAACTGCCGCTCCATGAACTCTCGGTATCGTATTAGGAATTGGGAGCTGCTAGTGAGGTACATCTCTTTCTTTTCCTGTACGATGCGCATCTTGCCATAATCGGCATTGAAGCCGCTCTGCTGGTCTCCAAGACTAAGATCGTCTCCTCTGGATTCTGCACCGTCCATGGTAGGATCAATCTTCATCATAGCTTTGTACAATGTCACCAGCGTAGACTCGACATCTTCCAAGCCAGCCATGGAGTCCAGGGGGGTGACCTCGAGAGGTCGGAGATCCTCACGCTGTATTGCACACGTGTCGAGAAGAGATTCCAACTCTTTCCTGAGCAGCTTTTGGTTCGCAGCTTGCACTTGGAGACCTTGGCCTTGAGCTTCAATATATGCTATGTCTTCAGACAGGGTCTATGAGTAAGAGTTAGCGACCACCATGACCTTGACCCATTGATATGTTTTGGACCTACCCCCAACTCGACGCTATAAAGTGTCAGCAGGTTGTCGAGCTCATCGCACTCTGCAATCGCAACGTCGAGACCTCGTTTGATAGCATCAATTCTTTCGTCTTCTTCCTCGAACCTGACCACCCAATCACCCGCCTGCGCCTTGTTGAGCTGGCGGTCGACGTCCATCTTCATCTCCTCGAAGTTGCGACCACGCATTTGCTCGCCAGGTACCCATCCGAAATGATCAAGCAACTTGATGAATTCGTCGGTCTGACCAGCAAGTATGCTTGTGTCGATTCCAAGAGTGGTCAAATACTTTGCGTCGTTTCCAGTAATAACAGGCTCCTCGGTTGGTTTCTTAACAACCTCTGCGACTTTCTTCTGCTCTGGCACAGTCGGCTGCAGACTATTAGGTCGACTTGAGTTGGGGACCGTAATCTTCACCTCGGGTACATTGTTGGAATTTCTCTTCGGAGACTTGGGCGGTTCCACAGCCTTGGGGGGTTCAGGCTTCGGCGTGGCCCTTGGGGGAGCTGGCACAACTTCGGTGATTCCATCCGGCCCATCACTATCAGCACGCTTTAGTTCCCGTAGCCTTTCACCAGCACCGCCTGGTCGTGGTTTAAAAGCCGAGACGGCCGAGGCGGCCTTCCACAGGGTACCTGCTAGTTCACCCTTGGATTTCTTGGACTTGATCATGGGTCCCAGGCCAGGACGACTCTCCTCGGGCTCCGGAGGCGGAGGCGGGGGGGTCTTTGGCTTTTCTATTGGCGCTGGAGATGGAGCTGCACTAACAAATGGCGGAGTTCCAGGCGAGGGTGTTGCCATCACAGGCGAAGCAGCGCCCAAGGGCGTCTCTGACTCATTCAGAGCAGTGGCAATGGAAGAGTTGTCCGTCCTAGTCGGCGCTGCAGGCTTGCGTGGAGACATTCTCTCTGCATTTCGAGGCGGCGGCGGGGGTTGCGGTTGGGACTGCTCCTGTGTCACTGGAGGTTGTGTCTGCGACTGCGGGTCCTTTCTGAAGCCGGGACTCATCAGGGGTGCCGGGACTAAATCATTATCTACAGATGCATTCTGTGGTCTGGAAGGATCCATTGGTGGTCGGCGTCTATCAGGCAGGTCGAATTGGGGAGCAGGCCCTGGCGGCGGTGGCTGTAGTGGGGGCGGTGCCTGTTGCTGAGGCTGGATGGGAGGCGTTGCTGCCAGATCACGATCACGATCTCCAAATCTTGCAAAGGCACCTGGGCCATTCATACCGCCTCTTGATCTTGGCGGAATACTCGAGGCATCTTCGCTTTTTCGGGAGGCCAACGAGTCCTGACTGGGGTTGTTTCCGGCCAGCCGGCGGAGTGATGGCGGTGGTGGTAGGCTTGGGTCTCGCGATCCTGAACTAGAGGCAGGCGATGCCGACATGCCATTCGGGAGAATGAGATTGCGATTCGGAGAAACTGGTCGTCTCGGTGGTGGTTGGTACGCTTGTATAGGTGTCTTGGTAACAGATAGCTCACTCTGTGCCGGCGAGATGCCTGGTCTTAGTGATGAGGGCGGTGCTGTCTCATTGCGGGTTGGTGGACGCCGTGATCCGAGTACCTGGTCCTGTTCACGGGGATCAAAGCCATGGAGCTCAGGTAGTTTGCCCCCAGTATATTTGCTGTAAATCTTGATCAGACTGGCGATGAAGAACTTCTTTTCCTTATCGGCGGAGCACTGCCAGAAATAGGGCTTTCCAATAACAACTGTGAATCCAGTGTCTCCTGCCCATTGTCGCTTTCTCGGGTCAACAGAGGTCGAAGTGAAAGACTCGATACCGGTCAAGTCATTCAGGTCCCATGTCTTTCCGATTGAAAAAGTCCCATTCGCGTTTTCTTTGGACTTGTGCATTCGGACACGACCGGACTTGCGGACGGCGACAATGATAACGCGCGGTTTCTCGGACTGGGGTGTGATTGCCTCGGGGGGAGGTGGCGAGGAAGGATGGGAGCTGTACTCCGTGATCCGGATATGGGTGATGTAGGTTTCAAGCACTTGAAGAACGAGAAGGTCAGTCAGCCATCCTGCACCGACAATGTGTCGCACTGATGATAGCAGTGGCTTCGAGGCGATAACACAGCTACAGTACCATCCTCAATGTGACAGGGCACTTACAGGAGCCATCCGTGTCCTTCTTATTGAAGCAGCTTTCGACAATGCGCCGCTTCTCTTCCTCAAACCTCTCAGCGCGGCCCACCTCGCGGCCGCCGCTGCCATTCGGTCGAGGCGCATCCATCTTGTAGGAGAGTCCAGCTGTGTCTGTCTTAACGGGAGAATGCGTTGCTCGCGATCGTTATTTGACCATCTGGCATCTTTTTCGTCACCCCTCCGCGCGGGGGAGCTTGGAATCTTCGAGGTAGGAAAGCTGGAGCTATTCGTAGGCAGGTGTTTAGGTTGGCAGGTTGGTAGGTGATGTGCTGTCAACGTGTCCCGCGCAGGCACCTAGCGGCCAAATTGTTTGCGGCTTGAGAGTCCTTTTTGACTTTGCAAACACTTGGAACGTTCCTTCTGTCTAATTATCGGCCAGTGTCCAGGTCCTCAATTCGTAATGTCGCTGTTGGGCGCCGTCAGTCTGCCGCGAGAGTTTGTTTAATTGTGTATGTCCAGTGACGGCCTATGAACTTCACCTGCGTCTGATTTCCATGTCTCTCGCACTTCTCGAGGTCCGGATGCACGTCCCCCAGGTGCTGCAGCGCTAACCCCTGTACTTGGTAGCGGATTCGAGCCTAACCGCAGACCCCTGACAGCATTGTATTCACTGATTGTTGGGGCTTCAAATGTGTCAGAAGCCTCCAGTGGTTCACCACCATGTACCTAATACAGCTTACAATGAATTACCAAGGGTAGGTAAGGTAATGAATGTCCTGTACTTGCTCGATTGCTGCCATAAAGCCAATGATCAGCAGCCGGTGACAGTTGAGTCTCCTACAAGTATTTTATTTTAATCTTCTCTGTCCCTAAAGGACCTACCATGATGTTTACTATTATTTGATCCACCACCTCTTCTGTCGAGTCTACCGTTCAAGAATTTGGGTAATATAGCTCAAAAGTATTCGTACAAATTGAATATCAAGTCTTGAAAAAGCATTAAATGCCATTGTCCAGCCTGTTGGAGCGACTTCATGGCAACGCCCTCTAACAATACAAGTCCGCGTGGCAACAATCTGGCAACTAACTCTTCTCATCCCTTGTATCAATGCGATGCAACGTCTTGAGTCCTTCCTTGCCTTTCCGTGTCGTGCCGATATGGATCTTTCCCCTAACAATACATATCCTAAACGCCTATGGGGTATCCGAGCGGATAGTCTTCCGTCCGCAATAGCCTCGATTATAACGCCCCAAACGAAGTAACACGCCCTAAAACAGCATGCAGATTAAGTCATCCTGGCGATGTTGTACCCTTTTTCCTTTTGTGCCCATTCGTCATTGATCGTGTCAGCTATCAAGCTTCATGACAACCGGGCCCTTGGACGATTCCCCGAAGCCGGGTATCTAGGCCGACACGGGCTGACCGTCCACGATGATAGCTGCTTGGCAGTGCCAACTCCACCTCAAACGTCTTGTTGAATAAGTTGCAGCAGCGAGGCAATATAGTCCGACTACACAGATTAGTATTTATCAAGGTTTCAAAGATGAGCAGAGGGTCACTCACCATGGCCGGATTCTCCGTCATGACCTCGAAGAGTCGTGGCGTCATGGGTCTAAAGAGTTTCTCGTTCCAGCCACCTGCCTCGCCTCCAGTCTCCTCACTCTGTAAAAGAGTTTCTTGTGACTCTGTCTTGACAACATTGCGGGCTATGTTGCGTAGCACTAGGACGGCGCTGAGTGGAATACCTGCAGCACGGTCGATCCGAGGGTTGCGCTCATCCGGGGTTGTAAGTGTCTTCTCCCACGTGATGGTCATTGTCTTGGCAGGCACTAGATACGACTTCTTGAGCTTCTTGGCGGGTACGTCAGAGCTGCTGTCGGAGAGTCCGCGCTTGACTGGCGTGGAAACGTGAGTTTTCAAGTGGCGCGTGAGCTGCGATAGTTTCATCGGTGTGGGCTGCACATATTTCCTACAGTCGGCCCACTTGCAGGAAACATCGACTTCTGTGTCGGAAAACTTGCCGTCCTCACCCGGACTTCGCTCAAGATGCTGGGTCATAATGTGCTGCCACAGCTTCTCACCCCCCGGGAAGAAACCACCGCATCTCTGAAGTGTATATGGCGCGCCGCCAATCAGCCACTGACAACGGGCATACTCTTCCTTGGTCTCGTAGTCCAGAGGTACCGTACGCGCCCGGATACCCTCAATAATAAAACGCTGAGCTTCGCCAGGACCTCTTATTATTTGAGCACGGGCGTTCACAAAGACGTGGCTGACATTTCTGATGAAGTCGGCGGCACTCAGAGTATTGCGGGACTTGCCGCCGAACGAACTCTGGTACGCCTGCCAGATCGCGATCTGAGTGATGTGGGACTCGGGATCTTCTTCAAAGAGACTAGTCAGCCAGTTGAAGCAGCGCTGAGGCTCCTCTGTTCCCGACAATCTGTCCTGAAGATCCTGGGGTAGTGGCACTACGTGCTCCGAAGCCCCGACTTTTCGCTCAGGCTCAAGAATGTACGATTCTCTGATTCTCTTGGATCCATGTGCCAGGAGTCGTACCAGGTGTGGAATTGCTTGCTCCATGTCGACGGAGTCGAGGAGTGATTCCACATTGGGTACCACTGCTGTGTACTGGTAGAGGAAGTCCAGACATGCATCCATGAGTTCCTCATCATTGAGTAGAAGCCAGGTGATGATGTTTTGCAGAACAATAGCGGGAACTTTTTGAAGCTTATTCGTGGCTTCCAGATTCATTGAAATGCGACTGATAGCGCGCAAGGCTGTGAGTATCGTGCCACGATCGGAAGAGTCGAGCTGGCTAAGCAGTGATTGATACAAGGGGTCCTCTGCGTCCAACACCAGCCAGGGCGTCAGCTGCTCGGCAATGTCCAGGGCAAAGTGTTTGACCTCGACTAGCATTTCCAGTCGTGGCAGCTGTAAAAGTATACAGAGAAGGTCCTTGAGTGGGTACACTTCAGCCATGTAAATAGCGTTCTCTTGCAGCATGACCATGTTGCGAATAGTCAGAATAGCTTCCGTGATCCGAACAAAGAGGTCTGCAGAATGTTCGGGCTGCAGATGATCAAATGTAGCTCGTCGCTGAAACTTCTCGATCCTCGACAGAAGATCTCGGGTTCCGTGAACTCCATCCAAGATGGCGTCGCTGGAACCGTCATCGCCGCCGGTGTAGTCGAGCTCCAAGTCTATGTGGTAGAAAAGACTGGCAATCTCGAGGCCCTTTTCAATCAAACCCTCGGCTAGGCCAAGAAACGATTCAAACTTGAATTTATCACCTCGCTCAAATGATATTTTCACCAGGTGGTGCAAAGCGAATGCTTGTTCAGAAGGGATGCCAGAACGGAGAGATTGAAGGCACCTCGTGTAGATGTTTGGTCCATCGTTATTGGCTGCGAGAATCAGTATAACAATCATGTGGTGTCGGGGCATGGATCTGAAGCTTACCACCTGGTACAGGAGGGCGACCCGGGATCGGTTCCAGTATGCCGGCTGCGGCGTACCTCAATTGACGCTGACGCCTGGCATACTCTACTGGGTTATTTCCAGGTGTGGAAACAGGTCGCAAGGGAACATTTATCGGGGGTCGAGGCTCAATGATTTCGCTAAGTCGTGATGCGTTCTCCGAGTTAGGAGGAACGTACGAGCCAGATGCCCCGCGCATTACAGGTGGAGGCTGCTGGTGCAAATGTGAGCCTTCATACCGTTGCGGAGCATGGTGTTGAGCATGTTGCCCGTGGGAAGTAGACGCAGCAGCAGGTGCAGTATGAGAAGTAGTAGTTGTACTATGCGAATTAGCCGAGTGATGGGATTGGCTGTTAGTGTGCTGCGACGAGGTATGGCGGGTCGCACGAGTTGAGCCTGTGTCGGGCTGGAAAGGTATGCGCTGCGCAGGAGCTTCGCGAAGACGACCCGAGGCCCTGTTTCCAGAAACAGGTGTGCTCTCGGCAGGCTTGTCCTCCTTGACAGGTGTTTCGCTCCCGGGACGCTTGCCCGTGGCGAGTTCGAAGCTTTCGATCGTTCGCGTGAGGATGGGACCGTATTTGGTGGCACACGAGACGGCCTCGAGGATTTCTTTGGGCGGAGGCTCCTTTCCATACTGATCTTGGATCCAAAAGGCACCCAGAAAGCGGTAGAAATCGGTCTTGAGCTGAAAGGAGAGCTGTCCCATATTCTTGTTATCATCGGCAAACATGCCCAACTCTTCAGCTAGCTGGCCCCAGGCTTTTTGCTTGCTACAGAGCTCATCATAGCCACCACGCTCAATGACACCCTTGTAAAGCTTGAGGAGGTCAACATTGACATGGCCACCGCTGACGGGCAGGCGCGGCTCAGGCTCGAAATTGGTGCCGCGCTTTTCATGAAAAGCGGCGAGTTTCTTGATGAATTCCTCGTACTCGGGGGTGTGGTCAATGTGATGCTTTTCGGCGTCCTTGCCGCCCTTCGGAGCCATGGTGAAGGGTGCGGACAGACAGGGACCGTCGACTGTTGATGGATTGTCGGCCGCGATGCAGTTCGAGACGGATCAAGGGACTGCGCGACAGTATCAAGGTGATTCTCCAAGTAGAGTCGCGAAAATGAACTTAGCTAGGTAGGTACCTACTTAGTGGTTGGAAGCGTTTGCGGCAGCCAGCGCGTTGCGTGGAGACAGAAAAAAGGCCCATGCGCAACGTTGGCCGGTTTTGCCCAGTCAAGCCAGTCTATGCATGGGGAGGAGGAATTTACCTACTGGACTCGCGGAAATGCGCGCCGATGTTGTTAGCGTCGCGCTGCCGCTGCTGCTGCCAGCCAACAGTGAAGCTTATCCGCACTGATAGGCATTTATCAAAAGCATACTTCGGGTTTTAAGGCATCTTGCCTAGTGTAAGCATACATAAATATATGTACGTTTCTCCCATCACGCCCATTTGATTGATTGGTTCATTCATGGCATATTATACCATTAATTCGTCTTTTTGTTCCTGAATATCATGGGCCATGTGTTTTGACTCGAAATGCAAAGACGTGCTCATTAAATTTTTTTTTTTTTTTTTTGGCTTATACTGAAGTAGAATAAATTATCCAAGGAGGTCAAAGGTGTGATTGGCAGCGGCCAAGTGAAACCTTTGAATACTGCCTGAATATACAAAGAACCAAGAAAACCCTTCCAGTATCAGGTACTACATAGTATCTAATGTGATGCCATCGAATAATAAATAAAGGAAGTCACGGTTATCTGCACGGAATGCCACCTTGCCTCCTTCCTTGTGTGCCGTCTGAACAGGATGGAATGTCAAACTCGGGACGAATCTTGCAACAGCAGCAAGGCATAGTTAAAACCGCAATTACATTCTTTCAAGAGTACAAATTACACCAACCTACCAATGTCTGCACGGCCAGCATCGCGAGCTCCCCGTGAGCTTCGTAGGCCAGCTCAGGATACCCGGCGAGCTTCATTGCCGCCCAGGACCGCTCGTCAACAAATACCAGGTGCTGGCAGCCACAATGGATTCGACCCCCGAACCAGATTCTTGGATTCGACTCGCGAACAGCGCAGACAAATTCGCCTTCTGCCAGGAAATCATGTTGGCAATCGCCCACTAGGACCTCTTGCTGGAGTCGGCTTCCAACCAAGCCACGCTCCAGTCTACACCTACAGTCCCGCAATGACTAGCTCAAGTCATATCCATAGAAACGGCCAATACTATAGCTCCCAGCCAACTCAATGGTACGGGAATCAATTGACCCAAGACAATTTCAGCGCGACACCTGACCAAGACGCCTGGTTAAATGAGCCAGTATCTTCTGGTACTCAGCCGCCACGTTTCACCACCCCAGCCGACGAATTCCCCGGCCAAGCAGCAATATTGGATCCGGAGATCAGTCGGCGCAAGATTTCTCGTCCTGTCAGCCACAGTACTGCAACCGCTTTCGAGATCTCCAAGTACAATGAAAGGCTTGCCGATATTGATGATAAACCCTTTGAAGATCATGACGACAAGGATGTCGTTCATGACACACAGGACGGCCACTCTACCGAAATACCAGAGCCTACCAAGGCCAAGCGAAAGACTACCCCCAATACTGCAGATGGCGAGCCCAAAAAGAAGAAACTGGCAATATACTCTAATGAACAACTTTATGATAAGCCGACATCGACTGGTGATTGTGCTTGCCACGGCAAAAGCAAACCTTCAATATCTGTCAAGGACTTCACTGTCAGACTCCGAGATATCAATTCAGCATTTGCTCAACATTTCACAACACTTGCTTCGACAAACGACACGACGAACATAATTCATAATTTGGAAGATGCTGTTGATCATAAACTGCAACCGAGTGATTACGAAATCGTCGAACGAATTACTCATGGGATCTTCCTTGGGAATGTGCTTGGTAGTAAGTCATGGGAAATGTGGAAACCAATGTTTGGCGGAGAAGACGTCGAGGTCACTTTTAAAGGCTGTCAATAACTTGTAGATTGGTTTTGGTGGTGAAATATTGCTGGATACATTTCGCTGAAAACAAACTTACGATTTTGCAAAAATTGTTGCGCAAAGTCTTGATACCATGATCCCATTCTTTGTCACTTCGTCGCCAAGCGAATGCTTTTATTAATGCTATGAAATGCGTGATACGTTCTTTGCCCACAATAAAAGGGGCGGCAAATGACTGTATCAAGTAAAATGAACTTCTCCAGAGCCTGTCTACGCCCCGTTTGTATCACTCACTGGCAATTATCTGCACCTCTACTTTGAGCACGCAGGCATATTTGAAAACCAACATATTTGCTTTGTCAAGTGCACTCTGCTTCTTCTTCTTCCTCTTCCTTCCCCCCAATCCCCTTTGAACAAGACTTGGAGGGACACCGACCAGTTAGTGATTGCAGGAATACCATCGAATTCTTGCAGTGCATCTCGCGCGACGTCTCGATTCATCAACTTTGTTGCCTGAGTTCTTGGCTATGACTACGTGGATATATGAACCAGTAACATTGTGGAATTCCTAAGCTCATTATGCGGATACATGTCCTGATCTGTGTTCCTTCCGTTGGTTGAGAACCTTTGATGAATTCATCAGCGCTGTCCGTTTCCTCCCTGCTGTCCTACATCGAGGCCCAAAGACAGTCATTTACAAATCAAGCTGTATACTATAATCCATAGGTGGTATTAGACAACATGCTAGTCACAGCATACATTTTCAACAGGACGAAACTTGTAGGTCATATCATCATGTATGACGCCAATGGCTACCGTGAGATATGGCAATTAGATTCCGACAAAGCTGTCGGCAGCGAGAGAAATGCATTTTATGTGTATCTAGTGTACAACTAACAGTCGATGTATAGGGAATCTTTAATCGTGCACCGGGAAATCTGGTGAGATGGCATCAAAATAACGTGCAGGCCATGTGTTCATGGCAGAATCATAATCAAGACTGACCACGACCCTGTCGTGGCTCCCTGAGAGAAGCTCCTCCTTTTGTTTCCTAGCCAATCCTGTCGTATCAAAGGTTACGACCTCCTCGGTATCTGTGTTCCATCCAATTCAGCAAAAGCCGGCCTTGGGATCTCATCGGCGGGAAGCTCGACCCGCATTATCATGGTGTCGGGGGACAATTCCGCCGGCTGCGCATCAAAAGGCTCAAAGTGTCTCAGACTGAGGCCCTTGAAGGTTGACTCGAGGCTAATGGGGCTCAGCCCGACCTCGGGGGACGATGAGCTCGCTTTCAGCGGAGGGCCAATTGATTCCGGATTTGGACTATTGGCTGTCGATGGCCGATGATAAGTGTATGCAGGGCCTACTTGAAAACTGTCGATTAGTCCGTTGATCCCATGGGAAAAAGAGAAGAAAAACCAGTTGAACACTATGAGGACGCAGAAAGAAAACATTACGACTTGCCATTACGGTCCGCCTTGTCTTCGCTAATGAGCTGCCGTGGAAAGCCGCTGATTGGCAGCACAGTCACACCAGATGGATAAGGATCGCTTTGGAGGCATAGAGACACCCTGGTTGTTGCAAGTTCACGCTGGACTTGGACGAATAGAGTTTCGACTTCAAAAATTCCCTTGTAGCACATGTCGTGAATAGCATCCTCGCTCAAGGTTATGCGGATCGGCTCTGACCGCGGTACTTCTTCCTCGAGCAGAAAGTAAGGCTCGAATTCCCCACTCAGTGTTGCGCGGAGGAATTCGCCCAAGGCTCTTATCTCATCCGACTCGGCAGGGAATCTGCAGTGTATTGTGCCTTTTGCCATGGTTAGTCACGGTTCTCCAGGGGGGAAAACACCAATTTACTCACCTTCACACTCGTACCCGTACAATGCAGTCTGCTTGACAGATCCTGGGGTTTTCTCAAAGAAAAATGAGCTAGCGATCAGTCTGTGGGCAGACTCCTTGACCAGCCCTTCATTCGACTGGAGTACTTCCCGGGCTTCCCGTTCCAACTCAAAGACTTTTCGAGCTGCGTCAAGCTTGGGAATTTTCATGTCCAGAGCTGGATTGATACGAATGTACCGCTGCCGTATCTCTTCCGTCGAGATGAAGGACTTTGGAAGAGATTTTGACCGGATAAAGCGATCCCAAATCTTATCGTTGCTCGAGTAATCATCCAACTTGTTGACACTTGCATTGGTTCGTAGCGGCCTCGATGTGTTGAGCGTGTTCCTCCGTGACACAGTGTTGAGATTGGTGTTTATCGGTGAAAGTTGGGCTGGAGTATTGTCCTTGATATTCTTACCGGACCCAATAGATAAAAGGACGTCAGCCGGTGCATCCTTCATGTCGCTCCAGATGAGGCTGGATTCGTAGTCTGCAATGATTGCAGGACAATTGTAGCTCGGTGCAGTGCCAGTATAGCTTATCTTTGTCTCGGCCTTTTGGAAAGGTTTGAACAAAGGAGGCTGAGCTGCTGCTGCTCTTGCACTGGTTGGAGATTATCAGCTGTTGCTCTAATCATCCCAGAAGACGACTTACGATTCCCAGACTTTCATGTCGTCATTGGGCACGCTGGACCGTAGGAATTTGTATGGGAGTTCTGTATATCCCGTCAGTCAATTATATCTTGCAACTCCGCGGCCATGGCCACCCACTGTCGTCTGAAAAGTCTTGCCGGTTGTAGTTTGCAAAGACAACCGAACGCTGCTCGAGAGCCGTCGTACCAAGAACTGCCACCTTAGTCGGGGTTTCTCGTTGGCCATTTGCCGCTCCACCGAACAGAGGTTGCTCCTGAAACATCATCTTCAAGCCTCGCTCGAATGGTCTCGTCTTGTATATGCTTCCGTGATAGAAAACGGCCAGGTTCTCCAACATGGGGACTCCAGTTAGCTCGCGAGGAGAGTAGGCATCCGAGGACAGCTCCTTGAATCTTTTGATACATTCTTCGACAGACCAATTTTTCACAGATAGTCCCAGGGCAATCATTCCACCAGTTCTGCACAAGTTAGCACACTTGCCTTCATGAAAAGATTTGTAAGGATCATTTACCCGCTTCCGATGATGAGATCAAAGAATAGCTGTAACGGCAGTCTTGGTCCCAGGACCTTCTTGATAGCTTTGAGCACTTGCAGCTCAACGATACTCCGAACTCCACCGCTGCGTAGAATCAGTATGAACTCGTTCTTATTGTCTTGTTGCATAAAATTGAGCTTACCCGTCTAGGCACAATATTCGGACCCCGGCTCGTGCTGGTTTGATTGGTATAACCCAAGGAGGGTTTGCGATGACATCTTGAACATGAAGCGGGCATCTCGTGATCTCAATCGTCGTTTTCGACGTCTTCTTGCCATAGGTCTTGACACATGGTAGACACAAGATATGGCCGCAGGGCAAGGCACATTCCGGTAGCTCGCGAAGGCATGAGAAGCAAGCAACGTGACTGATGAAGTCTGAAGCATTGCCCAATGACCTGTAGAACTCATTGATGCGTTCCCGGTGTATCAGGCCTGCAACCTGAAGCTCTGTGCGCCCGGGCAGCTTTTCACCCAAGTCAAAGACTGCTGTCTGCAGTTTGAGAAGGTTCTCACGAATGACATGTGCCCAATCACCACCAAAAGTAGTCGCGTCAAAGCTTGACTGGTAACTTCCGTGGCCAATAATGGCACCACGAGAGTTCTGGTGACCTTTGGGGTTGTGGCCAATCTTCACATTACAACAACGATCCTCTGGCCGTGTCGAGTTCCCTCGCCGGTAAGCACATGGCCAGTGCATGTCCGCAAATCGATGGAGCGCCGCTATACAGGGTTCGGCGTAAGCATCATCGAGTAGTTGCGCTGCAGTTCCCATGAGACTTTGCCGAACCGCATCAAACATGACACACGTGGCAATCATGGGCCCCAACCTGTGGAAGATCTCTTGCGCATTGGTTCGCACTGCTTCATCGGTGGCGCGCTCCTTGATCGACACGGCAAGGCTTAGTATATTCCCACCAAAGTCCCTGGGAGATGGGCTATACTTCAATGCCTCTTTAACGAAATCAAACGGGGTACTGAGGTCTCGCGTGAAGTGGTCAAAGGCAGCTTGAAGGTACACCTGTAACCTCTCGGCATTCGCCAACATTCGTACTTGGCGCTTCTGTAGATGTGACGCGGCACACTTTTTCTTGATGAGATCTGACATTCTACCGGCCTGTTGATCCATAAGCATGTACTGCCCCCGGGCGGGCAGTCGCATCACTGTAACCGAGGCATAATAGCACTGGAGGAGTTCCTCGGTAGTGGTGATGGGTCTGCCACGGTCGAGCCATGACTGTAGATATTGCTTGAGGGCAGGCTCTCTATAGATGGCGCCCTTGATGTCTGTCATCAGCATGGCAGTGGCAGTCTCCGGATCCCACTCCCGGTCATCCACGAATTCGCTTGCATTGAACACTATGACAGCGTGAGGAAGGACTGGCTGGTTGAGCGACTTGTCAATCGATTCAGCTCCCCACCTGACCAACTTCTCCAGAACTACCGACTCAAAAGCTCTGGTTACGTTAGAATACTGGAGGGCATCTTCTGGAGCTTTGAACATGGCACTTACCGAGGGTTGCGAAGGACAAATACTACAACATCACTGAAAGAGTATAGAATTCGGGGATACAATACTGATACAGCATACTCTCTCTTCTGGGTTTGCGGAGTGTCGGCCCAAACGATCTGTCTTGGAACACTCTTCCTCATTTTCCTGTTTCTGACCTCTTCTAGGCGGGCCTTTGAGGTCCCGGCAAAGGTGTCGAGTGACCCTTGCTCTTCGGTTTGATAGCGCAATGCTTTTGGTAGCATCTCGCCACCGTTCAAACCTTCGCAGTCGGCCAGGAGCAGAGGAGTATCACTGTAGTATGTCGACGGCTCTGGGTAGAGGTGTACATCACCCGTTGTTGGTAGTCGATCATAACCAGAGGACGTTACTGGGGTGCGATAGTAGCCCCCAACGGGCGATCCAATATCGTGCCGATCAATGAGCATTTTGACGAGGGAGCTCTTCCCAGCGCCTGTACAGAGTCAGCCGAAATTCTACCCTTTTCTTCTCCTGGACGCGGTCCACAATACCTGTCTCGCCAATAAAGGTCACCAACTGCGGGTATCGCTCCATGGCAACCTCCCTGGCGTGGCTCTCGCCCATGACGGTGGAAAACCGTCCATAGTCCTGAAAGACGGGATGACCCGATGTGTCGCGTCCATAACCAAACCAAGCCGTCTCCTCATCATCTAGCAATTCTTGTTGATGATCAGCCTCGGAGCGGATAGGCTCAAAGATCTGGCGCAGGCGATGCACCACCTCCGGATTGGCCTTCTCGTGTGGTTTTCCACCCCACCCTACGGCACCTGGAGCGTGCAGAATCCATGCAGACCAGCATTCATCGCAAAACCACAGATTATTGCACTGAACACATGAATACCTTTTCTTGGAAACGGAGCGACACGTCTGGCAAGGCTGCGAGCCGACGCCAGGGACCATGCCGATATGCTCTGCGGCCATGGCGCCGAGAGAGGGAGTATCGTAAACGGTTCACAGAAGTCTATGGCCAGTATGCGATGGCGGAAATATTAAACGCTTAAAAGTATGTGTGGGTGAGAAAGAGTGTGATCGCGACACCTCCCTCGGGGGTGAGCAGCGGCAGCAAGGCAATTGTGAGGTACTGCACGTTGTTCGTGATGGAAGGTTTACGAGTCTCCCCGCTTACTGATACCTACAGCCGCATTGCGCGCACGCGCGGAGGGTTCGAGGCTGTCGGTGCCGCTTGCGTACATTATACATAGGGTGCATGAGGAGACAGAGAGATGTCAGGCATCCTCCGCCATCACCGTCCAATAATAGAGCGGCTGCCGCGCCACTGGTCAGCTCAATCCTACGTCGGGGATTGCAGGCCTGCAAAGTACAAGCACAAGACAGACTGCCCCAGTGGGTCGGAGGGGATGCGTTTGTATGGCCATCAAGCATCGAAAAACGACCACTATGGGTCCCGGTTGGTCAACCCGAAAGCTCCAGACGTGATGAGCAGCAGCAGCTCTCACATGTCTGTCAGACTGTGTGCTCACTCATCTCGGACAAGCGGCATGATGTTTCTGCTTGAATGCGACGAGACGCGACGAGACAGATAGACACACACAGAGACAGACAGACATGCAGATAGACGATCTCTTGCCACTCCATCCACCGTATCGCATCGCCTTGGTCAGACGGACGCACGCCCAGCAGGACTAGTCAGGTCGTACAAGAAAAAAAAAAGATGACTGTCGCGTACGTCTTGGTATTACATAGTAGTATGTAGACCCAGAAATCCTTCCAATCCTAATGGGCCTTGATTGCGCTGCAGGAACGGGGACGGAGCGGCAGTTGGGAAATTGGACACCGATTCGCCGAGGACAAGTCGTTTCTACCTCTCCAAATTGGCCCGCAGATGGCTTGCGTGACCTGACTTGCCTGAGCATACCCTCCATGTGGTCCTTTGGGTAGAAGCGAATTGCCTATAAATTGATTGACTGGCTGATGGCCCGGTTGGAAGCCTCTGGCACCCAATGGAAAGGCTGAGGGGTTGAAAAGCACTCATCTTATACTCGGGGCAGCTGAACATGGACTTCCGAAGGCCCATCGTCTTCCGATGGTTATTGGAAGCTTTACGGGGGTGTGCCCTGGTCGGGCGCTTGCATCTCTGCCCTTTACTCAGATCGTGTTGATTGATGATGCCCTGGTTGGGTTTAGCCTGAGCGCAACGGTTCCTAACCTCCTAAGAGTCTAGGACCATTCACTCCAGTAATTACCACACGGTCCTCACCTACTGTACCATAACGGGACCTGGCGGGATGGATGTCAGTGCACTCGTACACCCCTGGCATTGGTGGGCGGCTGAATTGGTGGGTTGAACAAAGCGCTGGACCGGATTTGGTGTTTGCACTGAGTGGCCCGACTCACTTTGGTTTGGGTAGCAACCCTCTTATTCATACAAGACCTCAATATTCACTTAAGAGAGCCAATGCAACAATCCGTACTAGGCATAAGCCCGACTCGGCTGGCTTGAATTTTCGGGCCTAAAATTCAGTTAGTAATCCACTATTTTACTGGCAACTGGCTACAGATATTCACATTAGAATTGGACGGGGCTCCGAATTTCCATGCGACGAACCATATACAACGCTGGACGATAATGGAACGCTTCTGCGCTGCTGGTGCTGGATGAGTGGGCCTATTCAATCCTTCAAGTCTTGCTTTCCCAAGTTGTCTTTTGAGAGAGAGAAAGACCCAACAATCTTGGCGGCCCGCGGTTTCAAACTCAGCGTCTCAACAGGCGTCCAAGCACCAAAAATCATCTTCCCAAAATACTCAAAGGAGCAATAGCAAAGAAAATCTCGGCGGGCATCGCCCAGGACAGACGTGAAAATGGCTGCGAATGGAGACTTTGATACGGACCCTCCCCAGGCCTGGAAGAAGGATTCCATCGAGGAGCGCAGCTTCGGTGCCGGTTTGATATGTCTGGAAGGCCACTACACACAGTCCCCGGTCATGGGCCCATCAACCACTGCCAAGGTCATGGCTGTCATCTCCAGAACTCTTGAAAAGACGCATACATTCAAGGATGTCCGGTATGTTCCATTGGTCCCATGTCACTTGAATGAACCTGACTGATATTTTGTGCGCAGTGAACTTCTATCAAGGAATCTGAAGATATGGATCTGGCTTCGCCGGGCCATTTCCGCAGCCATATGCGACCTCAATGAAAAGTCGCTGGGTGTTCGTTCAGAGCCATTTGTGCCGACAAAATTCATAGACATCACCGCACCCCAAATCATGGCCTTGATCATGAAGAACTACGCGCCTTTAAAGGAAGCTCTGCAAATGCTTAATAAGCTGATGCACATTGCTCGCAATTTGTTGGTCACAACTTACCCCGAAGTTCCTCAAGACTTGTCTGCTGCCGTAAACTTCGATCATGAGGTGTACGAAGCCATTTGTCTCTGCGTCAACGTTACCAGCAAGGGCATAGATGGCGAGATGCCCGAGGACGATGCATCTAGAGCCAAGTGTAGCGAGATCCAGGAGCTATGTGAGTCTGGAATCTGCAACTGTCAATGGATCACCAACTTGAACTAACTTGGTTTGTAGACAAAAAGGTCTTGGTGACTTCTTTACAACAGGCACATAATTGGATCGCCAAGAATGACCGCAACAAGATGGCCTTCTGGTTCCGTGTTTTGATTGAATCCCCCGACGTTGACAACAACCACGCACCCGAGGATCGGCACGAGTCTGTTATGCAATACTTGGGCCCCCGGAGTCTATCTCTCCGGACAGAGATTGCGAATTGGCTGGAGCGGAATTCAGATAGATGCGAGACTGCCACGGCTATTTGCAAGGAATATCTAGAAGCACAAGACGAATCCGACAAGAACCAATGGTTCCCGCAAAGTCAACAGCTCGCAAATAAAGCGAACATTCATCAAGATGCAGCACAAGCTATCTCGGAATGGCATCCAGAAGTAACGGATAGTGTGGAGCGAGATCGTCTGTATGGTCGAGTATCTCATGAATTGGATGAGTGGTGGGAGATGACGCGCTTGCCCAACAGCAAGGACCAGAGCCTGAAGATGTGGCCGCTGGATTTTGTTCCTGAAAGAATAAAGCAGTGCGAGGCGAATCTCATGCAGCGCTATGCCACAACAGACGCGCCTGAGGATCCAGAAGACGATCTTGATCACCCTGAAGGTGAGACCAACAACCAAGCCGATTGGCAAAATCAGCCTGCTCCGGCGAGCACCAACTATGCACCAGAATACGACGAATACGAGGAAGATGCGGATGATGACGATTCGTACGGGGAAGGTCCAATGACTGGCCTCCTCACTGAGGTCCCCAACGTCCTCGATCCCAAGCAGATAGAGGCTTTGCACATGATTGTCAAGTCATGCATACTTGAATCGGCAGGTACAGGACTAACGCCACATGGAGAAAGCCTTCAACACACTAGATGCAAGATTCTTCTGGCGACCGACTGTGGCAAGAATCTGCTCAGAGAAATGCTCGTCTTCATAGCTGTGTGGGAAAAGGAAGAGCAGTCACTTATTTTCCAGATCAGCAGCCAGATTGTACAAGCCATACACGAGAGCTCGTTGATTCCCTACGCCTGGGAGGCACTGCGAAGCCCCAAAGATATTATCTCACCGGCACAAACCGTTCTCCTTCGTCTGATCACCTACCTTTCGCGCACAGCTTTCTACCCTCCAAAAGACTACAACCCTCGACCATTAACCGACGGTACTCCACCACCTTCAGAAGAGCTTCGCCTGGCCAAGATGCTCAATTTCCTCTACGGCGTTTTCAGGAGTCGCATTGTACCGGAATGCGTTGCGCTCATGCAGATCCAAGCAGATGTTCGCAAGGGAAATCTGGACCCTGCAGACTTCCCAGTCGACACGTGGGACTTGGAGCGTGCCAAGGATGGTCTGGTGCAGTATCTCGACTTTCTCTACACGATTGCCGATATTCACCCTTTGCGGCAACATCTTATCGAGTACGAGGCTGTCTATGAGCTGATTAAGCTTCTTGAAGGCCTCGACGAAGGCGTAGAGAAGATCCCGCTCATTGATGGGCGCCGTAACCCTCAGGTGCCAGCACAACAGCCGGCCGCGTACCAAACTAATCCACAGCCGCCGCCGCCGCCGCCTCCTCCCCTGACAGAACCACCGTATGAATTTCCCTGGTCTGGTATCAAGGGACAATTGCTCTCAATTTTGGCAGCTCTGTTGCAGCCACCACCCGGTCAATCCTCACCCGGCAACCCCACAGTACAATTACAGATTGTGCAACATAATGGAATAGTTGCGCTCTTAAACTGCTGCCTATACGATGACAATAATCGCTTTTGTCGTGAGCGCGTGCAGCTATGTCTGAAGTGGTTGATGGACGGTTCTCCAGACGCCAGTGCGTTTTGTAAGTAATCCATGACGCCGTACCATTTACACTGCTTCAAGCAAAGTGATAAGCTGACCGAACCACCACCACGCAGTACAAAACCTCGTTGCCGCCAATCCTGGACCCATGGCACGCCCCTCAGCAGACGCAGGACCAGAGACGCATAGTGTACGGGTCGATGGAGTAGGGGGCGATGTGCGAGTACAAGTTAGAAGCTCGAGCGCACCAGTGGGAGAAGATGCTGGTGTTGCAGGGCTTGTGCCTGGGGCGACCGCTGTCCCAAGGGTAAACAGAGGAGATGCGCTGATGAGCGATATCATGGCCCTGACGAGGGCAGACGATCCAAACAAGATTCCACAAAATCTGGAGGGTGACGAAACCGAAGATGATGACTTTATGTAATTAGAAAAGATGCTACTTTGTGGTCATTGCCTTGGGGAGTTTACCACCAGGCATTGAACGAATCGATCAAGCATGATACCTCCAGGTTGTAGGCAGAATCTTGTACTTGGCAGCTGACGTGGCATTCGTCCAGCTAGATGTAAAATGAAGTTCTTAAAGAAGAAAAAGAGGAAAAAATGAGAAGACATTGTTAGGTGGCAAGGGGCAATACATGTATAATAATTGTGGAGCACCAACCCAACATCATCAGCAGGCACCAATGGCAGAACGGTACAATCAATCTTTCAACATGATCTCTTGCGTCGATGAACGAGACATAACCATGAGAATTGACAGTGATATGACCTACGATCAATTATTCATTTTCAGCTGCAAACACGAGCATAATGCGGTTCAAAACCAACTAAGCTAAATGTAGCGAGCAACGTGGGGCTTGAGGTTGCACCGCCACACAAGCCGCTGGATACATTGGATGGATGGCTTATTTACGCCACAGATGCTCAGTCTCAAGGCTCAGGCCTCCTTGTCAAGCTCATCGTCGGTCTGAGCGGATTGCCGTAATTGTCCATCAACAAAAAGGCCAACAGCCTCACCTCATTTTCTCGTCAGATCTTCTTGTCCGTTAGTACATCTTAGCACTTGGTGCGCAAATCCAACCTCGTGTCACCTTTGTCATCATGTATCGACGGGGTCCTGCCAAAAGTATCCCTTCAGCGGTCAAATGCCAAAAGTGTTTGAAAAATGATGAGTAGCCCCATCAATTTTTGCAAGGTATTTCTGCTGACTTTAAACCTACGCCACTACTCTTATCAATGCACAGCTAACGTGCAAGACCGGCCGTACATTGCTCGTCCATCACGATCGCAGCAACTCTCCAATCCCAAGCTGGTGCCAAAACTAACCGAAGCCGTACCACCCGAGCTTCAGAAGAAGTACACATCCATACCTATGTCGTCTGACCTGACGTTGACCAGCTAACTTTAATCTTCGCAGGGAGGGAGTCGCCGACCAGCAGCTGGCAAAGCTCGAGGCTGAACGTGCAAGAAAAAGAGAGCTTGAACGTGATGAAGATGACAATGATTTGTCTGGAGCCCCAGCTCATCGCAAGAGATCAGAATCTTATGATTCGGTCTCGACTGTCTCTACCTCAAGGAGCTTGTCCAGATCACCCAGGCCATCGGCGGCTGCAAAAAGACCCCACGACTCCAGAAGCCCTTCGCCTGTGCGACAACGACCTCGCAGGTCATCCTCATCGGGTAGTGGTTATGATTCAAGGCGCTCGGTAAGTCCCGCACGTCAATATGGTGGCGACGCCCATGAGCGTCCCTACAGCCGAGACTCTGGATCTCCCCAGCGCCATCATCCAGGAGGCAGACATCATCGAGGCACACGTGATTATGCGGACAAAGTACCAAACAGGAGGTCGTGGAGCCAGTCCCCATCTCCAGCCGGTCAGCGTCAGTATCGTTCAAGATCTCCTCGTTCTGGACGAGCAGCGGATGCGCCACAAGGTCAACAACCGAGACGCCGACAAGGACGTGGCGAATACTCGCCACCCCGCGAGCGAAGCTTGAGCCCCTTCTCGAGAAGACAGGCGTTGACGCAATCTATGAGCAAGGGCCATTGAGTCATGGCCCTGCGGTCAAGACAACATGTACGGGCATTCCGCCGCCATTGAAACAACTGGTCGAAGCAGCGTGTACGAAATAAGCCACGTCAAAAAGCAATGGTAGCCACTACAGACTTTGGGAGTATGGCATCAGCCTTCGGATTTCACTCTACATACGAACGATGGGCCCTGTCCTTGGACCCGTCATGCTTCAACGACGGAAAAGCAACGACCATATCCCTTGATCTGGCGGGCACCACGGTTTTCCAATTGTCCCCCTGCAAGTGACTTGCTTCAGTGAACCAATCACACTATAATAAATCAGGGCTATACCTCAAAATCGTGACAATTGCAGCAAAATAATACAAATTTTATATCGATCGAATCTTTACGATTACGAGACTTATTATCTAAATTTTTATATTTTTCGATTGGTTTTTGATACCGTGGTATCTCGAGAACAAAATACTATTTTCCGGGAGTACGGTATATAATTGGTGAAAAAAAGCGGTTCCCCTCTGGTTTGGTGGCTTGGCTGTACCAAAACCTGCCTTATTTGGGAACCGTGGTGCCCGCCAGATCAAGGGATAGTTTGAACATGACGACCAAGCATGATATTGAAACGACATGATTGGATTGCATCTGAGGAGAGGAGAAACAGCATTTCCACGACCATGGTTTTGTGTCTGCCACGAGCGCTCATCAAAAGTTCATTTCGTTTCGGGAGCTGGACCTAGCATCAGCAGCTCAGGCAAATCAGGGCAGTCGAATGGGAACGATCTGTCGAACCAACAAAACAAGCGATCTCATATTGACCGGGAACACCCTGATCATCCAGGCAGAGTAAACACCGCAAGCGATACCTCAATAAGCTCTTCTACTAGAGTTTTTCATGAGGTGTGGCCTCACCGATCATCTTGAAGAGAAAAGGGGTGCAGGACGAAGGCCATTGATTGGAATCATGAGGCCCCCTGGCCAGTCTCGGTACGCGCTGAGTAGGCGCTCCGCTCGCAGCTCTTACTCAGTGTCGGTCAATTTAGGGTTGCATACGTAGAATAGTCCCCTTGCCAATAAAGAATTAAAAATATCTTTTCCTGGTCAGGTTCGATGGAGGCTCTGCAGATTGAGGAGCATTCTAAAACTGACAGCGTATGTGTATGCAGGTCAACAAGCGAGGTGTGTACCATGTATGCGCCCTGTTGACTCTTTTCAGTGACCGTTTCTTTCCCCATCAGAGGTTTGTCCCACCTCCTTGAGACAGGGTCCAGGTTGGCTTTGGCCCCTGGAGGTTCAGTGTGCCTTTTGGTCCTCGGATTTCCCCACCAAGATTCGGACGTCTGTGCGGGCGGGGTCGAGTCGACAGCAGTGGGACGCTTTTTTTTTTTTTTTTTTTTCAATTTATCTTGTCATTGAGTATCAACCAAAGCCGCCGACACGACAACATGTCCAAGCATTTGTCCACCAGTAATTTGGATGGGAGTTACCGTTACGATGCTAAATGATACATAGTAGTATCAGGCAATTTTAAATGCTGGGCAGACTCCAATGTCTTCAAGCTTTTTTTTTTTTCCCTCGGAAGATCTACCAGTGGACGCATCGTCCCTTAGTTCGATGTGTTTAATCTAGGTCTCCAATGTTCTGCGGCTGAATCAATGTTTACGTGCAGATGTCAAGCTAGACATTCAACGCTCCAGTTCATCCCTTTTGCCTATGTTTTTTTCATCGCGGCTCACTCGGTCCTGCAGATGGATCTGAGTTGCAGGCAAAATGCTCTCTCTCTGTCTTGGCCGTCCAAAAAATGCTCGGGAGTGACTTTACCACGTCTCAATGGGATGTGACGTCTCAAGTTTCAGCTGAAACAAGCCGAGCAGGGCCTCCATGACTGCCTCCAGGGTGCCCGGCCTCGACTCAACCCAATCATGGATCCGGATCATGTTCGGAATTAGCTGCTTATGGATAGATCTCGAACATGCCCATGTGAATCCACCGTTTGAGACCGCTAGGAGTAGGCCCTCATTACTTTCCATGTACTCGGTGCACTCAGTAGGCACGGCTCCAGGCCTTTGCCACGATGCATGTCTGTCTATCTGTCTGTCATCAGGTAGTATTCTATCATCCAAGGAGGTTTAGGTCTGTAGGTCCGGGAGGCAGTCGAGCCACCCGTTGCAGACAGCGCGATCATCAAGCAGCTTGTCAGAAGCGATCCCATGATAGCTGTTTCCTTCTATTGCGCCGTGCTTGTAGCCCCCCCTTACCTTTCTCTCAACACTGCCCCAGCCTGGCTTGAATGTGATGGCATCGTCGGATATGTCGTTGTGATGTTTACACTTCTCATTATGTTTCTTTCATCTTGACTCCTATAATCCAACATACCCATTGACTGGGTCTTTGTCTTCTCTTCTCGGCCGCTGGACGCCGGTGAGTCGGTCGCGCCGTCATGGCCATCTCAGGGACTGTACAGGCCTTGATCGCGGCCTTCTTCTTGTAAGTCACGATTCGCATCAGCCCAAAGGAAACAAGTCAATGATACCCTCTTCACTACTAACACTGGATGATGCAGTGGTATTCTTGTTAATACGGCGTCGGCTGGGCTCTTTCTCTACATTAAAGGCCATGGCTCAACAATCTTTCGGGACGGCCTGAGGCTGGCCCTCATCTTGTTCCTAGCATCATCGGCCCTATGGGCACAGGTTGAGTTTCTTGCTACTTTGATAGACTCGACTGCATCTTCAACTTGCCAAGCCGCCGTCAGCATTTCGTCGCTTTTTGATCAGCTTGCACGCGTATCGATCGAGCAATTCCTCATCTGGGCAATAGCAAAGGATGGGCGGAAGTCGGCGGCTGGACTAGCAACCCAAGTGCTCTTGCTCGCACGTTTCGTCGTGGGAATGGTCTTTGTGGGCGTGACTAAACCACAATTCAACTCCACTTGCGTGCCGCTGTCAAGCATAGAACCAGTTGCCATCACGGTCATTGCTCTGGATGCCGTGATCCTGACAGCCATTGCTGCGCTTGCTTTGAGCGCCAGGTCTGGCAAGACGGTCCTTCTTATCCTGGCAGCTCTTGCTATATGGATGGGGGTCAGTAATACTTTCTCGTCGTACAGGTGCTACAACATACTGACATGAATCATGTTATAGACAAGCGTCACTTTGCTTCTTGGCATGAGCACGATTGACATGTTCTTTAGAACCACTCTCCCGGCTATTGGACTACTCATACTGACATGTGAGTATTTGTACATTTGGTTTGACATCAACACCGCTAACTTGAACTCTCAGCCTTGGTGACAATACTATCTAGTATTTTACCCACGACTCAACCACGACGACCACTGACTCCGGATTCACCAACACCGCAAACCATGAATAGGAATTTGGACATTTCCACATCCAGTTCTGATGAGTATCCGCCATCACGATACGCCGAAGTGAAGGGAACGGGAAGCATGGTGGTGACCGGATTTCCAGACTCTGAACTGGCGCCCAAGAATGGCAACGCATCAACGCTGCCTACCCTCGCGCGTCCTGTTACTGGTGTGACGGGCATCGGTGGTGTTCCCGTGCGAGGGCAATTGTTCCCTCCGCCACGATCCAATACGGTAGATCAGGTCACATTGCAAAGTGAGGTGCGAACCCGAATCGACTTGCCACAACGAAGCAAGTCGAACCCCCCTCGCAAGATGACCAAGGGAAAACTGGTCATCTCTGCTCCAATTCCGATCGATAAGCCCGAGACGCAGGATGCTTTCAACAAGATTCCAACTATAGATCTCGCGACTGCTGCCAAGAATGAGCAAGAGAGGAGGGATGGATATGCCCGGAGGAAATCAGCATTAATAGCAAATAGACCAGCTCCAAAGCCTCCGGTCATGCAAAAGGAAGAGCCTTCGATGCGTTCCACGGGTATCAAGCGCCAGGAAATTGAGCAAGAGTCTTTCACGGAAATTGGTCGCACAAACTCGAACAAGACAGCAAAAAGCGGTGGTCTGTCTGTCGAAGGAAACGCCTCGTCTTCTTCTGCTCAGCTATCACCAGGAAATGAAGAGCTGAGAAGAAGGTCCCCGCGACAGGTCATGCCGACCGCGATACCAGCAAAGACTCCAAACAAGGCCTCGACTTTCCAACCCATAACTCCGGGCCAGCCGTTCCGTATTCCTATTCCTCGCGCGCAGCCACCACCGGAACCAGCGCCAGTCAAAGTACCTGAGCCTGTGAAAACGCCTCTTCAGAGACGACCGACGAATGGCCTGCCCTCCAACCCACGTGCTCAGACAGTAAAGAGGACCTCTGAAGACAGCGAGACCGAACAAGGCCAGACTGTCATGTTTATCAACAAGATCACCTACGATGATCCCACCTATGTAAACGACATAATCCAGGGCGCCACAGCTACCAAGACACCACGCTCGCCACTGAAATCCTCCAACTCGGTTGTCCACCGCCCGCGCCCAATTCCGCGAAAGGGCGACAAAGACCGTTTGGTGTTCCCAGCAGAAGTGTCAGCAGGGCATAGACGATCAAAATCGGCGGGTTCCATCCTGAACAGACGGTCGATTCTCCAATCACAAGCAGGAAGCCCGACCCAATTGCCACCACTTCCCCCGCCACCACAAAGCCTTGGAGAGGTCCAAAGGCCCCATCCAAATGATACCAAGAGCATGACATTTGACGAAAAGATGTCCTTGTTCTATACCGGACCCCCCAGTGCATCGTCCGTTGCCTCGACACCAATGATGAAGAGGAGGTCCTCGGTGCCAGAGATGCCCCCTTTGCCTCCGACATTACCACTTCTCAATGGCTCGCCGCTCACCCAGAACGCACCCAAAATTGATGGAGAGCGCAGATTCACGCAGACGACAGCTACTGATCGCACCAGTATTCGAACTCAGAGCATTCTTGGCGTTGGAGACTATGAAAGCAGGGACATCTCTGAAACGAACACAATTGTGGTGGATGGATTGAGCACCTTTAGGTCACCTGGCGTTGTCCCAACTAATGACGCTGCTCTTGACATGTCTGATAACAGGCGACAGTCTTCACCAGTCATTCCTGTTCTGCGATACTCGAGTTTGACTGCATCTACTGTGGGAAGGACACACGATGATGGCACGACCGACTGGGGATCAGTACATTCACCAGTCGCCGCAATAGACATGTCGGCTACTCGCCTCAATGTACGGTCAACATACATCAAGAAGGACTCCAAAGTACCGTCCATTTTGAGCGGGTTTGGAGATGAGGTGATGACAGTGATGCTTGATACATCATCGGAACATTCGACAGCTAATCGACAGTCCTTCTTCCTCGATGACGAGTCAGTACCTGATGTGCCACAGATTGAGCAAAGGCTGTCCAAATGGCATCACCGTGTTGGTGAGGAATGTCCCACTTTCTCGACTAGAAAGGAAAGGGTCAAGTCAAGAAAGATGCCTCCACCTACGCCACTACTCTTGCGTACAGCCAGCCAGAAGGGCGCTGTTGTCATACACACTGCTGAACCCTCACCAATGGAGTCACCAAACGCAGCTTACAACAAGATTCAGGCACAGCTACAAAGGTTTGATGAGCCCAACCGAGATTCGATTGGTAGTGAGGGCAGGCGGATGGCCCTCCTCGAGGACTTGGAGCTTGAAATGGGTCAACAGGAGAGCCGCTGGCAGACTATGCAGAATAACCTGGATCGCGACTCGATATCTACCTTGCAGACTGATTCTCGACCAATCTCGATCTACAGCCCAGCAAAATCAAGCACCCGCCCGCAGTCTATCTCTTCAGCGCTTGCTGAGCGCAGAGCCTCCCGACGTGCTCGCCTGAGCAGGGCTAATGTGTCAAAGGAAGACCTTGTGACTGCTACTCGAGCATCATTGGCCTATAATTCTGGAAGCCAGCGCGAGAGTATATTCCAGATGCGCTTAGCAGCAGCCGAATTGGAACTTGCAGAGAATGCCCCAGAGCTATTGATGAGCCGCAGCAGCTTGAATTTTTTCACTATTTCCAAGGCTGATCTCGGCAGCCCTACGCCTCCGGAAAGCGACACTTCTGATTATGAGATGGAATTTCAAGCTCAACTTCTGAGTGCCAGGACATATGAGCCGCCTGCTACTAAGCAAATCTCTCACTTGTGGCAGCCCAATCCGCCCAAGATCCGATCCGCAGCCGGGCTGATGTGGGAAGCACCTATCCAGGGACCAGAGTCCGAAGATCCGGTGGAGTTGCCGGGATTGTCTGTACGCCCGGCGATCAGAAAAAGTGCAGAACCCCTCAAGATTTATAGCACTAGGTTATGGCAGAAGCCGCTCTCATCTGCCAAGTCCGAACGTAGCGTTGGTCTATGGGGTCAAAAGACACCGCAGCCATCCTCTGAGCCTGCGAAGCCAGTCAAAGCTCGCCCTCTCACCCAGCGCCCGCCTCGACGAAGCAAACGTGTGACGCTTCTTCCAGATATTCGTAAGTCGTACTACATACAGCCCTAAAATTCTTTTTCTCCAAGTATCGCTAACAAGAAGCAGTCGAAAGCCCGGAACCTCTGCCGGATAAGCGTGGCACGCTCGGTATCTTCCAGTTTCCCTGGGGCGAGCGCAGCGCGAATGCCACCGTGCAGCCGCGCCCAAGCCAGGTTTTCATGGCCATGCCAGGCACAATGACCAGTGGTGGACCACGAATCAGTGCCTCTTTGGAGGCCCGGGCGAGGCAGCTCGAGGCGGACGAGTACGAATCGTCCTTCTTCGATGACTATGATGAAGAAGACGAAGGCGACAACTTCGACGACGAATATGAGGACAGCGGTGACGAATTCGATGAAAATACTCTCTGGGAGATTGCTGGATTGCTTCAAACCAGTGTGCCGTCAAGAGAGAGCCTGTTCCCATCGGAATTTAGTCCATCGGTCATCGATGACTACATGGCTGAGCGAACATCGGAAGATCAACTTGAAGAATACGACGAAGACTTCAACATGGTGTCTGAAGAGGATGCAGTCAGAGAAACGATTGCACTGTTTCCAAAGCCTCATGATGAAGTTACCAAGACCTTCCTATGGGAGTTTGACACCAAGTCTGGGGCTTCTCGTGAAAGCTTTGGTCTAACTCAGCCAGCCGACGATGTGTGGCAAAGCTACATCCCAACGGATGCCGAGGCAGTCAGACTGCGAAGTCAGTTTTCGGATCCAGCAATAACACTTGAGAGCAATCAGCTATGGATGCCTGCTTCACTGAAGACTTATGGCAAGCCTTTGCTTTGGACCCCTCATTCAAGGTCTTCTGGAACTGGACACCACCTCGGCCTGCCTCAACCAGATCTGGCAATCTGGTTGGAATACATGCCTGGCCCCGAAGTGCTTACACGATCGAATTCGCGTGTTGAAGAGCCTGCCAAGATAGAGAGTACTTCACTCTGGACTCCTGTAGCGACTACCCCTACGTCAAGGACCTCACTGCTTTGGGCCAGCCCACTGCTAGAGCTCAAAGTTCCAGAGACTACTTCCGCAAGACAAGGTAATGACGTAGAGCACCAAAGACGGAGCTTCATGTGGGAGAAACCCATTCTACTTCCCCAAGCCCACCTTGATGGCCTCTTCAATGCAAAGACTGCTCGAGCCGACTTTCGAAGAACATCAGCTACCCCTCCTGCGGCTGCCATGATCAAGAAGCCGCGTACTAACAAGGAACCTCTCCAGACACTCACAACACGAGGTCTGTGGAAGAATGTTCCAAAGCTAGTTGCACGTTCAACAGGAAAGCGCCAAACCCTGTGGTCTTCGACTTCTGTCCGTGTTGCAAATACAACAACTCTATTCCAGCTCGATGTCACCCGTAAGACTTACAGGACCACGACGGTCGAGCCAGCAGCTCTGAATATGGTGACCAGGCCAAGAAAGTCAAATGCTCCGCTCCCCAGACTCGAGACATCGAGCTTCTGGAAGGCAACGGATGATAAGAAAGCCAAAGTCAACTGGATCAAGCTGTGCTCATCCAAGGTGACTGCTAGCAAGCCCGCTACATCCTCTCAAGGTCTCTTCAAGATGGACTCGACTAGAAAACAGTGGCGCACGACATCAGCTTCCCCTGCCGCGTTGGACATGACCACAAAGTCACGTTCGGTCGATGCACCTCTGCCGCAGCTGGAGTCTACCCGTCTCTGGTCACCCACTCGTACTGCATCTGTTGAAGCTGACTGGATTACAATCTCTTCGGTGCGACCCAGAAGCCCCTCGGTCGCATCTATCGCGTCTACAAGCTCTGCACTGCCCTCTCCTGTCACGGATGCATCCTCTATTAGGACGACTAGCACCAAGGCATCAACTATTGCACCATCGGTTTCTAGCATGTTCGGTTTCCGTGGCTTCTTTGGAAGAAAGAAGGCCGAGCCTGAGATCCCAAGCACCCCCGAGGATGCTGCACTACCGCAAATCCCCGAGATACCAGATGAGGCTTTCATCGTGAAGAACCTGGATGAGGTGCCTCGCAAGAAGGTTGTGCGCACACCGAAGCGCTCAGTGCGTCGCCCAAGCATTGTCTCTGAGAAGGACTGGGATGCGGCTCTGGAGGAGGCCATCAAGGCCAGCCACATCGCTCCCAAGATTGTGCGCAGGCCGTGGTCACCCAAGGAATGGTCAATGGCTCTCAACGAAGCCATTTCCGCCAGCTACCCCAACAACCGCTTCTCCCGGGGACAGGTCCTCCCCGCTCAGTGGGATGAGGAGCTTCGTGAGGCCATTGCTCGCTCCCAACGTCCTGCACACGACGTGTCCACCCGTCATCCCGTCTTCTTTGGCTCAATGACAACAACAGCCACTGATGTGCACCCTGCCATGTACGGGTCCGTGAAGGGCACTCCCACACTCGCTCAAACTAGCTCTAAGCAGCCACTTCTCTGGTCCGAATCAGTGCCGTCCTCATCGAACCTTGCTGCGAATATGTGGGCACCTCCCGCAGGCCAGCCCACAAGCCATACAGCTTCGAGCTTGCCTGAGGTACCATGTGCTTCAGCCCGCAAGCAGACCAAGACGCCTCCCTCCACGATTCCGGTGCCGAGCTTCACTGGCCAAGACATGTGGAAGCGCCAGGGCCCACCAAGCAAGCAGCGCGATTGGCTTGACGACACAATGAAGAAGCGTTTCACGCGCGTCGAACTGAGATACTAGACTCAAATTTCATTCTCTAGATGGCGAGGTTTCCTTTGGTTATTATGGATCAGTGTGGAGTTGCCTACATATTTATGTAAATGCATCAATACCCCTTCCTTGGCTTAGGGTGTACAACATTTCTTTTCTTTCAAGGAGATTTCCCAAGGAGAAGTGGTAGTATTGGTAATGATATCACGCGTCACGCATCATGGTATCATTGATCTCTTTTTCTGTACTAATTTGCAGTATCGTGGCTTTGGTCGCTTTCGCGCTTTAGCTAGATAGACAATCAAAAATGAAATGGTTCAATCCTTACTTTTCCTTATAACGCCATAGGAGACCGTGACAGCGAGACATGCAATCAATTCAAGGCACTTCAAGCGGCATTGCCACCATCCACAGTGAGGCCCACGAAGACCACCAACACGGCTGCATAGGCTGCAGTACTTGCCATAACGTCCATTGGTTTCGTCAGTGATAACGCCATCAATACACCAAATATGAGGATGCACACAGTAGTCGTAATAAGAGCAGTGTACAGTGTGTTATGAAGAACCATCAGCCACATTGGTCCGACCAGGAAGATACCGCCCAGGATGGCGAGAAGCATGCGCTGAAAGAAACCTTCCCAAAAAATTGTTTCACAGTTGACATCTCGAGTTCCTCCAATTGGCGCCGGATACACGGAGGAGTCTTCCCATTTGCGAGTCGGCTTGGATTGACGCGGGGAACCTTTATCGTTTTCCAAGTCTTTCATGGCGACATCCAACATGCAGCGATCAATATAGCGCTCGCCAGTGATAATAAATGGATCGCCAGACTGCCAGATAAATTTTCCCATGTACTCATGGTCCTGCAAGGCTTGTACTTCATGGTTTATTAGCAGAGGCAGATCAATCGAGTTTGGCTTGTACGTGATGATGATGATGCTCCTTGACCCGAAAGGTGCGCTCACCGTATTGCCGAAGATCGCTGGCCCAATCTGCGGGCTCTGTAGCCCCATATCGAAGGTCAACAGCATGCTGCAATAGTCTGTGCTGCAACTTGCGCAAATGAACGCGTTGCAGTTCTGAAATGTTGATTCTGTATGTGGATTTCTTCACATCGTCTGGATAAACAATCCTTTCTATCAGATTGCGTCTGTGGTGACTCCTGATCCAGGAATCATCTTCAAAATCAAGGGCCAGAAGCCCAACTTCGACATCAGGTTTCCTGCGGGCATGTCTGAGCATATGGTGAAACATGGGTACTTTGTAAATAAAATGTATCAAAGGCTACGATGGAGACAAAGATTCGTTTTGTATGAAACTCTCGCAAATATTAAAGCTAGGATAATATGGGAAGAAACACAGTTGAACGCACACAATGGCCATTCTCCAAATTGATTCAATGTACGTCATACCGTCACAGTTTGACCTGGCTTCTAGCTACTACAGTAGGTAGCCTTATCGTTCTGTTGAAATATAGTTTCGTTCATGGGGCTGCGCTGCAGCTGGGGAAGGGCAAGCCATGTGATATGCGTGTATTTCATTATCACGTGGCACGCATGTACTTGTGAGAAGGGCATGGCCGCCACATCGCACGAATTCAATAATTCACGTCTCGAGGTAAAGCACAAGTATATATATTACCATTTCTTACACATGCCGTATTCCTGGGCTTTGAATCGCACTCTAGCACAACTTTAATTTTGGTCAAATCAGACTCCAACGTTCAAGTCGCAATGTCACTCCAGGTTAATCCTTCAATAAGCGATAGGCGATTAACACTCAACTTTTCTCATGAAAAGACTGCCCGAAATTACCTTCACTATCTCTACAATCTTGAAGAAGAGAAAATATTGGAGATGACCTTTCCAGATCATCATTGGGACTTCTCAAGCGCCCACAACTCTTGGCGAATGGGGTGGATATGTTCCTCCCAGATTCCATAAAAAGTGGAAATAAAACTCGTTACAATGTTGAACTCATCTTTTCCGAACCCGACCAAGCGATACTTTGGAAAGGGAAGATGTTGCTGTGGACATCAAAGTCATCGGATCTCGTTTTGATCCTTTCCTCATCATTGACAATTAAGGATATTGACGTGAAGATGGGCAAGCTGGAAGGAAAACGACAAATGACATTTTCAAATATAACTCAGGCTCATTCCTCCCGGTTTCAAACCATAACTAGGATTGTCAATCGGAAGGACAGTACAGGATAGTAAGGATAACGAAATAGGCTTCTGCTACAGCGGCGGGGTCGTGCGGAAGATCCCCAGTGCTGTAAAGAGGTCTTTACTTTGTTTCTGAATACGATACGCGTCGGCAGTACCGTTGCCATTGGTAAAACGATGAGAGGGTAAATAAAATACCAAGGTACGTAAGGAATTGGACTTCTGAATCGGATACTTTGACCAAGACAATCAACTTTGATATGTATAAATGCAGACTCATGAATAGTATATGTATATATACACGTATGCCCGTGGCCAAGTCGTAATGAGACTTCAGTTCGTTATTCTCGCGAATACCTACCTAACCTAGATATTCAACGAGTGCATCTTACCTACGGGGGACGCTATGCGACAATCAAAGACCAGTCATGGTCCCTTGAGATCGCACCCCATTACCAGAAGCACCGAAATTCTATCGAATTCTGTCCAACTGAAGTGTTTGCAAACATCAAATCAATTACCTGATGACTGCCCATGATAGAATTGGGAAGCAACCGGTGGCGGTTCTTTTCTGGAGAAATGTTATCCGGCTGACACGCCGCTATCCGGGCTACCACAAATAAGGGATTTCTTATAACTTTTTTCACTACTCCGTGTACCGAGTTAAGAATTGATTTGTACTCACTCATAGGCCTTTTTATTGTATGTACGAAGTTGAGCGAATTTTCCTTGCATCATTGGCTAAAACCCGAAGTTCAAGTTGCTTTGGGGTATTGTGTTGAAGTAGTGAAAGAGGAAGAGGAAGAATAATTGTAGCTTTACTGGCCTGGCACCCGCTAATACTACCTAGTAGGCAGGTACCGCATAATATAGCGCACCTACACAACCGAGCCACAGATGTGTATATTTCATGCAATTTAATTGCGCACCAAGCAATAATCTCAAATTTCAATCAAGAAGAAGAACAGGATAGAACTGCCTATGGTAATTAAAATGATGTATCCTTTTTTTTTTCTTTCTCGTGCCTCCAGTAGCAAGGGGGGAAAGCGATCCTGTCTTCAGTAGCCCGAATAGCGGATGGGGGTCAGCCCGGGTAATATTTCTCCTTGTCTGCTGAGTGTGCTCGGTATTTTTTCTAAGTTCCAATGGGTAAACAGCACCAGCAAGCGCCCCAGGGTGCCACGCAACCCCTGTCCGCGCCTCTGAAACTTTCCCCAGAACTGCCGTCGCGCATTGCCTTCCCCGAGGTTCGATTTGCCGGGTTAAAATGGATAAGACCCGCCTAAGGAGGTCGCGCGTCTACGCATCCCGATCGAGCTTCAATCAATCGGATCCGGCTTCTTGTCGTCCCAGTGCTACTTAGCCATACGAATATCTTCATAATTCAAAATATCGTCAATCTTGTCAAACGACAATCCCTCGACATTGTGTGCATCGCCATTTATTCGCTCACCCACTCGCTCACCCACTCGTGGTTGATTGATACACAGACATGGCGGCAGTTGGTGAGAAGTCCTCCCACCCTCTCCCTCCTTCCACTCTCTGAACGATCTGACTTACCCCACCATATGCCGGTGACGTGGTTACTAACGGCCCTGAATAGCTGCATCAGTTGCCGCCACTACGGCTGGCCTTGCCTACATCGACGCCAAGTATCATATCCGCAAGGACTGGGCCCTCATTAGGGGCAAGAAGAAGGCTGCCAAGTTGCTGCAGAAAGCAAGTAGGTTACATGCTGCAACCAAATCTCTGCAGTATCACTAACGGAGCCGCATCTAGTCCATGATAAGCGGGTATCTCCCTACTACTTCTTTGAGCATCAAGCTCAAACCAAGCCAAACGCAGAATGTATCTGGTGGCGCCCTGGCAGCTTCACGTGGGCTGAGACGTACTCGCGGGCGAACCAGTTTGCGCACTTCTTCCTCGCTCAGGGCGTACAGCCTGGGGACCTGGTTGCACTCTTCATGGGCAACAGTCCCGACTTCATCTTTGCCTGGTTGGGTCTCTTTGCCATTGGAGCCGCGCCAGCCATGATCAACCACAATCTCACCAAGGCGGCGCTGCTGCACTGCTTGGGCATCAGCAATGCCCCGCTCATACTCGCTGACGGAAGACCGGAGCTGCTGGAGAGAATCGAAGAGGTCAAGGGCGAATTGGCCGAAAAGGGCGTCAAGGTCATCACCCTCGGCGACGTGAGGGCGGATATCAACGCCACAAGGACAGAGAGACCCCCCGACAAGTTGAGAGAGGACGTCAAGCCCGGCTCGCCTTTTGGTCTATTTTATACCAGGTCTGTTGTTGTTGCTTCCTAATCAAGCTGGCGATTCATGATGACTGATTATTGAATAGTGGCACAACTGGCATGCCAAAGGCCTGTATTGTCCCTGCGGCAGCTGCATTCAATGCGGGAGTCAGCGTAGGAGTCATGCTTCTTGTCCAGAGGAGAACTAGGCTGACGATATTTAGAGACAATGTGGTTTTGCCATTGTTCAGGGTGAAAACGAGCGCTACTACGACTGCATGGTGAGTAGTCTAAATTTTCACGGGATACACAACAAAATATTGGACTGACCAGATGACAGCCATTGTATCATGGTACTGGTGGCATCAGTGGAATGACGCAAATCTTGGTGAGTTGATCAAGCAATATCCTCCTCAGCGTGACTTTGTGTGCTTACTAGCTTGTCAGACTGGAACTACTCTATGTCTTGCACCGAAATTCAGCGCTTCTGGCTTCTGGGACGACATTCGTGCCTCGAGAGCCACTTGGTTCGCCTATGTGGGCGAAACTCTGCGATACCTGCTTGCTGCGCCCCCGTCTCCCCGGGACAAGGACCACAATGTGCACTCCATCTACGGAAATGGCTTGAGGCCAGACGTGTGGAAGGCATTCCGAGATCGCTTTGGTATCGAAAAGATCTTTGAGTTCTTCAACAGCACGGAAGGTGTGCTTGCATTGGACAATCCAGCGAGAGGCGAGTTCCACGCTCACAGTGTGGGTCATCATGGTCTTTTGCTAAGGAACCGGTACCACGACACCTACATTCCGGTTGCAATCGACCCAGACACTGGCGAGATTGCCCGGGATCCCAAGAGTGGGTTTGCCACCAGAGTGCCGTATGAGGCGGGAGGCGAGATACTCGTTGCGCATCCCAGCGCATACACTCCGCCCTTTGTGGGCTACCATGGTAACCAGGAAGCTACCGACAAGAAGTTTGTGCAAGATGTCTTCAAGAAAGGCGACGTATACTACAGAACCGGCGACGCGTTGAGACGAGACACTGATGGTCGATGGTACTTCATGGACAGGTGAGTTTGGCCAATTGCGGCGAGGCCATATCGAGTATACTGACATTCTATTCAGACTGGGAGATACTTTCAGATGGAAAGGCGAAAATGTCTCCACCGCAGAGGTGTCTGAAGTGCTTGGGCGCTACCCAGGTGTCTCCGAGGCCACCGTCTACGGAGTGGGTATCCCGGGCCACGATGGCAAAGCCGGCATGGCAGCAATCTACATAGACCCGGCCAACAAGAGCTTTGATTACGATGGGCTCTTGAAGTATGTTGCATTCAAAACAAAAAAAGACGGAAATAATCAAGAGAGCTAACATGAAGAAACAGACACTCCCGGACTCACCTACCCAAATATGCCGTCCCAATCTTTATCCGGCAAATCAAGGAACGCTCGGCGACGCACAATAACAAGCAGAACAAGGTGCCGCTCAAGAACGAGGGCATCGACCCAGCCAAAGTCAAGGGCGATCCCATCTTTTGGATAAGTGACAATGGCAAGGGGTCGAGTTACGTACCTTTTGGACAGCATGAGTGGGATCTGCTCACTGGCGGAAAGGCTAAGCTGTAGCTTGTATATAAATCAATGTGCGATCGGGAACTAAGTAGGTACATAGGTATGGGCAAGAAATTAGACTAGATTTTTACATCATGATGTACGTCGACAACTTGAGACTCTAAGCATGAGCGGTAGATTGAAAGAAAGAAAGAAAGGAAAATATCAAGGTTTTTGTTCTTGTATAACGGGCCTAGAAATATGCAACCGTCGTGCTCATATAGGCTCAAGAATTGCATACTGTTTGCGTGGAGAAACCACATGGTCGGACCAAGCTGCCATATAGTCGATTGACTTTCGACTTTCATGCTTATCTCAAGATTTGGAGGCGTAATTTTAACCTTGTTGGTTCGTCTCGCCCTAGCGGCCATGAGGGGTTAAAGCGTCCGTTGTGCCTGGGTCAAGGTAGAGCGCTGCGGGTGACAGGCACCCTGAGAGTCCACTGAAGCCCTGAGATCCCAGCGAGATCTTCCTTCGGGGTCCTAACCTAAACCCCTCTTGGCCCTTGCGGTGGACCCGCCTCATTTCAGCCCATGGTCTAACTCGACATCAGAAGGGCCTTGGGGTTGTGCCAGTGTAATTACTAGTGATGTAGCACCTGCATGCCCAGCAGCAGCACTCAGCGCCCAGCCCATGCAGGTCAGGGCCTCGTCGGTCGGTCGTCGGAAGGGGTGTCTTGGTTTTCCCAGCGGGTGCATATGCGAGTGATTCGCGCGTAGCCCTCGCCTACTTTCATTCCTCTTTTTCTCTCTTTGCGAACCTCACACATCTCACGAGAGTTTGCTGCGAGGGATAGAGAGAGAGAGAGAAAAACCGCGCGGTTGGGAGTCGCATCCCCCGGAGTCTCACGACCACACCGCCGACGTGGGAGGCAGAGACACACATACACATGACTGCATGAAGACCGACATGTCGCTCATTTGCAACTATCTAATTTGAGAATCATCACAAGTCATTCGTTATTCAAAGAGGACTCTGGGAGGAAAGCTCAGACTTGAAAGCAAGGGCGAGCCGCTGTTCTGCTTCCCCCCGAGACAGTCCCATCACATTCACTCATTTTTGTTTACTTTCGTTATACTATATTACACATTTACGCAATGAGACGCACCACACTCGTCACCTTGACGGCCCTAGCCGGCGCACGTGGCGGTCTTGCCGGGACTACAATCTGGGCGACGCCCCACGACAGCTACTCGTCATCTATCGGGGTCCTGGGGTGCAAGATCGATACAGACCGGGTGGCGTACTGGCCGGACTCGGTATCGTGCAGTAACATTTGCGTGTCGGTCAGCTATGCCGGGCGGAGCGTCAAGCTGCTGCGCGTCGACCAGTCGCAGGGCGCCTATGACATGTCTTACGATGCCTGGAACTACCTGTACACGGGAGAGTCGGCCCTGGACAACCCCACGGCCGGCGGCGCCGTCGAGATGGAGTACGAGGACCTGGACGCGGGAGAGTGCGCCGACCTGATCCACACGGACGACAGCAAGTTGCCCTTGAGCGCCTCCAACTCGATGAACTTTCTTGCTAGCTGCCTCGAGGCCGAGAGCGGCGACGACAACTGGGTCGGCGATAACTACGTGCTGTACAACATCCTCGACTCGATATGCTCGTGGGGCTACGACGAGGAGTGCACCCTGGACTGGCCCAGCGCGAACCAGGCGACGTGCGCGAATCCCTTGGGCACCCCAGTGACCCTTACTTCTGAACCCGTCTACAACATCCTCTACCCGTCGGGCCAGAAGGTTCTGGCGTCGACGGGCCAGCAAGTCTCGGATAGTGCCCAGAACGGCAACTCTGGCAGCGGGTTCGCCATACCAGACTCCCGGTGGCTTACGGCTTTGGCAACACTCATGTCGTTGTTGTCTTTATCCGGGTGAGTTTTGATTGTTGTAGCTTTGGAAAGGCGATTTTGTGTTATAAAGATACCCTTGGTTTTTAATGAAAAGGAACTTTGTCCTTACTGGTTGTAGGTCCGAACAGGATTCACATCACGGGAAAGGGTTGGGGGTTTGAGCAATGCGACGTGGTCCTTGGTCGCCAGCCAATATTAGTGCTGGACAACTTGAATGAGAGTCGTGCCTCTCGGGGCAAGCGTTGTGATGGAAGTTTATGAGGATTGCTGTATTCGACCCTAGGATACCAAAACAGAAAGTCAAAAGGCCAAAGATCAATGCCGGGTGGTAATTCCTCGCCATAACCTGAATTTTGTACGTTCGGATGCATATGCCCACTTCTCTATCATACTTGCACCAAAATATGTTTCTCCCTAGAGCTAAAACTGCTGGCGATGCTTCAAATCGACCTTTCTGTATCTAATCACCTCGACGCCTTGCTCATCAATAATACGCTGCGCCTCGATCCGGTAGCCACCAATTGCCGGCCAGATCTTTGTCCAACAAACCCAGTAAACCGCACCCAGTAACAGCACGCCGACGCCCACGACAGGGAACACAAAGTACGGGTATCCTTCAGCGTTCCAATCGCCATCTGGTGGGATAAACGGCACAATCGCCAGAAATACATTTGCCAGCAGATACAGCACCGTGATTGGCAGGTACGAATGCCACGGTGATGTCCAATTCTCAGATCTGCTCCAATGCAAGTAGATCAGTCCGGCGGCGACAAAGGCATTGATCCAGGCTCCTGGATATGTGTACAGGTCGACAATGAAGTTGTAAGCAGGACCTGCCGGAGGAGCCACCAAGATGATGACAGTGACAAGCCAGTGTAAAAAGAGCTATACCGTTTCAGCTGAAAATCATTTCTGGGCAGATGGTAAATACTCACAGCGGCTGCGGGTGCGTTGAAAGGTTTCACGGATGCCCAAAACTTGCTGAATGGCAGCAATCCTTCTTTGCCAAACTCCTGGTTCAGCCGCGCATGGGCAAAGCTGACGGCAAGCACATTGCCCAAGTTGCTCAGGGCCACAAAGGTTGGTAGACTTCGTGCTGCTGCGCTGTCACCAAAGACATTGCGGAAGAAGATTCCCGCCACAATGACTTCAGATGTCGCCAGGTCCTCCTTTGATATGGCGGCAAAGTATGCCACGTTTGCAAGGATATATAGAATGGTGACACCACCGATAGCAATGGGGGCAGCAACCGCGAGGGTCTTCCTGGGGTGTCTCAGCTCACCAATCACGTAGTTGGCGTTCTCCCACCCCTTGTAACTGTATATGATCCGAAGCAGAGCCTGGGCATATGCATAAGCGCCGCCGCCGCCCCATCCATCGCCCTTGTAGAACTTGAAGGCATCGTCAAAGTTGTGCGGGTCTGGGACCAAACGGCGGCCGGCCAGTGCCGCAAAACCGGAAAATACAATCAGTAGAAGAACAATCACTTTAAAGACACCGAGGACATTGACGAGCCGCAAGCCCCATTTGGGAAAGATGGCGTGTAGGCCGACGGCAAAGGTAGCGCAAGCAATGCCGATTCCACGGGCGGCCCAGCCGTCGGGCTCTGTGCTCCCGGAAGCGAACAAGATATACCGCCCAAAGGCCAGCGAGTTGCCAGATGAAAAGCCGAGTAGAATCATCTGGGAGGCCAAGACGCATGTGGCCAGATACCGCGGATGGCGATATACTCTTTCTAGGTAATTCTTCTCGCCTCCTGACAGCGGAATCGCCAAGCCGAATTCGAGAAATACGCTCAAACCACAAAATGTGAGGATTCCACCTGCAACCATGTCAGACATAATTAGACAATGTTTGTAATATTTCAATTGCGAGGCAGAGAGATTTCACCACATACCGACCAACCATAATATGATTGAGACTCCAACAGACCCAGTAGCAGCAAAAATTCCCGATGGCGTTGAAAAGACTGTTTACGTCAATTTCAGTATGAGTATGATGTCTTGGCCAGGTGAAACTTACTTCCGGTTCCTATCATTTTGTTTAAAATAAGGAATACAGCGCCGGTGATGCCTATCTTTCTAGATTCGTCGTACGCCTGAACCACCTCACCCACGGGATCTGTCTCATCGCGGGCTATGGTGCCGACATCTTGGTCGCGCGAAGATCCTTTGGACATGGTGCGCAAGAGTGGCGTCTCCTCGGTCGTATCTTGAGTAGACATTACAAGAAGGAGAGAGAGAGGAGAGGATAAACTCCTCCCCAAAGAGGCTCACGCTTAAATACGAACCAAATGTAACGAATGACCGCCGATTGCTTAACCCCAGCAGACGGCAAGTACGGTACAGTTTAAACGTTACGCGACAGGGTGGGGGAAAATACCAAGACAATCTGTGGACATTCGCAATTCAGACGTTTGTCTTGGCAAAGAGACGAAGGATGGCTACCAGGGAAGTCAAACAAGACATGTATTTCTTGGATCTCAAAGTGTATCACGAGATTTTGTGTGTTTGACCAAAAGGTCCCTGTCTATCTTGTACGTAAACATGGTCTTTTTCCCTCCCCATACGATATACCGGGGCTGTTGTTAAGGAATTGGCGGTCGATGGCGATCGTTCACGCAATTCTTGGGCATGCTGTCTTTTTCTAGGTTGCGAACCAATCGAGGCGTGGCATGCATAGCGCCCACAGCCGTTCGCCATGAGGCCTATAGAGCACGCCATATCTGCCTAACCATCATCTGCTTGAGCACTCGTGTGACCACCGCAACAAGCCGCGAGCCGCATCGCAAAGAGCCCCAAGTGAGTTTTCACCTTCCTATTTCAGAGTAATAGAAGTTAAGCATAAAAAGATAAAAGAGGATATTGCGGAATCGGTGGCTCTTTGATGATTTACAAATTGAATCTGGTACTTGGATCTATGTGCCTAGCCAGTATTCCGATGCAAAGCGGTGAACCTTTTTGCAGCGCTCGAACGAGCATCTGAAACAACGTTGTGGCCTGATTTTATCGTGCTTATTAGCTGGGAAGAAAATAGTCAGAGCTCCCACCGTTTTGTGAACATCAAAATATTTCTCCAGGGAAATTGGAGATATATCAATTCAGTGGACGCCAAGTGCCAAATCCTCGACTACACTTCTCAATCGGAAGCGTTACCACATCTGAACACTGCCAATTGCAACCGCAAAAAAAGCCTGCAAAATGTATGTCTTTGATTGAGAAATTTGTCGTGAAAATTTATTAGAATATGGACGAAGTACTAAGCTTTTGGACACTGTCTGTAAGGGAATATATGCATTCTCGAAGTAATGTAGCGTATATCAACAGGTCGATGGGGTTATGCTCAGGCGCCAGGGTTAGGTTGCGTCGATGGTTGTTCCCGTCTAGTGTGACGGGATTGCGCTAGGTCTCGGGGGTTGTGCCGTCCGTAGGGTTGATTCAACAAATGCTCGCCTGGAATAACTGACTGCTTCTCCTACTATAGAGCATAGGGTCTACTTCAAGACATGCGCTTTTTGGTTAACCGACAGCTATAGGAGCTTCTGTTGAACGATTTTCCGGGACGAGTACTGACTCTATCGGGAGCTTCAAGGCACGGTCACAGGGGTGGGTCTGCTATTTTTAGCAATTTCAGCCCGGTCTATACGACTTGGGCATTTCATCCAGCCTTCTGTGACCGCAATTTTGCTCTGTAGACAGTGAGAAGCATTCGAATATTTGTACTTATTTGAAAGAATAACCACGCGGTGCTCTGTTCGCACACAACATGCTAAAGGCATTCCAGGAGCCGCCGCCTCTTGATGAATCGGGCAGCTATCATGCTTATTTGGAGGCTTGGCAATATAACAATGTAAGCATTCGTGTAGATAACGTGAACCCAAGTGTTTTGTGCTAGCATCTCCTAACGGCTTCTCAGGGCTCAGAGGCCAATACAGACTCTCTGACGGTCAAGCCACTCGACGAGGCCAATGTTGGTAGCTGGGCGTGGCGCAGAGATTCATTTGCAACACCATCTGAACCGTCGCGCCCTGGGAAGTTGGCTGGCGGCCTCAGAGTATTATTTACTCAGCCCAAATCGCAGTTTCGAGCGGATATTCCATCTGTGTTGGTGAAAGCGAATGTGCTCGAGGCCTTGAGCTTACCTGCACATGCCTTTAATTCCTTCCAGTTGCGGTCTGGGGTATTCTCACTTCACACATATCCCGAAGGAAGCACTATTGATAATTGTACCAAGCTCGGTGCGTTCGACTTGAAATGTTCAAGGCTGAGTACTGATGGAAATGCGCAGGCTTGGTTTTCAGGACTCCCTGGAGAGAATGCGAAATTGGTGGCTACGCTGTTTCTCATGATTTCGACACTGCCGTCACGACAGCACTAGTTCTTGGAAATTGTTTTGGACTCGACCGTTATAATGGAAGTGGTGATGCAGTGGAGCCACCGCAAAGGTTGGAAGAGCTCATTAGCCAGATGGAGGAATGCCGAAACCTCTGGACTCATCCTCTACTCCTGCCTTGTCTACTTCTCATTACGCATGTGCGTCTGATTCGATCTTACATCACCAAGCAAATCAGCCAGAGAATCACATCGCTTGAGCAAATGATTGGTGTGACGAGAAGTGATCCATGGGACGGCCACACGGCTCTCCGTGAGGTCCTTCGTAATGGCGGTACCTATCCTGAGCATGAGACCCTCTTGAGTTACCGTCTCTTGAATGACCGTCTCCGGAGCGAGCGTCTCATGGGCCAACTGTTCGTCGACGGTCGGCTGCAACGAGAACAGGCCAAGATTCTTACCCAACTCATCAACACCATAAGCACCAGAATCATCTTGACGAAGCGTTCCCCTCAATGGGACATGGACTGCGTCAAGTTCCTGCGACGAATCCTTGAGACAAGTCCGAGGCTGTCAAATCATCCGAGAATACCAGCCCAGATATTTCAAGAAACCCTCGATTACGTCGAAAGCTACAGCGAAGTTTGCCTCGAAGTCACGCAGACGTCTGAAGCTAGAATGCAACTTCATCTCAACATTGTAGGTCTGATGCATCCAAGGGCTGTCTTTATGCTTTGATGGTCAATACTGACTTGAATACATTCAAGTTGTACACGTCCATTGCACAAGACGACGGACAGACCAGCGCACGGCTGGCAGCCTCTGCAGGCAAGGATAGCACATCAATGAAAATTATTGCCTTGATCACTGCTGCGTATCTGCCAGCAACCTTTGTAGCAGTAGGTCCGTCCATCTAAAGGTTACCAAAAAAAAATATCATTAACCATATCCAGACATTATTCAGCATGGGCATGTTTGAATGGAGGAGCAGCGACTCGGATACAGAAGGAGCTGTTGCTTCATCAAGCTCGATCTCTCCAGACTTTTGGATGTACTGGGCTGTCACCATCCCCCTGACCGTCGTTACTCTTCTGGGATGGGCTGCCTGGTGGAAATTCGAAGAACATCGGTTCGATGTTGAGGTGAAACAGGCCGTGAAAGACAAAACTACATTAGATTCCCGAGGTTCCGATATCGAGAAGACAGGCGTCTACTCAAAGTTCTTGCCCTTGGCACATAGGCGAACGCAAACCTAAGCATGGGCAAAATCGACAATACAGATGTGAAGCGCGGCTTGTAATATACATCACCCTTCAGATCGCACGTTCACGTGGACTCGATATACATGTTGGAAATTGATCAATAAGAAATACATGATGAAAATGCCCAAGCAGATGTATGACATAGAAAGCGAGAGCCTACGGAGTATTCCAAACGGTCCTGTGTTTTCCATATGCTAATCTGCAAGTTGTCGGATCCGACACCCTGTTCAGTGCCGCGCCGGCAATTAAGAAATGGGTCCCCCCGGCATCGGAAAACCACCGGGATTTTGTGATTTGCGGGGGAGGGGAAGGTGCCTTAGCTTGTCCACCTCCACCTCCAGTGACCTTTTCCAGTGAGTGGACGGCGCCTTTGCCTGGGAAGTGGAACTCCCATACCTACACGATCCGACAAGAGGAGACATGTTATATGCAATGCAGCCGCCCATCATGTCAGTACCGTGGGACTTTCAAGGTGTTTCCCCAACTTTGATCCCTTAGCCTACCAAAGAAGAAGAAGAAGATGGCATCTACCACCCACCTCGACCTTAAGCCAACCTTGGCTCGCCTCCCTCCTCCACCGCCAGCAGACCTGCGATCTCAAGTCCAGACACTTCTCCGCGATCCGAGTTCCAAGGTTCCCATCCTGGTCGCCCTCGATGACGACCCGACAGGCACCCAGACCTGCCACGATATCAATGTGCTCACCGTCTGGGACACGCCGACCCTCGTGTCCGAGTTCCGCGCCACGAGCAGCGGCGGCGGCTTCTTCATCCTTACCAACTCGCGCGCTCTTCACCCGGGACCCGCTCGAGCCCTGATCACCGAAATATGCGCAAACCTCAAGGTGGCATCGGCCGAGACGGGAACGCCCTTTGAGATTGTCCTCCGCGGTGACAGCACCCTCCGTGGCCACTTCCCCCTCGAGGCCGAGGCCGCCGAGGACGTGCTCGGTGTAGCCGACGCATGGCTACTCTGCCCGTTCTTCTTGCAAGGTGGGCGGTACACCATTGACGATGTACATTATGTGGCCGAGGGGGAGGTGCTCGTGCCAGCGGCAGAGACGCCGTTTGCCAAAGACGCCACCTTTGGGTACAAGAGCTCGAATCTGAGAGACTACGTGGTTGAGAAGAGCAAGGGGGTAATTCCTCAAGAGAAGGTCACAAGTCTCAGTCTTGATACCATCAGGAACGGTGGCCCCGGCAAGGTGCTGGAGCAGCTCAAGAGTGTAGCCAAGGGAACCGTCATCGTTGTTAATGCAGCTGCCGAGGCGGATGTTGATGTGGTTATTCTCGCGCTCCTCAAAGCTGCCACCGATGGCAAACGGTTCCTGTTCCGGACCGGAGCTGCTTTTGTATCTGCGCGCCTTGGTATTGCACCTATCCCGCCCATTTCAGCCAAGCAACTCAACCTTTCTGGAGCTGTTGGTGGGCTCATCATAGCTGGATCATACGTACCGAAAACGACAGCACAGCTAGATGTGTTGAGGACAAAGAGTGGAAACAATCTGAAAAGTGTGGTGATTGATGTGCGAACACTGCTGAAGTCGGAAGACAGCGCCAGAGACGAGATGGCAAAAGCTGTCAAGACTGCCGAGGAGGAAATCCAACTTGGTCAAGATGTGCTGGTAATGACGAGCCGTGAATTGATCATTGGTGATGACGAGACCCAGAGTTTGGACATAGGCTCCACTGTAGCCAAGGCATTGGTGTCGTTCCTTGTCGACCTCAAGACGAAACCACGCTATGTCATTGCAAAAGGAGGCATCACATCGTCGGATATGGCTACCAAAGGCTTACGGATGAAGAAGGCGGCTATTGTAGGTCAAGCTGCTCCCGGTGTTCCTCTCTGGCGCTGCGACGAGCCAACGGCCAAATGGCCAGGTCTGCCATATGTAGTGTTTCCAGGTAATGTCGGCTCCAATGATACCTTGTACGAGGTTGTAGATGGTTGGAGAGTATAGTAGCTAGACTCGATAAAAACTCTCGAGTGCCAGGTTTGAATCTGGCATCAATTCAATTATTCAGCATCAATACGAGAACTGGCTCGTCAATAGGTTATATACATCATTTGCCGAGTCGCTCCCAAACGCTTCGTAGATGAGGCTATCATTCATGATGGCCAAGTCATCCAGAAAATTATGCCTCGGCCCTTGTACTCCAGTCGTATACGGATCCCAAGCCACACTTTCATCAGTCGCAAAATCATTGTTCGAATTCTCAATCGCTGGTGCTTGATGTCCCGGGCTTGGGCCATATCCCATGGGTCCGAAGCTTATGACGGAATCTGGCGAGACGCCGATGCCCATCTCTTGAGTTTGTCTGGGTTGTTTCTTTGATATTTTACCCAGATTTTCCAACATCTTCTCTAGACCAGACGCGATATGGTACAGGAGGTGCCTCTCCGAGGTGACGGAGTTCTTGAGAAGTAGAATCATGCGCTCCAGCAGATGAGACACGTAATTGGACTCGACATTCAGGCCCATGATGCGGTTCCATTTGGTAGCAACCTTCATCAGAAATACCGAGGCAAAGGCAATCATGGTGTGAACGTAGAGCGGGGTGCCGACCAGGGCCCGGCGCATGTCCTCCTCTTCCAGCACAAAGGTCAGGATGCTGGCGGCGGCCGAGATGGCCATGTTGGCAAACTCTTTGCGCTCGGTCGACAGACGTCCCTGCGACAGACTCACGCCGCGGATGGCGAGCGAGTTGAGCTGTAGCTTGGCAAAGTACGAGTAGAGAATGATGCCCTTGGGTGGGAACGAGCCAATGAAGCGGTTGTTCTCCTGCCGCGCGTTCCACCGCATACGCCACTGGTCAATCTCGAGGTTGAAGTTGCGCAAGTCGGCGAAATCACTCTCGCCCTCGCCATCGCCCCCGTTGTGGTTATCGTCCCTCAGCATGGCGCCCGCCGTCGAGTGCTGGAGCGGCAGCTTGCGCTCGACAAAGCGGTCATAGATGCGCGTCAGGATCTGCATGAGCGCGACCTGCGAGAGAATGCGCCGGTCCAGGGCGTCGGCAAAGGGGGACTGCAGGAATAGTTCGTGTTCTCGAATCTGCAGGGACTCGGCAATCATGGGTGGCCTCCCGTAGGCGATGGAGAAGTGGTGGTCGCAGACGTAGAGCATGTACCACAAGCGTGCCCTCAGGAAATGCTCCTTGTCACCCTCCAAGGCCCTTGAAAAGGATTGATGGACGTTGAGCTCGGTTGCGATCCGTATGGCGTGGCCTGATAGTTTCCAAGAGACTAGAAAGCGACCAGTCAGCTTCGGCTTAGTACAAGAAAACATGACACAAAGCCCGGATTACTGGACAGCAAGATCAACAACATACCCTCGGAAAGCCAAAATGCGGCAATACACAAGGCGCGCACATCATCAATATTGTGATAGCGACTGAACATGGAACTGGAAGTCAAGGCCAGAAATTCCTTGTAACACTTGTCAAAGGTCTCGGCGCTCGTCGGTATATGGAGTGCAGTAACAGTCAGGATCGTAGCGGTGAGGAGCTCGGAAGATTTCCTTATATCTGCAAAGCTTGGGTGTGTCTGTTCGAGTCCTACCCACAGGTAGTGATTGAGGCTTGTATGGAAGCTGCGCGTATATACCCGATTAGTCATTCAGAGCCTGTGGGCATATGTTCTGATGAACAAACCTTCGATATAAATCTTCAGCTTCAGGCAACGAGATGACACCTCTCGAGATAAAGTCGTTTACTTCCCTGTTACCGCCAGCTTGCGACCGAGCAGTCTTGGCCTTGTTACTGCGGATATTCCTCAGCCGCGTGACTTCATAGAGACTACCCATGGGCTCCTCAACGTTGACCGAGCCGCCAGGGCCCTGCTCACCATTGCTGGTTTGATCAGGGGAATTTTCCCTAGTCATGGCCATGCGCATATTATCCTCTGCTCCTGGCGGTAAAGCTGCCATAGCTGGGCTGCTGCCACTGTCGGCGGCTCGCATCTGGTTAACATGACCCGGGGTAGGAGGGCGTTCTGGCTTCTGCATAGTCACCCCTTGGTGGATTAATGTCTCTAGCGATTCCCTCATTTGCTTGATTTCCTCGCGCATGGAATCAATTTTACGCCTGTCGTCTGTTATCTCCCATGCGAAGAAAAAGAGCAATGGCTAAACAAACTCGTAGTTCCGCCCTGTATGGCTCGAGTCCATGTCGGATGCAGTCTCGGTCATGACGACTCTTTTGAAAATGCAGGCGGCAACGTTTCTGCGCAGGCAATTTTTGCATTTGGTGTCTCCTGGCAAAATCTCACATTTCATCTTTTGTTTCTTGCACTCGACGCCTAGTTCTTCAACTCAGTCATGGCGCTTTGTCTCTCCAGGGTCGGCCACTTACACGCGCGAGGCTTGCGCCCGGGTCCCGTCCTTCGAACGCCTTCATACTGTGAAATTTGGCCATGTTGCTCAGCCGCGTGCCATTGACTCTCTCCTATTGTCGTACGTGGTATTTGCGTCGATACTGGCTGCTGCTCCATGGCAATGGCGTTCGTCACGTCATGGACGTTGCTTTTTCCAGTAGCAGCTACAGCAGCAGCCCCCGTGTTGCACGGAAAATCGGGAAATGAAGTATTCATATGCAAAATCTGGGGAATGCCTGGGTCAGAAATGCCGCCGGCACCGAATCGGCTTTCCGGTCTTCATTCTCCGTAAGTTGCGCTGCCAAACTTCTCCACAACTTCAACCATTGCGACACACTATAGGCGAAGCTAATACGCGGATCCTCTGGGGATGCGGGGTGCTCTAGCTCTCGGACAAGTGTCCGACTACTTATTTGGGTAGTATTTACTAGTCAAGGCTTAGTCGGATCCGGACCCAGGTATACGGTATATTGCAGTGGTATTTGATACATACTCTCACCGAGTGCTGTCCGTTGATATACACAAAGGGCAATCTGACGCAATATATATATTCACGGGTATTATTTGGCGAAGAACAAATTAGCAGTAAGTTACAGGTGTACCCGCTATGATGTCCTAGCTAAACCGAGACACGCTCTGGGGTCCCTCGGCGCGAGTCGTGCCAACCGCCAAAAATTTCTTTTCGGAGCAGTGCCAGATTAGCCTCTTCAGACGCATCATTCCAAACAGAAAATGGCGTTAAACGCTGATGACTGCTGCGTATTAGGACTAGACCAAGTAGAAACAAGGAAGAAAAAGAAAAGAGACGAAGGAAAAGGAGGGCTGGGAGGGGGAAAGAAAACAAAAAACGCTTTAGATAGCAACGTGCTTGACCCTCAGATGTCCTAGGTCAAGAATGTTCAATGAGCAATACCCTCTTAAGCAATAATATTGCTACCTGGCTAGGCTCAATCATGGTGGATACACCAACGTTATGTTTCCCTGACTTTGACATGGCCCGTGGCTCTGCATGACTATGTCTGGTATTTGGCCAGTTTACCGGTTCCGGCACCACCCAATGGTCGACCTGCAGTGGGATGTTCGTGATGATGGGCAGCCGCTTTGGATTTCCCCTTCACATCTCCCTCTTCCAATGTGTAGCCATCTGCCTCCAGCTGCTCCATCTTCTTGTTGTCTCTCTTCAGGTAGTATGATAGAAGCAGTGTTGATACTAATGTCACGACGCAAAGTGCCAAATTGACACCCCAGGCTAGATTGACTCAAGATTAGCGCACAGGCAATGTAGCGAATGACTAATTTGCTCGCTTACCTGTCGTGTATCTCGGACCAGCACTGTCTGGATACAAGTAGGGAGTCCAGACAAGGGCAAGATTGCCAATGGAATTGTTCATGGCGAGTCCTATTGCGCGCTTCTTCTGAGGGCGGGCTGCAATGTTTGCCATCCACGCATTGGAGATTTGAAAACAGCCATACGTGCCGGGTAGCATGAGGAAGAGCGCAAAGTAGCGAGCGCCAATGTTTGTCGTCGCCACCGTAATGATGATGCCAGCAATGGCAACGATGGTGGGATAGACAATGTGCGGAGAGCGCTGGCTAGTCTTGTCGGAATACCACGTATTGAACAAGCAGAAGCAGGCGGTAAAGAGGTAGGGCTAAGCATGACACCGTCAATATCGCTCCGATGAAGGTATATGCAACAGTCTTCTTACAGGTGCAGTCAGCAAGAGTGTATGGATGGTGCTGAAGCCAAAGTTCTTGACGAGTGTGGGCAAGAAATTGGTTAGCGAGGCAACAGCCTGCAAACACATTTGGTTGGCAATACAGAGCCAGATCCTAAAATCCTTTGCTGCCATTTTGAATGCATGCCATGTCTTGATTTCTGAGTCCTCTTCTCCGGCGTCTTCGATGAGTCGAACGACCCCGAGGGCTTTCTCCTCTTCAGTCAGCCATTTGGTCGTTGCTGGCCAATCTGGAATGACAAAGGCAGTGGCACATGCAAATACTACTGTTGCAGCTCCCTCGATGATGAAAAGCCAGCTTTGAATGTGTCAGCAAGTCCTTGACATGAAGATACTCATCCAAGGTCGACATGATGTGACATACCGCCAGCTCGCTATGGCGTTGCCTTGAAATGCGGCCGCGATACCTGCGGCAAAGAGCCCGCCAAATGCTCCACTGAGCATGGCAGCGCAAAAGAAGATGCCCAATCGAAGTCCAAGCTCTGCTCTTGTGTACCAGCCCGAGAATAGAAAGGCAACGCCAGCAAAGAAAGGGGCTTCAGTGATTCCAAGGAAGAAACGGCAAGCCGCCATACCGGCAAAGTTGTGCACCGCACCAGAGCAACCGCTGACGATGCCTTTTTTTTTCCCCAAGTCAATCTTCTGCGAAAGTTATTTATGCCAGTGGGATCTTGAGTGCTTACCCCATAAGATCATGACCACCGACAGGTATATACTCGGCCTCGTCAAGCCCAAGATCATGTTACTAGGCACTTTTTTCAATCATCAGCCGACTTATGATCCATCAATCTCCATAGCAGCATGTCTTATGTACCTTGCATCAAGATATAACCGATGAACGTCAAGCTGAGCACAATATTATATTCGACACCGACAAGGCCAATATCAGCCACGAGTCCTTGGACCTTTGCTTGGGGTAGGGCATTGCGGTCGATGTAATTCATGATGTACATGAGGATCTGGTATTCAAAGCTTATAGTCAGAACCACAAACACTTCAAACGTCACGTATCGTTGAATTCAACAAGCGACTTGGAGGCGATTGAGGTACATACCAATATGGGCAGCAGTCTCAGATCAATTTTTCTGATCAACTTCTTCTCCCTAGCGGCTCGTTCTTCGGGCGACCAAGATGCAACAATCTCGGAGTAGCTAGGGGCAGAGTCATCTGCAGGTCGTTGTCCAGTGCTCGCCATGCTGGGCAGCAGATCAGGAACAGAACGGTGTTGGATGACCGGTAGTATTTCTTCTCGTAGAGGCAAGTCGAATTATACATTCGCATATAGAGCCATCAAAGGAAGCAGCCTTGACCAACTTCCATCCATGACAAAGAGAGGGATCATTTCCAGTCTTATGCTCGGCAAAAAAAAAGGGGGACTCGAAGAGCGTCTCATTCTACATCACACCACCAAATTGCAGGCATATCTCAGCCCTCTGGTAGGCATTCCCGGCTTTTCCTCTAATTTCCCCATATTTTCTTCCCCAGACTCCATCCGCATGGTGCCCACAAGGGGTGCATGATGCCGTTGACCCTCGTGGCCTTGTAAAGAGGGCTGAATTAGCTAACCTAGCGTGCTTGTCCGCGTCAAGTCAACGACTATTGAAAAGTATTTCCCGAATTTCCGGAGGCGTTGTGCTGTAGAATAACTCCCAGTTAAGGATATTCCCCGCAAACTTGTACCACGTCAATGGAAATAAGTGGGAATAGCTAGAGTTATAGTGCCGTTGTGGGCTGTTGGCTCACGCGTTTTCATCTGATCCTGCTGGCCGAAGTGGTTGTCTCGCCGGGGAATTGTGCGATTTCCCGGTGCAAGCAATATGTACGCTTTGCGGCGGGGACAGCTCAAATGACAACACAGTTTTGGATGAGATTACTATGAGAATTCGAGAACGTATAAAGCAGTTCAAGCACGACATATGTGCCCGGGAAGTGTTCACTAGCATCAAAACTATACTTCTTTCCAGACAAGCGTGATAACTTGATCAAACTCCAGTAATTTTGCTCCCATTCGTCTTTGAACCTTGACGCCCGTTGCCCGACCTATAATTCAGACAGTATGACCAGTCTATCGACCAAACTAGCCGATCTGGAAGCGGCAGGGAAGCCAATCCAGGTCGGCATCATTGGAGCTGGCAAATTCGGTTCCATGTTCATTGCCCAGTCCCACCGCACGGTAGGCATGAGACTGGCGGGCATTGCGGATCTCTCGTCGGACCGTGCCTTTGCCTCTCTCAAAAGGACCAACTTCCCGACCGATAAATACGACACGACGGTTAATGCATCGATATCAGAGGGCGTCAAGGCCGGGAAGACGGTTGTCACAACCGACTCGGCCGCTCTCATTGCTACGCCCGAGATTGATGTCATTCTTGAAGTCACTGGAAATCCAGCGGCCGGTATTAGACATGCACTCTTGGTGAGCTTGCATTTCATCTCTCTATTCTCTTATCTTTTCTTTTCCTTTTTTTTTTTCCCTCAAATGATCAAAAGGCCGATTAAAGAGATTTACACATGACTGACTCTTGCTCTACCAGTGCTGTGAGCACAAGAAGCACATTGTCATGATCAATGTCGAGGCAGATGTACTAGCAGGACCTCTTCTGGCAAGAAAAGCGAAAGAAGCAGGTATCATCTACAGTATGGCATATGGCGACCAGCCAGCCCTCATTGCAGAGATGGTAGACTGGGCAAGAACGGCAGGATTGTAAGTGACAGCAGGCTCGTCTCCAGTATAGTCATGAACGCGGCGGACTAACATGTCCTATCAGCGACGTCGTTTGCGCTGGAAAGGGAACCAAGCATCTACCACAATACCATTACTCCAATCCAGATACGGTTTGGGACTATTATGGCTTCACCAAAGAACAATTGGAGTCGGGTGATTTTGTAAGTACAATCAAATACTTCCATATTGATTCGAGAACTGTGCTGACCAGAACTGCCCGTAGAACCCTCAAATGTTCAACTCGTTCCTCGACGGAACCAAGTCTGCTCTGGAAATGGCAGCCGTAGCCAATGGCTGCGACCTGAGTCCGCCGTCCGAAGGCCTACAGTTCCCGCCCTGTGGTAAATGGGACCTGCCCGAGGTGCTCAAGCCCGAGGCAGACGGCGGGCAGCTCAAGAAGAAGGGCACGGTCGAGGTGGTATCGTGCATGGAAAAGGACGGGCGGTGGGTGTTTAATGGTATGTGCATCGTCGACAAACTGAATCTAGCGGCCACCACTAACAGTCATTAGACCTTCGTTGGGGAGTTTACGTCATCATTGAGGCGGCCTCGCAGTACCAAATGGACTGTTTCAAGCAGTACGGCCTCAAGACTGACAGCACGGGCAAGTACGCCGCCCAGTACAAGCCCTACCACCTCATTGGCCTCGAGCTCGGCGTTTCCATCGCCACCATCATGTGCCGCGGCGAGCCCACGGGCCAGACCAAGACCTGGGCTGGCGACGTCGTGGCCACGGCCAAGCGCGACCTCAAGGCGGGGGAGACGCTCGATGGCGAGGGCGGCTTCACCGTCTACGGAAAGCTCATGACCGCCGAGGACTCCATGGCCATTTCGGGCCTGCCGATTGGTCTTGCGCACGGGTTTGTCTTGAAGAAGGACATCACGAAAGATCAAGGACTGAGTTGGGATGATGTCGAGTATAGTGACAAGTCGCAAGCTGTCGCCGTCCGAAAAGAGATGGAGGCCATTTTCAAGAAGGAGTTCTCGCTAAAGTCCAGCAAGTCCAACGGCGTCAATGGTGTACATTGAATATGTGTTGCCGCCACAAACTTATTTTAGCCAAGAAACTTCATTTCAATCTATCTATACAATCTAGTGGATAGCATACATCAACTAATGACACATGGATGGTGATGATACAATCTAAAGACTACAAAACTTTTCCCTTTTTTCCCCTCCCCCCTCCGAGGTCAAGACATATGCCAGGTGTTGAAACAGAAATCCAGATTGATATTTGTCTCGTGTGCCTGAATGATATTCAACCCTCTCAAGGTACAAAGGCATATTGGTAGAGACCCCCCTGGGTCATGGTGACGCTCAACTGTCGAAAATAGGACCATATGCCGGAATACCCTTACTCTCAAGATCGTACACAATCTTCTCTGTAAAGCCGGGGTTGCTAATTACAATCACTGCTTCGGCCTCAAAATCTCTGACCATGTTCAGAACCTCGGGCAGCATGTCACGCCTGCCTCCTTGACTTGTGTCAATGATCAGTGGGTTGGGATCCATTCTCTTGACCAGATCAAGCGTTCGTTGGCCGTACGTCTGCAGTGGGCATCGCGATTGCCAGACTACGCGTAACGGAGGCATGTCCTTGTACCCAATAAAGGACAAGCAAGGGCCGATGCCCGAGCCCGTCGTGACCACAACTAGTCTACTGAAGACCTTCATTGCGTATGCCAGGCCACAGACCGGCACTGCCCGTATCCACAGTTTAGTTGGCCGTGCTTCAATGACTGACCTTGTCCAGTCGCCGGCATTTGACACTAGACAGGAGAACTTGGACTCTGGGGTGTCGAGTTGATCGGTAAAAGTTGCAAAGCTGTGCCAGTCCCTAAGGGGGTGTCTTGCAAGCGACAGACCCCTTCCCCATCTTGCTTGTCGATGGCTAAAGTGCAATCGTATTGCGTGCGGGGATAGGTATTCTGGAGTAACATCCACCTTGCGCAGCATTGTCCAAGGCCACATCGCTGCCATACTGGACACCAAGAGGAACCAGAAAGTTGGAAAGGTCAAGAGGTATGTTCCGATAGACGACATCTGGTCTAGCACAACTTCATCGTAGGCCTGGGTAAGAAGCAATGCCCAAAGGAACGCCAGGGTGAGCCAACTCGCAAATCTGTGTGTCATTTCAAACGTGTCATGACAACGCCGACGTATGGATGGAATGGCCACGACAATGATGGCAATCAGCAGGGCCGTGACCACGACAGCCATGGCCAAGATAAAGGTCGGTCGCGGACTAACCCATGGCTTGGTAAAGGCAAAAACGATGACGAATATCATTGTCCACATGCATGCTGCTATGCCAGTCCCGCTGTGAACTCCCCCGATATGGAATATCTTGCAAAGCCTCCTTCGAAGCCACAAGGGAGATGATCGTGGTATCGCACCGCACACGACGAAGAGTGCATTGATCACGACAGGCGATCGTGCCAACGTACAGACCATAGCATTCGCTGATGCCATATGTATGCAAATGGTAGCAGACTTTTCCAGTATGGCCTGAATTTCAGCCACCTCCTGAAAGTCTAGTATCACACCGACAAGCAGCGGGAGCACATTGCCAACGATCATGATGGTGAAGAGACGACCATATGTATTGCAAGGCCCATGCCTCAGTTTTGACGACCACACTTGAACTCGATTCGGCGTTTCTGAAACTGGCTCTGATGGGATAGAGGATTGCTCCGCAATGTCTTTGCACAGGCCTGAGCGTATGACATGAGTTCCTTTCTTCGGTTCTGAGCCAACTGCTGAGAATTCATCGTCCCAAACTTGTCGGATTGTTTGATTTCGACCGAGCGATCCTAATTCAACGGAGCTGTTGTTTGCAGTCGTGCCAACAGTTATGCTCTCCCAGCCACACGTCGCAACCGTGGTGGCAGAGCCATTGCCCCAGAGCTGGCCAGCCTCGACCGGGGCATCTTTTTCATCCATTTCCACGAGCCGGAATCGTTCTTTGCCAACGGGCCGAAGTAAATAAGATAATCAGAGAGGAAAACGCGTCATTCTTGCATTTGAATCGTCGAGATTTTCTGCGTAGGTTGTGTCCAGTGATGCTGAACTGACAGCTGTCAGAAAGTGGTATATCAATATGATGGTGTATAAGTAAATATTGTTCCCACGTCAAGAAAAAGAAGAATGAGGAAAACTGCAGGAGAGCACAAAAAAGACTTCTCGTATCACGCCTGGTTTGGGTTTGTGTTTTAGGCAGTCGGAACTCATTCCCCTGTCCTCGATGAAGATCACCCATGTAAGGCTTCCTGGCTCCATGGATCCTGTAAGCAGACAGACATGTCGAAAGCAAAACTTCATGAAATACCGAAGGGGAAAAAAAAATTAAGAAGTCGATAGGGTTTCACTGTGGCGATATGTCAAAGCGCCGCGTCAGATTGAGTAAACACTCGTTTTTCTCCCCCAACGTCATTCGATAGTGACATGCAGAGAAGCAAACAAAGTTATTTTGGGCCCCGTACCCAGACATGGCCAGGGTCAAAGTGGCCCAGAGATCCGGTCCCGGCAAACTGGAGTGCGCCGCGTGGGCTTTGCGCCACCGAGAGGCCATCGTGAGATGATGCGAGCTCCGCCATGTCTCACGGTCGCAGCAGGGCTGTCTGAACCTTAATATATGCCAACTTTAAAACTGCAGATGCATGGCAGAAAAGAAATCACGAATGGTACTTATGTTTTTATAATGGGTCACCGGAAATTCGGGACCGTGGTGGGTTTTCCAGAAGCTGCCGCCAACGCACGTATGTTCATCGGTAAAGGATGCAAGGGGCCTGGGAGACCGCCAGTCTTGTCAAAGTCATATAAGGTGCTGTGAGACCAAGCTGATGGCCATGGTAATCTTACCTTAGCCTCTGTTGGTCCTAGATCTTATGTTCCAATAGTCTCCTCCGGGCTTGCTATGCAAGCTTTCAAGACTCGATACTATCGAACTTAACTTTCACACCCCGACACGCCGAAAGGCGTGCAAGCAAGATCATGTATCGCATATAACGTACGGGAGGTTGGTAGACGGGGCGATCTTGGATCTGGGTAAACAACCGGACTCTTGTTCACCTTTGCTTTTCTTTCACCGAGACCGTGTCGACGTTGCTTTTTGTGCAGTCAAAATGAAAAGCACAACGGAGGTTACGGCTCCGACTGAGGATCTCGTGTCCTTTGCTTTCAACAAGCAGAACACCTTTGATGACTCAAAGCCGTTGTACATCAGTGCCGATGATCCGCAGCAGTCACTGAGTTACGAACAAGCCTTGCGATATATCCGACAGTTGATTTCTGGACTCAAAGCTTTTGGACTTGCAGATGGCGATACCGTACTCGTACATCTTTTCAACAACGTCAGTCATAGCCTTGGTACAAAAGAGACCTGCGCACAGCTAACGGCGCGCTCAGTATGCCTACGCGCCCATCCTTCTCGCCATTGTCGGGGCCGGAGGCGTCATCTGTGCCACCAATCCAACGCTCAAGAGTGAACTCGTCAATATATTTGACATTGCACGGCCTACTTTCGTCATTACCACGTCGGATCTTTTGATCAACTTGCAAAAATGGGTGCCCGGCATCAGCCTTGACCAGGTCCTGATTTTTGACAATCTCATGTCTCCAAGATGCCATGGTAGCGCTCCGAATTCTGGACCCGGCCAAACAAGTCTCGATCCGTCTCTTTTGAGCCATGGTGAGCGGGACTGGAAGAGACTGCACACGGAAGAGCAAATGAGGAAGACACCAGCTTCATACTTTTTGACATCGGGCACAACGGGCTGTCCCAAACTAGCCACCTTGTCGCACTACTCCATGGTTTCCCATTTCATTCAAATCCACCAAGAGGTACCCTATGATGTAGTAAGGCTGTGCTGTCTGCCACTGTTCCACATATTTGGCAGTGCCTGGGTAATGGCGCTGACCATTCGCCACGGTCAGCCAGTCTATGTCATGCCTCGGTTTGCCATGGACAAATACTTGGAGTATGTTGAAAACTTTCAGATCACGGAGAGCTGCTTAGCACCCCCAATCGTCGAACAGTTGAACAATCTCGATCCACCTCCCAAAAGTCAGCTGGCATCTCTCCGTTTTGTCACTGTAGGAGGCGCGCCCATTACGGCCGCCACCATGTGCACATTCAGGTCAATGCTACATGATGCGGCGACATTAAGTGGATGCTATGGTGCAACGGAGATGGGCACCATTAGCATGTTTCGGTACGGAGAGGAAGTCGACTATGGCTCCGTCGGAAGGCCGCTGCCCGGAGCCAAGATAGACTTGCGGCCAATTGAGGCCCGTCAGATTGGTCTGACGAAGGGTTCTGCAGGTACGGAAGCCTGGAGCGAGATTGTCGTCTCAGTGCCCTCTCATATGGAGAGATATCATGGAGAATTTGACAACAGCAGCGTCAATGTCCAGTGGTATCGTACGGGTGACCTAGGGCGGATGGACAAGGACAAACTGTACATTGTCGGCAAGGCCAAAGATATTATGAAAGTGAACGGGTGAGTTGGTATCTGATCAAGTCCCAGAGAACTCCAGTCACTGATGCGACGGTTGACTAACATTCATGACCCAAGTTTTCAAGTCTCGCCGACCGAGATCGAGGCCGTTCTGCTTCGGCATCCGGACATTGTCGACTGTGCTGTGTCCAAAGTCGTGCATAACGAGGCCGAAATGCCACGCGCGTACGTGGTGAGGCGTAATCAGACCCTTTCCGAGGATGATGTTGTCGACTTTTCCCGACGGCAGCTGATCAGCTACAAGGCATTGACGGGCGGCGTGGCTTTTGTTCAACGAATACCAAGGCTCGCCAGCGGTAAGATCCAGAGATACAAGCTTGTTGATATGCCACTAGACACAGAACCCGATAGGCATACAGAAGAAGACGAAGGCGAAGAAGGAGAAATAGAAGAAGAAGAAGAAGAAGAAGAAGAAGAAACAGGCGCCGGGCAAACTTGTGCACGCTCTACACGCATTCTTCGCAATCTTGTTCGCCGTGCGGGCTTGAGCGGGAGCTGGGTCATTCGGAGGCTGGCGTCAGAGCGCTGGCTATCGAATGAGCATTGGGGTCAATGGTCGGCTCCAAGCATTGGACTATTGAGCTGCGCAATCGGAATCGGGATCTGGTACATGAGAGCATTTGGTCAGGAGGATTCTAGGCGAGAGAGCTGATGCTTGTGGATGATGGAGGGTTCGTTCAACAGGCGCCAGCGAGCTGCACTGACTTGGGGCGAGCTAGCTACCCATGATTTTAGCGTGCGGCAGGGCAGACCCCAACCCTAAGCAGCGATAAACGAGCATATCAGCCGCTATAATTGCTATAGACAAGACGCATATTCAATAAATACCTGCCTACTTGCCTTGGGTCGACTGGTAGTAATGTGTGTCCCTAGGGGCAGGTAAGATAACATTATAATAATAACACTTGATTGCATATTGTTAGGTGGTGGTGTTACTTGGTCACAAATAGTGGGGAAAACTACCCAACATCATTACGAGCTACCAGAACCAGCACATTCTTTCAATATCCAGATGCAAGAAGTTTACTCCCGCCAATGTCCAAAGAGCATATCTTGCGCTGTAATTAACGGGATTCTACCACACATCATTTCAAGAGAATGTTATTCAACTCTGCTGTTATCCACAATTTTTACTCTACTTTGCCTGTGTTGCCTCTTCCCCGCCATTCTTGATCTTAATATAGTCCGTATAGCACCTAAACAGCTTTAAACGTTGACGTGGATTCTCCATTGAGCGTCCATCTCTCCACACCTCAGTCTGCCACCACCAGCGACCTTGCCATTTCTGGTCCAACGGGCCATACCATCGCGAATAAGGTCCATCATGTCATCGCGGCCCATGTAGAAGCCGCCATTGTCCTTGCCACGAACAGCAAAGGTGCATGTGCCCTCGTTGAGTATGGCCTTGAAGTCTTTGACGCCCGAGAAAAAGGCGCCACCAGCCGGCGCAGCGTTGAGCTTATTCACGATTTCGGCACAGTCGCTTGCCAGGGCTTGGCTCGGCCCGTCCGTGATAGGCTCCCACGTTGTCTGGCCGCACTTGTTGGCGTACTGGCTGCCGTCGTTCCACGTCATTCGCTGGGCCCTTGCCGTCAAGGCGAGGAGCCCCAAGCTCAGCAACGAGTTGATATGCATCTCTAGATATTTGATGAGTGTTTGGGTTTGTTTGTTTTCGTTTGTGTCTCTCTTCTGTTATGCAACCTTGAACCGTGATTTCAATCTATAGAAGAGGGTGCCTGGTATTTCTGCAAGTGTGAGATGCGAGAGTGAGTCGTGGTATTTGCCCCAGAGCTTCAGCTGTCAAAGAGATCAAACTTCATCATTGCAATGGTGTTCAAAGAGTCCATATTCAACTGGGTCAGGCGGAATTGTCATAAAGAATGCCAAAGAGATTTATTTCTTTATGTTGGAGGTTGAGACGACAAAGCCGCCACTGTATCTGGGAAAGAGCAAAGAGTTTCCAAGTATTGTCGTCATTGAGTAAAGCGACAACAATGACAACTCAAGCCTTCCACAAGACCTTGCCCTGCCAAGACTTTACGCGCGACTGCACTCTGGACAAGTCCTCATGCTTCGAAGCAACTGCAGCATCGTATGATCTACGATAGACGCCCAAATTCTCAGTAAACAGGGCTTGGCGATCCGACCATCCAGTCAAGCCCCGGATCTTTTCACTTCCGACCCACTGGCTGAAGCCGAATATCGGGGCCAAACTCTCATCTGCAGGAGTGGTATCGACTCCAGACTCAAATTTTGAGCCTTCAGAGAAGCCGTACTCTTTGGCCACAGCTTTGAGTACTTGTCCTGCAGTCTCATATTTGGCAGCTGAGATGTTATAGCACTGTCCCGCGACGGCGGAGCGGTCCTCATGTTCAGCAAGTGCCAGATAAGCCTCGGCGCAATCGTCAACGTGCACTGGAGATGGCATTGATATTAGTCATGTTAATCGGGTGAGGTTGCGATCATAAAAGTTTGACAGGTTTCATACAAGACTAGCAAGAAGCTACTCTATGAAATGAATGTCGGCTCGACTTACGAGCGTGCATGATAGAATTCGGGTTGATATTCCTCAGCGTTAAAACTTTTGTGCCCGTCGCAGCGATGGCAGCTGCAAACTCAAATATGACTCCAAAGTAACTGCTGCTGTGACCATAGACGTTCGTTGGACGGAGTACAGCCGCATCGAACAAGTCTGTCTGCTCCAGCATTTTCACTGAGCAGTTTGCTCGAGCAACCATAAGACCTGGGGGGTTCACTACAGTATTTAATGTTGTCAGCAGCCTCCTTTACCGATATTAAAGAGTGTGAAATTCGTGTGCTTATAACTCGGCCAGAAAAGATGCAAATCAAGACAAGAACTTGCTTACAAGGTGACGTCTCGGTATGTGGGCGCAGTCCCGGTGCACCATCAACATCGGTGGTGCCATAGTCCTTGCACCCAGAACTCCACAAGACAAGAGGACGCACTTGATGAGCGTTGCTGACTTTGGCAATAAGCCGTATCGCTGCTATAGCATGCTTGATGTAGGTTTCATAGTCAGGAGGCTCTATGCATCCAACAATGACATCAAAGGTCTTGCTATAAGAAGTCAAGGCCGCCTGAATGCCCTCGGCGTCGGTGATTTCTCCAACTATGGGAATGGTTTCATTGAGAGCGAGCGTTCCTGCGGCTTCTTGACGGCGCACCAGACCAAACACAATGTAGCCCGCTCGAACAAATGCACGGCAGACAGCTGCACCAATATAGCCATTGGCGCCAATAACGAGGACTGTCTTTCGCGGCATTGCAGAGATGTTGATGAAATGCGTTGATGCAAGCCTCAGTGTGAGGGGAAACTCAGTCGATTATAATGTATTCTTTTTGAAGTGCATAGAGTCTGGCTTTGAACGGTCGCACGGCTCTGATGGGGATATGCAGCTCAAACCGAGTCAAAGCTCGGCTCAATTAGTAATTGGCCATGATGCTCCAACGGCGTAGGTTGAACTATGAAACCACATTGAGCCCGATTGAGATCATGTAAGATACCCTACACACAGCTGCATGTGTAATTGGCACCGATGGCCCCTCTTCCATAAGCATTTAGTGGAATACAAGCGCCAAAGGTCGACCCACGTATGCTTACCTACTTGGGTGTGTTGGCGGACCAAGATTATACCGGATGACTAATGTCATATCCATCAGTCTCCGTTCGAACGGATCTCAACCACGAGCTTGGCGCATGAAATCGAGGAAACCTCCACCGAAAAAGTCCTCCATACTTGGTATCACGGGTTGTGATATTTCATATCCCATCTGGAGCGGGTCAGAGGCCATGGGAAATGTGTCCGTTCCGCTCACAAAGTCCTCATTATCATATGTACGTTGATCCGACAAAGATGATGGTGTTGCACCATTATCAGTGCCATTTGGGAACGTTGGGACTGGTAAATCAGATGGAGTCCAATTGGGCGGATGCCTGCGGCCTTGTTCAGAAGGCGCTGGTTTGCGGATGTCTTGTTGCGGCCGTGTTGCACCTGTTCTTGACTCTACTTTTTGTCTTGCGAGTGTTGCAAATTTGATGGCCCAGGATTTGCTTGGCGTTCGCATACACCAGTCTTCCAGTCTCGAGATGAGGCCAATGCTTACATCGGCCGAGACTTTGGATTGGCTTTCATCGTAGTGCGCCAAGATCAGAGCGGAGTATCCAATGACGAGGCATAGATAGGTCGGTATCGTGTCCATGAGGAACGAGGGCATGTCGACAAAGGTCTCTAGCACAGAGTGTGCGTATCTTGAGGTATGATACTGAAGCATCTGTGTGCTATTCTTGGCAGCTTTCGTATCCGATGCGTTTGAAGTACTATTTGCAGGCGAGCCAAACGGTGGATTGGCAAGGAATGTCTTGGGGCTCATGGCATCGCCGCGTTCCTCGAGGGCTCTCACGGAAAGAATTAAATACGCAGCGTAATATCCTATGCGGAGCATGGAGGCAGTTGACAGGGCTAGGAGAAGTCAGATACAGGCCTGCCGTGCTGTTTCATGTCCATGGGAGGGTTCCTTACACATGAGATGATTCCACTTTTGCTTCCAGGCTTTGAAGTCTTCACACTCGCCATTTGTGTCAAGGTAGGAGCGACGCGACAGTTTTTGGTGCAACACAGAGTATAGCAAGATTTCGGCGACAAGCATTCCGTCTTGCATACTTGCTTGATAGAAGCTGAGCAGAATATTGCATTGGTTTATATAGGGAACATGGAGGACTGATGGTCTTCCTGTGGTCGCGGACCAGCTGGGTAAGTAGCCTTTGATCAGTATTGGCTTGTCGCGAGTTTGAATATTCTGTGTGGGGGTCTCGCGGGCTTACTGCAGATGGTGAAGACAAATAGTCGACCAAAGATGGATAGCATGACGATCCTGTACTGTTGACACTCCCCGCCTAATATTGGTTACAATTTTGGAGAAGCTGATACTAAGCATAGCTTGTTTGACACAGTAGCCGGTCAATAACCAGCTGTCGATGTACTCGGGGCCGTCCTGCACTAATCAGCTTTGACTACGTCAGTGGATCTCGATCCATAACAATAAACTTACGGCATGGTCACTCATGACGAGAATGGCATTAATCTCTTCAAGGTTGAGAGGACTCGACAAGAGTGCTTGGCCTAGTGTGATTCGGACTTGTTCGTAGACTTGGCGGTGCATTGGCGTGCCGCAGAGATCCTCGCGATACAGAATGGCACATAGACAGCAGACACTGTGCAGGAAGGCAGAGAGCTCTCTGAGATCACGGCCTGGAGTTTCCGATGGCTCGTACACTGAAAGCAGATGGCCATGGTGCCGTAGAAACCTAGACAGATGTAAGCTGCCGAAGACGATGCCGTGCTGACAATACAAGGCTTCACGATAGGTAGCAACTCACAGTCGAATGAGTTCATTGGCTGTCTGTTCATTCAGCAATTGCAGCTGCATGAGGTCGAGTTTGACGTGCTCAAGTCTGCGGTAACCCTGGGTGACGTGTTCACCAATCTCTCTCAATACCACGGTGGGAGCTGATTTGATGCCGACATCGACGGGGTCTGCTATATTCTCAGGGCTGTCGTCATTTTCGGGGGGATCAGTTGAATCATCGTCTGCGTCAGTTGCCGACGACTTGGACTTGTGAAGATCGTTTGCCGTGCCTGCTAAGCCGAATTGGCGAGTAACCAATTCGATCATGCCCTTGATCTCCGCCAGAGACTTTTCATGTCGACCGAGCCTGTAGATGGCAGCATTAGACCCAAAAAATACACCACACGTCTGACAATTTTCCTTCTTTAACGGTGTGATTGATTTTCAATTAGTACTTACCGTTCTTCAATACTAGTGGAATTGTCCACAGGTTTGGGGTGTGTGGGCACATCAAGAATTTCTCCTTTAAGCGAGCATTCGATCCTATTACTACTTAGAATCATTGTTCTTTGGATTATTTATTTCATTATGAAGAAATATATAAGCATTGAAAATGAATAGAAACTCCATTGAGTCTGTAAACTGGGGAAAGGGGGGGAGCTTTGGATCGAGAAACGGACCTCAAAGTTACACATCGGTGGCATGCTTGAGAGCCAGGGTCGTACTCGCAACGACATTTGAGTCTTTGGCATGACTGGCACGAGAAGACGCGCCGTCGACGCTTTTGACCAGTGCCTCCAGCGGATGCACCAGAAGACTTGTCGAGAGGCTCATCCTTTTCGGTCCTGGGAGCCTTGCGTTTGACTGGTCGTGAACTGCCAGCACTGGTGGTGCTGTTGGAAGCGGGCTCCGGGGCCGTAGCAGACGGGGTCTCATCGGCAGGCCGCTCGGGCCCAGACGAGTGGCCGCCTTCAGTGGCAGCATCAGCAGCAGGCATTCCAAAGCCAAAGTGTATGTTTCCACTCTTGTGTGGTTTTTTTGGATTTGGATTTGTCGTACGACGATGGTATGGTAAACTTGGGACGAAACTTACAGCAAGCCGGCGGAGAACGCTGGCGGGCGTCGATACCTAGGATATGGCCTGTTTAAAGAGAGCAGTTGGGGTTCCACACGAGCAGCGCTGACTGGTTGGGGTCACCGCCGATCTCCGACGGGGGTCTTGGAATCACATGTAGCATCTCGTATTCTGACTCTCAAGTCTCTCTTCTTATTCCATACGCTCGAAATGATGGCTAAGCACCTTTTCGGGGAACTGCTTTGAGCTGACCTATATAGATCTCCGGTTGCCCTGTTGCGCTGCTCGTTCAGAGTGTCTGGGCAGGCGCGATAACTTTCCTACTTGAGACTGGTATCGTTGACATGTTTGACAGTCATCATTCAAGCGAACCTCTTTGGGTGTGGAACACTTTATTAAGAGGTTCTCTCCAAGTTCCACGAGCACTAGTAACAATGAAAAGAGCGCCAAGATTCAATGTTCTGCAGCTTGTCCAGCTACATACAGTTCTTGTGGCCAATCACCCATGATGCTTTCGTAAACCCATCTCATAAACGGTTGCCCGCTATGTACCCCAGATCTTCATCTTCTCATTCGGTGTGGGGCAATAGGGCCTGCCATAAGCAGCAGGATGGAGTCGCGTCCCCTTCTCAATCTGCCGTCCATGCAATCAATCAGATGTCAAGCATTTGGAATGTAAAAAGACGCGGATGGAAGCACAAATTGAAGAACTAGGTAGGTAGTTAGACGATGACGATGACGACTATCATCGCGACTTTTAAATGGTATCTCCAAAATTCTGGCGGTACCAGCCTCCTTTCCCAGTGCAAAGTCGTCGTCGGCAGAGGTCACAACGTCGCGCGAGTAGGCAGCTGAGACACTGACCGGTTTGTCTTGGGGATCTTGCATACAAACACCGAATGATGGCCCGTCGCGAACCTGGAGGAAATACTGCACGCATTTTGCAACAAAGCGAGTCCCTCCAACCAATTGATATCTGCCTGCTAATCCATAATCTATGGACATCTATCTGCCTTGGGGAGACTTCGGAGCCGCCGGGATTCTGGGGTTCAACTGTCATATTCAGCCGCCGTCGCTTGTGTTGCGCCGAGGCATGATTGCCTTGTGGTCGTCCATATGGTGGCCTTTTTGGTTAGATATATCTTCTCGCAGGTAGCTTTGCATGTCAGCTTTCATGCACGCCAGGTGTGATGAACCAAAATGCTCCTCCCTACCTACGCCACTACTCGTTCCCAGCATTGCCTCATGATGGAGGCAATTATTATCATCAACATCCCTCCAAAGGATGCACTCCATGACTTGCAAGTCGAACATGGCCGCTTGTATATGACAAGAATACTCATTTAAAAACCTAAACAAGTGTCAGTCTGAATGAGGTCAAGAGGGAGGAATTGTGCGGCATGAATACACAGCGTCAAAAGGAACGGGCACGCAATGGCGCCCCCATGGTCCCCAGAGCAAATCAACACCTCAGCGATAAATATACGAATCCTTTGAAACTTGCTCGTGTCTTACCCAGGCTGGTTGATTGATCTTGAACAATTGTGTATTGTTCCTGGCCAAGGCGTGAACTCATAGTCTGGCGTGCGGCCCTATTGGTAGCTCAGAGTCGGATAGAAGTCGAGCCAGATCCTCCACAAAATCCTTTCCAGGTGCTTTCGGCTCTACTGATGCGATTATATGTTCTTTCGCAGATACTCGTGCTTCAGCTTATCATCAACGCGGCTGGACCTATCAGGAATACATGATGTCCTGGAGGAAATAAGTCTTTTCCGAGGGACAGCTCAATACAAATGCACTTGCGGTTACTACCACGAGCAGCTCGACTCACAGCCTTGGCTCAATCAAAACATCAGTCTTCTGCGGAGTGACCTCCCATCTGGCATCTCTAATGCTGGCGCACTTAATCTCGTCATTGAAAGATACACAAAGCTCCTAATTATGTATGATAAAGACGCCTTGCCTTCTATCATGAGGCTCCTGCCTCTATTGAGCCGCACGTTCAAACAAGGCTTTCTTCATAGGTTTCTAGCGATGTTCTTCGATTGCTCTCTCCCTAGAGTGGGTGTGTAGCAATGCACGCAGGCGCGTGGAACCTGACCACCCTCAGAGCGAGAAACTCTCTGCGACAGGCCTTCCATCCTGGCCCTGGATCGGATGGCAAGGTGGTACCCTCTGGGCGCCTTTTCATGATGAAGATTACGTCTCTCCAATGACCGAGACAAGGTTTGAAGAGACCATTCCCATCATGACTTGGTACGCTTCGTCAAGCTCTTTCCAACATGAACGTTGAAGTATCAAGGCAACTCGGTTTGAGAAACGCGATTCCTGGAGGAGTTTCAGTGAGTCACCACCGCCAGGCGGGACTGGAAAGAGCCATACCAAGCGAGTACGCCTTATAGTCAAGGATTCACGACAGACACTCCACTGCCTATATTTGTTTGATGGAGCCGACAGATAGATTGGGTTTATCTCCTCCCGTGTCACAGGACGACCTTGGCCATATATGGGCGCAAATAGCAAGCAGTGACAACTCCAAACACTCGATCCAGGTTATGGCCATTTGTCAATCGGAAAGATAACCCAATTCTGGTTTCGACATTGTTGTTTTCGGGAGCTGTCGTTATCAACATCAATGATTCCAATACTTCTTTTGAGTCTAGATCTAGGTATGTCACGGAAAGATACACTGTATTATGTATGAAATGGAAAATTATCTTACATACATGCATAGTATTGGCTACATCAGCCAAGATGATTGGATTGCTTTTTCGACGCCGAATATGAGTACGAGGATGAATGGATTGGTTTCAATATAGAGCCGTGTTGCTCAACGCATGCCTTTTCTAGATACGTATCTAAAGGGTATCCCAAGTTCATCAGACAATCCATACAATTCCATGTCTCCTCAATGTGGACTGATTGGAATCGGAAACAGCAACAAACCAAGCTGATGTGCAAATTTTGACACGTATTGCAAGTACATGCTGACGAGCATACATATAACAAAGTCCTTTGACATTGCACAGCAGCCACGGTCGCACGCTGGTTGCAGGGCCAAGCCTTCGGAGTCCAGCCCGAAGCGCATGCAGCTTACCTGTAATGTAACATGTTGATGATGTGCGTGCCAGACGGCAGAACCTAGCGAATGAGGAGCTGTAACGTCCTTGCCCCTCCGCATTTGAGAATGCGGAGCGAAAACGTGTAGCATCAATGTGGAGAGAGAGAAAGCAGCATTGCTACTATAGAGAGAGGGTGTTTTTCTGGTGGGGTTTTCAGGGCGACAACTGCATACCCAAAGTCGGATACAATCATTTCTTTATGCTGTATCCCGCCCAGATGTGGCTGAAATTTCCAGTCGGATGACAGGTGTTTCAGTCATTGTCGGTCGACGACATCTTCAGTCAACAAGCTTACTTATCTACACTGCGGTATCTCCTGAAGCCCGGGTACTCTGCCTGATCAGAGTACATCCTCGGCAGTGAATACAAAGTACTGCTGTCATGCTGGCTTTCGCAAAATCCACCCTGAGGCTGCATCTGACATGCGCATTCTTTGCTATCGGCTCCTTCGTATGGGGGTAAGTCGCAGAATGCATTCACCCTTGCCGCCTTGATTCCGAGATTTTCTCGCCGGATCGTGCCTTTGATTATCATGCAGCAAGCTTCTGACAACGAATAATCTAATCAAGCTACCATGTCGGCGTTCTTTCATCGGTGCTGGTCCATCCAGGCTTCACTGATGCCTTGGGAAGCCCCACAGCCGCGCAGAAGGGATTGGTCACAGCAATCTACTACCTCGGAACCTGGTTCAGCTATATCTTTGCGTCCTCTCCGCTTGCAGATGCGCTCGGTCGCCGATATGCTGCACTCGCAGGAACGGCAATCGTCGCTGTCGGCACCGGGTTCGAAGCTGGCGCAAGCGTTCCAAGCGCCTATGCCATGTTCATCATCGGCCGAATCATCAGCGGTATCGGTGTGGCAATTCTGTCCACTTCTGTCCCTCTCTACCAAAGGTGTGTGCGTATATAAAGAGATGTAGTGGACTCGGCCGTGATCTATAACTAATGAGAATGCAAGCGAGGTTTCACCGGCAGTACAGCGTGGCCGCTATGTAGTTCTCAACCATATTGGTTTCGTCGTTGGACTTGCTGCAGGATTCTGGTGAGTGTCCTGTCATCTTGCATGACCATTGATCACATTGTTGACAAGAGACAAAGGGTTGGCTATGCCGTCACCTTCTGGCAGAACGACGCCCATCAGGTTTACGTGTCCTGGCGCGTTTCGATTGCAGTAGTCCTCGTTCCATGTGTCATATTTGCTTGTGGACTGCCCTTTCTCCCCGAGACGTGAGTATTGATCAATCCCAGGTGGCTACGCAGGGTTAATGATTAAAATTTCTTTTTCTTTGTTATTCTTCATAGTCCGCGATGGCTAGTCGATCATGGACATTATCACCGCGCTCAATGGTCGTTACACTGGTTCCGCGAGGGCAGTTACACCGACGAAGAAATCAAGGCGGAATTTGACAAGATTCAAATCTCCGTCCAAGATCAAAGAGACTCAAAGCCAATATGGTTGTCGCTTTTCACGCATAGGGATCTATTCGACCGTCTGTGGCGCGCGTCTCTGCTCCAGTTCATGTCACAAATGTGCGGAGCGACGGCCATGAAGTACTATCTACCAACTCTGCTTGGCAAGTTGGGAGTGCCAACTCGTATCACGCTACTCATTGGCGGTATCGAGTCGACGTCAAAGATTGCCATGACTGTTGTTGAGATGCTAATCATTGACAAAGTCGGGCGGAGAACTACTTTAGTTGCAGGCTCAACGGCCATGGGAATAGGCATGCTCGTGAGTAAAGACAGCACGATTCATACTTGCATCATTGCACTGACTATAGGTGTCAGATGAATGCAGTACTTGGCGAGATATACCCCGAAAATCAAAACCGTGCTGCTGACGTCGCGTGCATTGTCTTTATTTTTGTCTATGCTTTAGGATACAGCATGGGTTTTGGGCCTGCGTCCTGGGTATATGGCTCCGAGGTGAGGGTTCTACTCTTTATTCAAGATTTCTGTCAATCTCAACTCACTTGTACAAACAGATCTTTCCCACCGCCGTACGGGCCCGAGGTCTCAACTTCTCGGCATCTGGTGGCGCCATCGGTTCAATAGTTGTTGCTCAGGTTTGGCCGGTCGGAATCGAAAGAATCGGCTCCCGCATCTACTTTTTCTTTTTCGCAATCAATGTCATTTGTGTTCCTGTAATGTTACCCTCATAGTTTCTCTAGGCTCGTACAAGACGCTTTCCAGCTGACACTTTTTAGATTATTTTCCTATTCTATCCCGAAACCAAGGTCCGTTATCCTTTGCTGCCGTTAACAGTAATGATCAACATTTATACTCATGACTCCCTTTTGCAGGGCCGGGCACTGGAGGATATCGACGGGTTATTCTCAAAAGTCTTGAACAGGCAAGAACACAATGGGAATCAAGGACAAAGTGAAATTGCCATTACGCAAGAAAGGGACGATGGGTCGTCGATTTCTTGATACTCTATACCGTCAATGAAAACCTCAAGAGTCTATGTACCTAGTCATGCTACGAGAAACAATGATTCCATTTTTTCTGGACATGGTGGGATTCAAAAGACAGCTCCTTCATCCATGGTCGCTTACTAAACAGTTGGAGGCACTTTGATTAAATCTCCACAAGGCCGATTGTTGATGTGGTAAAAAGGAAAAAAAAACATATTCAATTTCAACCATCTCTGGTATTTCCAAGCGAGAGACCTTCATTTCCATGTTCAATCCTAGCCTGATTCTTGATGCTCTGTCCCGCCTCAGTGGTGTGATGTCTTGCCAGCTAAGGATCATTTGCAAGCGCTCAGGTTTGCATTGAGTTGTTACTCAGCGCGTCAGCCGCGTAACATAAATCCCAACTTGTGGCTGATGGAATCATACCATATCGTATGATGGCTACCCACCAGATTCTCTGCTCCATCCAAACACCAAGCAGTGCTGACCACAATTGCAGGCGGGGATTATGGTCATCCGCACGTAGAATCCAGCGCTTGATACTCAAAAGCAACTTTGTTGGTGGAGACTTCAGCCCTCGCCGAGACGCAGGCTGCACAGGAAGTCAGGCGAAAGAGAGGCCCGACTGCGATCTGCACAGGTTTCCACTTCTGTCTTACCCGGTCTCGTTCAGTAAGAGTTCCGCGGGTTTGACTGCCTGCCTTGCCGACTCGTCACAGCCGCACTTTGGATAGTGTGAGCGGCTATGTAGGGCACAACTACCGTCTTGGACTTGCTTGATCCGGAGATATATGCACATGCGGGAAGATCTCGGCGGGCAGCGATCGGCACAGGGTTCAGGCACGAGCACATGTATATTGCAAAAGAGCCTCTAATCTACATCAGGGGACTCTAGAACAGCGTCGTGTTCCTCAGCACTAGTGTTCTCCTCCGACGACCCTGTCTGGGCCCTGGGGTGCTTGTCGTGCGCATCTTCCTGGGCAGTAGCAGCATCGGCTTGCTGCCCTTTGTCCGGCTCCTCGCTCAGCTTTGGCGGTTGTACCCGCATCTCGGTCCTCAGCAGTTCCACCTCCAAGACCGGGGTCCCTTCTTCCTGCAACTTTGATTTGAGGCCGTCTTGCTCGAGGTCGAAATACAATGCCCAAAAGTCTCCCTCTTTGACTGCCAAGAATCCTTCCCAGCCACCAAAGGTCAGGCGTCGATCTTGTCGCGTACAGTCATAGGGACCCGTATAATTAGGTTCTGCATAAGGCCGTGTGCCGAATTTGACCTCGTAGGTGTCTCTATCCACATAGACCCAGTTCATGATTGGAGGCTCGTCGCAGATTTGGGAGACCAGGCCAGAGTATTTGGTCTCGGGGAAGGCCAGGAAATAGCCGGCAAATGGGTAACCAAATGGTACGTCGTGGGCCAGCCCAGTATCGATATAGAGCTGTTGACTCCATAGTCAGTGAGATGACATGAGGGTATCGTCAAGTGTGACTTTCCTACCTTTTCCCCAGACAGAACGATCCTTCTACCTTCTAGAATACGGCTGTGCGCTGAAGACTTGGGACAGTGGACAATGAGATTGTTCTTCCGGCTGCGGTGTTCATCTCTTCGTGCGCGGGACTGCGTATGGCGGATAGCCTCTGCAGTTCCAAACACTGCAGAGAAGGCGACGATGAAGGTGGTCATGGTTGTTGGTTGCTTGAAGTTCCTCCTCGTGACCAGTCGAGAAGGAAGCTAATACTCAAAGATATAGTCTCAGCTAGAGTGATGAAGAAGACAACCTTGGTTTTTGCTTTTTCTTTGACTGAATCCACCATCAGGCATAGTTTAAACAAAATGATGCGTTTCAGCTCTCATGGGCCAAGCTTCTAGGCAACTCCAATTCAGTCTTTGCATCCGCACTGTCATACCCTCGAAAGAGTAATACGGATTGTTCAAGCCACGGCGCCATTTTTCAGATTTCCCACTCACACCGACTTCGAGTATCATGGTCACAGGGCAAAAAGCACGATTAAAGAAGAATCTCCCGAGTCAACGCCACCTCCCGTGAGTTGAAGGGTCACACATTTGTCTACTATGCAACGGGTTCTGCCCGACGTTGCACGGCACGACAGCGAACATCCCAGTTCCACGACGCTCCCCTTCGAGTCTCGACTATTCTCCATGCACATGAGCGTTTGTATACTTCAGCTTCAATGTACGTCTTTCAACATCCCTGCCCAATGGCTTGAACAACTGAGGACAGAGCATCTCCCGGCAGTGCACATCGGTAGTAACCCAGAGATTGAGCACTCTCATCCACTATACGGCATGATTGCTCCCTTGAATATATATAGAGCATTATTTCAACCTCGCAAATGGACGATCTTGCCAAAGCAGGACACAGAGACAGCCACCGCAAAGAGCCCACTCAAACCTCAAATAAAGCTCATCAACTTTCCAGCACGTCTTCGCAATCAGACTCTGGTTTATCCAGGTCGTCCCATCCCACAACTCGTATTCCTATACAGAAGCCACCAGCTTCTACACAACCAGGCAATCTGTCCTCTCACCAGACATCACATATAACCGGCAGCCGCCCGCGCCGGTCAGACTCTTCTTCTTCTTCTTCTTCATCTCAACTCCACCACAAGAAATCACAGACGTCGAGCCTTCGTCGTCAACTCATTGGATCGGAAGAGTCAGATACTGAAGACTTGGGATTTATACTACCCCGAATCTTCGACATGTCTTCCCCGTAAGAGAGCACCCCAAAATTGAATGAGACGCTGGGACCTCGAGAGTCTGACTGAGCTACAGAGTAAAGAACGACCCCTTGGCCCCGACCAAGACCAACTCGGACGCTTCAAAGCTCGGCTCCCACACCTCTGACACGGGCAAGCTCGGTTCCTTCGGAGGTGACCATGGACATGGCGCTGCCAGTACCCACGGCGCCTCGCTCCCCATGCCCGGGCTTTCCGGCAAAGCCAACGGTCCCGTTGGTGAGTTGTGGTTCAGGACGACTGATAATATCATACCCTATTCATGCTAACTCGAAAATTTCAGGTAATCTGCTCAGGGGCCCCGTTGACGATAATGGCAAGCTCAAGAACGCGGCGCTCATGGTCGGTGTCAAGCTTGACCTTGAGGCCGAGGTTCACCTCACGGCAAGGGTTCGCGGTGACATCCTCGTTGGACTTTACTGAGCTCAGCATCGTCCGCCAGATGCATGTCGGCGACGTGCATATTATTTTCCAGTTGAAAATGAGTAACTTGAAGATTGACCTGGTGTCTAATGGGAAGACAATACGCTTCGGACTGGTGGCATGGACTGGGAGCATTTGGATTGTTGGCTCGCACGACTTTTGCTTCACTGCTGATAGTGTCGTAGGTTTTGAGTTTGAGTAGGTAGCTTTTTGCGGACTTTCCTTGAATTCCCTCCTTTAATATACCTAAGTAAATTATAAATCCCCATCACGATAAGATATGCGCCGACCCGAAAGCCTTTTACGAGGTGTCAGTATTTGGCATTTCTACAATGCCCTAGCATTGACTCCCGAAACCTGTATTAACCCTAACCCTCTCTAAAGTGTTGACAGGAATACACGGAAATATTTTGTGCCCCTACCCTTTGTCCATTATCCAAAAGCTTGGCTAGAATTCAGATTACCAATTCTAAGGTAGAATATTAAAACACCCATTCTGACATAAAGTATTTCCACCTTTGTTTGTAGGTGCTCGGGATTACATCAGCAAGTTCATGATCTAAGTCAAAGGATCGTCAAATGCCTCGGGTTAAGCCCAGTATCATAAGTATGTGAACTTTGGTGATAAGTACTAGACCTATCCAAGGCGTCCAATGTGTTTGCTTCGTCAATATTCATCTGCTATTCGAGCCCCATGGCAACATCGTCGCCAATCCCCCAACTCTCCTGCTCTCGCCTGCTTCCATGTATTTCTAATTCAAGAGCTGGCTCGAGATTTCCCTCACTATCCCGGATACTACCCGCCTCGCTGGTTCTTCTGCTTTTTCTCTTCTCAGACGTAGTCGTCGACTCCCCCGTCTTTCTCCTACGAGGCGGCGGTGGTTTTGACGCTGCGCTGCTTCCAACGCCCGAAAACCTCCATCTACTGTTTGACTTCGAAGAAGTCGACAGTACAGACACACTATCGGCGTCTTCATCTTGGAAAGGATCCGAGTTGGTCGATCGAATTGAGTTGGTGAGCGATGATGAGTATACATTGGAGGCCTCTACCGCTTGCTGGGCAGAAGCGTTCGTTCGGGGCGGCAGCTTGGGGGGCGACGGAGATGCCGACGGCTTATAAGCACCACCAGCAGCTTCATCTGTTGCCGACTGCTCCTGCTCGACTGCGTCCTTGTCAATCTCCACCAGCTCGGCATCACGGTACCATTTACGGCGGCGCGTCCACTTGCCCCAACCATCCTGACCTCTTCGGCCCCCATTCCACTTTGGCACATATTAGCATCATTTCCCTTTATCCAGGGGCAAGGGCGTATTATGATTGGCCCAGAAGACTTACCTTGTTATCGTAATATATCCAGCCATTCTTGCCTGCTTCGCCATCGTACTCTGACTCCTCCTTGACGTCACCGACGCCATCGACACGCCACATGCTATTCTTGGCCCACCTCCACTTGGCCACTCCGTCGTCGACCTCGGGCAGCTCAAACTGGTCTTTAGGTGGCACGGCGTTGTTGTGTTCATCTGTCCATGCAGATCTCTCGTATGCAAATAAACTGTTTGTCCAGCCCAAGCCAACCCACCGCCTCTGGTTCTCATATATAATGAAGGTAAACTTGACGCCCGTCTCCTTGCCCGAGTACGACCCCAGATTCCGCCGGAGGGCAGCCGTCAAGGCCGAGTGCGACTGTGATTTCTGCAGGCTCCCGACCTTTTTTTCCTGCTGTCCGGCCGGAGTAGGCTTTTTGGGGCCTTCAAACTCGAGGCCTGTGACAAATCTAGCCATCTTGCGCACGGCGGCGCTGCGCCACAAGAGCGTTCGTGTGACTCGAGAGACCTTGGAGTGCCATGTCAAAACCATGGTGCCAAAGACTATGACAACTCGTTTCGTGGTGATTATGCGCCAAGGGGGTAGGGTCAATGCGATCCAAAAGGGCGTGATGGCCAAGATTCGCACAAACAAGGTCGTGAGCGCAGGTCTCGTGGTCGCGCTCGTCGCTGTGCGCTGTGTGCTGAGGAAGTCCGTCATGACCAGCAGCGGCTCCAGCAAAATATTACACCTTGTGGTGAAGACTTTCAATGTCTCCACGATTTCGTCCAGCGTCTTTTGGTGTCGCGTGCTCGTTACTTCACTTGTGTTCCTCTGGTGTGCCCCGGCATTGCCGCCGCCCCCGCCCCCGCCACTTCCGTTTGGTGCCGAGGTGCTGCCCTTGGCCTTCTTGCTTGCCGTGCTATTGTTGCTGGTCCAACTCGGGTGATCGGCCCAGCCGCTGCTGCTGAGGGGACTATACCGCCGCCCGTACATGCCTGCGATGATGCCGATAACAGTTATGATGGGCCCGGCCCAGCGCAAGACAGTGTCGCCATATTGCACCGTGGCCCAGAAGACCACCAGCAATAGGAAGCTCTCCCACGGGTCTCCCGTTGTCCAGCTCAACAGGCCTACCAGCTTGTTGAGCGGCAGCAGAAACGGGTGGCTGTAGGCGAGAGCCCTCGTGACTTGGGGCGGCGTGGCCAGGAGCAGCGGGGACTTCTGGTGCACCAGCACGGTCGACTGGCGCTTGGCCGTGGAAAGATTCGAAGACGAGAAGGCGGCGTATGTGGGCTGGGGCGCGGTACCGTAGGGGCTGTTGGTGTTGTCGAGGGCAGGTGTGCTGCTGCCACCGGCGCCGTCGAGGTCGCCGCTGCTGCCGACGCCGCGGGACGCGGATCTGGGTGTCGACATCTGGGTCATCCAGGGCGTGTCCTATATTGCGTATTAAAATCTTGAGTATGCAATGATCATGTCGACAATGTTTCCATATGCAAAAAGGCAGGCGATGACAGAGGGTATCTCAAGGGTACAAATCGCATTATTTGTCTAGATTGAGATGTTCCGTCCCTCCCTCCCAAAAGAGAGCCAGAGAGGAAGCCAACCAGTGCTGGTCTCGTGCACTGGCGCCGCCGTTGTGCTATCACGGACCAAGAACGATTCTCGGGACGTGTAAGCCAACTGCGGGCAATAAAAGAGGAGAAGCAGAAGCACCGAAACCTAGGTGTGGCCCTGGAAGCGAGCAGAAAAGAATAATTGAAATCGGTAACTCACCAAGGCAGCCATGAAGCAAGTCAAGCTGCTTCACCTGGACGTGTAAAGGGAAAACCGAAAAAAAAAATATAACCCCCCAACCCCCGGCAATGGTCTTTGGCTAGGTATTCTGTAGGTAGCTGCCTACTATCCACTGATCTCGACTGCCAAAAAAAAAACCCCCCCTCTCCAGCGTGTCGCAACGTCATCGAGGGGCGGTCGGCCGGGCACTGGCGGCAAACAGTGGAGGTCCGGCCCACTGTGAGCTTAAGGTATAATGTATGTATGTACGGTAGGCAGATGATATAATTTTAAACTCGCCAACCTTGGCATCGACGTCTGTTGTAAAAGTATATAAGTACCGTCCACAATGGTTGTACAAAAAAGAGATTATAAGGGTTCTCTGTTCAAAACAAGACCAACAGATCCCATTTGTCTCCTGAAGAAAAGGAGGAAAGAAGAAGAAGAAGAGAGGGCGATGGAACGGTTTTGCGGCGTTGTCAGCCGGACGGATCCTTACCTAGGTAGGGGTTTAGGTAGCTCGAATCAAGTCCAGAATAATGAATTCACTGGAATGGTCATACCTTAGGCAGGCTAGTCTAGCTCTCGAGCTATGTCAAATAACCATTTTTCATTCGACGTTGCACATTCGCGGCGGGGAATATGCAACTTTCGCCTCGGCTTTCACATGCATCAAATGCCCTTCCCTTCTTGCCTTTTGTGTACCAGGTATGTAGTATAATGGAAGCGCCTCCTTTTTTTTTCTTCCCTTTTTCACACTTTAAACAAAGATCATCTTGCACTCGAGCTTATAGTGTCAACAAATATCTATCTAGCTTATTCAAGCCGAGACTGACTCAAATGCCGGCCAAGTACCTCATGACACTTTTCAATTGTGTAAAGAAGGCATCAGTCAATTCATTGCTCTTTTCATCTTCATTCCGTACGAGGGGCATAGAAGCCAAGCCACCAATGAACTGCGTAGCAAAGCCACTGGCGACCCATGTCTATCTATTTACCTGCTTTACTCTAGTCCTTTACACACTACGTTCCTCGTTTTTCCCTACTTCTCTCTCATTGATTGGGACCTTCTTTGCGGCAACCGCCTTTACCACGTTTTCTAGGCCCCCTTTCCCGGTTTCTGTTGTACATATATATCTCTGTAGCACTGTCCTCAAAGCACAACTCACGCTCGCCGACACAAAGGGTATCAAAAGGCCACAACACAGTACACAACAACACAATTGTGCCCAAAATTATAAACCGTCGAGAGAGAAGGTTGGTGGCACGGATTCCTTACCCAACGGTATCCATCACTAGCAGCTCCTTGTCTGTAACTGCAGGCCCAGCTCAAGGCGCTTGCTACGCACCCAGTCAATAAAGTCGCGAGCTTGACGTTTTCCGTGTGGTGTGCTGAGATCTCTCGACTTTCGATCAAATATCAATCGAACTGCCCTGTCATCTTTGCGCAAAGTGATCTGAGTATTTCCTGGGATCCTTTGCGTTTCCAGGCATTCCCATACTGCTGCATCAATTTCAACCTCGATGCCGTATTCCCCAGAAGACCGCAATTTGTTGGGCAAATCAGCTTGGACAAGCTTGATGCCATCAGTCTCTGCATTCTCCCGGCTCCATTGAACACCATCATTTGCGTGATAGGAGGACAACTCAAACAAAGGATTGGCATCTGGGTTGTGCACAGCTGCTCGACCCTCTGCCACAGTCTTGATGGGTGGTACTCTGGGGGTCTCGATGGGCGTCGGAGTTCCCGCAGGACTTGTATCATGAGAGCTGTTAGGTGTAGAGACCGAATCCAGGGTTTGCTGTCGTTTCGTTGTTCGCTTTGCCGTCAGCTTTCGGCCTAGCGGATGCAGCTCAAACATTGGCAGTGACGCCTCTTGTTGTCCTGCTACTTGTTTCTCGCCTCCTCCGTCACCCATTTTTGCGTCCTGCACTAAGAACCGAGGATCTGGTGACATGTTTCTGGGGAAATCGAGTGGCGTCACTTCCCTGGTTAATTGCCTAGATGCACTCATGTCATTAGGATGGTGACTCTCGCCAATCGTCGAAGTAGCTACGTTGGTAGTGGTTTCATCGGCGGCCTCGCTCAAAGAGTATTGCATTTCTTGTGTGCAGTATGCGTTCTCTTCATCTGGCCACACGGATGGCGACGACGCTGGTGTGGGCATTCCGGGGTACCATGTCACTAAAGTCCACGTCAACAATTGAGAAACGTGAAAATATTGATATCTTCACTTACCTAGCTTTCCCTCAATCCTGGCAGTCTCGCGCGCTTGCCAGCAGTCATATCCCTCCCGTCGAGCGATAAATTCTCTGGCCTGGTTGAATGCTTTCTCCTTATAGCCTTTCATTTTTGGTGCACTCTTCGAATCGAGACGGAGTTTCGAGAGGTCTGTGGCCGAGACCCAAGCATAGGAGAACTGATCGTCGAAAAACATGACTGGATACTTCTTTTGATGGTCCCTGTGTCTAGGTTTCCCATCTGTTCCCATTTTCCATCCTAGGATTTTGTCTTTTCGGTCGCTGTAGACATAGCATCCGGGCGGTTGGGCATCTTGGTCGAGGAGGCCAGTCTCGACCAAGCTTCCGACTCGCATAGCACCTGGTGTGAGATCGTCCCATCCCAAGACAACGACTGGCCATATTGTGGTCGGACCATTCCCATCTTCATCGTCTTCTCCTTCGACATACTGGCAATTGTAAATGTGAAAAGGCTTGATATCAGCAATGCAGCGCGTCTTGGGCAGTGGAGGGTCAATTATCTTGGCCTTTGATTTGGATGCATTTCGTTGAGACGGATAAGTCATCGGTGAAGACTCTTGGTCGACTCGTTGCGAAGATGGATTGAGTTTCACCTTGTCGTTATTGAAAGGATAGCTGACCTTCTTTCCATTTGCGGCGGAGCCATGTAACAATTTGTTCTGAGGGACGTAGCCTCTCTTGAAGGCCTGTTCAACCTCGGTGTTGTGTTGCTTTTGGAGAAGTTCGTTACAATCGGTAATAAGGTGACCAAACGTTTTTACAGCGCGTTCCCAGTCCCGATTTTCGGATTTGTGCAAGGCCCCGTTCATGTGCTTGGCGGCGGCGGCCACAGCTGACTGCTTGAAGTTGAGGCCATGTTCCTCGCAGTACAGGACGTAAAAGTCTTGAGAATAATTAGGCCATTTGACGATAGTGTCCCATATACCGTCTTGGGTGGCACGACGACGGACTTGCTCGTAGGTGATGGTGGCGCCTTTACTTTGCGAGGGACCTCGACTTTGTGCGAATCCCTCACTTGCATGTCTGAAACGCTTCGCCTGGTCAGGAGAAGCCGGTTCGGCCGAGGACGCTCTTCGTTTCTGATGTCGAGGTAAGCCACGGACATTGAACGTCACCATGAGCCGATGTTGGCCATCAAGAAACTGCGATCGTACCTTAACAGATGGGGCCTTGGGCAAAGGCAGGGTTGAATCTTGGTTACTTGCTGATGAGACGGAAGGTTGGTTAGGACGAGGGGGAGGCTGGGGGGAACGGACGAGGCGATTGCTGCTGCCTCTGTCACTTTCTGCGCCTCGGGGACGTGGGAAGCTTGGGAAGGATGTTGGTCTGATCTGGGGTTGTAGGCAGGGACAGGAGGAGCGAGGACTTGTTTCTCTTTGTGCGTGTCAGGAACGAGGGGAGCTGGAGAATAGACCTGCTTCAATTCACGCTCCTTGTTTTCAAAGACGGCGTTGATTTCATCCAGTTGCTTGTTTTTGGCCTCGTCGAGTTTTGTGTATTGGTCCACATCAAAAACGCCAGCCGTGAGCTGCATGTGTTTGCGCATGACATCGTCTCTCTGCTTGGCTCGCTCTTGAGTCAAGGTCTGGAGCTGCTTGTCCAGAAGCTGCTGCTGGGCCTGGTCGGCCTTCACCTTCTGGTTCATGATGGGCAGATGCGCAATGCGCCTCCTGCTGCTGAGGTCAAGGTGATGGCCGAGGCCGAGCTGCCTGCAGGTAGGTGGTGGGTGAGGATGGGGGGAACCGGCAGTTACCTGTAGTTGTCTTGTGTGATCAGGTGGTAGCTAACAAACCCTTAGAGGAATGAATAGGGCATGGCCACTTTTCTTGCCTCGATAAGTCAGTCATTCAAGGCGTTGTAATAGTAACAATTGAATTGAGAGGGAAGTTGAGAGACCAAACAAACGGGCTTGTCATTGAGCAATGTGACAACGACGACGACAACGACAAGAGCTGCCGCGAGGCGCGTTCATAGGGCAACGGTCTGGTTAAAGTAGTTTGTTTGAGTTCATGTAGGCGATTGGCAGGCGTAGAGCTAAGCTACCTGGGCGGGGAGGTGAGCTCAGTTTAGGGTGGCCCGCGCTAAAGCAATTTTTTTTCCCCTTTGGTTGGTTGCACTCACCCTACTTCACTCATTAAAGACGTTTAAATACGCGCCTGTGTGCATTACCTACCTAGATACAAACAAGCAGTTACTCGAAGATCAGTAATTGTTCAACGCCTCAAGTGCTTATCAATCTCATGTCCCATAGCGTCTCAATCATGTATGTTGAGAAAGGGACTTCATTCACAAGCAATAGAAGTAAACGTGTTTGCAGCGCAACCCTATTAGTGCCATCACTCCTTTTACCTTTTTTTAAACATGCTAGGTAATAGTCCAAACAGTGGTTAGCATTTCCTGACTCAATCAAATTCACAGTCTTTTATACCCCTCTTATTTTCCTTTCTTTTTTCAAATTTATCTCGTCATAATGTGATTTACGCGCTTATTACATGAATAAACGCTGCATTTATAACTGCCGTTAAGTGGAGGAGAAAAAAAAAAGAAAATAGTTAATTCACGATTTTTAAAAAAAGAAAAATGATTTTTAATATTTCTAAAACGCCCACTAAATTAAGGCTTCTCCATTTTAATAATTTGCGTATATCATTGGCCCTTTTATATTATTCTCGCTACTTATCCTTGTTTTGCTTTTGAAATTGCAATATTATTCCTTTTTAGTTTAAAAAAAATCTTTCTTTTTTAGTGTGGTGTGTTTTAGCCCAGCACTCTTGCTTTATATAATGCGATAAAGATTACTACTGGCCATTCAAGTCTCATGATTAACTGAGCCATTAATTTCAAGTAGGTCGAATGAGAGTCTAATAAAAGTTGGAAATCAAATATGCTGCTGTTTCCTAAACCCCCTTGACTAATTCGGATATTCTTCAGTGATTTTAGTCACACTTCTTTACTCTTCTTATACAAATGTGATGGTGGCCATGGATGTAAGACTCCTGGCAGACAGATCGCACCGCTTCGAGAAGAGTAAAGATAATGTCATTCTGCAGCCGACCACTTCTTTTCCTATCACCAGGTATAGAATCCTCCGCTATCCCTCTCTTTGCTGGATCTCGACGTTCGCCAACCACGTTTAAAGTCGGCCATTTCCCAGTTGTGCATCTGAAGATCGGAGCCCTGGGCACAGCCCTGACACTCCTCGCCGCGGAATTCTTTTTCTTCTTCGCGGCAGCCGACAGAGCAACGTCCGAATCCAAGACCTTTTCGCCTGGCTTCTCTACACATGCTCTGTCTACAGCTCTCAGAAATGAAGCCATCGCAAGTTGGGCAGATGGACTGCAATTTCACACAACAGCACATCTTCTCGTGAGCATGCAGATTCCAATGGCAGTAGGACTTGGGAACAGTTGGTGAACTTTGAGTCTGGCAGACGTCAGTGGAAAGTAGATTATCAATCTACAGCATTGGAGTTCCTCCCATAAGTGGCAGCCATGATTCAAGACTTGACTTCGTTACCAGGGTCATGCAATAACTCCGAGGTGTAACCCCTAATCTCATCAGGGGATACAGTCTTCGATTTGGCACATACCTTGGGTCAAGATGGCGTAACGTCCTGGCGTATCCGGCCTTTTTCTCATGCCGTGAGTGGGGAAATCTCCTATCGAGCTGATGACATACAGAACCTAGAACATTGAGCCTCTTCCAGTCTCCATTGCGGTCCTTCGACTTTTATAAAACTGCTTGATGCATCGCCTAGACCCCCATCCATAATCAACCACTACCTCAATCTTTCCCTTTTAGTCTCCATGCGTTTTTTTAGGTAACACATTGGCACCGATTCGGGAAAGCAAGACTTTTGGTGCCGGTCCACGATGCTGTACGATGCCGACGCTTTCTCTCTCATCGCAATCTTCTATATCACGTCGTCGAGGTGGCAAATGAGGACTTGGAATATGATATATGCAATGGAACCAAAGACTCGCATCATCGTTGGTCTCGGGACTCTGTACACTGGCTCAGTCGTCGATTCTGCGCTCCTAGCTGTTGCCGAGACGTCGCCTGGGCCGCTCGAGATCGATACCCTCCCTCCAAACTGCTTGTGAAAATGTGTTCAGACATGTACGACAGTAGCGTTCCCTGTCAGGTCCACGGCGGGCAAGATCTCGTGTTCGTGGTCCAAAAGGGTAACCCGTCATGTTTCAATTGGGTATGCGTTTGACCATTTCCCAAGCAAAATCCACTAAATTCGTTTACGAGACGGGTAGCCATGTCTATGAGACCATGCATGCAAGCATCCCGTTTGGACAATGATCAAAAGTTTGGAGGTGTCGATCTTTAGTACATTTGAGTTTATAGAGCTCTAGTTCTCGATAGGGTCTCTTTTCGCATGCGAATCTTCGTGTGTGTGTCACCGCATCTCCAATTAATTTATGAATAAACATTTCATTCCGAGAGGAGCTCCGGGCACTTGATATTCTAGATCCCACGATCTGTGTGCTACCTTTAAATTCATTTTGCACTGCCGGGACTGTGCTTCCATATTGCACGTAGCTTGCCGGGACTCCACCAGACGTCTTGCAACATCAAACGCGGTCATCCTGTCATACAAAGAAAACCCCAATACCCGACAGCTTACAAAATACCGAAAAGTGTTGTAGATTGAAGACCAGAACTTATTGTGTCGAATCCTCGATACAAAGAAGTTACTGTGAGTACTTGCTTGAGACTAGACACCATCTGCGCTTTCGTTATATATGAATGTCAATAGTGAAGTGCAGATGGAATCCTACGCTTATCATGTGCTATGACAAAGACTCTTGAACCCGACATCAAGCTTTTCTTAGCGGGTAAAAATATGATTGGTATTTCCCATCGGCCTCAAATTGAAACTTCAGCGCCTTCCAGTCTCGCACTCTCTTGATCTAATTGTAGACCCAGACCCAGACCTCAGCCAACAGATAGCCATTGTTGTCACCTCATCCATTTACTCGTCCTATCATCTTACAGCTTATGGATCACGAATGCATCGAGAAATGGCAATCAGTGCCATCCTTATTCCATATGTCTAAGACTCCCTGTAACTTATAACCACACTAGGGTTGAAAGAGCCTTCTTGAGACAAACCAGACAATGTCTCATATAGGAGCAAAAGTATAGAGTCAAGTTGAGATACTATGACACAGCCACGTATTTAAAAAAAAAAANAAAAAAAAAAAAAAAGCTTTATCTTTGTACGCATGGCGTCCGTGGTCTTTTTCTTTTAAATATTCACGTGCGCAGGAAGGTACCCGCGACCGAAAAGAAACACTCATTTGATTTCACTCATCGTCATAATCATATATTACACCGTTAACCTTGTCAAACGGCGATTGTTATCCCCAGTCACGGCCAGTCGCACATAATCTATAGAGTCATTGGCCTTCAAGATCTGAACTACACTAGGATCCAGCTTCTTGCCAGGTTGCCAGGCAAGGGGTCTTGGCTTGGGGACCTCTACTACTCTGGAAGTGGAGAATCCTCCGTCTGATCCGCGTGCTAGCTCAGGAGCTACCTAGGATAAATACGTGATACGATGAGGTATATTGGTGGTGTATACTACCTGCCGCACAGCAACGTATAACCCCGCAGTCGGACGAGGGGCGAGAGGAAATGGGGGCGGGAGGGAAAAAATAATAATTTTGAAAAAAAAAAAAAAAGATCGAAGACCCTCTCTGCTATCGGCCTCTGAAGTTTCACAAGTCCTGCTGTGTATACCTACCCATCTCACCCCCTTACGAACCTCAACCTCGTCTTAGCTTGTCCTTGTTAGCGGTCGTATCAGTGTCATTCAGTCTAATCTATCATGGTGGCCGTGCGGACCATAGATCTTCCTTTTCTGGGCATCCGTGCCGGATACGCCTTGGACGACAAAACATTCGATCCTGCAAAACCGACATGCGTGCTCGTGAACTCCATGTGCATGACCTCGGCACTCTTCCGGCCGCAATTCGAGGATGAGACGCTCACCAAGTTTATGAACCTCGTCGCAGTTGAACCCCTCGGGCACGGTGCCACCACATGCGCTTCTCAGCAGTTCACCTACTGGGACTCGGCCAGAATGGCGCTACTCGTCTTGGACCACCTGAAGATTGACAAGTTCTTTGCTCTCGGGACAAGCCAGGGCGGCTGGTTGGTAACACGCCTGGCTCTCCTGGCTCCCGACAGAGTACGTGCTCCACCTAACTATGACCATGTGTGACCTCAGCCGCGGGCGAACTGACTCTCCTATAGATCCAAGGTCTCCTTCTGTTGGGCACATCAATGGACTGCGAGTCGGCCGACTCGCGCACCAAAGGCTGCTGGGATCCCGTACCTTTCTTCAAGCCCTTCTTGCAGTCGTGGACGAGTGCCGAGCCCACGCCGACCTTTAGCCCCAGTCAGGATTGGCTCGGTGCCTGTACCGGCCTGGGCTTTGGGTCAGCGGGCAGTGCAGAGAACACAGAATTTTGGAACCGCACCATTAGTGAGGTATACAAGGGTGATGAGGGCAGACAAAAGTTGAAGATGGCCACCATCTGCCTTGCTGAAAGAGACAGCCTCCTGCTCCGGCTCGAGTATATTACGTGTCCGGTTCACTGGCTTCAGGTACGTCAACACTTCCCTCAGGAAATGACGACTGGCGAAGAAATCCCGTGCCGGCTTGACGATTACTGACAAGCTCGATACCTAGGGCTCTGAAGATGCAGTTTACTCGACGCAAATCGCCACTGAGCAAATTGCGCTATTCACTTCTTCTAGTGATGCTCACGTCAGTTTCGTCGAGGGTGGAGCTCATTACCTAAGCGCTTCCAACCCTGTCGAGGTAAACCAGGCTCTGTTGGCCTTGGTACAGAAATCCTTGTGAATTTTCTTTGCGGAAGACCAACAGTGTAGACTACGTCAGAAAGGTCGAAATATTGGATGCACACTACTGGAGCCAGGCCTCCTCGAGGTGCTGGCAATGAGATTTCTGTCAGATGTTGTCGTTCATGGCGCTCATTTTCAAGAATATAGCAGGACGTCATATCAGGCATTCTGTGCGAGCTACGTACAAGCCGCACTTCTGTCACTAGAGCTCCTTGTCAAACTCTCTAGTGTGACTTGAGCAACGATTCTCAGGCTACCGGCTTTCATGCCTCGCATTAGATACGTACATACAGCAGATGGAACCAACTCCTCTGCCCCTTCAAAATCATCGCTTATCTCCAAAGCTGCAACGCCTTTTCCCATCTACATCAGACGCCAGGCCATAGATACTCCAACACGCCTAGGAAAAAAATTCGACCGACTTGTCAAATGAAGATAGAACCCCATCGTGCGTGCCATCAACGGCAAAAGCTATCGTACAACTCGTGCTTCAAGGACAGACGCGGATTACCAGAAAGAGCACCATCCTATGTAATGCTGACACAGATTCTCCAGTCTGGTGGCCTCCATGATGAGTTTATTCACCTGAGCATTGACCTCGAGCTCCTCGCCCGGCTTGAAGTCACGGCCATGCAGCTTTTGAGAGACTCGGTCGAGAACCTCGAGAGCACGAGCGTTCTGCGGATCTGCTTCCATTGCTCCGTCGATTCCATTGGGCATCGCACTCGAGTTAGTGCGAGCACGCGGTCGAGGAGGCCCGCCAGCCGTGACTGAAGCCTCGGGCGCATGTTGTTGAGCTGCCAGATACTCGGAAGGCGGGTGTTCAGCATCCAGTATCGATGGGCGGCGCGCTCGTGGGCCGTGAGTGTTGTCAGACGTGAAGTTCGGTCCCGCTGGTGAGGCAGTCTTCGTAAGACGCCAAGTCAGGAGGGGATCGTGAATGAACTGTAATTCTTTGGTCAATGATCATCTCATAGTGAAAAAAGCGATGGACCAGATCACTGGGTATTTATCACCGGAAAAAAGAAATGAGGGGGAAACTTACAGCTTCAAGCACAGCCATGACACTCTCCTTGTTCTCACGGAGGACGCGCATGACATGCTCACAGGTGATGCGGAAGCTACCTTCAATGTTGCTGACTTCCATGGCGTAAGTAAGCATCCGTGTAAGACGGAACGGCACTTGCTCCGGATACTTGTCGCGTTTGCAAGCAACCTCAAAACAATCGCCGAAATCAATGTGAATGATTTTGCCAGTGATGCGGTCAAGCATGAGATTGCTGGGGTGACGATCTCCCAGACCCAGGATGTAGCCTACTATGCTCATCACACCGAGTGAGCGGGTGTAGTTGGTGCGTCGCTCCAGCCACGCCTCGGATGACTTGCTCTTGAGCCAGAGAACGCGGTACAGATCTTGGCCGGTTGTGTTATCAAGCGCGTAGCCAAACACCTCCACCTTCTGCATCAGTGTCAAATTGTCGTAATCAGGGGCCATTTGTAGCATGATGCGGTGCTCAATATTAAGGAGAATCTTTCTGCTCTCGCGATATTCTCTAATAAGCACATGAAGAGTATCGCTGTTGGGCACCCAGCCAAGCAGGCCAGAATTTTGACTAAGGGGAATCGCGGGATAGCGTTGGATGCCGAGGTGACGTTTGTAGCATTCCGAATCGTTTGCAAGTAGCGTGTTGCATAATCCAAAAAGCTGCATGCAACGTTCGTCCTGTCGGATATCTTCATGGCCCTTGAGCAGGAAAGCGTACGACGTGCCGTCGCTGCCCGTGACATTCAACTTTCGCGGCCGCTGCTTGGAATTGATGACGCTGAATGTCGAGTCGAATTTGATGATGCGGACAACGGGCGCGCCACTCTTGTAAGTACCGGGCACAGCCAGGTCAAGATTGTTGGAGTGCTGCAGTTTTGGGGAGCAGTACATGAGCTCGAGGGATGTCATTTGTGGGAGTTGACGACCAATCCTCCTAAAGACCTGGTAGTACAGATCCCACGCTTGGTTGAGATCATTCACATCCTGGCTCTGCTCGTACTGGCGGCACCAGTCGCGGGCTTCTGCCAGATCGCGTCCGAAGGTCTGCGCGAAGCTGACCTCTCGGAGAGTCTCCGGTCCTGCCTCGAGCTGGTCGTGGAGCGGTCCCAGGGTGGCGAACATGCCTTGGATGTTGTGGTCTCCAAAGTAGAGACGGGATGCCTCTTCCAGGCCTTCATGCCACTGCTCATGCCATAATACGGCAACTCTGATCAACTCGTGGCTGACAATGTCGGCCTGTTCGACCAACTTGGGGCTGTGAGCACGCATACTATCCATGATCTGCGCAGCCGACTGTGATCGACGTGAGCTTTGCGATGACTTCATAGCAACTGTGAGTGGGTACACCAGGGCTTGGGGATGGTTACGCCCGACGTCAGCCAACAGATTGTGAATCGACTGTCGAACCCGCACGTTGCGCTGGTTGATTCTAGCAATCAGCTGTGGGATGACTTCAAGCCACGTGTCGACGCTGACAGTAGCAAACCCTGAGACCACTGCGCTGTTAACTTCGTTGCTGCCTCCATGAGCAAACCACAGTGTAAGCAACCTAAGGGTGTCCTGTAGAGAGCTGCCGGAGGATAATGCAATGGATTTGAAGAAGCCTTGAACAGCCGGCACAACGTGATTGACAATCACAGCCGCGTCTGGTCGCGGTATTGTCCGGTCGTTTTGTGATGCGGTGAGTGCTTGAACAATTTCAAAGTTGGCCAGCGCCCAGGCATGCCATGCCTTGTACGACTTGGGACTGTATTTGGTCGCCTGAGAGTAAGCCGCCAAGATATCTTGGACATTGCTGTACTGCCATGCATTCTTGTTCAAGGCAACTTGCCATTCTCCCTGCCTCAGATAGCACTTGGCAAGCAACTCTGTCTGCTCTTGCAGTGCCTCAAGTGCGTGTTGCGGAGCTTTGCGTGAGTGCATAGCTAGATGCATATCCAGATTCTGGCCATTTTGCATATTCGGCAGCTCGGCGGCGATGCTCGTTCGGTTCATCTCAAAGGCCAAGGCTGTGTCTTCGGTGAATTGTCGGAGGCACGCCAGAATCTTCTCATCGTAGCCAGTGTTCCGCAACTTGGGCCCTTGGCCGAGCTCCCACTGGTACTTCAGGACCGCGTAAATAACTTGAGGCGGGATGCCATGGCCAACATGTGGCCGGCCGGGTTGTCTCGACATGCCCAGTTCAGCATCGCCCCAGTAAGGGATGACAGTCTCGAGCGGTTGTTCGATGCCAATCAGCTGCATGAGCGACTTTTCGGCCAGGCCCATGCGATTGGACTTCCTGCAGAGGTTCGCAAACTTGATCCACATGTTCATGTTCTCTTGTGGTGTAATGACCAGGTTACGCAATCTAAGCATCCGGGACCATACCTCCACATTACGTTGGCATCCCTTCAGACGCGCCTCCCAAGTCCTTCGGATGGTGTCCTTCTTCTCGTGGTCTGCTTGTTTGTATACAATCAGTTCTTCAAGCTCCGCGAGCATTTGCACACGGACGACGACTTGATAAGCTCTGTTGTATGACTCGCTCACGAGCGCACTAAGCTCTGTGTCGAGGCCTTCACGGGTCTGCTGAATGCAATCTGCTGCCTTCTGGAATTGATTGCGATGCAACGCCAAGATTGCCCCAAAGAATGAGCGATCAGGGGATTGATGTTTCATGGATTGTAGGTACTTGTCCATGGAATCCCACTTGCCTTGGCCCCAAGCAGCAGCAGTTGCGAGGCCTGCAATTCGGCGTTGAATTTCCGGGGCTGAGTTCGACCAAGCATTGCCAGCAATATTGGCCAATGCGTCCCACTCTCCCAGAGCGTGCAAACACCGCATCTTTCCCATAACGATATCAATAGGGACAGCCTGATCGGGCGGCACCTCTTTTTCACGCTTGTTATAGAAGGCAAGAGCCTCGTCCCACCTTTCTAGCTTTTCAAACCAAGTTTCTCGGAGCTGGATGCCGTCTTTGTACAACTGTGCCTTACGGAGAATGCCAATAGCAGCATCGTATTGTTGAAGTTGATTGTTGATAACGATCAATGCTTCGACGGCAGGTCCACTCTGATCTTGCAAAAATTCCAGCTCCTTGTAATGAAGTGCTTTTGCGTACGCGTGACAACGTGCAGCCTCTCGTCCCAGCACCCGAATGTCGATGGGTAGAGCCTTGTCGTCGTGCTCCATAAACTCGGCAAGGTTTAGAAGCAAACCCAGCAAATCGGGGGGGACATTTTCAGATCTGATTGCGTTCTCGATGTTTGCAATCAACTCATCTTGGAACTGTTCATAGAGCTCACTCCAGCAGCTCACAAAGGCAGAGTTGAATAGTTCACGCGCCAACGGCAGGTAAACACTGGCAAGGACGGCACATGCACGAAGCGCGTGGTTTGGGGATTCGGTCAGCAGCGTCGTGCTGAATCGGCGGAGCCACTCTTGCCAATCCTCCTTGGTCGATTTGCCCTTGGTATCCCATGCACTTTTCAGATGAATGGCGTTCATCTCGAGTTTCTTTCCACCCAGTTCGGCGAATGATGGTTCATCAGGCTGATCGGCAAATCCAGCCTGCGAGCTGAGATCTTGGGGTAGCACTTCGCCCTTTTGCAGCTTGCTGATAAGAAGATCGTAGTTCTGGTGTTGAATCGGGTACATCTGAAGCACCTTGTTCACGGTGCCCATGAAATGGAGGTAATCCTTGCCCAGCTGCTGGATGAGAGCGCACAGAGTGTCAAGGGCTGCCAGACGAAGCGAAGACTCGCCACTCGTCGAGAGAACTCGAGCCAATGGGTGGATGATCTTGGCGGCATAGTCATTCAGATTGACTTGACGTGATATCTTGCCAATGGTTTCGATTGCTGACTTTCGAAGGAATGTCGGTTGGCCGGGCTTCTCAAAAGTCTGAACAATAACCGGGACAATGAGATGCATGTATTCTTCAGCACTAGCACCAAACACCAAGAAAGCATGTAAAACTCTTTCAGATGGGATTCTCTTGGTAGATGCATCTTTGTCGAGGACACTCAGCATCATTGGTAATAGGCCCGCCAAATAGACCTTGAACTCGCCTTCAAGCGACCGGGAGATGGCTTCAACCAAAGATAGTATGGTAGATTGCAAAGATCCTGATGCACGGCCCCAGTATTCTCTTAATGTTCCCACAATCTCTGGAAGGAAGTTTCGAATGTGTTGGCGTACAATGCTCACCAATGTTGCAAGTTGATTGAAATAAGACTCTAGCCTATTCAGAGGCGATGTTTTGATGACCTGAAGGAAAGCGGGAATGATGCGATCTAGAAAAGAAACACATTCTAATCCCAGGGTTCTGAAGATGGCCATGATCGCTTCAATAACACTTGCATGATGTTGCTGAAGTGACTGGTCTTTGAGAATGTTCAGAAGCGCATTGATAGCGACCGTAGGGTAATACTCCTTGCTCGATGGCGTCAGGCCAGTCATCATAAGCGAGATGTCAGTCATTCTTGTGGACTCGGCATTCTTGGCGGCGTCGGGCGTTCGCTCTTCAACCTGCTGGTGTCTGTATGGATCCAGCGCACCAAGGATACCCATGAGCTTAATAGTCTCCTGGCGCAAAGGTCCGCGTTGAGGCTCGGCACGGATGATGTTCTGTAATAACTCGAGTAACTGGGGATACTCAAGATACGGATCAATCACGTAACCGCTATTGCTCGCAAGCTGGCCGAGGGTATGCAGAGCCGCAAGGCGTTTCGGGGTTGAGCTTTGATCCTGCAGAGCGTCAATGATAATTGGCATCAGCTCGTCCTTGTGTTTGAGCATATCTTCCCCTCCAACGGTGCAAAGCTCCCCAATAGCCTTGAGGATAGTAGCCGCAACAGCTGAGCTGGGATCCCGCGCCTTGGGCAAAAGGACAGCCATTATAGGCTCGACATAAGGTTTGATCAAAGCCTGAGCGTTCTGCACCAAAAGGCTTAATAGTTTTGCGCTCTCTTCTTTGTTGCGTGCTACATCGGTGTACTCCAGTTCTGTGAGCATCTGGATCAATGTCTTTCTCAGTGATGGTATGACGTAGGCAGGATTATACCGGGCAAGGCGGCCGATAATCGAGATTGCCACTTCACGTATTGAGAAGTCCTCGTCATTGAGCGCAAAGAAAAGAGTTCGAATGTTTTCGGCCTTGGACAAATGATGGTCGAATCTCTCATCCAGTGCCGCAAGCACGACTCGTCGAATGTCGGCTTCTGGATCAGCCACGCCTACAGTAAGTAGCTTCTCGATCACATCTCCGACCACTTGCAAAGCATGATAGCTAGTCTGATTGACAATAGGATCTCGGACGTATAGCTGACAACAGGTCAGGGCGGCCGCCTCTCGAATCTGAGGATCGTCATCTTCAACATATTTTATAGCTACGTCACGGACGAACTCATTCAACACATGGCCTGTGACATTGATTAGCATGAATATCCAGAGTATCGTACATGGTGAAGCGCTGCGCGTCCCAAAGCAGATCCATCCTGAAATGAAATGGGTTCTGATGTAGAAGACGTACCAGAAAAGTCAAAGCTGCCAAGAGTGTTGAGTGCAAGCTTGATCTCGGCTTTGCGATGCTCGTAGGCATGTGGATCTTTCGTGTCCTTTGGAATAATGGGTACAGAGGAGAGAGTATTCGGAGTCGGTGCTCCGAGAGGCTTGAAAGGTTCGCCGCATAAGACTTTGCTAAGCATATCAAGGAGTCTCTCTTGTATAGTTGCCTTGACTGGCGGGATGTAGAATGCCATGTCCACCAGCGCCTGGGTAAGCTTTGGCGTAAGCTCGCAAGCAAAAATCGGATCTAAAAGAGCCTCCATGTATTTGCTGAGTGTTTGGCCCACGGCTACTGCCAATCTGCTTATACAGTCAAAGACGGGGTCCACGGAGCCTCTCCTTCTTGACTGAATGCTCAGACCCTCCCTGACGTAAATGAGAACACCGTCCAGATAAGGTGCAATAGCACTCTTCACGGAATTGGCAATGTTGCCTATAGCTAGGAAGGCGTCGTTACGCTCCTTATCTTTCTTCAACATGCCGGAAAGATAAAGCATAAACTTGTGGAGATATGAGTGCGCGAAATCGGCTGGGGCGTAGTTGGCGAGGTTTGGTATCAATAGGACAACCGTTTTCCTTATGATGGGATCCTTGTGATCCTTGTGGCGGAAGACAATCTCGCAGGCGTCCTGGTAGTGGTCCTGCATAAACATGCCTCCCTGCTCGAGCAACTCCCTGAGCACCAAGAGCGAGCCATGAATAGACTCGACAGTATTAATGCGAAGCCCAACAATGAGTTCGCTGTACATCTTTGTCATCCATGCCTGCTTCATCTCTTGATCTCTTTCCCGAATGATACGGAAACAGGCGCTAACTGTCTCACCAGATGTGGCTCGGATGAGTTGCCTAGAATCTCGGAGGCCAACCCAGATGAGATCAAAGATCAAGCTAACATATGAGTACATGAGGGTGGGAGCATTCCTAGCCAGCTCGCGCAGGACAAGGACAGCACTATATCTCTTCTCCTCGACTCGTTCTGACTGCAACCATTCAAGTGAAGTCTTGACTTCAGACTCCACCAGCTCCGAGATGAGAGAGCCGCCGGGTCTACAGAGCTTTCCCAGTGCAACGGCGGCTGGTTGCATGGGCACAATGTCCTGTCCTCGGAGGATCCCTTTGAGGTTGTTAGTAAAGCGCGTGTATTTGAGCGTAACGTCTACACCATCAAAGTCAGCCAACGCATCCATGGCGTACACGCCGCCAAGGCGATCTGCAGATATGTTGCTGTGCACTAGGCTTGTGATTTTGCCATTGACTTGATTGTAGAAGGCAGTGAAGGTATCGCCAGGCTGGTCTATAGAAAATAGTCAGTAAATCCTGCAAGGAGCAAGAGTAGTTCGCCATGATTCAGCATTGCAGGACTGAGCTTCTTCCAGGGATCGGGCGTTCTTGAATGTTTTCCTCTACGGATAGCAGAGCCATGCAAAGTTCACTCCAGCTGCAATGAGGATCGGTAGCCAGCACAAAGGAAGCTACAGGACTCATGTCGATTCTGAAGAAAAGCACTTTCGATTTGGGAGTTGCTAAACATTGTGGCGGCATCCAAGAAAACGACCGCCATGGCCAAGTTGCCTGGTGAACGGCTGTGTTGTGGCATCCACAGGAAGCTCAGTCCCGCAAAGCTTGGGAGAATGAATAACTTACCTCGACAGGTGCTCGCAACGAGCTCCCGTAATCGTTGGGCAGCATGTTTCCTAGTATCGTCGGTGACCCTAAGCCACAGGGAACAAGTGTTAGTCTCAGCGTTTCTACGATAGGGATTGACCAGACTCCAGGCGAGGTGCTGCAGATCTTTGTGGTTGCAGGGTAGGGAGGGATCTGCTAACTTGGCTCTTAGATCCTTGGTGATGTTGTCCAGCGCCTCGAGGGCAAGCTGGTTGCTATATGGCTGGGCCATCGTGGGTGGGGGGGGGGTATAGAGAGGGAATCGTCGCAGGCGAATCTGGGGTGAATCGTTTTCGAGGCCAAGTGCGGATGACTGGATAAGTCTAGAGAATGTAGAATAGAGGGAATGCAAGTTTCGCGGCTCGGGTTCGTGGCCAATGGTCGCCGAGGTCAGGTAATAGTAACAATGTCGTGGGAATCCAAGAAGTGGGTTCCGTTGATCGATGTCAACCGTTTGCAAATGAGCACCAGTCTGAAGTGAAAGAGGGGGGGTTGCTCAAGAGGTGACAGAGGCCTATCTGATCCTGCCCTTGATGTCCTGGTCTCTTGTTCGACAGGTTGCGCCGGTCGCGATCGTGTTTTCCCCGAGATCTTCTGTGCCCTCGGCCGCGCTACAGCAGCTTCAGCAGAGGGCAGCAGAGACCAACGCGGGCGCGCGGCTTCATTCGATTAGCAGCTGGTCGTGTCTCTATTCCAGATGATGCACATTCGTTTGAAGAGGCGTTGAGACTAGTGAGTCGCACGGCGCAGCAAGGTGAAGTTCGGCAAGAGGTCGCAAAGAGGGAAAGTTGAATTGAGGGCCGTTTAGTACTCGTCGCCGTCGTTGTCGTCTAGGTTCAGGAGCTCACCAAGACAGAGATGGGCTTGCTTGGTTGCTTGCATCAGAGGTCGGGTCGTTGCGCCAAGCTTCTCGGGGTACAATGCCCACCACCAAACCTAGGAAGGCTTACGCCTGCTCGGTCCAGGTGATGGAACTTTTGATGGGAAGTACTTGTCGGGCTCCGTCACAGCCACGAGATCATTTTCTGACTGTGAAAGTGGTGTACGAAAGCGTGGAGTTGCACAGTGTGTCAATGGCCATCTGTGGGGACTGAGTACTTCGGCGTGGGGACTTGTCAAGCTCTCAAGTGCTTATCGTTATCAGTCTGTGACTTATGGTTGAAGCGCTGCTAACCGACCCGAGTCAGTTCTGGAACTTGTGGTTGATTCAAATGTTCTTGAGTGTGATCAGGCGGCGACGGAGAGTGATTTTTTTTTTTTCATACAAGAATGATTGATGTGTAGGCAGCTATTGATGAAGATGGAACTTTTGATTTGACCTGGTACATTGCCGCAATCAAGGAATTAGGTTCTGTCAAACCGGCGCTTCGTTAAACACAAACGCACTCGTTAGAGGTACTTCGGTACCTACATTAGCCAGTTGACATCAATCGACTCAGTACCTGTAAGTGGTCAGTCGCATACAAAGCTGCCTGCTAGTCAAGCACGAACGCGCCACTTCGTCTGCATCACATTGATACACATCGGCATCCCATGATTCTATTCCCTACCACTTCAGACACTACACTCCTCTCAACAGAGCCGATACCATTTGCCCAAGCCCATAAACTAGATTTGAGCATCTACAACCATTTGGCAAGCTGTAGCACTCGCACCCAACTTTACTTTGCGATCTCGCCTACAAAAACATTGGCGCCAACCCTCAATCTGAGGTTTGGCCCTCACCTTGCCGGCTGCTCTTCGACCTCCAGGAAGTCGCCTACCCACCGCCTAGGTACGACAAGAATCAGAGTTTGAAAGTCTTCGATATTAGACGCGACAATGGGAAATGATGGTGGCTCCATTCCCAAGCGCCGCGAGCTGGTCAAGGAGGCTGCGCGGGCTCCCACAGCCACGGAAATAAAAGAGACGCTGCTCGAATCTCTAACACATCTATGGAATTTCTGCCCCCTATCGTCGCTGCCCCTCGACTACTCCAATACAGTTTCCGACGGCCGAGGGCGGCTTTATAACTACGAATCGATCCTACAGTGTCTACTACCAAGCGAAGACGGCAGCGTGCCGGAGGCCCAGTTAGACGCATATCGGGAATCGGGCATCAAGAGCCTCAAGGATGTCGTGAGGGTCAAATTCACGGTGCGCAAGGATGAGAAAGGGCACGAGTTCAGGGCATGTCCAGTTAGTCTGAAGGAGCTCGGTGCCTCCACAAAAGCAACATATGTCGTTCCCTGCGGCCATGCTTTCGCAGAGGTGGCGATGAAGGAGATTTCTGGTTCGGAAGCCAAAGATGCCGAGGAGCAGCATTGCCCCGAGTGCAGCGAGGCCTTTGAAGAGAGTAATTTGATACCAATCTTGCCCACATCGGAGGATGAGAATGCTAGATTAAGGCAGAGATTGGAGAGTTTAAAGGCCAAGGGATTATCGCACAGTCTCAAAAAAGACAAGTCCAAAGACAAAAAGAAGCGCAAAGCAGAGGATGGCACCAATGGCGATGCTGAAGACGGTGCCAAGAGTAAGAAGGAGAAGAAGAAGGACAGGGGTGCCAACGGCATCGATAGTCGTATCAACAACGCCATGACGGCTTCATTAACAGCGAGGGTCTTGGCTGAGCAAGAAGAAAAAAACAAGCGGCGGAAAATCGATGAAAGCCTCAAAAGGGAAGTCGTGCGATGAGAGATGATGATACAAACATATCATAAAAATCTCAGACCAGGTATCAGGTGTATCATACGAGCAAGGCTTCTTCTTGCGATGCAATTGCACGGCAAAGTCTTCCATCCGGATGGAGCATCGGGTCTCCCTCTCAGCGGAAAGATCAGGTGATGGTATGTGGAGGACTGCGTGTGGTTGGTTCGCAATCGGGTTTCAACCATTACATCATTGCTAATATATGCATGCGAGAAAGTCTTCGTGTATGAGTGTTCTAATTTCCATGGTGTCGTTCGACATTGCTGAATTGAGATGATGCTGCCGACATGTCTACTGTATTCTTTCTATATTGCAACAGAATTTTTGCTTTAGGGTCCCTGGTCAAGCTCCCTTCTTTCTGAGCTACAGCTCATCTCGTCCACGTGTTCCGGGCTCGACGGCCTCCTCACAAGCAGCAGGCGTACCCACCTCCATTTTGTAAACACACTTCTCTTGCTCAGATACCCTCCAGAGCTCCTCGGTTTCAGCACAGCCTAGCCAAACATCGGTGCGGCGATTCGGGCCATTCCAGCAGTGCTGACCGTTCTCATATCTCAAGACCACACGCTTGCCTCTACCCAGACCCTTTCCGTCGTGTCTTTCCTCCTCATCACTCTCCTCAAAGTCAATACGATCAAAGTTGCCCATATTGGTAGAGCCACCTCCCTTTTTGGACTTTTGCGAGGTCTTGCCCAGCCAGCAGAGTTCATACGTGTACTCTCCACTGTCAGTGCTAATGCACTTGTCTTTGAGGTATCGGAAGATGTCATCGCGACCGTAGTCCTTGTCCAGGTCCTTCTTCTTGTCATCGGCCTCACGCTGCTTTCCTTTAATGTCGGACTCGACGGATTGGTAAGCTTCGCGAGCAGCAGCAACTAAGCGCGATTCGCCCTTTCCTGCAGGACTATCGGCAAGCATTCCATTCTCAATGAGCCAGATACGCAAGGAGTTGATCTTGCCGTGGAGAAAGTCCCGGACAGGGTCAGGCAGATAGGCTTCTAGATTGTAGACTATCCCAAGGTCAGTATATGGTGCGTCCAGAATTGATATATAGGGATAGAGAGATCATGGTTTAGGGAAGAAGAGACTTACGAATGTCGGTATCTGTAACCTCGACATCGTCGTACTCGGCCCAGTTGATGCCATTGCTTTCGCTGTCCTCCTTTAGAGCCTCGGTGACGTCATCCTCGGTGGCATCGTCCGCCTTGTCAACCACCTTCGCAGCATAGTCCTCAAATGCTCTCACGGCCTTTTTGACACCCTCATCATTAAAATTTGGGTTGTACTCCTCCTTGAAGGCGGCGAGGATACCCTCCAGCTCGGCAACCTTGACCTTCAACTCGTCTCGTTGATTAATGACAAGGCCAAGAGCGTCGCGAAGCTCGTTAATTCTGCCCCTGGCCAGCACGACCAATTGGCCAAGCTTGCCTGTTCCAGCGTCCTTGACCACCTTGCCACGTTCACTGCGCTCAACCTCGTCGTACTTCTTCTTCAAATCGTCCCTCTTGTGCTCTAGCTCTTTGATCTCGGCGCTCAATTTCTCGATCTTAGCCTCGACCTGCCGTCTGAGCTCCTTGGACTCCTTGGCCATTGTGCGGCGCTTCTTATTGGCCTTTTCAAGATTGTCCTTACGCTCCTTGTCGACCCGGCGCCACTCCTTACCGATCTCTGCACACCGGTTCTGGCATTTGACGCCTCCCACGTTCGTGTACTCCTCGCTACCATCACAGCACAAATCGTAGTCGCAGACGCCATCGTTAACGTACATGAATGGTACGTAGGCACCAAAGTGACCCTCGTTGGCACACCAGAAGCCGGGTAGTGCATTGGTGGTGTTGGTGGAGCCTGAGAGGGAGGCAGGCAGCGGCTGAGAGGGCGAAAGGTGGTCGAGATAGGCGCAGGCGGCTGTGCCGGGCTCGTCTGAACCATCGGGGCAGTCGCAAGTATTATCATTGACACGAGATTTTGATATCGTTATCGAGGGGTGCCCAATGCAAGTGAACTTGTCCAGCTCGTAGAATCGAACAACTAAGTGGCCAAGTGGTTAGCGCGTGAGATTAGGTGAGTCTGCAAAACTGAGTGTTGGAGGGTCCAAAGTAGTGGCCTTTTAACTGAAACGGGCATTTGAGGGACGTCATCTCAAGTGAAGCTCTCGCCATCGAGCCAATGCCCAGTAGCTGGTCCATGGGCGGACGGGGAGAAGAATGGTGATGATAGCAGCGCCGAGGTAGGGGCCACTTACACTCGGGACCAACGCCCCTTGGGACTGAGCCAGCAGCCACGAGCCCGCTGTTTACAGCAGCGGTGCCCAGAAGCACCAAAGCCTGTGCTTGCTTCATTTCTATTGCCGTGTAGGTGCGACCTCAATCGTGGTCGACGATGGAGAGAGTTTTGTGGTGTAAAACCTCGAGTTGAGCAATGAGCTGGCAATTGAACACGAAACACACAAGCCCCCCAACGGCTAACTAACTACTAGGGAAGCTCCCCCAGACTCGGCGGGTCCAACCCCGAGCCAAGCAATCAAGCTCCAACACCCAGCCCTCGAAGGCCGACACCTCTGGGGAGTTTTTGGAAGCGTCAGCCCCAGCTTCGCTAGGGACCTGATTCGCTACATTGTGCACACATGATGTAGGTACCTAGGCACCCAGGCACACTGCCCGTAGCACGAGGTAATACCAACTTTGAAGGCTTAGGTACCTAACTTTCAACGCCCCTGCATTACCTTGGACCAACCTACAATTAAGCTGGATTAGTACCTATTTGATAGCTACCATTGAGCTAGGGGTTTCCGTTCTCGGCGCCACACTTGGGCAGTGGCGCACCTGTACGAGATAGACTTCTTGCAAATATATATGTAGTATATTCTGGCATATAGATATGACGTCGTCAAATTTTACACATGGACTTAGTTATTCAATCATTGTTTCATTCATACCTCCAGAGAGCTGCCTCTTTGTTGACTTAAATCCACGAGACCTGAGTATTCCATTACATCTGCTTTGGTCCTACGCCGGAAACAGTGATAGGGTGGAAGAGTCGTACTTCGATAGATGCCAAAAACAATGGATCTATCAAGAGCGGCAGCGAATAAGAGTGTATTCTCTTTCCATGTCCGTCTCATCCTCCTCTTTCATATATATATTGGGTGCTGTTTCGTGCTTTGGTCCTTGACCACCTAGTACCTTGGCACTGGAAGGCTTGTGCTATAAAGCACAATAAAGTGCATCGATACCTACGTAACGGCTCTGAGCGGCGGGAAATTATTGGTTCGAGCTGGTTCATGCATCAAGACCGCCTGACTATACCATTGAAAGGCTGTAGGGTCAAGATGCAGTATCTTAGGAAAGCCATATTGGAGGAGGGGGGCCTGTATACTACACGTATTCACATATACACAAGAGGAAAGGTGGGGGGGTGGTTCTGGTCACGCCAGGTGCTTGAGATGGACGCAGGAGACATATGAAGGATGATCGCTCAGGTTATTTCTGGTAGCTGAATCTGATTTGGGCAAGCGGCCAAATCGAGTAGCCAATCGTTATGCCCACCTCCTATACAATTTCTATAACGTTTCAACTTCAATTAAGATACTGCGGATAGATCAAAGTTCTATTGTATCCTTTCCGTGGGTTTATATGATCACCATTATAATAAGCGTATGAAGATCTAGCAGTGTAATGAGATATTTGAGACTAAATACTCGATTTAGCAAGAAGAGTCTCTAAAATTGTTGATGACGAGGCCGATATATACTACCTGGTAAATCATACCTGCAATAGAGCTCCAGCCTGTTTCTTTATTTTCTTCGAGGCAGTTCCCAAACTGCTAATAATAGATAAAGAGATATTCCTAAGGTTATAATACTTTCACAACAAATACATACATCCGGCTCAAAACGGATGCTCCAACATCCCATGTCGCATCACCCACAGTCTCGTCGCCCAACCCAGTGTGGGAATGGTTACCAACCGCTTTTGCAGCTTTATAACATTATTATAACAAATTCAAAGAGGAGACATCTCCGCTTCTAGCTGGAGACACGATTAGGGACTTTGAATATATTCTGATTAAATCACAAATTGGGCACCGACTTAGTGGTGTAGTGGTTATCACGCTTGTCTCACAATAGCTTCCCTGAAGTACACAAGAGGTCCCCAGTTCGAACCTGGGCTGAGTCATTTTTGCTTTAGGACTACATCTATATTATATGTACGTGTGGATGATATCTTTATTTTGCTCCGTTAAAAGTGAAGCTGCGATATTTGTATACCGTGTTACTTGAGTGTTTTTTTTTTGTTTTTCGTTTTTTTTGTATGCGTGTCGCTTTAGGCTATAAGTGACCTTGTAATGATAATTACGATTAATAGGTCCTCTTTTCAGTAAGATCTATTTGTGTGCAATCATTTACTTAACACACGCAGGAATTAAAGTGGTAGCAGCATCGACGATACTATTATCTTATATATTAGTAACTCCCATTGTAAGCAACCCTCGTCTTGGCAAACGGACTCTACTTCTAATAGGTATATATTAGAAGGTAAGTCGAGGATATCCATGCTGCACTTTTCCAAGAAATAGATGCTCGTTTCATAATACTTGCCAGCTCGATATATATTTCTGGCCATTTTATTACGTCGGGTTCGACAAGAAGCTTATTCTCCGGGACGAAAAATGGGGGAAATAAAGAGCTTCGTGTGCTTTACATTACGCAAGGTGGTAATTATATTGATACGATGCGGATTATCCCAAAATTGCCTCCCATTCCAAGCCCTGGTATGTGAATGCAGTTTGGGCTAGCTCCTGGCAATTGCCAGATACCAATCGATTCCATTCCATTTCAGCGGAAAAAAGAAAACCGCAGGAAATCGGCCAGCCCGAAGTTGTGGCTGTGATTCGGTGTCTTTCCACGGAAAGTAGCAGGAGGTAAGCATGTCCTGATTCGTTGATCAACGGGCCACCGGAACAAAAAATCATACTACTATGTACATATTATACCCAGACCCTTCGCAATACGCGTCTCGTGCCCATGCCCATTATCCACAAGGGGACCCTTGGACGGGGTCTCCGCTTTCCCTGCAATGGCACATGCTGCAGGTAGCGATGCAGAGCTGACGGAAACGTTGTTTAGAAAGTTTCTAGAAGCGCTGATCGTCCATAACATAAGACTTGATCGCGTGACTTGGCTCAGATCCTTCGAGCAAACGTGATTACTGTTGACATACGATCATCTAATATATTGAACGGGCATTTGAAGCCCTAGTATCATGAACAAGAGCATTGCATTTGACTTGAGGGTAAAGTGTATAACAAAACTTGTCACAAGTTCGGTGAAATTTTTTCTTCTCCACCAAAGGTGAATCCCTTGGCTTTCAGAAATGAGCAAGTGAGAGACGATCATCGGCTCTACAGTCGCATGAGACGGATCGAAGATGTCATATAATCAGCGAATATACGCCAAGGCCGTTGAAGAGCCGGGTGGGTAAGAGGCTTGGAGACAAGAGCTTGAAAACAAAACGTAAATTTGTCTTGGCAGACAAAACAAGACTTTTTGCCACGGCCGGCTGATGATTGTCCTGCTGGCTGGCTCCCTCCACTCCTTGATCAGACATCGACATATACCATTGAGCTCGATCACCGCAAGCTTTCGTGAACATTCAATAGCTGGAACCCTAAGCAGCAAATCAACACAAACAGCTAAGCTGAGGCATGAAGACAAAATCTGCTCGGAGCAAATGGGGTCCAGGCGACCGATGAGAACCGGCGGCGTCTTTGCCTAGACCCGATGGCTTGGGTCATGCCGTTGGATCTCCAGTGTTATTGAATATTGCATAGTAGTATCTGGTGGTCGAGCTCGACTGAGTTATGGCCAATAGAAAGACACGGCTTCGAGAACAGCCAAAACACGTGCGGCAATGGAGTCCTGTTATTGTGTGCCATTCTGCTGGGTGGGCGTCTTAATACAGTAGTAGTGTTTCTCCTAGTCATTCCGTCGTTCCATGCATGCGTACGAGAGAAGAAGAAGAAAGAGGAAAATTCGGTTGCACGGGCGTGAAGGCTGGGGTCGGCAGGTCCAATGAGGTTGGGTCTGACGGACGACTTACACAAACTCGTTGGGTCTTGGCGGGAGATCGACCATATAGACCATATAGACCACCCACGTGGGGAGTTGGCGCGCTCTCATTCGAGATTCCGGGGAAATCCTCAACCTGCAGCCAAGCCCCGCTAAGAGCCTCATCCGCGCCGCCATGGCTGGGTGCTGCTCCGGTCCGCACCCATCCCAAGCCATCCAAGCGGATATAAACACCCTTTCGAGACCTGCCAAGATTGATATCTCGGTAGCGGCTTCAGCTTTGCAACTTCTGGGAAGTTCGAGGCCACGCAGACGACGGTGCAAGAGGGCGTCGATTGCGCTGCCCGTTGCCATTTGATTCTTGGCGGCCCTGGCGAATCACGTATCGCAATGCCGCAACGCGCAGGCGGAGGATAGGGTGGCACAACCGTATTGCTGCTTGGGTTGGTCCATATCGTGGATCAATCTAGTCACTGTCTCCCACTTCTATACGCCATCCTCGGACGTCGGTGTCCCAAGCAGGTAAGTGTGGGATGTTGCAAAAAAGGCCAAGACTTCAAGAGACGGACAGCCAAGACACAATGGAGAGATTCCTTGCGTCGTACTGCAGCGCCGAGCCATATGAGAGAGTTCAGATAAAAGCTCTCGATCTCGCTCCTCTGCTCCGTCTACTGATGTCCCGGGCGTCAGCAATCCAAACCACCAAGACAACCACAGTACTGCCGATAGAACAGCTCGCCAGCGACTTTTCAAAATGGCGCTCGACCAGTACACTTATGTCTTTGTTATCGGCACGTTGTTTGCCATGCTTGATGCATACAACAACGGTGCAAGTAAGTAAATGGCATCTGCTTGTTTTTTGGTATCGCTTGGGCGTGGGGAAAGCCTCTAGCTGGAATCCATTCTTCGAGTGTTGCATGCACGCCGACCAAGACTTGATCAAAGAAACTAATAAGACTACGCAGACGATGTTGCCAACGCCTGGGCTACCAGTGTCTCATCGAGATCCATCTCGTATCGGCAGGCCATGGTCCTGGGCACCATATTCGAGCTCCTTGGTGCCATCCTAGTCGGTGCTCGTACCGCCGATACGATCAAGAACAACATCATCCCCAACACGGCCTTCCGCGGTGATGCCGGCGTCCAGATGCTTGCCTTCACCTGTGCCTTGGCTGCTGCTTCGACCTGGGTCATGTGGTGCACTCGCCACTCTGCTCACGTTTCTTCGACATATTCGCTGATCTCGGCCGTTGCTGGAGTCGGTGTTGCCACTGTCGGCGCCAGCCAGGTGCAGTGGGGATGGTACGATGGAAAGGGTCTCGGTGCCATCTTTGCAGGTCTCTTCATGGCCCCCGCCATCTCTGCTGGTTTTGCCGCCACCATTTTCATGCTCATCAAGGTTGTCGTGCACATGCGCAAGAACCCAGTGCCCTGGTCCGTGTGGGCATCGCCGTTCTTTTTCCTGATTGCCGGCACCATCTGCACCTTGTCCATTGTCTACAAGGGATCTCCAAACCTCGGCCTCAACAAGAAACCCTCCTGGTACATTGCTGCTGTCGTTGTCGGTGTCGGCGCCGGACTCTTTGTCCTCTCGGCCATTTTCTTCGTTCCCTACGTCTACGCAAAGGTGATCAACAAGGACCACAGCGTCAAGTGGTGGATGTTCATCTACGGCCCTGCTCTCTTCAAGCGCCCCATTGTTGAGGGCGCCGAGCAGGCCAAGGTTCCCAACTATGCCGTAGTTCAGGAAGATGAGGAGCACAGCTCTGCCCACTCTGCCAAGTCCAGTGCCGAATCGGCCGAGGGAGTCATGGTCAACGATGACAACGAGAAGAAGCTTGTCCAGAGCGAGGCGAAGCAGCTCACCTACAAGGAACTGGCTGAGGCTGGCGAGCGCAAGCACAAGGCCAAGCTCCTGAAGAAGCGCGGCCCAATGGGCTGGGCCATGCGCACTTTGCGTGACAACCCCATGGGCCCTGGTGAGATTTACGAGCTCCAGAACATCAAGATCCTCTTGAAGCGTATCCCTGCCATGATCACCTGTGGTGCTCTCTACGGTTTTCATTACGACATTCACGCTGCCCAGACAGGTGTTGAGGGAACTCCCGAGGGTGCTCGCATGCAGAGAGTCTACTCCTACGCCGAGAAGTACCCCAACGAGGTCGAGCACTCCTTCTCGTTCATCCAGGTCATCACGGCCTGCACGGCTTCGTTCGCTCACGGCGCCAACGATATTGGAAACTCGGTTGGCCCCTGGGCCGTTATCTACTCTGCCTGGTCCACCGGTAGCGCTGCTGCCTCCAAGGCATCCGTCCCTGTCTGGCAGCTGGCCGTTCTGGCCATCATGATCTCGTTGGGTTTGATCACTTACGGCTACAACATCATGAAGGGTAAGCCACCACCGTCTCGCCGCCTTGCGAAGAACTCCCCACCATTTACTGACCTGATTTCTAGTCATGGGCAACAAGCTCACTTATCACTCTCCATCGCGTGGCTCGTCTATGGAGATGGGCGCTGCCATCACAGTCTTGATCTTTTCTCAGTTCTCGCTCCCAGTGTCGACTTCCATGTGCATCACGGGAGCCACCGTCGGCGTCGGCCTGTGCAACGGCACATTCAAGGCCGTCAACTGGCAGCGTGTCGGTCTCTTGGTCCTGTCCTGGATCATGACCATCCCCATCGCCGGTACCCTTGGAGGTGTCCTGATGGGTCTCTTCCTCAACGCTCCTCACTTTTCCTCTTGAAAGAAAAATAAAATAACTAGTGTGGTTGAGGCCGCATTTCCTAATGAATGTACCGATACCCGAACGACATTTGATATGCCATAGATTATATACTCTGACAGTAACATTTCAAAAGCTTGTGCATTTTTTCTCTATTTCCATTTTATCTCACATCAAGTAGTCCCAAGTTATCTAAAGCCTCTGTGTTGAAGGCATTGAAATCGTCTTTTATTTTTCTCCCCATTCTTGATTCCTGAAAGGTCGTAGTTGTGAATCAGCCATCAATATGCCTTATGTCTCCTGATATCCTCGACTTGGTTGTTCTTCCCATCTATGAATCCTACATCTTTTCGTCCATGTTCTTCTCGCATTCCGTAGTAAATCGGGTTTCCTAGATGTGCTCTTTGGCATGTGAATCATGATTTTCGTAAGTTTCTCTTGTGCCGTGTCACTCTTGCCCGTACTTCCGCCCTTGGAAGCCGAGATATTCTGCGTAAAAGCCACAGCTCTGGAAAGTGCTGTTGAAGGTTGCAATACAGGCGCCTGCATCATGAAAGCCTTGCCATCATTAGCACTTCCAGAAGTGGCGTTTCGTGCCATGACCACTGAAGGAGCCGGGGGATTTGGAGTACTTGATGACCTGGAGCGTCGAATTTTTAGCGGTCAGCCTATGATGAATTCGGATTGTACCTACAGAGTATTTTGGAGTTGAACAAAGAAACCAATCATGGCGCAGAGAGGGCATTATGTACGATTGTCGTCTGTAGAAGTAAATTGAAAATGCTCAAGCCTTTGCATGATTCATTTGTATTCGCCGAGGTTACGATGCATGAAAGAAAGGGTGGGTGATCCCGAAACAATTTATTCTATGATTCACCAATGCCCGGTGCTTGGGTTGGATTCATCCATTTATAAAACACAATCATTAAAACTTCCTGACCTTGGTTGTCTCGGCTGAACTCCTGTCAACTCCAATGTTTCTTGATGCGCGTTGCGTGTGACCGCAAACAGTGTGCGTTATCGTCTTTCCGACTGGAAGCGAAGACCGTCTCTAATGAAGTCAAATTCCAGTAATCTCACCCCCGAAGGAATAGGGCAGGCATCCTTCACCACCACAGAGTGTACCCATAGGGCACCTCGTGACAGCCTAAAAGTCGTTGGGCCAGCACTTTTCCTTGGGCCACAGCTTAGGGTCGTGGGTGCCAGCGTGCACCTCCAACTGGATTTTGTTGGTGTTGACAATCTCCTTGCGACAGTTTTGGCACTGAATCAACAGGGTTAGTCATGTAGTAATCCATTGTGCATTTCTATCCAAGCCTTACGATGGATGTGGGCTTGGGAGCCTTGACCGGGAGACCATTGGCCTTGACGGCGGCGCGAGTACCGGCCTTATCACCAGCCTTCTGCTCACGAGCTCTCTAGTGGGGGGGGAGTTCAGTGTCAGTCAAATGATGTATGTGCGGGCGTTGTAAACAGGTCACAAATCCGTCGTGTCACAACTGGTGTGCTTCATCACCTACTCTGTCCTTCTTGCTGATGGGCATGATGATAATGATCTGTGGAGGGGACTTCTTGAAATCTTGCAATGTTGTAGAATCAAAGACGCGGTCAAGAGGAGAGAAAAAAAAAATTGGAAACAGAGAAAAGAGCAAGAGGGAAAAAAATCCATCGAAAGCTCTGGCGCTTAAAGCAGGGAAACTTCCTAATTCGGCTAGTTCAATATTTTCTAGAGGGAAGAAGAAAAAAACCACGAAAATACATATTGCTTAATGATTGCTGCATATAAACGTTCACACAAATTAGATGCTGATTTATATAATAACTAGTGTTTTGAAATCAAATTATCATGCTTAATTAATTACAATCAGGGTTTTTACAAAGAATAAATACAAAGGGGCTATTTGAGAAGACTTTTCCCCGGTATTTATTAGGTTTAAATCAAAGCATTTTCATTCCAACCTATGACATTCAAATAATAAGTAAATTCTATAATGTGTATAAAGGATTATTAGGTTACGTATAATAACGCAAGTCAGTTAAATCGTTGCAAAATCATTTACCTTATAAACTTGCAGTCCATTGGCTATCCCTTCTCTTATTATTTTGATTTCATATTTCTCTCTCTTCCCCGTAAATAGCTAGTTTAACCTGCAAGCTTGGAGGAAACCGATGCGGGGCAGGCAAGAGGAACCTCCGCTTCTCACCACTTTTGAATGAAATCGGAGTTTGCAAAGGACTTTGCATCTCAAGAAAAAAAAAAGGAGGAGTCATTCGAGGCAGGCAGCTTAATGATTCTTCTAATGTCATGGAATAACCGGTGACCACAAGAGGAATCCCAAGCAAGCACTCACTGACTGCACTGGCGCGACAAGAGAACGGGGGAAAGAAAACCTAGGTTAGCAAGACGAGGGAAGGAAAATCAGCAAAAAGGAATTGACACATTTGAAATGCTTGGCGTCACCCGGAATCGAACCGGGGTCTTCACGGTATTGCCCGTGGTCGCAGAATGATTCACTCCACAACGTGATGTACTGACCACTATACTATGACACCTCGGCTCTTGTCTGTTGGGGATGAGCGCTTTATTTAAAAATATGACACTAGTATTAGATCCCGCATTAAAAATTTTTCGATTTTGCACAAATGAGGGGCTTGCCGATTAGAATGACCTGGGAAAACACTAAACACGACCATGTTACAAGCATCGAAGTATGTTTTTCTCAAAGAAAACCTTGCAGCTGAGCACTACCAAACTCTTGAATTCAAGAGAATAATTACAGTATCAATATTCCATACACATCTACGAGAGCGAGATACTCTTGTCGACGCAAACGCTTGGAGTGGGTTAGAAAAGGGTAGTACAATATAGGTAGTCAGCAGCACGCCTAGGCGAGGCGCAGCTTCACTAAAATCCGCCCATCTGAAGCGGCTGTGCAGCTGAGTACTAGATGGAGATGCCAACTTTACTTACTGGGTAGGTAGGTAGGTAGGCATTTAATACACTTGATAAGCGGTTACATTAGTTTGGTGGGCTTTGTTACTGGTGTCCTTCTCCTTCTTCCTGTGTTCCAGCTATGATTCGTCTTTCAGGTGCTCGCTTCATCTTGATCATGTATCTCTGATGTTCGGTCCACATGGCGCTGGCGGCGGACTTCTCACTTCGTACCAGTGGCAGTGCCCATGGAGTATGGGCCCGGCTGATTGGTAGACTGCCTTGTCATCCTTCAATCACAGAATGCTAAACTGCATCTCCTAACAATCTGTCGTTTTGCTGCCTATCATTTGATGAATTGACCATTTCTGGAAATTGATGTGTAAACTTGAAGAAACAGCACCCGGAAAAACCCAATCCGTACGCTCATGCTATACCTCTCTCTTAGGGGGTCCCATTGACACATGATTGGTCTTAGACACGAGCAAAAATCGCAGGGCATTGCCTGGCTTACAAGGGCCTTTCAGCATTCCTAAGACACATTTCTAGTCATCCTGTGCCCAACGTGCAACGTGCTTATGCCCCGCTACCTGAGGTATCCAGTGGATGTCGCAAGCCAGTTTATATCCCTATTTACTAGCGTTCCAGACGAAGACACACGCTTGGTATTAAATTTTGAATCCGGTCAAATCACTGCCCGGATCCATGATATCGAGACTTGTAGCTGAAGTACATGGGAGAGGCGATGCTCGTGTTCCTATGCTCTACAAAAACCAGCCTGTGTAGCTACGTCCATTTCTTTGTCTGTCACTTCAAGCCATATATTTGATACATACTCCCAAGCCTTTGTCTGTAGTCTGGGAACAAAGATCAGCGCGCCTTTTATACCTCCGGAGATCTTGCAAGAAATCACACAGCATCCTCTCATCTTCGGGACATCTAACACAACATTAAGCACTATGGTAGAACCCCTCTCCCTTTTTTCAAAATTCTCCCTAATAACAATATTTAGGTTTTGCGAACAATTAAAGTGCCCAACGGTGGCCAGGAGGCTACTGGGGGTCTTATATCAACATCACCGAGCAACAAATCTACCTTTGTTTTAGCAGAGGATGTCCAGTTATCAATACATCCCTTGGCCTCCCATGGAGGTCTCATGGTCGGGGTGAAGCCTCCAAGACACCCAAAGGACGGAAGCATGAAGCACGTACCCTGCGATATTATCTTGGTCATCGACGTGAGCTATAGCATGTCCGGAGCAGCCCCTGTTGTTGGCTTCGACGAACAAGGGAAAGTCACCCGAGAGCATCCGGGATTGTCGGTTTTGGACATAGCAAAACACGCTGCCCTGACGGTACTAGAAACTCTGGACGACAGTGATCGCCTAGGAATAGTAAAGTTCAGTGATACAGCTGAGGTGAGTGTTGGTGTTGCCTTCGTGGTTTTTGGGAAAGATCTCGATTCCGGAAAACCAAGCTAAACTCATGATAGATCGTCCAAGACCTTCAAGTCATGAACCCAGATAACAAGACAGCTGCAGATGGTTGTATCAGAGCACTGCAGGTAGAAAATTCGACAAATCTCTGGCAGGGCATCGTGGAAGGCATCAAATTACTCAAAGGTCAAGAGGATTCGGGCCGCAATCCAGCAATATTACTTCTTACAGATGGACAGCCGAATGGCCAGTGAGCATATATACTACAGGCTTTATTATACTTAAGGGATATTAAAGTTAACCATACCCTAGTGTTCCTCTCCAAGGCTATATTGGGGGCATTCAAAGCCTGCTGCCGCTCCCAGCAGCCATTCATACCTTTGGGTTCGGCAACGACATCAAGTCGGATCTTTTGAAATCTATAGCCGAGATTGGAGGCGGTAATTATTCATTCATCCCCGACGCCGGGATGGTGGTAAGTTATTCGTGAAGATATATCGGTTTCAGAACTCACTTTCGAGATTGACCAAATTTCAGGGCACCGTTTTTGTCAATGCCGTGGCGTATCTGCAGTCAACATTCGCCAACCGCTGCGAACTGAGCCTGACATATGGCGAGAATCTGTGCTTCCAACACGGTCTCATGGAAGAGACCACTGGGAGTAAGGAAGTGGATAATCTCACCACTTTGACTTCTAGACTGACACTCGGCTCCGACAAACTCAAGAAGAAGAGACTCACAATTCCACTTGGTAATATACATTACGGCCAATCCCGAATGGTCTATTTCAACAGCGATGCACTAGACTGGTCCAAGATGTCTCCCGAGGAGTTGGAAATGACTGTCGAGCTGCGATACTCACGCATGAGCAGTACACAATTTGTGGTAGCGGCCCAATGCAACGGACTAGAAACAATCTTGCTGCCTGACTGGGAAGTATCCTACCATCAAAGCCGCGCGATGAGCTGCAAGTATCTGTCCTCATTCTTCCCTTTTGAGGGAAACGGTGAACGCAAAGCGATCGATCTACTAGCGAGACACATAGTATCGTCCCGGGAGAGATTCAGTGCCCTGAGCAAGATAATCCCGGCCAAGGATTTTGACGATGCCTACAACAAGTCATTGATACAAGACTTGGAGGGGCAGATCAAACTGGCAGTTTTCAACGACAAATACCTTGGCACATGGGGATTACATTTCTTCCTCAGTCTGTGGGACGCGCATGCCAAGCAGATGCGCAATACCTTCAAAGACCCTGGCGTTCAACTATATGGTGTCGACAGCCCACTCTTTCTGGAATGCCAAAAGAGGTTGGCATTTGCATTTGACACGTCTGTGCGGCCCCCAGAGCCGAGTCTGAAGCTCGAAGCCGATGGAAAGTATAGTGACGGCAGGGTGACGGTGTCCATGTCATGGTACAATAGGAGCGACAACCCATGCTTCTCAGCCTCGAGTATGCTCACGTTGGCCAATGGCCAGGACATTCCCGTCAGCATTCTGCGAAAAGGCTTCGTGCTTCAAACAGCAGCAGGAAGTCGCAAGGTGGCGGTGGTCTTGGAAACCAGGGTGCGCGAAGTCATCATGTGTAGGGTCAACAAAACCCTCCTGATCACCCCGTGGCATCCCATTATCCATAAAGGCTCGTGGACTTTTCCGGCCACGGTTGCGACTGGAGCCGTCGTCTACTCGGGCTCGGTCTACTCGATTCTGTTAGAACCTGACACGGATGCACAGGCGCACACTCTCCGAATTGGCGGGGTCTGGGCTACGACATTGGGCCACGGCGTTACCAGTGGGAGGGATGCCAGAGCGCATCGCTTCCTAGGAAACTATGCCCGAGTCTCGAAAGCATTGGCGATACTAGGAATCAGCCCAGACGGCGTTGCCGTCAGTTCTGGAGTCATCCGCGACAAGCGCAGCAAGAGATTGACGGGGTTCAAGAACATCTGCCCCAGCTCAGCGCAGCTGGAGGCGTGACGGATGGATACCTAGTGCCATAGTGTGTGCAGTTAATTGTACGTAAATACCCACTAGGTAGGTAATTGCCACATCACGGTATTTCTCTGTTGTGGCAGGAACAAGATAAAAATTGCCTGGAAGAATAGCATCCGATCAAAACAGCGGTCGAAATGTGCATGTATATTCTATATTCAAATCAAAATCTTGAAGAAAAGGTATTACGCAGTGTATTCTGGCTATATACACCATGGCAAATCGAGTCGTCGACGTGCAGATCAGTCTTGGTCTTGGCATGAAGAGCTTGCCCCCTGGGGCTGAGGCCCTGGGGCCTGGCCTGGTGTCCGATCCCTGCTCGAGCAGGTATAGGCGAGCTGCGGGAGATCGACAGTCATGTTGGACTGCACATGGCCATCACAAGGTTGGGTACCTGGGTTAGCGGGTCACTGAAAGTTGTTTACTTGGCTGTATGTAGGTACTGAATAGGTAGGTAGAAGTGTGCCGGAGGGCGTCTCATTCAAATTGTCAAGAATCCAGATCAAACCGAGGCGGCGAGGCACGTTGCAGCGCATTACGAGAACAAATTATAACGTCCCCTACTGAAACAATGGCTATTGACAGTTCCTGTAGCCTCCTTATGACGTATACTACATGTAACCTAAACCACCTCCATTATGGGAGGGCCGCGAGGAAATGACTCGCAAAGCCACGGGTCGAGTGAGAAAACGCGCTCCATCTACCTAGGTCTCCCTCTTCCTCCTCAACTGAGCTGGACGCATCTGGATTCTAGTTTTTCTCACCCGGGCGCTTGCGACCGAACGTCCAGTTCGTTCAAGGTGGTTAGTAGGTACCTACCTAGGTAATCTTGTGTGTGTATCTCGGAAGGTAGCTTGGTGGATACATACCTAGGTAGGTCATTACTAGGTAGGTAAATATTGACCTCCGGAGGGAAATAACCGGATTGCTGCAATCTGGGGGGCACGGGTTCAGATAAGGTGCTGCAATCCTGTGTACATACATCCTGTATTGGGGCACTCGCCACGTGTCCAGAAATTTGCTGGTAACGTCTTGCTGCATTCTGAGTGAAGAGATACTTCCCCACGCACGGAACAGGCAGCTTCTTGTTTCATGGCTGGATGTCCTCCCCCACGGGATAGAGGCTGGACGGACTGCTTGCAGTACATGCATCCATTCGATGCCTCTAATCGATGCCGCAAGCTTAGGCGAGATCTAGAATGTAGTAGGTAGGTCTAGGCCCCCTCAGCCCTAGCGCTGCTGGTATGAGTGGCGGCATGTTAGGCAAGTCGGCATCCCGGATGGATACTGGCAATTTTCAACCCTCTGACCATTCTAGTACCTACGATAGGTATTTCATTGATAGGAGACGGCGACCACCATCCATGGCCGTCATTTATCACGAGCTTTAGATAGTAATGCCGCCAACACTTGCAATTGTTCGCGGTATTCTCTAGAAGCTGCGTCATTTGGTCGTTTCTTGATCACCGACCAGCGCAGGAATGAGGCGGGATCCTCTGAGGCGCTTCCGTTATACCCACTACCCAGGCATCGACAACATTACCAGAGGGTCAAGTTTGTCTTGCATGGCGATGCAGCAATAGTCTCTCTCCCATCTAGACGCATCTGTATCCGCTCATGTCTGAGCATGCCAATATTGCAGCCAGTGTGGACGACGACGACGAATGCCGTGATGCCACCATCATGACAACGGCCGGACCCGCCATGAACTTCGACTGGACTCGCGATCCACCCCCAGCCAATCTCACGCCTTTTCAGGAGTTCGTCCGGCATGTCGATTGGGAAGCTTCCTCCATTGGCCCAATGGCCACATGGCCCTCGGAGCTCAAGCAGGTCCTTCGCCTAATGATGGCTGACACGGAACCGCATATATTGTACTGGGGCCCAAAGTTCACCATTATCTACAATGAGGCATATATACCTCTAGTTGGTGCTAAGCATCCAGCAATGCAGGGGAAAGATGCAGCTGATGTCTTTCCCGAGTTCTGGCCCTACTTTGACAAGCTCCTCACTCGCCAACGGCTGACTGCAGAAACCTTGAGCGGCGAGGCCGACATGTTCCTCATGGAGCGGCATGGATTTCTCGAAGAGACTTACTTTGATTGGAAACTGGTTCCCGTTATTTGTGACGATGGCCAGGTAAAAGGCGCATATGGATGTCCTTCTGACCTGACCCTCGACATCATCACAGCACGCCGGGTGGACTGCAGAAAACAGATCGCCAAGCAGATCACAAAGACCAAGAGTTTGAAGGAACTCTGGGATGTGACCTTGTCCGGCTTGCGCATAGACGAGAAGGACACTCCCTTTGTCTTGTTGTACTCTGTCAAGGAGCAGACAGGTCTGGCGGCGCCTCCGTCGCGTCCGCATTACACTTGCCGTCTTGAGGGTTCCATTGGTGTTGACTCTGACCACGTTGCTGCCAAACAATACATTGATGCCCAGTATGATATCGATGGCTTTGCACCACAGATCCTAAGTGCCTTCAAGGCCGAAGAGACACTTGTCTTGAAGACGACCGATTCTAGCCTCGAGCCGCTGCTAAGTGGAATTAGAGTAAGCGATCCCCGTTGCTTTCATTCATTTTTTTTTTCTTTTGCTTTGTTGATTTCCCTCATCTTTACTGCACCAAAAGGGGTGCGAAGAGATAACAAGGAGAAAGGCAGCTGCTGATTCTGTAAGCTGTAGTGGAAAGGCTATGGTTCGCCAAGCCACGAACTCGTCATTCTGCCGCTCAAGTCGGATGACGAGATTGTCGCCTTTTTCATCTTTGGACTGAACCCTTACCGGAGATATAACCAACTATACGAAGACTTCCTGCGGTCCATCACCGAGGTAATGAGACCGCATATTGCCAGAATCAAGTTGTCCGAGGAAGTTCAACGCCGTGCGGAAATTGCTCGAAAGGCTACTTCAGACTTTCAGAAGAGCGAGCAAAGATTTGAAAACTTTGCGGCACGCTCTACAATTGGCCTTGCGGTTGCTGGCCTTGATCGCAACATCATGTATGCCAATGACGCTTGGTACAAGTTTGCCGGACTAGACCCGACCAGAAATGATTATGACGACTGGCTGGCGACTATAGTCGAGGAAGACTTGCCCTTGGTTAAGGAGTGGTGGAATAAGGTCCTCGTTGAGAAGAAAGCTGGCCAATTTCAGTATCGGTGCAAAATTCCATTTCGTCAGGGTCACATGTACTCGGACTATAAAACAGCCATCTGCGCTGGTAAGTGCTTATGATGTTATTACACGCCCTCACCATCAATATTCCCTATTCAACATGACCGTCCATGTTTCATCTCTTCTTTCTTTCACCCCTCGAGAAGAAAGGCAAGAAGGAGGTAGACGAACTACATATAGAGAAACCTGCAGCTAGCATGCATCTATCGACAATAACAATAATGTGTATGAGAAGCACTGACAATATAATGTAGTATATCCGGATCTTAACGAAAGCCAGGAGATCGAAAGTGTTATGGGCCTCGTAGTCGACATCTCTGAGTTGAAATGGAATGAAGAACAACTCAGTGATCGGTCCAAGGCTTTTGAGGCATCGGAGAGCAAGTGGAGAAATTATGCAGAGAATTGCCCCCTTGGAATCGTGCGAACAGACGGAGAAGGTCACGTCCAATACGGTTAGTCATTGATAATGCCCAACGAAATGTAGCTCGAGTGCTATATGAGTTTTGGATCAGAGGCCACACCTCTCCCGGCCGCCAGATGCTAAATTATTCGAATAGGTAACGATGCCTGGCACGCTTACTACGGCTTTACTCGGGGCCAAGTCACTGGCGCACAGCCTTGGCTGCCGTTCATTGCCGACAACTGCCTCAAACGATGGGATGAGTGCTTTCGAAGCTTCAGCAAAAAGCCTGGACCAAGGACTATGGAGCTCAAACTGAAGAACAGAGTTTACTCGGTCCAAGAAGGAGACCATTCCATCGAGAATGGTGTGTATATACTAATCACGGGCTTCTCCGAGTTCAAGAACGATGGCACAGTCGATCACATCGATTTCTGGGTCACTGGTGGTCAGTATAAATACCCTATGCCAGCCTAAACCAAGTATCGATTGGAAGGAAGCTAACAAAGTCGTCGTAGCGTATATGTTTATTTCCCATTCTACTCATCGGACGCGGTTTCCAAGTAGCCCATCTTGTTGTGTCTGTGAGCCGACTCGACTGAGCAACGAAACTAAATTTTCACAGATATCAGCGCCCAAAAGATGGCAGCAAAGATCTTGACGGACAAAATGGACGAGGCCATTCGCTTGAAGACGCACCAAGAACGATTCATCGACATGATCAGTCACGAAATTCGCAATCCTCTTTCGGCTGTCCTGCACTGCGGAGAGGAAGTGGTGGGTGCTATGAAGGCAAGCTCAAAGGTATTGAAGGCGGCGCTCGCCGACGCATCCGGGCCACCACAGAACGAACACACTGTCATAAGTCAGCATATTGAGAATGCACTAGATGCAGCAAACACAATCATGTATTGTGTGCAGCATCAGAAGCAAATCGTCGACGATGTCCTCACGCTCTCGAAACTTGATGCAGATCTTCTAGTAGTGTCTCCGGTTCCCGTCCAACCAATGGTAGGGTCTAGCTCCTCTTGATCCCTCTGCTGAGGTGACGGACAGTCTTTGCTGATTTCGCTCAGGATCTTGTGCGAACTGCACTCAAGGTTTTCCAGCCTGAATGTAAAACTATCCCTAGTCCACGCAATTTTATCAATGCTGGCGAGCAATAAAAAAAAAGTCAATGGCTAACGTGGAAATCTGCAGTGAAGATGACGGGCATTACGCTTTCCGTGATTGAGGATCGATCCCTGAGGGAACTGCAAGTGAATTGGGTCCTCCTCGACCCAAATCGTTTCCTACAGATCGTAATTAATCTCGTCACAAACGCGATAAAATTTACCCGCACGTCGACGGCCAAGGAGATAGTCATCACGGTAGGCGCATCGCCCAGTCAATTGAGCAGTGATAGCCTCGGGGTCAATTATGTGCCTCAGCGATACGAACCAGCCAAAGCCGCCAGTCCCACGGATGATGTCTGTCGTGACACGGTATCCCGAGGAGAAATGTACCTGTACTTCAAGGTCAGTGATACGGGGAAGGGGCTTACCGCCGATGAAATGGCCCTCCTTTTCAACCGTTTCGCACAAGCTTCTCCGAGGACTCACATCGAGTACGGCGGTTCCGGTCTCGGCCTGTTCATCTCTCGCCAGATTACGGAAATGCTTGGCGGTAAAATCGGCATGAGCAGTTCTGGCAGAACTGGGAGCACTTTTGCCTTTTACGTCAAGACGCCCAGGACAGGACCGCCACGTCGTCCCTCGATTAGTAACGAGCCCATCATAGAGCTTACTAGGACGTTGAGCTTGACGAGCATGACCTCGCCGCTTGTCGTCCCCCCACCGTCACGCCAGGAGAAGGGTGCCGCAGCTATAGACGTTGCACTTGTGGCACCGGCAGCCAAAATTGAGGCTCCAGCTACCTGCCGATATGTTCTTGTTGTGGAGGACAATCTTGTCAATCAAAAGGTCCTCTGCAAGTTGCTGCGCACCAGGGGTTTCGTAGTCCAAGCTGCGAACCATGGTCAGGAGGCATTGGCGGCAATCCGTATGCTTCCGGCCAAAGAAAAGAAAGACAGCTTTGATGTGATTCTCTGCGATATAGAGATGCCCATCATGGGGGGTATCGAATTCGCCGAGGAGGTCCGATCACAGGAAGTGTCGGGTAAAATGCTAGGCCACGTGCCTATCATCGGCGTTACGGCCAACGTGCGCAACGAGCAGGTCAGCGCAGCTATCGAAGCTGGAATGGTATGTGTCCCCTGAGAACAACATGTAGTAGGCCAATTTCACTCATTCGACACAGGACGGCGTTACCACGAAGCCCTACCGTATCGATGATTTGATAGCACATATCAATCGTGTCTGCAATGCTGGCGCCTGCGCACCGGTTCAGTCTGCGGTTAACGTGCGGTTATGAGGGGCTTTCTATGACTAGATAATAACGTAGAGAACATGGAAGATGCGACGGTTGGAAGGTGCTTTACCAACCTGCACCAAACACCAGCACCGATACTTGAGAGCCTAGGATATTTGTAGACATCCAATAATCGATCAACGGCCACTGGCTACACGAATTAAAGTACATTATTCTATGTTTCTATAGCGCTGGGAATGTTTCGTCGTTGCTGCAACCATCATTGAGCACAAACGACATATAACAATCACATCATCATCGTCTTGCTTTCCAACACAACTGCGGGAGATTCTTCAACGATGAATCATGTCTATCGGGCTTCCCTGCGTGAGTACATAGTCAGACCAGGCGAGAATGAAATCGGTTGTTCCTAGACTCGAGCGTATCGTGACTCATGACATGGAAGCTACCCCTCGTTGCAGCCTCAACCTTTCCGTTTTTTCTCCTTCTCTCCCCTTTTATCCTGGTAATGTTAAATGATATCCTCGAGTGGCAGGGTCGTAAAATGAAGACCAAAAAGTAGAAAATTTGTATGTAATTTTTATGGATATCAATATGCATCTGATCAGAGTTAAAGCCAAGGACTATGTCAGCCTTAGAATGTATAGCAGCCTTCATGGTAGATTGAGACCCCGGACAACCCGCTCTTCTCACCAGTAGGTGCTATGTGAGCAGCCATCTGTCAAGTTACCTCTGTGAGCTAGCGCTTGTGAACTGGATTAACCTTGATCAGGCCTCACAAAGGCCTAACGAGGCCTTAGGCAGGTTCCGGGGTCGTTGATGCTGCATCTAGGTCGCCACTGCTCGGTTGTCTGCTCGCGCCGTCTCCTGTCAAATAGAGGACAACACAAGGCATTCTCTCAGTGTACCTTTGCATCCCAGAAAAGGGGGGAACAGAAGGAATAGGCGGAAGTGGTCGCTTTCGGTGCTAGGTTCGGCATTCTCGGGCGAGGCCGTCATGAGCCGGGCGCAGACTTTCTCAACATGACGGGTGCGTCACCGAACCGTCATATAGAACATAGGCAGTGTCTCGGCCCGCAGTTTTTGAAGAATCCTTGCCGTCCCGTGTCCTGATAGACCGACACACCTACCGAGCCTACTTGCCTGCCTCGTTCACCTCATGCCTCGCTCTCATGTCTCGCTCTCTTACGCACGCACGCGCACAGAGAATCGCAGAAGGAAACATCTCCACGAAAGGAACAAGGAGTGAAAGCGAGTAAAGGTTCGGAGGTATTGTGATCCCGTGTCGTTGAAACCGGAACATGGTAAAACGCCGTCTCATAAAACATAGGATACCCCCATTTTCAAAGGAGCCGAAGACCTCTGCTTTAAAGCAATACTAGCCATAGGGAAAACGTTACGATGGCATATTCAACCGAAGAGTCCTTACTGTTGGTAATAGGTAGAGCCTCAACCAACCACAATACAGCACAGGCCTTTGACCGTGTTTTCGCGACGTTCCCAGCAAACGGGAACGACAGTGTCCAAAAGCAGCAACTTGGCCGATGCAGTGGCAGTTTGCAGGATCCGTTCTGATTGCATGAACTGTGGCGTCGGGCACCTGCTTTGGTCCCAGTTCAACTACAGGAATATATATATGTGCAGCGCCGGAAGAGAGGGGGGCACCAAGCACGGGCGCGACCAATTTCCCTATTCCCGCGCCGTGCTGGAGTAGTGTAGCGCCGAAAAGCCCCCCCAGGGGACGCGACCGACTTGACGCGATACTGTCCTTCCTGATACACAGTAGGGAATCCAGCCTGTACAGAGTACCTTTACCTCTTACTGTACGTCCCTGACTCCAGCCACAATAAATCCAGCGTCCATGGGTTCTTGCTCAACCCAGTGGGGCTAGAAATGGTTCAAGATCCGGTGACCAGGTATCTATGTACCTGGTAGTATAGCCAGACATTTACGGCAGTGTTTTGTTGATTTCCGCCCGAAGTTGGTTCGAGATTAGCGATAGGCGGAGTCTCACGCATTTGTTCCGTCGGTACTCAAAAGTCATTAATGCTTGCCGGCATTTCAATCAGCGTATATAGTGCTCTAGCCTCTGTCCACCTGATCAACCTACAAAGTCATGGACATGCTTGGAACTTGGGGATGAAGGAAAATTTTAAAACCAATGGGGACACCGTTGACCGATCAGTACTTCCCAGACGCCAGGACCGGGTAGCGATCGACGGGCCATCTTTGATGGATGGAGCCAATTGAAGTGAAACGAACCGAACGAATAATCGATAGATCACCCGGGGTCAAGGTTTTTTTTTTTTAATTTTTTTTTTTTCTTTGGGAAGCCTGGACAAAAGAAACCGGTGCACAGGCAGTTTAATGGTCATGGTTGGCATGTCACGGTAGGTAGGTAGGCAATAAATATCTGTGCTCTTTTGAGCAAATCCACACGAGAGCTGTTATGCAAAGGATCGAAACCAAGAAATGGGCAGTTCATGCCACGCGTTCCCAATAACTTTAATATAGAGCTTATTAACTCGGTGAAATTCCCATTGCCGGCCAAGCTGTCTGTTCTGGGTTCCGCCATGGAAAATGCTGCCGACCAAGACCCGAACAAACGGCTAGCAACTGTCCGCAAAAGGAAAGTCGCGTGTGCCCGAGTGTTGGATCACGGATGCCAGGCAACGAAAAGACGTTTGTCTGCAACGTTGATCGGCCAATTGACCAAGAAATGTGATGAGATGGATGCTCGTGGATGATGAGTACATATGTAAAATACCTTGTTTTTTCTCAAGCTAGCTCCTGCTGGCCTTTAGTCCTTGGTGAGGTGTCGGGCGTAGCGAGATGAACGAGCCCTACTACTCTCTACACTACCTATTATGTACGTTACTACCTCCATGCCTCTGGCCCCTAGGAAGCCCATCTCCGCAAATAACAGGGGAGAGGGGGGCGTGTGTCGAAGGAAATGCGATCCCGACCGTCCGGTGTCATGGATCTCGCTGGCTGGCACTTCCGTCCGGACTTGTTGCCTGCCAAGGATGGGAGGGGAGGGGGGGCTGTGGTGGGAGCAGCCCTAGGCAAAGAATGCAAAGAAGACATACGGCGAGCACAAGCTTTTGATTCTTCGATCCTCCTCTCCAGCAACATGCAAACACTCACGCCAACAAGACAGCCCTGAAGCGGGCTCACTGAAGATTGGCAAATCCGCAGGTTGGGTAGCATTGTCCCCCCCCCCTCCCTTCATCAACATCACACGGTGCCGTGTGAGGTGAGAGGAATTGGAGTGTATGTACTTGGACGCGGGCGATGCCGTTTGGTTGGCGGCCACGGCTCACAGTTCAAACGGAGTCAGACATATATTCCTTCCTACTCTTTATTCATGGTTCCATCCAATGGCTGCGATGTAGCCCCCCCGAGCCCTCTTTTTACGTCTGCCTGACATGACCGTGGTTGTTGCATCGTCAATTGATGCTCTTGTATTGCTGAAAGGGGACTATGCATACCTGGGTACCGTCGAAAGACGAGCTTATACGACCGCTGGGGGTGGTCACAAAGGGTATCACTGCTCAGCATGTTTACTTGATTCGACCATTGGCTTTCTTGATACATTGTCACTCACCCGGCTGAACAGAGAGCTACGATGAATATGTGAATTCGAGATCCAATGGTGGGTGATGAGGCACCGTTGATGGTCCATAATGCTGTAGATACCTATACAAAGACCTTCTTACCTTGCTTGTACAGACAGATTGTAGTACTATAACATTTCCCTACCATGCTAGTGAGGATTTGGACTTGTGCTAGAAAATGGTGGGAGCTGTGTGTGTACAACACCGAATCTGCGTGTACAAAGCGAGAGGTCGTCCTATGGCACCAACAACACTGAATTCTCCAAAGCGATGCGTCCATCGAAACAAGGTTTTATGGTGAGACTGGGGTGAAGGAAATTTGCGTGGTCGAAAGATGATGCGGCAAGTTCTTGTTTGAATTTAACCCCACCTCTCAATCATCATACGGAGAGGGCAGTCAGGTCGAGTTTATTGCGTGTGAGACAGCTTATGTATATATATCTGCTACCTCTGAATGGTCTGGAGGGAAACATGATGAAGTGATTTGGAAGAGTCGGACAGGTAAGCTGTCGAAGGTTGTAGGAGAGAGGAACACCTTTCTCAAGGGAAGTAAAGCAAAGAAAGGAAAAAGAAACACTCCCCGGCTTTATATCTGCTTGGTCGGTCCGGTAAACAAAGCTACATAGTCTGATGAGCCAGTTTGGCCGGATCAATTGGTGTTACCGTATATAGCGAGCGGGTCGACCCCCCATAGACCGTCGGGGTGAGGGAGGGGAAACAAGCTGCGCTAGAAGGATCTTTTTTGACTTCTTCTTCCACGACTACTGTCTTGTTCGGACGAAGGATGGGGCTGATTTGTGCTTGAACGACGGTTATTTGCAACAAGAAGACATTTTGGGCGAAAATGCGCAATGAATCAATAGTCATATACCCAGTGCATTGGGCGCACGCCTCGTTGACGCAGCCATTGGATGGTCGAGCAACCATATCCAACAACTCGGCGCGTTTTCGTTCTATAAACAACCAAGATAGCATGGCTTTACCTGGCTAGGTGGTGATGATTGTTTCAGAGCGAATTGCTTTTTCTCATCACTTCCGTCATTGCGGCCATGAGGCGATTGAATGCAATTCAAATCCGAGACCTAACGTAGGACAGATATGATGGCACCCCTCTTCCTCCTTCTTATTCGCTCCTCTGCACTCATGAGCGTGAAGACAGAAGTGGAAATGAGCATATTGTCGATGGATAGATTCTGTCCGGAAACGCATCAAGGTAATCTTCTCAGGTACAGTAGGTAAGTAGTGCTCAGAATCTGTTTCCCATTTCCAAAGTCTTTTCCCGAAATTTCCATTCAAGTACAGAGTATGTTTAAAGTGTGACACTTGACTGTTGGAAGAGCAGTAAAGGCTTCATCAAGAAGAGGAAGAAGAAGCAAGAAAAAAACCCCACCACACCAAAAACGTCTTCAGGGGTGGAGCAAATCA